ACTGAGGTTTTTTGACATGATGGCACTGAAAATATTTTGTCCAGATAAATGTACCATTTGATACAGGTTTAGAACACTAATCTTTGTGCAAAATTTCAGATCATTTGCATACCTTGTTTATCCAGAATAATTATTCAAATTGTAAAAAACTGACCCAAAATGAAAAGCGTTTAAACGCTTTTTACTCAAATCGGGCTAAGAAAAGCATAAAAATATGATTTTCAATTTATTTCGAAGTATATTTCTTAACTATCTTTGCATATATTTCTGTTCAAAGTGCCCCAGCTCATTCATGTAAAAAAGCATGTGACCAAGCATGAAGGCAGCATGATCATCATTAAAGTTTTTGGAAAGGACAGCAATGTCAGTGACAACATAACTGTAGCTTTTTTTTTTCTTTTTTAAAATTGACCTTAAAAGGTTTGAACCTGCAAGGTTTTGTCCCCTCTATATTTGAACTACTTTAGAGATAACAATGATACTTGAGTTAAATCTTTATCACATTAAACATCTTCATTTCAATAGCCCGACTACAAGGTCAATGTCACAGTTAAAGGTCAAATTTCAGCCAGTTAACTCATTAGAACTTTGATGACCTTGAATGTGACCAAATGACCTACTCTGCATTGCTGAAAATTATGACTGTTGTAGACTGTCGTAGAATAGCAATAAGTTGATAGGTAAACATACATATATAGGCAAAAAGCTATCCTGTACCTCTTTGTTTCTTGTTTTGTTTGATAAAGAAAGTCAAACTCAGTTATATTAGCATTAAAGTTCTATATATAAATTTACAGACGAGAGAAACAGAATAAATTTGCTGCTGACAGGAACTGGGATCAGTACCATTCTCCAAGAAACTTGCTGTTAGCTCTGGTCGGTGAAGTTGGTGAATTAGCAGAAATATTGTAAGTTCATTAGACTTGTCATTAATGCATCTTTTTAGCTCTACTTTTTTGGGGAAAAAATGAAGCTTTTGTCATGACCGGTGTCTTTGTTAAATTTAACCTTTTGGTTTTGGTTCATTTTTTTTTTCAGAAACTATTTAACATGTCACTTATCATACAAGGATGCTCTTTTAAAAGGAGGAGATAATAAGATCCTATATAGTATATATATTTTCTGTTAAGTTATTGACCCTTTGTTATTTATTTGCCCTGGTTAGCTATTTGTTATGAGCAATTACCTCAGGACTATTAAAGTTATTGACACTTTGATCTTGGTATGCTTGTTCACTATCATGTTCGCTTGTAACTTGGAGAACTTGTTCACTACCAAATTCAATGTGAATTTCTTATTTTCTTCAAAATATTTTTCTTTTTCTCAAAAGCTTAAGCCTGTGCTGTGGGTCTTCTATGGCTGGGTGGTTAAGGTTGTTGACTTCAAACCATTCGCCCCTCACCACTGATGGTTTGAATCTGTTGGAAGCTATCCAACTTAAGCCTACAGAACATCAGTGGTTCTACTCAAGTTCCCTTAGTATCTGCCTGAAATAATGCACAGAAGGGCACCTGAGGTCTTCCTCCACCAGTAAAGCTGGAAAGATGCCATATGACCTTTACTGTGTTGGTGCAACCAAAACAAAAGCTTGTACGATGGAATGTGAAAATCCTTGCACTTTTATTTGCTTCTCATGAAAAAAGTAATTTAAACAAAGTCTTTTCATGTATTATTTTTGTTTTCAATCCATACAGAGATCTCCTACTATGTTTCCTTTCCCACTGACTAAGAACAAAGATTGGGCCTGATGAAATGCAGTTACTTGTGCCTACAAATTTTGATACTTTTTTTATTGTTTATTTAAAAGGTGACAGTACTAATTAAATGTAATTCAACATTTTGAAATTTATTTCAGTCAGTGGAAAGGGGAGGTGAAAGAAGGACTGCCAGGTATGTTACAGAAGATTTTGCTTAATTAATTCAATAAAGGGAATAAAAGGTTTGTCAACTTCAGAATTGAGGAGCAAATCCTGGAAGGAGCAATAGTTTTATAGAGACAACCTTGATTATGACAATTCACTATGATGCCTCTCATCTTTATGCACTTATTCGTATGATTGCACTTATCTGTAAGGCATGGCAAAAAAGTATAATGCATAAAAGCAAAATTATAATCATATTAATGAAATACCTGTTAACTATCAAGGAAAGCACTTTTGCTGAATTATGATTCTTTGTCTATGTTGCTTTTATGTAACTATTCAACAAAAAGCATAATGTAATATTATTACTCAGTTTCATATTGTTGGCGTCCGCGCCGAAGCGCGGCGCCTATTGGAATGAAATGAGATTTTGTGAAAGGGCGACAGCAACTTCTCGAGCCTTTTATAGTTGCCAATAATAAAAGCCGATCATTCCGATCGGTATGAGGGTGCTTGATTATTAATTAGTCGCGATATGTACAATGAATGGCGAACTGGAGAATTTCGCAATGCAAACATTTTCAAATGAAATAACCTTTTCCGTCAATAAATCGCGCTCTTCGGGGTATTTTTGCTTATCATTTTGTAGTACACAGTGGGTTATTATGGTATGTTATTCCGAAAGCTGTTAATAGAATGATGAGTTGATGACCTAAATATTCCGAAAATCTATTTATAGAGGGATGTACTCCTATCGGTAATTCTCGGTCTCTCCCGGGATTTACTAATGACCGGCGAATAGTACCACACGTTTATTTCCGGTCTCTCCCGGTTTTGGAGTAGATATCGTTACAGAACAGAACAAATATTTTACAGATAAATAAGCTTTTTTTCAAAATGAATGTTTGTCACTTAGTTTGGTTACAATAATTAATAAACACAGATCAACTCTCGAATTTATTGATTATTATTATACATAAACATACAAGTCGAAAAAAAACCAACAACACAAATCGCATGTTATATTTTATCTATATGAGATAAAAACAATAAATATGTACAATAATTGAGAAAAAAATGTACATTTTTATGGCATTAATATGACACTATCAACTTTAAAACATTTTATATAATTTGTTATTCGTGTTTAGTAAAGATTCCGAGGAATTATTCAAAGTTACAAATCAGATTTTATGAATTATTCAATTGGTTGATAATTTAAAAAATGATAAAGAAAAATACAAATGTACATGTATATGGTTTAAGAATAAACAATATTATAAATTGAATGATTTACTGATTTTTTCCAGTTAAGTTGACTTATAATCGTCGATCATTATGACAATTGAATTCTTAAAATAGTAGTAAACATAAAAACTCAGTATTAAAATAGCGCATAAAACACACACAAAAAAAGAAAAGAAAACAATATTCATAAAATCTGTAATTTTTTTTTATTAAAATAGAAATTACATTTATTGTATAATAAACAATTATGCTCAACATGATCTACATGGTAATATAACAAGTGTCATATTGTTACTTAGTGTGAACAGATACCTTAAGAGGGGGTCCTCGTTAATAGCAATAACATAATAAGGGACAATTACACAAGTATGGTGTTGATCATGCGTTACACATATGGATTATAAATGATTGTATACATGTATATCCGTTGCTATTAATAACCACGATCATAAAGAAATAACAAGTAATATTTTAATTTCTAGCATGCCGATCAAAGTTATAAATAATGAACAATGTCTTTCGTCCGTTCATTCAAAAGTGATATACAATTCTGGTAAAACCCAATGAACCATGGAAAAGTTTATAAGAATATCTTGTCATCATATATCTACTAGTTCATCTGCACCTGCTGTTTGGACGCCCTTTGATGCTTTGCATCAATGCTTTTCTTGTAGATATTACATTGAACATTGTACATCATAGCTAGGTTCATAAACATTTCTTTATTTCTGGTTTTAGACTTCACAGATGCTGAAAAAGAACATGTTGGACAAGAGATGGGTGATGTACTGTTGTATCTTATACGTCTAGCTGAGAAATGTCATATAGACCTTCCTAGTTCTGTGCTGAAGAAAATAGAACAAAATGGGCTAAAATATCCAGCAGATAAAGTTTATGGTAAAAGTCATAAATACACAGAATATCAGAGTAATGGGGATACAACTGAACAAACATGATAAATAAAAATTTGTTTTTTAGGAAAATGTGATTATTTGAGTTGTTTCCCTTGTTAGCAGAAGATGCAAATGTTGGACTTAATTGTTTTGTTTTTGTTTCAAGGGAAAATTTTACAGCCGCATTTCATCAATGACAGGCAATTTTTTCAGGGAAACATATATTGACCATTATGTTGTTTCATTGATGTAACTTGATTGCATGAATAAGAATTAGTATGTACTTTATGTAATACAAGAGTAACAGACCCTTGTTTAAATTTAATTCAACAATTTTACATTAGTTTAATTCAGTGTTTGAGAAACAATTCTGTGTTGTAATTGTTGTTTTTTTCTTCTTTTTTTGTAATTGAAATTTTACAGATCAAGTTTTATGTATTTTCCAAATTTATTGAATGTGTAAATTATTTGTACCTATTATATTTTTTCATTATTTTTTAATGATTTGTTTGTGTTACAGAAGTTAATTTGACAATTTAACTCATTTTTTATGCAATTTGACATATTGATCAATTTTAATCTGCCAGTTTCTAAAACATTTTTGCTTTCACTTTCCATATCATTTTAACAAAATTCTTTTCTGTATAAATTAAACATGCTGATATTAAAGGTTTGTAATTTTAATAACGGCACTTTTTTAGTATTTCACAATGTTTAATGTGTTGTGTTTTGTCATTTATAGATAAATGACTTTTGAATAAAATTGAATAGAGGCTTCGAGTGAGTTTATAATTCTTTGCCAATTCATTGAATATTACTTCAAACTTGCCTGTCTTAACAAAAGTATCATCAGTCAATATCAGTCAGTTTATTTAGTATTGGAGGAAAAGCCATTTCATCATATCCTAACCAACGCTCCAGAACCTTTGGCCTCATAACGAAAAGTAACGTAACAAAAACGATGATCTGATCTAAATGAGATTTCGGAGGTCATGCTTTCAATCAAATTGTCTCAGAAAAACTTGCTGCTTTGATATCACAAGTTCCTGTGCTATGGACAGAGTACATTTTCATTGGTCAGATTATGATACTAGTCAGAAATGGGACAATCTTCAGGGCAGAAAAATCAGCAGTATTAACAGCAAGCTTTGCTAGATAATGACGGGAAAAGTTTTCCTATTTAATTAAGTCAATTGATGAAATTATGTTTCTGAGTCCTGAAATGTCTTTAGTTCGTTTACAATATAATAGCATTAAAATGCTATTCTAAAGTCATTGCATGGGAATTGTCATATCTACATTATATGAGGTGTTGAAATTTAAATGTGTTGAAAGTAACTGAAGTTGAAACTTCAAAGTAACAAATAAAAGTCATCCTCCAATTGTCATAGTTGTGTAAACCTGAATGGTCATAGAGAATTTCGAGCTATATTGATAAAGACTGCATTTCATCAGATACTTGTATGAAGGCACTTTAGATGGACCAGAGAGCTTCTGAGTGTAAGCTAGAAGTATTGCTCCTTTATATGTAAAAAAAGAGCACTGCATGTGATGCCATTGCGCTAATGTTAATAAGGGGAAGAGAAAAAAACATGATAAAATTCAAGAGTGTTATGGCTGTTGTGTACTTTACTTCTTACTAAGTGATTGTAAATGTTACCAGAGGTGTAAAAACATTTTGTATGGAAAAACTATATAACTCGCCACAGCTTCTGTCCCTTATGGAGACAAACACTTTGATAATGATAAAATAAACTTCACACAAGATATATATACAAAATTAAATTTCTTTTATTTTTCTTAAAATGGTATTGTAATATATGACAATATATTGTCTATGACAAACAAACATAACAACTATGTTTACATCTTACAGTCACTATAAATGTGAGTATTGCACCATGTGATTACTGAACACTGGGTACTCTTGTTTATAACAATGTTTTAATATCATGGTTAAGCCATAACAAAATAAAATAATGACAAATTATTTGCATATTTAATTTACAATACTGACAAAACAATGTGAATAAAAGCAGATATTTATGAAATTTCTGGAAATTATTGTAAAAGAAATTAAAGGCACATTATGTCTCAGAAACAAGAAGATTGTTCCTTCATTAAAAAGAGCAAACATGAGACTTTAACATTTAAATAATGTTTTTAGATTATGTCAGATGCATATTGATCACCTGATGACAGTAGCTCAGAATGTGAAAATATTTGTAATAAAAGCAGCAAAATGTAAACTACATAGTAATTTGACTTTCATATTTTAAAATTGCCAGTAAGTAACAGAAGCCAAAGTTAGTGCTCCCCAATTTTTTTAAGCCAATCACCAACGAGGATTTTTCAAATTTTCAGGTTACAAATCTTAATAGAACAGATTTTATATAAACTGGAGGTTTTATATTATAAAACGCAAGTGGGCGGAGCACTAAGACGGTTAGAGTGCATATTGGATGTTCTTCGTAAATAAGAAAGCTACAGTCGCTTTGCAAGCTCCGCTCGTTTTTAGCTTTCTTATTTACGAAGAACACCCAATATGCACTCTAAGCTATACATGACTCACTTCCTCAGAATTATAACAAGACATCAAAAATATATTTAAAAAAAAAATCTTTTAAAAAACAAAAACATTTCTGGGGCTGAATGGGCCTTTAAAATAATATGAATCTTTATTCATTTGTAAAAATACAGGGAAACGTATATAGCACAAGGATCAAATATTGCAATTATGTTCCATATAATAGGCAAGCACTTCTCTATGCAACAATTGTAACTAATTATACCTTAAGGGAAAAATGTTACTGGCTAAATATTCTGGTAAATCATAACAACTGTAAATATATAAAACTGTATGATGGACCTTTTTCCTTGTTCTTTCATTATAATGTTTTTATTTAACTTTAAAGACTATATTTCTGTAAAGAATTCATCAATCCAATTAACTTTGCATTATATACATGTACAATGTTTAATCAGGTATACTTTTTTCATGTGCATTAGACACTATAAGAATCTTACACCGGCTGCCGGTACAGACCGGAATATCTAGCTCGAGGGTGACTGTTTATGGCGGTAACGAGGCTCTGCCGAGTTTCCGCCGTAAACAGTCACCCAAGAGCTAGATATTCCCGTCTGCACCGACAGCCGGTGTTTAATTCTTTTTCTTGCATATTACATATCAATTATTTTAGAACAGAAATTACGAAAACTGATATTCTCATTACGCACTTTTTTCTAATAGTAGCGTATGAACTTACAGCTTCATTCATAACGGTTAAGTGACGTCATCCTAAGAACACAATTCATTCATAAAAGGCGAGCAGCAATGACGTCATTTAAAGCACGCGACTTGTCTTACATGGGGGGTGTAAGACAGGGTTTTGTAGCACCGGTGTAAACAGTAGATAATCCTGTCTGATATGCAAGAATGGGTTATATTAACCACTATACATTCAATTTCATAAAAAAAATTGTTGCATGACAGACATCTTTTTCTTCTTTCATAATATTGTTTTAATTTAATAACCTTTAAAGACTATATTTCTCTAAAGAATTCATTAATTCAGATAAACTTTCCATGTATACAAGATTTGTTCTGTCATGTGCACTAGATATCACAGCATGTTAGTCAGAAACATTATCTTGTAACAGGAAGCAGTAACACAATATAACAACTTGCTAAAAAATTAAATAAACAACAATTTTGAATTACAAGATATAGAGGGGGTACACATGTCGTGTTGAGTCTTTAAAATTAATTCTCCATAAAGGTATCATTGCATATTGACATTTGTATAATTTCCTTGATCCTTAATTCTGTACAGTTAAATAAATAGCCTCTGTCCTATATATCAATATAATACTATACAATCTCATTTAAAGTGACATTATGCCCATCTAAAGGTAATACAGTGAGTGGACATGTGAAAACAAATGTAAGATTTCATTTTGCTGTAATTAATATATTTCGCATAAACGATAAAAAACTCAATTCATCTCTACTTGACAATGAAAAATGAGCACAATGTCACTTTAAGGCTGTAATCTTTTTTTGTACAGTCTAGCGGTAAATATGCATTACATGCAGATACTTTAAAAAATTTCATAAAACAAAAATATTTACAAAATGAGTGAATTCAACATAATATTATCAACAAGCTATAATATGACAATAATGTAAGCAAGACAGGGGCAATAACTCTTGTAATACCATGTAACTCGGATAATTTACAGCAGATTTGATCACTTGTGAGAATAAACCATTGGTCAACATGACCTCTTAATGACGTTTAAAAATAATGCAATTTTTGTACAGATACACAGACATGAACTTAACACCACATCTGTCGTTCACAGAGAAGATATATATAAAATAGTACAACTATCACATGCATATAGTAATATCACATTTCCGCTTTGAAATTCATAACAAATTAGAATAAAGTAACAATGTTAAAAAGTAAAACAAAATTTCATCAAAATACAAGAAGTTATTGCATAACTACAAATCATATAAAATACTAAAAGTGGTATGATTCAAGTGGAGCAAGATAATTCTTCTAAAAATATGGGACATATTGGATAAGCAACTAGTACTTTGTGCCGCTTTACCTTTATAACCAATATAGTGAGCACACTTGCTTTTTTGTCTTGTTAATAATATTGTAAAAAGTCTTCTGTTTTGTTGGGTTTTGTTTTGTCTTAGGAAACAGATTAAGGAAGAGAATATGCACAATCGACATAAGATTTTATTACTTTTTGGTAATAAAATGGTATGCCGAGTTTGACCGCTTTTCTAATTGTTAGTTGTTTGTCACATTATCATTGTCACTGGTATACTATACAGTCGTTATCACTGGTATACAGTCATTACCACTGGTATACAGTCACTATCATTGGTATACAGTCATTATCACTGGTTTACAGTCATAATCACTGGTTTACAGTCATTTTCACCCAGTTACAGTCATTTTCACCAAGTTACAGTCATTATCACTGGTATACAGTCATTATCACTGGTTTACAGTCATTATCACTGGTATACAGTCATTATCACTGGTATACAGTCACTATCACTGGTATACAGTCATTATCACTGGTGTACAGTCACTATCACTGGTTTACAGTCATTATCACTGGTTTACAGTCACTATCACTGGTTTACAGTCATTATCACTGGTATACAGTCACTATCACTGGTATACAGTCATTATCACTGGTGTACAGTCATTATCACTGGTATACAGTCATTATCACAGGTATAAAATCATTACCACTGGTATATGATATATATAATGGCAAAAGTTACTTTTTTATCATCAAAATTCTACCCTGTTTCTAAAGGGTTAACAAGACTTTGTTCCCCTTTTAACAAGTAAGTGATGACTTCAGCAGATAATATGAGTTTTACTCTCAATTAAATCACTTTATTTCTACACTTACAATCTATCCAAAAAAATTAAAGTTTTCAGGTGTTCTGCTTCAAGTTCATCAATTAACAATTATGTAATAACAATTCTAATTATAAATCAGAGCAAAGGAAGACATAACATCATGTGTTCAATCTATACCTTCTGTAACATTTACACTGAACAAAGCAAAACATAGTTCTTAGTTTATCTCATACCAGGTGTACAAACAGTTTGATAATCTGGTTTGTAAAAATAACTTTCTAAGTATTACAATAAGGCAAAGAAAGGCACACTACATTTAATGGCAAGAATTCATTTTCTCAACTTCCAATTTTTGATTTTTTTTTGTTTGTTTATTTTCAAAACGTAGAGTTGTCATGTAAATGATTATCAGTTCTTTGATTATTTTGGTAAAGCACCATAATTCAACTATGTTAGAGCTAATTATCTCGCTACTTCTGTATGCATGACAACTGTACATCCATTCTGTTATTATAATAAATATTATATTTAACAGCTATTTCCAACTTCATAACATATAACCGGATACTTCAATCAGACAGATAAGAAATAAATTTTACATTAAAATAGTCCAATCAATAAAATTATAATAGAAATACATGTACTTCATTCAGTACAAAAAAACCCTCTCCACTTTATTGTATAAGAGTTTGTTAATGATCTAGACTCCGCCTCTTGACCAGGTAATGTTAGATGATGTCATTATGACAGTTGGTGTTTAATTTTTTGTCTATGGCTCAGTCTTGATAATATCACATGATTCCATTATGAGAGTTGATGGTTAATCTAGACTGCGACTGTTGTCTAGATAATATCACATGATTCCATTATGAGAGTTGATGGATGATCTATGACTCCGCCTCTTGTCCAGGTAATAACACATATTTCAATTATGAAAGTGTGTAGTTGATCCATGACACCTACTCAGTCTATATATCCCATGACTCTAATATGAGAGTTGGTGGTTGATATATGACAACACCTTTTCCCTAGATAACATCACATGATTCCATTAAGAGGATTAGTTGATAATGTATGACTCCACCTCTTGCGATATATGACTCCGCCTCTTGCATAGATAATATCAAATGACTACACTATGTGAGTTAAACAGTGATTTATGACTGGGTCTTTCATCAAGATAATATCACATGATTCCACCATAAGAGTTGATGGATGATCTATGACTCCACCTTTTATCTAGACAGTATCACATGATTCCAATATAAGGGTTGGTGGATAATCTGTGACTCCACCTCTTGTGATCTAAGACTCCGCCTCTTGTCTACATACTATCACATGATTCCATTATGAGAATTAGCAGTTGATCTACGATGCCGCCTCATTTCCTCCAGTCCACTTATGACGTCCTCCCTCTCGTGGTTCTCCTCCTGTATCCAAGCCTGTTAATAAATGGTAAAATAATATAATAAACTTATTAAATTATGATATTGGTGAAATACTCCTGTAAATAAATAGTAAAATAAACTTATTAAATTATGATAAGTATACTATCATAGGTCAAAAATAAGAGAAAAATAACATATACACACCATAACTTCATCCTGATACATTCTCAAGCTGAAATCTTCTTTACTTCTAGTTCTCTCCCCTCTATATAACAAAGGTGTCTGAAAATACAAAATTTAAATTATAACAGGCACTTCATAATGGTATTCAACATTAAGATAAATTAGCATAATATTTTCAAAATGTGAATTAAGTTAGTTATTTGTCTATATCATAACATGAGTCTGGTTAAACAGAGACCACCTATTATGCTTATATAACAAAACCATGTTAAATACAGTCTAACTTGCCCATGGGACAATGTGCATTAAGTGACTTGTGTTATGCAACCACTGTATATTCCCCTGTTCCCTGACACCCCCCCCCCCCGTCTCATTTTCTCTATACACCTTTAATGTATTCAGCGACTTTTGCTCAATGCCACCGGCGACTATTAATTAGTTCGCTAACTGGGGCCAATCTTTTCATCAAACGACCACTTTCACCTGTAAAGTGTTTGTGTTTGTAGAGAAAGTCGCCTCGTGATTTCACATGTGTCAATAATCAAAAGTGTGAAAAACTCAATTTTCCAAACCGTTTTTAGCGTATGCAAATGAAGTTTCTTATACGCATGACGTGTATTATCCAATAAAAGCAATAGAACAATGCAACTCTCCACCCCTACTGAGATTGTGTTTATGTTTTGCTGTTGATATTTAGACTGCATTGAATTGACCTTGAACTTTATCAGCAGTTAAATTAATCCTAAAGTTGAAGCTGAAAAAACTTCCCAACTGCCAAAGAGATATGTCATGTATTAATTCTTACTTTTTTTTCTCATGCTTTGTCTTAAGAGACCATATTTTGTGTTTCCCTTGGGAAGTCACTTAATACATGTTTGACTGTACTTACTTCTATGTCAGATGAGCATGTCTGGACAAAGTCATGTGTTCTGTTAATATCAGGAATCCACTGAATATACATATACCTTTTGCGGATATTTTAGATAAATGAGTCCGGTTGAACATAAGGTTACCTATTTTCATTGATATTTTCCCTTCTTGCAATGTTTTCTTTTCATATAATGTTCAAATAATATCTCACATTAATACCGCAGGTTTGATCCATATCAGATCATAAATAAAACTTATATGATTAAAGACAAATCAGCACAAATTCCTAAGCACGGTAATGACATCATAATAAGTATACAACTAAAGGTGCCAGAATGAAGTCATTTTAAGGTAATACACCCCTAATGCACTATCTCCACTTTGAAGAGTATTCTAGAATCACTGTAAAGTGTATTGAAACCGAGGGGCGTGGGTTCAACCCCGAGAAGGGGCAACTTTTTTTTTCTTTTTAACATTTTTTATTAATCTCTCAGATCCCTAATGGAAGAAAAAAATGCTTAATTTTAATTAAAAAAAATTGTGTAGGTATTTATTTACTAAATAATGCCAAATTTAATAGCAAATATGATACCAGATATTTTCAAAGTTTAATAAAATAAAAACTACACGGTAAAAGTATTTTATATTTTGCAAGACCAACCAATATACATTAAAGAAAATTTAGGCAAACTTTGAAAACAGCCCCTAATTGTTGAAAATTTTAGGGATATTTTAAAAAAGGCTTTTTACACATGGAAATGGTCAAATAAGTGTTAAAAGTGGGTGGAGTAGGATTACATTTTTTTACATTTTAAAAACATTTCGTTTAAAAACAATCATTTGGCTTGTTTAATTTGTTACCTAAATGTCATTATTTGTTTCTGAACAATGAGCAATAGAAAAACATTTTTCATAATGATGATATTATAGATTATTTAGAGTTTCCCCATTTCTGAAAAAAGCCCTTCTAATGGCAAAGTTTTAGTTCAGAAAAATGTCCATAACTCATAAACCACACGGTAAATTTTGTTTAAATTTTGCATACAGGTGACATTTAAGGCATATAACTGTCCTATGTTGTCAATTTAACAGTTCCTTATAGTGCCCATTAGGGGTGTACTACCTTAAACGGACAAGAATGAAAGATCGAGCACTGATGTAAACAAAATACATTCCAGTCTGAAATGTAAGTTTAAATTGTAGAAAACTTGATAAAATAACATTTTTTTTTTTCTTTTTATTTCTTTTGTATCTAAGCGACAGTAGGGTGCGAAATCACACAGCTTTATATGAAAATCGGCAGCAGAAGTAATCTTTGCTTGGAAAAAAAGCAATAAAATTTTTCTTATTTTGTCGTATTAGAATCAAATTCTAACACTCACATGATTTTGTCACTATAGACAAAGAAGGAAAAAACTGGTGTTAAACTGCCAATAAACACCGGTTAGGGACTACTTGTATATGCGCTGTTATGTTTTCACCCTCAATTGTGTAGTTTTCAAAGCATTTTAAAGCAACAATAAAAAGCATTTTTATTTATATTTTCAGTTCGTTTAATTTTTTCTTTTCATACAATATTAAAATAATATCTCATGTACACTAACACCACATATTAGATCCATATCGATTAATAAATATTTTAACAAAACGGCGCCAATCAGTGAGCAGCGTAATGACGTCATCCTAAGTAAACAACTCATTCATAAACAAGCTGACGTTATTTCGTACATACAAGAATGATAAATTGGACACAGATGTAAACACAATACGACGTAAGTTTTTATTGTTGAAAACTGGATAAAATAACATTTTTTTCTTATTATTTCTTTTGTTTGATAATTTCTATATCTTTGCAACAGTAGGGTGCGAAAAACGATCAGCGTTATACGAAAATCGGCACTGGAAGTTATTTCCGCTTGAAAAATAACATTAGTGATTTTCCTTATTTTATCCTGTTAGAGTCGAAATAACATCGGCCGGAGAGGTGTATATCGCCTATTTAACACCAGTTTTGTCGTCCTACGCATCAAAACTCCAAACCAATGTTAAATAGCCGATATACACCTCTCAGGCCGATGTTATTTCTTAAATAATATCGGTCTGAGCGATGTTTATTGGCTATTTAACACCGGTTTTGTTGTTTTGATGCGAAAAAATTAACCACTCAGGCCCACGGCTTTCGTGGTTAATTCCTACACATCAAAACTGAAAACTGGTAATATATTATAAAAACACCGCTGAGACCGATATGTTTCGTAAACAAATCCATGGTATATACTTACAGATATGTCAGGGGAGTGAGCCTGGTTGAAGATATGGTCACCTAACATAATACTGTCTGGTTGATCACACATATGTTTCTCATCAACACTCAAGCTTATCTCCTTTGTTAACTTTAAATGATCTGTAAAAATACATAACAACACATGTTACACTTGGGTCTTATCTCACACTGTCATGGCACACTGGCATTTGTTGTGGCAATTTCACAGCTTTACTGGTGGAGAGAAACTTTCAGGTGTCCATCCCAGCAGAATTTCAATCAGGAGTGGACATCTGTCATTATTATAATCGCCATTTGGGAACAAATGGTTTTATATCAGTGACTTTTACTCCCTAGACACATGTAGTTAATTTATTAATTAGCTAACACTGTAGCCTGAATATATGAGATTTAAGTTTTGTTTTGTTACTGAGGCATATCATCTATTTAACTGTCATTTTAGTCATATCCCAGCAGTCTTCTGTTTAAAAAGAAGTCCTAAATTCTGTAACAGACATATACTTTCTTTGTCTACGGCATTTACCACCAAACAAAAGAGTGCTTTATTCAAAAGATGACAAACCATATTTATAAATGTCCAAATAAACAGTTACATTAATTTCCATTTAATCAAATAGCCTGCAATATTAACTTAAATAGGCACTATAACTTACTATGAGACTTAGATCTCTTTTTTTTTTTTTTTATTATTACTACGGTATTTTTTTGTTTTGGGGTGGGGAGTGAGGGCTGGGATTGTTTAATACACATAGACACTTACTATATTAAGCTCTACTTTGTTTAATGCTAAAATCAATATAATATTACAATGCCCTTCATGAAAACCCTTGAACTCTGGGTGGAGCTACTGACCTACACTAAACTACCAGCTATACAAGTTCTTCACATGAGAAAAATTCAGTTAGGTTGATTTATAAATTAATAATTACAAGTGTTGAGGAATTTAAAGCTAACCAGCCACAAAAGAAATAACATATTTTTATATTTAATGAACTACTGGATTAAAAAAAAAAAGGTCACCATTTGGCAATTTAATACTATTTAAGGACATGATTGGTGACTTTTGTCCAGGGAGGGTCATACTCAAAGAGCCTGAAAGGGTGGATGGACCCTAAATAAACTTAGAACACACACACACTAACCAGCCATGGACACCCTGGATATGTATTATACTAATTAATTATAAAAATAGGATAAAGTAAAAGTAGACTCACCATCAATATCCTCTAGATGCATAGCACGTCTGTATGTAATCCGGAATAAAAACAACTCGAGTACAAATGCTACAACTATATTCATCACCACCTGTCAAAAGAACAATTATTGAAATTATTTTTTTCAAACATATTTTACATATGACCATAGTTTATCCAGGCATATTCGTATTTGATTGTTTGTAGGTCAGGTGCAAATTATTACCAGCACAGAAAATGACGGACCACCAGAGGGACACCAATGTGTGGAATGTCAGTCAGGATCATATTAAAAACAATGCAAAGCACATAATGAATTCTTGCAATCTACTTTAATGATCATGGTATATTATGTAAGATATATCCTGTTTATTCCCTTTTTACTACAGAAACACTGGTAATTTTTAGAGCCCCATTGAACCCAAATAATGCTTTCAAAAACTTTTTCATGTCACTTTATAGTTTCCAAAATTTAACTCATTGGTCATGTACCTGCCTCATCTTTTGCTACTGTTGCTTTTTGGAAAAAAGTACATTTACAGTAATTTTGTACAGAAGTCAAAATACTACTTTGTTTACATTTTGCTACCTTTATGACAAATATTTTCACACTGGACGTTACTTTCTTCATGTGACTATACTGGCATATTTAGGGTCTAACATGCTCTTAAATCAATAATTAAACTTTATAAGTGTCACATTTGCCCTTTTCTATGGACAGAACCTGGCCTTGAGGTTATAAAACTTTTATCAGAATTCTGTCTGAAATGTCAGGATTTTCATTGGTCAATGTACAGTCTGTGACAGTTTCTGACCAATCAAATACCTAAGATCTGGCTCTTTATTGGAACCTAAGGCTTACTTTCTGTTCCAGCAAGTTAAGGGGTAATTATCTTGTCAAATTTTTTTGTTTGATCAGGTTTTACGTCACACTGACACAGTATAGGTCATATGGCGACGTTCCAGCTGTACTGGTGGAGGAAAGACCTCAGGTGGCCTTCCGTGCATTATTTCAGGCACGAACGGGCACCTGAGTAGAACCACCGACGTTTCGTAAGCTAGCTGGATAGCTTCCTCACATGAAAGAATCCAAGTCCCTGTCAGGATTCGAACCCACATTGGTGAGGGGCAAGTGGTTTGAAGTCAACGACCTTAACCACTCAGCCACGGACGCCCCATCTTATCAAATGGTAAGATATGCTGTATTATAACTTATTGTAATATACCTTACCATCATGACTATATAAAAACACATGAAGTACAATCGTGACCATTCACTGACATGGTGGGCATATCCTTCCATTATAATATACCAGTTGTTTACTACAGTTAGCTCAAATAATGTCACTAAAAATACAAGAAAATTATTATGAGCCGCGCCATGACAAAACCAACATTGTCCGTTTGCGACCAGCATGGATCCAGACCAGACTGAGCATCCTCGCAGTCTGATCAGGATCCATGCTGTTCGCTATCAGTTTCTTTAGTTGTTATAGGGTTGGTAAGCGAACAGCATGGATCATGATCAGACTGCGCGGATGCGCAGGCTGGTCTGGATCCATGCTGGTCGCAAACCCACTATGTTGATTTTGTCGAGACACGGCTCATATAAATTAACATAACTTCAGCATTTTTATTCTTCTGTTTGTAATCTTATATATCCATTCCCACTGAGCTTGAGTTATACTGCAAATACTATGAATCTTTAATAGCAAATACATGTACATGTATATATATTATACTGCAAAATTCCTTACAGGAAAAATCCATCAAAAATTGACAGCAGCTGTGTATATATAAATAACAAAAACATGATTATCCAATGAAAAGTGATGTTACAAACATGCAATGTCATAAGGTCTTTATAGAACTGAAATAATTATTAAGTGAGTAAAAAAAAAACAACCTTTCATCAACTTCAGGAAATCAGAAACTATACAAGCAAAATACACACATGAAATATTTGCCAATGCTTACCTCCTGATATAAAGATATTGTGGAAGTTATTGAGGTAATAATAACCCTGAGTCACATTGCTTTTTGCATAGTAAGATTCCACAGTTGTGTTTCTGAAGAAAAAAAAGCATGAACATAAAACCATTTAATACCACTACCAACAATGTAAATATTCAAATGAGCCAAGCCATGACAAAACCAACATAATGGGTTTGCGACCAGCATGAATCTAGACCAGCTTGCGCATCCGCGCAGTCTGATCAGGATCCATGCTGTTCGCTAACCAAGGTATAACAAGTGGAGAAACTGATAGCGAACAGCATGGATTCTGATAAGACTGCTCGGATGCGCATGCTGGTCTGGATCCATGCTGGTCGCAAACGCATTATGTTGATTTTGTTTCATTTTAACACATTCATTATACATATACTCTCAGACCTCAGTACTTCTTTATGGGGCCTTTTGGTCACAACCCAGGTATTGTGGGTAAAATTTAACTAAACTAATGGCATTGTTTAGTCAACACAAATATACACTGTGATAGTTCAGGAAATGAACTCTTTGGAAGTGAATAAGTTGAAAGTACTTCCTTATTTCTAAGAAATCTAGTTATTGCTTAGTACTGGATTGTTCCGGGAATATATTCTGCTTCAACAAACTTACAGCTTCCAACACAAAGTAAATTAATTTCTGTGTAAACTAAATCATATAGTTGGAAATGGTTATTTGTAACCTAGTGATGGCTAAGTGTAAGAATGTCAGCCTCCATTTTATGAAGTTGCTGATTAATTCCCTTACCAAGCAGCACTTTAAAGTAGAGCTTAGCCCCCTGTTACAAGAAGACATCATCATTTTAATCACTGAAAACTGTTGAGAGAGACACCTTACCTCAATCACTATCTCACTCACTTATCACAATCACTATCTCACTCACTAATCTCAATCACTATCTCAATCACTATCTCACTCACTTACCTCACTCACTATCTCACTCACATCAATCACTGTCTCACTCACCTACCTCAATCACTATCTCACTCACCTCAATCACAATCTCACTCAATTACCTCAATCACTATTTCACTCACTTACATCAATCACTATCTCACTCACTTACCTCAATCACTATCTCACTCACCTCAATCACTGTCTCACTCACTTACCTCAATCACTATCTCACTCACTCACTTTCTCACTCACTAACATCAATCACTTACCTCAATCACTATCTCACTCACTAACCTCAATCACTATCTCACTCACCTCAATCACTATCTCACTCACTTACCTCACTCACTATCTCACACTCTTACATCAATCACTATCTCACTCACCTCAATCACTATCTCACTCACTTACCTCACTCACTATCTATCTCACTCACTTACCTCAATCACTATCTCACTCACTTACCTCAATCACTATCTCGCTCACCTCAATCACTATCTCACTCACTTACCTCAATCACTATTCACTCATCTTGACACACCTAAATACCTCACCCACTTTCTCACATTACATAACTCATCTTACCTTTAAAAATCACTATCTCACCCCACTTATCCCGTACCTCAATCACAAACTCACTTTACCTCACTCACTTTTTACGTTACTGTGATTACTATCTGATTCATTTTACCTCACTCACCCCTTACCTTACTCAATATCTCACACATCTTACCTCACAGACACCCTACTTCATTCAATATCTCACTCATCTTATCTCACTTCACTATCTCACCTACCTGATCTCAATAACTCTATGGTAACTGATGGATAAAAACTTACTTGCAACAATTAGTAAGATCAGTATTCAGATAAACTTCCATAGCAATAATGGCAAAGAAATAATACACCAATATTATCACAATGACCAATCTGAAAGAAAATGTAGTTCATTTTGAGGAATGTGTATCAAGTAACTCAAAAGGTTATTATAGCATCTACTTTTATAACTGCATGTATTCTTACAAGCATACATTGGTAAAATCACTGACCTCCTGGGAATATAACTTGACAGATTCTCACATTATAGAAAACAAAGTCTTTGGTTACAATCATTGCTATAGTTAACAGGGTCTATCTTTCATACTGATGCATTTAATCAGTTCAAAGTATTTCAGTTGTCAATTGTTTGACAATTACCTCAACAAAACATCCATGATTCTATACCAATACTAACACCTTTTCCCCCGAAGTAATTTCCAATTTTCCTATATCAATTATTTGGAGCAGTATTGGTTAACTTATACTATAGGATTAAAAAACCATAACTGACTATGAAACTTGTGCCTTGCAGAGGATATAAGTTCATGCATCTAAGATCTGCACATTGTCACCTTAGTGCAATAACAGGTAAAGTCCTTCTAAATTTAATAGGAGTGAACCAGTTATTGCACTAAGGTGATAAAGTATCCTCCAAGTCTCCTTACTGAGCTAATGAAACTTGCAAATACAGAATGACTTGAACATCAAAGTCTTATAACATCAACAATATGGTAAAAACTATGTAACAAGTGATTATTTATCTATGAAATATCGTAATACATTCATGATGATAATGAGATACAAACCCTGATAATCTGTTCATCAACATGAATAATGTACCAAGCACGTCTCTATACCTTTTCTTTATCTTAAATAATCTAAAAAAATAAGAATACAAAGTTTTAAAAAACAATCCATTTTATCTACAATCAATTACATCATTGGTGTTTCATAACATTAAAATAATATGCAAAAGAAGAGAAAAAAGTTTAGCACTAGCAATATCGTACCTTAGTTTGTTTTATTTGTTTGTCTGGGTTTTATTAATGCCAATTTCTACATAAAAAAATTGGTCAAATCTTAGTGGTTAGTCTACCTACTTATTTTGCTTGAAAACTAAGTTTGTAATTACTTTTTCTCCACAAGTGACAGATTACTAATTCAATGTAATCTCTGAATCAGTCATTACAAACAAATGACCATTAGACTTGATGTCAAAGATTTATTGTCATAGCGAAATTTTGCCTTACCAGAGAATCAAACCAATGACCTCTGAATTGCAAATCAGTTATTTATTCTCTACTGAGCTAAGTGGGCTGTATGGCATGGCAGCCAGATCTGTCACAAGAAAGAGACAGAATTCTACAGCTCTGAATTAGGACAGTTCTTACCTCAGTAATCTAAACGGTCGTAGCACAGTTACATAATAGAAGCTGTCATAATATGCTTCCCCTAACACACCTGCCAGACTGAGAATTGTCACCAGAAAATCAAACCTGAAACCATTAATCATACCTAAGTCATAATGTAGTAAAAGGAAATTTGCTTTGTTGGAAGTGATTTTTTTATGTTGGAAGTGATTTTTTTATGATAGAAGTTAAATAAAACATGGACAAAAGTTTTGAAAAGTCCCTATTCAAATTTTAAAATTCCCCTAAATGAGAAGATTTACCCAAACCAGCTAAACATTTTGGGCCTATCTTGTTTTTTTATGAAAAACACTATTAAAATGTACATTTATGTGTTAAATTGTTTCCAAGATTGTAAGGTGAAGGTCTTAAAGAAGCATGCCTCCAGATTCATGCTAATGTTATGAAAAAATTTAAAATGTATTAAAACATTAAAATATTGTCAAGTGAACAAAGAAAGTAATTTACACATTGCAAACAGTACTTACTATGAAAATAACTAAAATGGGTCACAATATGCAAAAATTGCCCCACACAGTAGAAATATGGTGATAAATACTGCAAAAGCAGTTGTTATGTGCATATTAAATGTGAACTATTTCTTGAGTGGTGAATATGTTTACTTTTCTTAAAATCTTATTACATTTTTCCTAAGGTTGATTTTCTTGAAATATTTTGGCTCATCTGGCGGTATGCAGCTCTAAGTTTAAGTTCAAGACAATGCAAGATATTTTCTGGTGCATTAGGCATCTTTTTTATAACATATAAAACTGAATATATACATGTTTTAGCAACTTTTCAAACCTGCCAAATATACCTGTATATTAACCTAACATTCATAATACCATATTGCACATATCTACCAAAATTGTCTTAAATAATTGTATCAGTCAAAGAAATCAGTTCTTTGGTTCAGTGGTTTATGTGAGTTTGAACACCAGAGAGCACAAGTTTGAACTACACTTTTCACATGCATTTTGTTACTCTAAAAATGTTAATAAGGGCCTTCACAAATTATGAATATTATATCAACCTTTCAACTTCATGAAAACAATGCAAATAATTCATACTTACAAGTCCCAACCATTTGTAAAATATTCCAGTGGGCCTTTTCCCAATACTTTTATCATTGCTTCCACACAATAAACTGAAGAAAATAGAAACAATGAAGGAAATAATTTCATACAAGAAACTTTTCAACTGTTTTCCATTCTAATTGAAATCTTCTACATTGTACTTATCATGCATCATCAATATTTCAATGATTCCATAAGTCTAACATCTTGATAGCCTTTTTAACTTATACATTATAATCCTAACATTTTATTTGATTTTATTAAAGTAGCCACTAAAATTACTGTGGTGTTCAAATCCTACCAGGGTGTTTAATTGATGAACTTATCCAGAAAGCCTAACAGTAGGTTGGTGAATCTACTCAGGTGCCACCTTGTATCTAAATTAATTCACAGAGGGGAACCAGTAAGACTTGATAATCCCAATATAGTTCTGCGTTGTTTTTGACTACCCTTTTACTCAATGTGAACAAAGATAATAATAATAATTTAGACTTTATTTAAAGAAGCAACATAGTTAGGTATGCCCAGTCTTTCCTTTTGCACCGCTATCAAATATACAGTAAGATGAAGCAAGTGCTATGTTTGAGTGAACACAATGCCCCTGTGACGACCTTGAGCTTTTGGTCAATGACAAAAACCATTATCTCTGATTTATAGATTCCAGGGGCATAAAAAACATTTCATGAATCTAGTAAAATATACAAAACGGTGTGAAAGACAGTTGATATGAATTCAATGACACTGAACAAAGGTGGTCACATAATGATGTATAAATATCAATAATAAATGTAAGTGTTACTTACTGCACACAAAAGCTATTGATGTATAGGAGAGATTGTAAGTATGGGAGCTTACAGACATCCCCTTCATTGAGAACTGTATTGTCTCTATCAGGATTGATACAAAGTTGGCTGTTATTATCAAATCTACAATAAATAAATAATATTATAACAAAAACTTTGTCATACAATTATACAGGAGGATATACATGTACTATATATAGGCCCCATTTTCACAAAATAGTAAGAATTAGGATTAACTGATTCAAAATTTGAGTACAGCTCCCATTTGTTATCCTAATTTCATTTGAATCCAAACTGATGTAACTATCCTTAGAATTAACTGATTTTAACTTTGTGTACAGATCCCAATTTTGTTTTCCAATGATTCTTATTTCATTTGATGTAAACTATTCTGATTTTTGTTTACAATGACCTTAGGTTTTTGTTTACACTCATGTTTACATTGAACCTGACTTTTGTTTACCTTGACCCCAAACACTTTTGCACTACTCTAATTTTGTTTTGAAATGCAACTCAGATTTCTTATTTTACATTGACCCATATTTCATTTACATTGACCCTAATGTTACCTACAATGGCTCTTTCAGTTCCATTGGCTTTAATTTCATCTTCATAGACTCTTATAGATTTTCCTTTTCATTGTCTCTAATTCAGTTACATTGACCCAGATTTGGTTTTTACATTGATCCTGAATTTTTACATTGATCCTGATTTTGTTACATTCTCCCAGATTTATTTACATTGACCCAGACTTTGTTACAATGACCCTGATTTTGTTTAAATTGACCCTAATTTTACTTACATTGAAAATGATTTTATTTACATTGACCCTGATTGTTTGCATTGATCATGATTTCGTTATGTTGACCCTATTTTTTTCTTAATTAAATTAAATGCTAAATTTCAGAAATAACAGGACTAAATAAAGAAACAATATTTGATTACACATTTCTTAAGAAGAGCTGCATGACAAAAAGCATCTACCTTTAAAAAGTTTAATTAAAATGAACTATGATACATATATAAAGATATTTTAACTACTTGCATACTTACAAATCACCCTATCAAACCATTTCCATGTGGCAAACCAGTATAATGCTGAAAATAAAACACACACAAAATAACATGTATAAATTTCACTTAATCTTTATAGGCCATCCAACTCACCTATATTTTTGATTTTATAATTTTCAATTAGTCTTAAGTCATGCTTACATTAATAATTTAACATGAAATGAACCTTACATACCTTTTATAACCCTGATGATTACTCATGAGAGTCGAATCGTCACTTATATGTTACTGTAAATCTTTTGAATCATCAAACAGTAATCATATATAAAATCAAAATACTGTTTAAAACAACTCTTTGAATAACTTTCAATTTTCTGGGCATCATTTACAAAAGAATACCTTATATTTTCTTTTTTTTAACATGTCTTGCAAAAACTGTAACTGAAACTGCACCAAACTGTATCTTTTAATACATTTTGGCTGAGTAATACAATATTGACCTTTGACATAGATGAGTCAACTATGGGACTGTCCAATCAGAAAGGCTGTTATATCCAATATCTAAAAGATTTTAAAAGCAAACAAATGCATTGTTCAAATATGATGATTTTGAACTAACATTCCCAGTCTTTTATATTTGATTACTGTTTAATAACTTAAAAAATTGCAGTAACATAAATTGCTATATACATATTTATTTTAATATATTTCTAGATAAAACAGTATTTAAACTGTAAAATTGTTACTGTGTGCTTACAGAAATTATATCTTTGAAATATATACCTTTAAATATTTTGTTACACGGATGTCTGAAGTTAGATGACCAAAGTTCCTCCTCTACAGACGTAGACTGCAATAAAATATAGAACTACAACATGTATATAAGACTTATATATATATCCAATACTGTGAACAATAGAACCTGATCAATTTGCTCTTTAACATAAGTTACAAACTACAACCATTTAAACTGTATGATTTTAGAAACTGTCATAGAAATAGTTCAGCCAGTGTAAGAAAAATCTGTGGAAAAAGAATATTAGTAGCAAAATGTTACCTAGTAACATTACAAAATATTGCCTGTATAAAGCTAAAGCATGACTTTATATGAGAGAAGTGAAGTTCTATGCATCAATATATTTCACAAAGGTTCAAGGAAAACTCTTTTATATAAAGCTTGGCAATGACCCCTGAAATTATTATTTTACAAATATTCAAAGATTTTTTTCTATTTTCAGCTCAGGTGGCCACAGGGAGTATAGTTCTGTTTTGATGAGTTCCTGATGATAAAAACACATTATAAATACAATTAAATAATAATAATCATCACCGACAATGGATCATTCAAAGATGTCAAAGGTCAGTGAACCAGATCAAGATCAATAAATTCAGAAAGGGAGATATGAACTACAGATACCTGATAACAAAATGTTGGATACCATAAAATCAAACTATCCTTAGTAAAACTTTCCTCTAAACCCTCAATTCTGCCACTATAACTTTACTTTTAATCAGCTCAGGGACTGAAAGTGATTCAGTTTGCAAGCAGTATGAAGCCAGGCCAACCTTCATACACATCTGTGCAGCTCAATGATGGTATCCCTTATACTTTGAATGGACTGTTCCAAATTATAAGTTTGGCAAATCCATTACTCAGCAGGTTTAAAACAGACCGAAAAAAAGAACATTTGATATTTTGCTATTTACCTTCCATTTGAGATCACAGAAATCGTAAATCTCATAAAACTCCTCTAAACTCAGTTTACCATTCTTTTTTGTGTTCAATGCTTTAAACATCAAATATCCATCTTTTCTACCTGTAAATTAATAATATTTACACACTATGAATAAAATATGACAAGAAAAATACAATATTCAAAATTTGGCACTGAGAATTTAAAAATCAATTTATCTATTTAAATTTTTTTTGGACACACCAAGAGTGTTAAGGTCTTATTGTGACTATTGGGTTCAGGCCCTGAGTTCACTAAGAATAGATCAGGATCAGGATTAAGTGATCCTGATTTTATTTTCGTTGTTTTATGTTACTAAAATTAATTGTGTTTTCCTTGAATTAAATGGTATATATTCAAAATGTAATAAATTGCTGATTTGCAAAGAAATCAAATTATTTGGGGATGAAATCAACAAATAACAAAACAAATACAAAAATATTCTGATCAAAATCAGGAACAATTTTAGGATCAGGATCAATATTTGGATCAACTGTAAAATGCCCGTATCTTGCAAAAATAACAACAATTTATACTAAAATTTCATAAACTTGCTATTGCAAGTCCAGTTTTATCAAATTAATATTAGATTTTAATCTATGAGCATGAACATTGAAGAATATTAAAGTTTTTAGATTTGATCCTGATCCTTAAATCTTTGTGAACACGGGCCCAGGAGTTTAGAGAAAGACCTTGTTGCTCCTTCTTGCATTATTTCAGGCACAATCAGCTACTTACATAGAACTAATGACATTCTGTAACCTAGCTAGATAGCTTACTTACATGAAATAATTAGCTATTTATAACATAAACTTACTCAGGTCTGGTCTAAAATATTCCAAAATTCCAAGAAATGCCCTCAATGAGATTAACTTTTGATCCTGTAATATGTAAAATAGAAAAATGTTAATTGAAGCTTTCTCCAACATGTGAACACTGCATTAAACCCTACATTTTCATTTCGTGGGTTGGAGTTTTTTTTAAGATTTTCTATTTTTAGTTAAAGCTACCTACAGTTTTAAATTTTCTGGTGAAAAAACAATTCTGTGTAGTTTCAAATTCAACATTTCAGTAATTTTATCTTGGAAAAGTGCATCGTATCATTGTAAACAGAGTCCCTAGATCTATTTATAACGCATCAGTGACATTTGTTTATATTTTTGTTTGTTTGTTTCATTTTATGCCTTTTTCCAACAGTATTTCAGTCATATAAGCAGGTAGATTCCTAACCATCGTTCCTGGAGAGTAACACCAGTACAAGACTACCTTCCTCCGTGCTAAACTGCCAAAGCATCTCCTGGGGATCGATCCCAAGCCAGAGAGATAACTGGATTAGAAGTCATCGACTCTAACCCCTCCCTCGACCGCAGAGGCGTGTAAACATTTGTTTATCAAAAGCTTTAAACATTGTTAGGATCATACAGTGACTTTCTACTTTTTCTGGGGGGGAGCAGACTCAAGATGCCTTTTATAACAAGCAAATTCGTTGAATTTATATCCCCCACCGAGTACTGGTTATTATTAACACAACAACTGAAGACATAAGGCTTTATTTATAAATTTATCATGGCATTAACAGTAATATTCTTTGAACTTGATAAATATTCAGGGCAATAACAGAGCCATAACTTTGTGTTAAATAGTAAAATCTGGAAATGCCAATGAGATGTATGCATACTACATAACTAATCAAGGGCCATAAATATCTGACCGGGAACAAGGCTACTATATGCACATCTCCTCTTAGTGTCCCATAAAGTTTCATTGAATTCCAGCCAGTAGAAGCAGAGAAGTAGCGAGGAAACAAATATTTTTCCATATGGATACTGCATAACTAATCAAGGGCCATAACTCTGAGTTAAAGTGTCTGACCAGAACAAACCGACGATATGCGCATCTCCTCTTGGTATTGAAGGTTCCCATAAAGTTTCGTTGAATTCCAGCCAGTAGTTGCAGAGAAGTAGCGCGGAAACGATTTTTACTCCATATGCATACTGCATAACTAATCAAGGGCCATAACTCTGAGTTAAAGTGTCTGACCGGAACAAGCCGATGATATGCGCATCTCCTCTTGGTATTGAAGGTTCCCATAAAGTTTCGTTGAATTCCAGCCAGTAGTTGCAGAGAGGTAGTGCGGAAACGATTTTTACTCCATATGCATACTGCATAACTAATCAAGGGCCATAACTCTGAGTTAAAGTGTCTGACCGGAACAAGCCGATGATATGCGCATCTCCTCTTGGTATTGAAGGTTCCCATAAAGTTTTGTTGAATTCCAGCCAGTAGTTGCAGAGAAGTAGTGCGGAAACGATTATTACTCCATATGCATATTGAATAACTAATCAAGGGCCATAACTCTTAAAGTGTCTGACCGGAACAAGCCGACAATATGCGCATCTCCTCTTTGTATTGATGATTCCCATAAAGTTTCTTTGCATTCCAGCCAGTAGTTGCAGAGAACTACTCCGGAAACGATTTTTACTCTATATACATACTACATAACTAATCAAGGGCCATAATTCTGAGTTACAGGGTCGGACCGGAACAAGCCGACGATATGCGCATCTCCTCTTGATATTGATGATTCCCATAAAGTTTCGTTGAATTCCAGCCAGTAGTTGCAGAGAAGTAGTGCGGAAACAATTTTTACTCTAAATACATACTACATAACTAATCAAGGGCCATAACTCTTGAGTTAAAGGGTCGGACCGGAACAAGCCGATGATATGCACATCTCCTCTTGATATTGATAATTCCCATAAAGTTTTGTTGAATTCCAGCCAGTAGTTGCAGAGAACTACTCCGGAAACGAAATTCGGACGGACGGATGGACGGACGGATAACGCCAAAACTATATCCCCCTATAACTATAACAATGAATGGCCTTTCCCTAACTTACTAGTTTAAAATAAGGAAGGAGAGCATTTTAACTTCTAGATTGACATACCTTTTTAGTGGTCAGTAATTTAAAGGCCAGTCTGCAACCTTCTCTTTTATGGAAGAAAAGTTTACGCAACTTTTTCTTTTCAAACCCTGAGAATGTGTCATACACTACAGCCAAAAACTATAAAATAAGAAACATAGAACATATATGACCAGAAATGTTGCATATGAAGCATGTTGTAAGCTTTATAACATTTATTCTGTAAAACCGGTTTCATAAAATCTGTGTTTTAATAGTGAACATTTCTTTTCATCATTAATAATTAGAAATTATATAATTTTCTACATTTTTGCTTTTTAACTTGGTTCTCATTAGCACTGTTAAATTGATATGGCGACATGGACCTGGACATCTTTTCTTATGAAAGGATCAAGTTCTTTGGTGTTGATGTTTGATTCACAAAGTTAGGAGTAAAGGATTTCAAAGTCAGTGACCCTAACCACTCCGTCATAGTCACCCCACTGTATCATTTAATGAATTTTTATTCTTTAGAAAAATTAGTATAACAAGAATTTTTTTTTTTTTTTTTCTTCAAACTTTAAACATTCATATGATTTTGTTAAAACTATGCATTTAACATCTTATATTGTTAGAACTATGCAAGAATAGTGTCATTCTGCTTGAGTTCATGTAGATAATTCTAAGATTTAAATTGACCCCTTAATGCATATGTTTTTTCATATTTTAGATAACTCTTTTGTATATAAAAAAAATTCAATCTGGAATTACAGGCAAATCATTATAACAAGGTATATATACTATAATAATTTTAACAAAGACATTAGTCATTATTCATGACTGTTCAGAAGGCATATTATTGTTGTTGTTTTTTTCCTTTCCAGTAAATGGATGTAATATTCTCTCTAGCCATCTTTGAGTTCTGTATAAGTAATAGATATATATCCTAATAAATGTCTTTTATAATGACTAAGAATTGTATATGATTATAATTTATTGTATGTACTTGTGAATTTGTAACAAGGTCTCAGAACATGTTAAATTTTCTATATACTCAGAAAAGGTGATATTGAATATTCAAACGAACTTAGACTTAGACTGTAACAATTTCAGAGAATAGTTTGTTTATAAGAAAATTAATGTTCATTTTTGATTTTACGAGCTCAAAAAAAAAACATTGCTATATTCATTTATAGTAAAATAGAGAATAGGTCAAATGTTAACTGTAAATTATAAAGAAGTATCTGAAAATGTCTAATGTTTGTTCATATACATTTAGAAAATACTATAAGTATGTAATGTCCTTGTGAATTTATATGCATTTATATAATATTGTATGTCTTTGTAAAATTCAAGATATGTTATAATGTTTGTATGTGAAATCAGAAAATAAAGTTACAAATTAAAAAAAAAAAGAATATCTTAGAAAATACATACCAAATTCATAACAAAGTATAATTCTATAGCAAGGTATACTATAAAGAAAAGTGCTGCAAATCTACTGTCATTATAAGCTGGTAACATCACGTCAGGATAACTGAAAATACGTGCAATTATTTATACAACAATAACTGAAAATACATGCCATTATTTAAAAAGCAATGATTATAAATTGTTGAAAAATTTTAGACACTACCTAAAACTTGTTGGCTGCTCTAACTTATGACTCAATACTTTAGTGTAACAAACTTAACCTACTTTGAAATCTATTTAGTCCATTGACAAAATGAAAATACATGTATATCATAAGAAGTTAATCTTTGAGATTGGTTATACGGCAAGGATTATGCCAGTAAACAATGTACACATGAAGATCTATCACTGGCAATAGTGTTTGTTAAGACCCCAACTATCTTTGCTAGCTCCCATAGACATTTTTCCCTATTTCAAATTAAGAATAACCTTGAGGTTTTGGGGAAACTGGGTACCATAATTCTGTCAAAATGCATGATAGAGTTATGGCCCTTCACCAGTGACCTCTTATTATGTTCTCAAATAAATGAAAAAATGTTTGGGAGATAAAAACTTGCACACAAAAAACATTATCATAGTGCAACGGTGACACAGACGCCTGGGTGAGTACAACAGCACTCCTTATTTTTCTAGATACATTTAATAATACATACAGAAATCAATTAGCTTATTTAAATAACAGTGTGTAAACTGTTACACCAAATATGTTTTATCTAGGGATAATATACAGTATAATTTACTTAATGTGTTTAAAAAACAACATGTGATAATGATCTATAGCTAATATACAGTATAATTTACTTAATGTGTTTAAAAAACAACATGTGATAATGATCTATAGCAACATAGAAAATACTTACTTTGCAGTAGTCAGCAATATAAATAAACTTATAAAACTGTCCTTTAACGTTGCAAAATACTGAAAAATAAAACAATTCCCTTATGATAAAAGTCTAAAATCAAAAATTATAAAAACAACAACAACAAATATCCCAAACTAATGCAAAGAAAACTAAGGAAAAAAACAGCTAATCAATTAATTGCATCCATATGCTTCCAAATACCCTCAAAGATAAATCCCTAATTTTTACAAAATGTTTTTCTTGAGATTTTTTTTTTAAATTGTTGCAAAGGTGATTGTATTTTCAGGTTTTGATTTTAGTGCTTGAAACAAGAGCCTGGAAATGTAGGAAATACCAAAAAGGAAAGATTTCATTCAAAATACATAGCATAATAAGAACTTTTGGAAAGTGACCATCATTTATAATCACACAGACATGTGTTAAGCTTCAAATGCCCATTTTCTGTAGTTTAAAGATTGATCTTTCATAAAAAACTTAAATCTGGATTTTTCTGAGTTCACAAAGGGCCATACATCAGTCAAAACCCAAGCCAGAATTTTAGGCCTTGGACTTGACCTTCAATTTTGATCCTAACAGAAACATATCAATTATCAAATGAGTACCTTCAGTAGTTCTGAAGCGAAACTATAACCAGGTATTTCCTAAATTCAAGAAGAACAATGAATCAGACACACACCATGTCAGAGTTGTGGGCCTTGGAATGTGATTTCAAAGACTGTGTGTAATTATAAGTGAATACTTTTACTGTTGAAGATTGATCTTGTATATAAAACTTTAACCAAAACTTTTCTATGTAAAAAAGGGGCAATCATTCAGTCAAAATGAATGCTAGAGTTATTGACCTTAGATAGTGACATTCAATTATAATGTCACAGTCAATGTGTTAACTTAAAAGCAAATATTTTTACTAGTTGATGAGATATGAAGTTGTACACCAAAGTGTTAAACAATGCACAGGTGAATATGATATTTTCACTATATGGTGATGTTCTAGCTTTACTGGTGGAGGAAGACCTCAGGTGCCCTTCAATGTATTATTTCAGGAACGAACAGGCACCTGAGTAGAACCACTGACATTCCGTAAGCTAGCTGGATAGCTTAAAGAAATCAAAGTCTCTGTCACAGCGATGAGGAGTTTTTAATAGGTGGAGAAGGGGCTGAATAGGGGCATGGTTACAACTGGATGGTTCATTATAACAATCTTCAAAACCCCAATAAAATGTAATTTAGCATCATTTACTATTTGTCAAACTTATATCTTGAAATGCATTGGTTTTTGATGCCTATATTAAAATTTCATTTTTTATTCTTTAAAATCTTATATTTGTTTTACAATTTCAAAACAATGCAACTCCTAACATCTTTAGTTTGTAGTAAGTTTAATTTAGGTTAATTATGTAGTAAGCTAAGATAAATTTTTGAATCTTCCTGGAATCAACCAGTATTAAGCAATGAGAGTAAAGTTTCTTGCTCAAGGAAACAACGGCTTACCCCTGACAGGGGCCTGAGCCCAGTCAGCCCAAACAGCCAGCAATACTTAGACTACTAGCCCAACATGTTAAACCACTCAGCCATGCCGCCACTCATCTTTACTGTCTATGTTATACATGTAAGTATGGGATCAAAGGTGGTAATATTTATATAAAATAACTTACAGGATTATTTGGCACAGTGGAGAATAAATAATATCCTGTAAAAGAAATAAATAAAACATGTTCTAAACAACTCTACAGCTAATCTATGTATGTTTGATACTAGCGGTCAGACTGTAAGACAGGGTGTAAAATACTTCATGCATCAGTATATACATAAAGGTTTGTACAGTTCACATTTACCACAATATAGGGGTATGGAAATACTTATTTCGATAACATAATTAACAAATTAAGACCTAAACATCTACATGACTGAAGAATTACATCACTTATGTGTGCCTAAATAGTTTTTTTGTTTTTTTTGACTTGGTTTTTATTCACGTCAAAGCTGAAAAGTCATATAGCAACTTTTTAGCTTTACTGTTGGGAGGACAACTTTGAGTGCCCGTTAAAAGCACAAGGAGGCACCAGTGCAGAATAAAAGACCTTCCTTAAGCTATAGTTTGATAGGTGCTTCACATGAAACAGTGTGAAGTCTTGAGTGAAATTAAAGCCCAGAGGGATATGTGAAGTGCAAGTAGTTCAATGTCATCAACCACTCTGCCATGGATGCCCTACTAGCAATATATATTTTGTTTTAATGACTATACAAATGTCACCCTGATATGCATTTATACATTTATATTTGAAACTATTTTCTTTTTTTAAATTGCCTTCAACTTTATTTTTCCAGTCACATAATAATGAAACACTGTTGGAATGAATGTTAGTACTAGAAGACAAAGAGACCAACCATATGCTGCTTTATCAAGTACAGTTTTGGTGAATACCCTGTATTTATTTATTATCCAAATCAAGTAGTTTTGTGTAACTGCTGAATCAGGTACAGTTTTGAGTGTATCCCCAGTGCAGACTTAGTAAGTCGTAACATATTCTAAAGCTAGTCACAAAAACAAGTTTTATTTTCATAATCTTTGATATCACATATGACCAAGTGAACAAATTCAGATATACAAGACACACACTTTACCATTCTTCTCAATAAAACAGTGACTTACTGTGAATAACATGAATATGACACAACAATTATATTAAATGAACTTATACTTACCTAAAATAGAAAATATCAGCATTATGAACATGAGTAGAACTAACATGTCAAAAATAGGGGGGAGGGACTGCAATGTTTGTCGTGCTATTCTGAAAAAACAAATGAAGAAAAACTTTTTACTATTAAAATGAGCAACAGAGCGCTGTTTAATTTACACATTATTGTCTTAAAAATGTTATTTGAAACATCAAATGTAAACAGGTATCAGTTCATTATTTAATGTAAACAGGTATCAATTCATTATTTTAGTATACACAAACAAAATACATATAATTAAAGTACAATTTAAGTAAAATATTTACATCTAACATGAAAAGTTATCAACTCAAAGGTCAACAGTTCATCAAGGATATAAATTTAATTTTTAATTTATAGTTTCACTAACTCCACAACTTTTGAAAATTCTGTAAGGTATGTCAATAAAGACTTTAACTTTTTAAACAGCAGTGGTGATCACTTTGGGCCTTTCCCACTAATAAAGAGCCAGACCAGCCCGCACTTGTATTCATTCTGACTTAGTTCTATATTGTATCAGTATGTTACTCACTTAAAGTTGTTGTTTTTTTTTACTAATGTCCCTAAACAAAGCAGTTGACAATTAGTTTCAAAATATCCTGAACATTAAATCAGCCATTTCCAAAATTCCTAATGCATCTCTTGTCTATTAAAAGAATAAAGTACAGGGATTTTTTTTTGCTTGTTTTATAGCCGATATTCGGTCATATTCCCAATTGAAAATAGAATATTATTTTCCCAATCCACAGGAAAAAATTCCCAATTAAAAATTACAAAATAAAAATGTTGAGTAAAAAAACTCTAAAATCTTTGAAAATAACGACTTCTTCACTGTTATAGTGCTTAAATTTTTGAAGATGCCATCCTAGACAGTGTTGTTTGCATTCATTTAATCACTGCAAATTTTCAATCATGCATTTTTTCCCAATTTTTAACAAAATATCGCTGAAATTCCCAGTTCCATGGGTATGGGTCAAGTTCACAAAATCCTGGGAAAAAACCCTAAAGTAATCCAGTTCGGGGGGTGGGGGGGGGGTTGCTAGGGAACCCAATGATTAGCCTTTGTCACCAGTATAGAGCCAGACTTGCCTTCACATCTGTTGTACAGTCTGTGGTTTAATGGACTGTTCAACATTCTGTTGGTAACTAAAGTTTTTTTATATTTTGATATTGAAATCCCTTTCAGTTTGAATGGACTGTTCGAAATTAAAAACCAGGAAAATCCATAACATCAAAGATTGAGGGTTAAATGTTAAAATCTGATTCAAATATTCAATATTATTCAAACACTTGTTTCAATAAATAATACATAAAGAAAAATACTAATCAAAATGTACAATTATTACAAATGAAAAGCCTTACCTTCTAACACTCCTGCAATAATGGGAATTCAGTAGAAATATTGGTCGCAATGCCCGTGTAACACGAAAATGATTGGTCTGTCTAATCAATACAACAACAGCTTCTGTCAACATAATACACAACATACACGTCTGAAAAAACAACACACTTTGATTTTATCATTTAAAAAAAACAACTTTTCTTCATTTGTAAAAGAATGTGTAACCACCTAAAAAAATTTAAATGTCCATATAACATACATTATATAAAATTGCAAAGACATAACACATGTAATTGGCAATTTTATACAGTAAAGTATATCATGTACATTTTTATATGAATGACACTTAAATTACATTGAAAAGTACATACATATTTTATATCATTCAGTGAATTATTGAATTAAAAATTTTGAACTCCAAATTTACAGGTCACCTTTAGGCATATAATAATCTTTAAGGACAAGGTTGGGGACATCTCAGTGCCTGAAAAGGCGGGTGGACACACATTAAAAAGTACTGTAATGCCTAACCTGCTGCAACCAGAAGTGATTAGCATTTGTCACCAGCATAGTCACGCCTGTCTGTCTTCACAACTGTACAGTCTGACGTTGCTCTATACTAGTGGCAGCTCATTTTTTGCATTTTGATACTGAAATCTTTTGAAACTTAAACTTTAAATGAACTGTTTCCAATTCAAAGCAGCATAAATTCATTACACAAAAGTCGCAGGAATAAATCAAACAAGTGATAGGAAAATATCACAAAACAAGGCTTTCCATTAAAACAAGACACTTGTTTACAATCATTCTGTGAAAATTAGCTTAAAAATGTTAAAATCCTATGAGAAAAATGTTTGATTTTTTATGTTTTTGGCGTTTTTTTTGTGTGCACAGAATGACTCACCTGCTGCCAACATTCATTTAACCATGTTTACAAGACCTGTCAGTAGAACAGCATGCTTGACTATTCTCAGTGCTAGAGAGTAAAGCAAGAGCCTGTATAATGTAATATTTTCTTAGTGAAAAAAGGGACATAATTCTGTCAAAATCCAGAGTTATGGGCCTCAGACAGTGATCTCCTATTATGCTCTAAAGTAAGTGTGTAAAGCTTCAACCCATTCTCTAGATATAAACTTACAAACAAAATCTAAACCAAAGTTTGACACCAATGCAGCAATGACTGACAGAGTATAATAACTCTCCAAATTCTTCGAACAGTCAAGCTAATAAAATGAATTTCTTTACAAATTATAACTTTGATTTACCTTCATAACAGTTCTTGGATGATGAAAATAGACTTTCCAGCCCAACCATTTCATTCTGATTCCTAACTCCAAGCTGAGAACCAGCAACAGTAGAATTTCCAGGGATCCATGAACCTATAAAAAGAAACATGCATCTATAACCATGTCCCTATTATAAGAACAACAAGCATTTGATAGTATTGCGGGCAATACAGTAGTCCCCTACCGGTCCCTCAAAAAGTTCTTTAATTGTCATACACTCCTGTGTATTGCCATTCATAATGAATTTGAGGATGAAGTCTGTATTTGAAAATATCGACCACAAAACATAATAAAATAAATTTGTCTATATCACAGTAATGTGTTAAGTTTCCATGCTTAGTAAGGAAATTATGTTTATACAACCTTGTCATATTATTACGATGTGGGATTTTAAAGTAAATCATATAAGGAATGAAGAAGTTGGAGTGAAAATACCAGTTTCTCGAAAAAAATCTAAGTTCAAGGGGGACATAATTCTGGAAATAGTCTTGCTAGAGTATTTCACCTTCTCAAAAATGTCGAGTGATAATAAGAAACATATATATGAAGTTTGAAGTAGATACATTAGGAAATAAAGAAGTTGTTTAAAAAAGACAACATTTTTTCCCCTAAAAAATCTAAGTTCAAGGGAGGTAATACTGATATTTTTGTGCTAGAGTTATAAACCTTGTCACATATGATGTGGTTGATGACCAGAAACTTATATTTAAAGTTTGAAGTAAACACCTTAAGAAATAAAGAACATATAGTGAAAAAGCTGAAAAATTTAAATCAGAAATCTTGAAATTCAGGCTATTTGTTGCCATAGCAACCAGAATTTTCAACATAGGAAGAAAAGAAAAAGATGTGCATAATCTCCCGACTGCCATCTACCCATATTTCAAGTTTCATAAAAATATTTTCAGTACTTTTTGAGTTATCACTGGATCCAGTTTATGTGTTAAATTTGCCATATTTTCAGACTATTTGTTGCCATAGCAACCAGAATTTTCAACATAGGAAGAAAAAACTAGAACTCCGCGAGTCGGATGTGTCGCCTTGTGAACAATGTAGTTTAGGGGAAATGGCCAGGACAAAAATGAAATATGAAAAATAACAAAGGGCAATAACTAAAAAAATAATAAGTGCAGAGCAGCAGTTTCTGTACACTGCACTTCTTATCAATAAGATCTTTCATTCTATGATGTTTCAAGTAAATAGCTTTCATACTCGAGGAGAAATGACCAGGACAAAAATAAAGTAAGAAAATCAACAAAGGGCAATAACTCAAAAATAAGAAATGCAGAGTATCAGTTCTTATGCACTGCACTTCTTTTTAATGAGATCTATCATCCTATGAAGTTTCAAGTCCATAACTTTTATACTTTCGGAGAAATGGCCTGGACAAAAATTAAGTATGAAAATTAACAAAGGGCCATAACTCAAAAATTAAGAAATGCAGAGTACCGATTCTTGTGCACTGCACTTCTTAATAATGAGATCTATTATCCTATGAAGTTTCAAGTCCATAGCTTTTATACTTAAGGAGAAATGGCCCGGACAAAATTAAAGTATGAAAATAAACAAAGGGCAATAACTCAAAAAATAAGAAATGCAGAGTTCCAGTTCTTGTGCACTGCACTTCTTCTTAATGAGACCTATCATCCTATGAAGTTTCAAGTCCATGGCTTTTATACATTAGGAGAAATGGCCCGGACAAAAATAAAGTATGAAAATTAACAAAGGGCAATAACTCAAAAATTAGGAAGTGCAGAGTACTGGTTCTTGTGCACTGCACTTCTTAATAATGAGATCTATCATCCTATGAAGTTTCAAGTCCATAGCTTTTTTAGTTGAAGAGAAATGGCCCGGACAAAATTAAAGTATGAAAATTAACAAAGGGCAATAACTCAAAAAATAAGAACTGCAGAGTACCGGTCCTTGTGCACTGCACTTCGGGTTATTGAAAGAAGCATGCATACCAAGTTTGAAGTCAATCAGACTTATAGTGACTGAGTTATGCTCCGGACAAGCTTTAGGGGACGCCGACAACGACGCCGACAACGACACCGACAACGACGCCGACACAGACGCCGCCGACACCGCCGACGAAAGTAACCCCTATATGTCACCTTTTCAAGGCGACACAAAAAAGACGTGCATAATCTCCATACTGCCATCTATCCATATATCAAGTTTCATAAAAATATTTTCAGTACTTTTTGCGTTATTGCGGGATCCAGTTTTGTGGACGGACGGACTGACGGACGGACAGACAGACGGACGGAGGGTAAACCTAAAGTCCCCTCCGGTTAAACCGGTAGGGGACTAAAAATCTATATATAGAACTATACATATATATACAGAACATAAATGCTATAATTAGAACCATGCAAATTTACTCTTAAAGCAAGTTGAACATTTTCTTTGTAAACATCTTTCTCATTATCCGTGTATATGAATATTCATGAATTTATAACAAATGACAAATAAAAATAGACTTCTACTTCAAATGTACAAACAACTAAAATCTGCACAAAAAAAAATATTAATGTTCCAGTCATCCACGTCCTTTGGACTAAAATTGGGAACAATATTCTTCTAAAGCTGTTTTTCCTGCCACAGTTTAAACCCCAGGGCTTTTATTTGAACAAACTTGGAATTTAAACACGCATTAGAAGATTTTTCATGATGTTAAGTTTTTGCTATACACATATATAAGGAAAATCAATGACCTTCTCCCCCCCCCCCCGGCAGAGTTAATTTTAACCCAAGGGCTTTTATTTGAACAAACTTGGTAGACACCCATAAGAAGATGTTTCATGCTAAACATCTAAGCTCTAGCTCATTGGGTTTTTTAAAAGAAGATTTTTAAGTTTTTACTATACACATATAGTTAAAAACAATGACACCCCTGGGGCGGGGCCAGTTTTGACCCCAGGGCTTTTATTTGAACAAACTTTGTAGACACTTATTAGAAGATGTTTCATGCTTAATATCTAAACTCTAGCTATTTGGGTTTTTTCAAAGAAGATTTTTTAAGTTTTTACTATATGCATAAAGGGAAAATCAGTGACCCCCTGGGGCGGGGCCAATTTTGACCCAAGGGCTTTTATTTGAACAAACTTGGTAGACACTCATTAGAAGATGTTTCATGCCAAATATCTAAGCTCTAGCTCTTTGGGTTCTTTAAAAGAAGATTTTTTAAGTTTTTACTTTATGCATATAGAAAAAATTAATGACCCCCTGGGGCCGGGCCAATTTTGACCCCAGGGCTTTTATTTGAACAAACTTGGTAGACACTCATTTGAGGATGCTTCATGCCAAATATCTAAGCTCTAGCTCTTTGGGTTCTTTAAAAGAAGATATTTAAAGTTTTTTGTTTCGGTTGCCATGGCAACCAGAGTTCTGCATGGAATTAAATTCTTTGAACAATATTTAAAGGTGACCACCAAAGGAACATTCCTGTGAAGTTTGGATGAAATTGGCTTAGTGGTTTATGAGGAGATGTCATTTGAAGCAAAAGTTTATGGACGGACGCCGGACAGACGGACGAAAAGGGATCACAAAAGCTCACCCTGTCACTTTGTGACAGGTGAGCTGAAAACAAATTGAACCAATAAGGAAACTAAATGCATCTTGTTTACTATACCAGCTTACCCCCACAGGTAACTTAAGGAAATCTACAGCTGGCCTCTCACAAGCTGCCAGTAGGAGTACAAGCACCGCTGCAACAAGATCAAGCACATGGAACCATCTATTATGAGCAATTTGGTATGCAGGCAAGGCTTCATGACTTCTAGGGTGTGTGTAAAATTTATCATTGTTTTCTCCTTCTTGTAAATAAATGGCTGCCTCCTGTAAAGAAAAGGACATTTTAGCTCATTTAGTGAATGAAGTTTAAACATGGGATGTTTGTGAAACATGTTTACCCCCACCCCCAATGACATCCAATCACTCATGTTACCTAATCTGAACTTTGCTCTGCAGACCAATTCATTTATAACGATTACATTGGCCTTATCCTACTGACTTTAAAACTATGTGGGATCTTGTAACAGTCATGACCAACCTACCTAACCAGGGTTGTCATTAAGAGGCGGCAGGAGGCCAAAATGCCTGTCTCAAATGCATTATGGGCCGCCTCAAAATTAAGAAAACACTCTTTGTTATGCATGATAAAGACAGAAATGACCGCCTCAAGTTCAAAACAAACCTTCTGCAAAAAATGTTAATGACAACCCTGCCTAACAACTATATGGACTCTAGACAAATGCATTGAAAGTAAATGATCAGATAAACTTTTTTTTCAGTCTAAGACACAGTAACTACCATGTCATTGACTTAACCACAAAATCAGTATGGGCAATTTACAGGTCATATCCAATCTCTAGACCCTAGGCAAAGGCAATCTCAAATAATTGATTCGACAATCTTTAAGTGGTCAGGGTCGAAGTGACCGTAACCTTTGACCTGTCATCTACTGACCTCAAAATGATTCGGTCATCTCTGACCAACCATCGAACTAAATCTTAAGGACAGGTTGCAGACCAAGTTCAATCATTCAATCAATGATCATTCATGCTTTTTGTGATGAAGGTCACAGTGACTTTAACCTTTAGACTTCCTGACTTTGATTGATAATTGTCAACAGGTCAATACCAAGATTCTGGCCACATCTTAGAATGTTTGGCAAAATTGTTCTCGATAAAATAATCAGATAAGCTTTTTATGGCCAATGTCATAATGACCTATAACTACTGACAACAAAATCAATTGAGGTCATCAACAATGAAAAAAAACTCCAAACCAAATCTCAAGGACTGTAGGTCAAGTGTTCTCTATATCAGATAAAACTTGCAAATTGATTTACTACATGAGCAAAACAATATACCCCCACTTCTTGGAAAGAAAGACATAACTTAAGCTTGACCGCAAAGCAAGTGTTCATATCCAATGTAAGCCTTAAAGGGAGACACAGGCAAAATTTTCATTTCTTTGTTTTGATTTTTTTATTCATTATTCTGTAAATGTCCTCAAAATAAATACACTAGGCAGTCAAAGGAACAAAACTTCTTTATAAAGAATAAAATGGTGGTTTCCTATCTTGACCCAGGTTAGAGCTTTAGATTTCAAAATAGTTGCCACAGTGAACTCTGGAAACGTTAAAGAACATGTCAAATAAATGACCTAGACTTGTGTCAATCATACAATATCCACAATATCTGTTATTGTAACTTCCAAGGTTAATTCAAGTCACATGGCTTGTTTTAAAACTACTTGATGATTCTGTCAGCGTCTAAATTTAGTTCAATATATCTAGACATATTTACGCTTCAAACCTGAAATATATAGAATTTATACCGAAATTCATTCTGGGACTTTGAGTACATTTAATCCTTTTAATATTTTTGTCATTTATTTACCTGAGTATCCCTTTACTGAATCTGATTCTTATATTAATTACAATTCAATACATGATAAAACATCACCAAGAGCCAAGTCAGACTTAACCAGCAATCCATGTATTTACCATTTAAGGTTGCTGTAACTTTTTAACTTGCTTAAAGTGATATTTGAAACTTTCTTCGGCTGATTTGATAATAGGACTTGTGCACTAACATTTAAACTGTGCTTTGGTTTAAACATATTTATTTAAACTCAATTGCGAAGCAAGTTCTTGCAACTTATATTAATCACATTCGAGTCCGCTTCCTGGAACCAACCAGTACTGGTGTCGTATGAAGAAACATGGTCGTAAACTGTGCTTTATTTCAGGAAATTTTAATCCCAAATTTTTATCAGTAATGAGTCATGTTAGACTATACCCCAGGGTCTGAAAGCCTAGTTTTTTTCTTGTGACACAGGTCTTCAAAGTTCAAAATGCTCATTTTTATCTTAACTTAAATATCATCATCATTTACAATAATTCATAACATGCACGGGTTATGTTGGTAGAATCAGTTTTCACCAGCCTTCTAAAGGTAAAAAGCTTACAAAAAATGCTATTATTTCAATTACAATATTTCTTTTTTATCTTTGGTTTTTCTGTTACAGTTTCTGAATTGATATTCATTGGCCATTGCTTTCTAGACATTAATAAAATTACAAAGATTACTTTTTTTTATTGATGACATAATATTACCTGGTTTATGTTTTGCTACTATTATGACAGTAAAATTATTTCACATTTAATGCTGTTTTTTTCATCATATAATAAGCATCTAGCATGCTATAAATGATATAAATCTGTTATTTAAACATTATAAAACACAGGTTGCCTTTTGTTTAAGAGAAAAAAATCCTTTTCATTACGACACTTAATGTGCCAATATACAGTTACAACTTAAAAGCATTGTAAAATAACTATACAACTATTGCATAGTAACCGTTATATGTTATCTCATTCTAAAATCTCATCTGTCATGCATTTTCCTCAATGCTTTTTACAGGTTTTGTCCTTTTTTGTTGATTTTGATTTAGGCGCATTTCTAAAGTTTCTTTCTTTTTTGAGTGAGTGTGTGCTGGGTTTTTTCTGTTTAGTTCTACTTTTTAAAAATCATAATAATGACAAGGTAGTAACGGGGTGTTAAATTTCAATATGATGCAATATTAATATTGTATGTACTACTGGGTACTGTTACCGTAAAATTCCTATTAAACGCCCCCTTGGGCTAAACATTTTCCAAAAGGGGGGCTATTATTACAACAGGTTTTTTCCTAAATCCAAAAATCATTGAAAATACATTTAGTGTTAACAAGTGTTGGTAATAACAATAAAATGTGTTAAGATTTCAAGTTCATGTAATACATTTTTGTTTTTACTTTGAAATAAAATGGATTCTGAAGGATTTGAATAAAATTACGGATTTATTAAAGAGTTCACCACTGATGAGCAGATTTTTTTCCATATCAAAAAGCCTGGGGGAGGGCTTTTATTAGGGGAGGGGCGTTTATTAGGATATTTACGGTATTTATCAAGGGATTGCGAAATACATATTACCTTAGATTTATGCAAGAATTATGTATGAGGAAAGCTTGCACTGTTATTATCAATAGAAAATATTTTAATATGTTCACATGCAATTTGCTAAATAAACATGAAGTTTTCTTGCTTGTGAAATAAAGTGACAACACCTTGTGATTACATGTTAAAAGCAGTGTCTATTCTAGGGTTTTTAAAAACCGGGGGGGTTTTTTTTCGGGGAAAATTTTAGAATTTTACATTTTTTGAAATTTTTTTTTTTCTTTTTTCTTAAAATTTTCCCCCCGCCTCTGGGAAAATAGGGGGGAATTCCCCAAAAAAAAGCGGGGCCCCCCCTCCCCCCCTGAATAGACATGTAAATTTTGGTGTACTTGGGGGAAATTTTTTTAAAAATAAAAAAAAAGATTTAAAAAATATTTTTATGGGTTTGTTAATTTCCCCGTTACACAAGAACCTGTTTATAATGGGTAAATAAATGTATACTCGGGGAAAAAGCAAATATATTTCCAACAAAATTACCTGGGACTCTTTTTTTGGGGCAAAAAACTGGCATCTAACGGATAAATCAAATATATCGCTATTTATTTGTTTACATCACATGTTAGTTAAAAGTGGTGTATTGGTATAGATGTCAGGCTGCAGATCTGAAGGTCTCTTGTTCGTTCCTAACCAACAACACATTATTTCAAAGTAGAGGTTTTTATACACAGTTACATTTTTATATTTCATTACATAATGTTAAAATAATAAGTCTCAGATAAAAAGTACAGCTTCTCTATATAACAAATCGATGAATCGACAAGTAGATTTCTCTAGAACTGTCAGTAGTACTGCGCATACTGGCAATTGCTGTGTCACTGCTTGAGCCATCACTATATATATATATCATCAAGGTTTATAATAATTTTCTCCATATCATGGTCTCTGTTGCAGTCAAAAGAAATAAAAGTGGCTGATCCAGGATTCGAACCTACGAGTTTATGTCTATATTCTTAAAGTGAAAGACCTTTACCAATTGCTGTAAGAGAGATTCTAACTTAGACCATCTAACAACTGGTTATATACATTCATATCAATTTACATGTAGATCGTAAGGTTTATGGAATTGACCATACAGTCAAAAGCAAGAGTGACAGGTCAATATTATTGTTGGACAATCCCTTAAACTGTTGAATTTGTGTAATGACCTTGCCTTAAAGGGGTTTCAATATAATAAAACTTGAGCTACCAACAGTATTGAGACTAGCTAGTCTGAAAGGACGTGCAGGCTGGCCTATATCTATGCCAAAGGTAATAAAAGCATGACAAATCTAATAAGGAAAGTCAGTCATCACTATACATCAGCCACCTAAACTGTATAAAAGATTTAATATATACTGTACTACATGTATGTAAACAAGAGTCAAGATATTATATAGATTAGAAAGATCTTCCTGACATGATATCAGATAGCCATTGACCATTTCACAATTTATAATCTATTTCCTTAAATAGAAAGAAGTGCTCAATTATGACATTTTCAAACTAGCACAATACATATAAGAAACAGACAAATGTCCCAGGAAAGAAACCATGACCTTTGACCCACAGGGAAGGTATGGTTACCAAAATTTTTTAAACAAAAACATTTGCTTCAAATATTAACTGTGACCTTGGCCTTTGTGCCGTGTCTACAACACATTACAGCTCAATGTGCCAGACATTTATGCATATTCATTTCAAAATCCATCTGTGAATGATAAAGTTACATCTATTCATATTTCACAAAATTAATCACAATTTAAAATAACTGGGTGACATATGTCTTCTTGACCTTTGAGCTGGATACCCAATTCTTGTGTGTGACATGTTGTCAATATGTCAAATACATTTTAAGCAAGTCATCAGAAATGACATAATTGTTGACCAAAAATGACCCATCAATGCATTTTTATGAAATATTTTCCAAACTTGAGTCTAAGTTTTATGACCTTGGGCTGCAAACCTAGGTCTTGTATAGTTATAGCTGATGGTCTTGTAATATCACTAAATGTAAAATTGGTTGGTCATGCAGACTAGGTATAGAGTACTTATTCAACAGTATAGATGGAATGAATAATTATAAGATATATTATGCTTAAATATACTGATAGCTGTTAAACATTTTTTTTTTAATTTATAAAAAATCTTTTGAGTACATACAGAGAATGCATGTTATGTTTTTATTCTACCACATCCGTGATTCTACACCCTTACCAGCAACCACAATATAAATACATTGTGCCATTAAAAAAACTGCCTGTTTTCTTAAAGGACCAAATTAACTTTACCAGTAATAGGGAATGCAGCTTCCCAAACACAGTTTGGACATTATCTTATTCAAATTAAGACAGTTTCTGTTTCAGCAAGAATTTTCTTAGATTTTAATAAATTTCTACAATTAAAATATTTCACTTCAAGATGAACATAGTATATCTTAACTGTTCTAAAAAATGTTCCCTAGCTCTCCTTTACAGACAGACCATTAAATAACGATCATGTACCTCTTTTCAGGGGACATAATTTATAAAAATCTGTAAATCTAAACACTTACAAGATAGTTCAGCTTCCAGACTTTTGAACTTTTGGGTGTCCGAGTTTGAACATCGATTGCAAAGTTTCCAGTCTCTCCTATGATGTCATTATTCGGGTCATCTGAAAATTCAAACATCATCTTTACACTGATTTGTGAAAACACACCCTAGCTCATCTCATATTAAACCTTCTTATTTTTAATATCCTTTTTCTATACTCCTAATATATTTTTTCTTCACTTTCATTTTTGAAATAAAATAACATCCACTTCTGATTTACGTAATATAATTTGAGTAACTTAATCTATTTCTAATTTTAGCTCCACTTCTATCACCGCATGACTTATTTAATCAGTACTGGAGAACAATATAATTGCAACATATAAATCATGAAAATTTGTCATTTTATCACTTCTTTATAAAACAAGTAAACATGGAGATAAAGCATTGATCATTGGGAAAGATAACACCTAAAACAGTCAGGTTTTGTAATCCACCCATTATCATAATAAGGTACAAACCTGTACTTTGATATCTGACTACTGTAAAATACAACAACTTCCTGTACATTTAATTTAACATACGTAATTATTTATGTTTATGCATAGTAAGATCATTATATATTATTGTTTGGCAATATTGACCTGAGACATTTGAATATTCAATGACCTTTTGTTGGTAATTTTCGCATTCCAAAGTAAACCTTACTGATTCTAATGTAGATACTAAGTACATGTGTAACTTAAAGTAAAACTGAAGAATAACATTTGCAAAAACACTTGGCAAACTAGTCTCTGTGACAGGGTGTAAGATTTTAAGTTTCAAATTGTAGGTTTTAGGTATGAATTGTGATGAAACATTTTTTATATATATTTTCTTTAATATTTTTCTATCATATTTTTGCAAAACTTGACCACTATGTTTTTATAAATGCTAGATATTTAACACATGATTTATCAATTCATATTGAATATAAATTCAATGAAAGAACATAATAAGTTTAAGAATAAACACAAAAGATTTCGCAAAGAATCAAACTTTCAACTAAGCGATTACCATCAGGGTTGCCAGCATCGTAGATAAATAAAATTCCCTGACTTTTCCCAGACTTTTCACTGACCAAATTAGGTTTTTCACTGACTAAAACTACCAAACTTAAACGGTCTCCACCTCCCCTACAAACGTCCAATTCACCCCAGGGCTTTTTTTTCCTTCTATAGCAGGAGCCATTATAGGACTGTTTCCCCAAAAAGAAATTCTTTAAAATCATGCAGTTTTCACACAAAATATAATTTACATCAAGTTTTTTTTCTTCCCCTTTTGCAAATATACCATTAATGTATCCCCAAAATTAAGGGCAGGGCAGCTTCCCCAACCTGTGAAAAAAGCCCTGCACCCATAAGTTTTTTTGTTGTTTTTTTTTAATGCTTTTAACAATATGGTCAATAAAACATGCTTTATACATCTAAGTTTGGTAGTTTTGTGTTCAGTAAAATGTTTTTGATAAGATCAAGTCTGAAGCAAAACTATTATCTTGAGCTACAGAATACTGCCATTATAGCCAATATAATTAATAACAAGAGGGCCATGATGACCCTGAAATTACTCATCTGAATATAAAAACTCTCCATGAACAAGAATAATTTTGACCCCAGGGCTTTTATTTGAACAAAGTTGGTAAACACCCATTGGAAAATGTTTCATGCAAAATATCTAAGCTCTAGCTAAGAAGACTTTTTAGTTTTTACTATATATACATATAAGGAAAATTAATGACCCCCATGACCGGACCAGTTTTGACCCAAGGGCTTTTATTTTAACAAACTTGGTAGACACTTACTAAAAGATGTTTCATGCCAAATATTACAGCTCTACCTCTTTGTGTTTTTCAAAGAAGATATTGTTTCGTTTTTTTTAACTATGTACATAAAAGGAAAATCAGTAACCCCCCCCCCCTTTGACCCAAGGACTTTTATTTGAACAAACTTGGTAGACACACACTAGAAGATGTTACATGCTTGATATCTAAGCTCTAGCTCTTAAAAGAGGTGAACATGTTTTTTTTCCAGTTTTTACTTTATACATATAAGGAAAATTCTTCAAAATTATTTTTCCCTGACTTTTTAGGATTTTTATTCTTCACTGACCAATTTTCAAAATTCCCTGACAATTCCCTGACCTTGAAAAAATATCAGATTTCCCTGACTTTTCAAGTCTGCTGGCAACCCTGACCATTATGTCGTACTCACCACAAGGCTAACAAGCGGTTTAAGTATGGTTAAATGTATGAGAACTATACTATGATTAAAGCCTCATGTGTTAATCATAATAAATTACGGAAACTAACAAAAACCCTTCTGAAAATTGATCAGACTCAGGAAATTATTGCCATACACAACAAAGATTCTTTTAATTCTTTACAATGCCTCAAGACCGCCTAATTTATGCCAGGGTCCTTTTCCCAATATACTGGTGGCTAGAAAAGTTTCCATTGCCTGCATTCCAGTTATTTCCATGTCATTATCATGGGTGCAAGTTGAAAATTTGGAAAAACCGGAAAACTGTCATTCATAATCAATTTTCCTACATAATCATATAGTTAAACATGATGAAATTTGTCACAAAAAACCTGAACTTCAGGCATATGCCTGAAAACTTGCACCCATGCATTATCACACCAGGGTTAGAATAACCCTTCTGACAGAAAGAATAAGATAGAAGCCAGCCTGACTCACCTTAAAGGTTTTGACTCTATATGACACATATTAAATATGGTTCAAATAATTTGAACTAGAAATCTTCAAAACAAACTCTCTTAACAAGTTTCCTTTAAACTTAAAATGATTTTTTTTTCTGTGACCTAATTTTTGACACAAGGTAATTTTTATCAAACTTATCTTGGAAACTATCTTGTATTAATAATTGTACCCTGTTGAAGTCCTAAATAAAGTATCTGTTCTATTTCTGTTCATAGCACTGACATTTCCTTTCAAGTGAATACCTTAAGCAAATGTGAAGCTATGGCAAGTAAATGTGTAGCTATGGAAATTATCTAACCTTTCATATAATCCATTAACCAGGACATTTCGTAATTTATTGATGAGAATATTTCACTGTTTTTTACTAAATCAATAATCATAAGTAGACACAATCATCAAAGGACTTTAAACAAGAGCCATTGCCTAACGGGAGCAACTGTCAACTTTTTTACTTTTTCTATAAGCAAACAAATAATCGGTTTAACTCTTTACCACATATATACGCGAAACAACGCACTTTCGACCCCCCCCCTTTTTTTAGGCCTGAAATTGTGAAAAAATGTCCTATTTGGGCCCCAAACACATGTTTTTGTTTGAGAAATGTTGCTAAAAAATGTGAGCACTTTTTTGGCGCCGCCCCCCATCCAAAAGATACATCAGGGGGTTCCCCTTCTGTTTGGGGGGTTTGAAAGGGGGCGGAGTCCCCCTCATCGCCAAGAAAATTTTGGACTTATGAGAGGCTTAAAATGACCCCAGGTTGATCATAAGGTAACGTGTAATCAACGCTGAAAAGCCCTTGACTCTATCTCAATCCCTTGAGAAGTTGCAGCACTTTGAAATAAATTTTGATGGAAAATATCAAGGCAAAATAGTGATTTTTGGCAATTTTGAGATGTCCCCTCGTTGTCATGATAACAGGAAATTTAAGACTGAGCATGTCGTTACAAAGGCAATGGTCCAGTAAACATTTGTGCCAAGTTTGATTAGTATTGAAGCATTTTTCATAGTTTCATAGCAGTTTGAACTTGTAAGAGGAGGCTTTTCAGTGAAAATGGCCATTTTTCACAATATGCTCATGGGGGAAAGGGTTAAACAAATTGTTAAAAAGAAAATTAAAGAAAAAAATTAGGATTTTCCTTTTTTTAACTTTAATTGGTCTGTCTAGTCACACTTATTACCTTCTCAAAGTATGAATCATTTCCATAAATAAATGACAAAGTTAAGAAAATATAAGCAAAATTCAATCATTTGACCATCAAGGTCAATCAAAGGTCAAGGTCATATCTTAACTATTCATCAGGTTAGTTTGGTCACAAGAGTTGTTTTTGTCCACATATAAATCAAATCTCTCCAAAAATAATAAAATTATGACAACTTAACCACATTCAGTAATTTGACCTAGATGGTCAAGGTCATTTAAAATTCAAGGTCAGTTCAACTTTTTAAAAGGTCTTGTCCAAAAGGTTGTTTCATCCAAGTACGAAATTAATCCATTGATTTCAGCAAATGATAGCAATAATCAGTGAAATTTCAATAATTTAACCTTCATACACAAATTGTCATCAATTTGAGTTTGACATATATATAAAGGTCCTGGCATAAAAGATGTTGTGACTAAATATGAAGTTAATCAATAAATAGATAACAAAGTTATAACCAGTCACAGCAAAAAAACAAGAGAATTTCATTAATTTGATGTTGAAGGTTAAGATCAATTAAAGGTCAAAGTCACACCTAAATTATTCAATATGTTTATTTGGTCATGTTTTGTCCAAGTATAAAACAAATCCGTACAAAATTATGACAATCTAACCAAAATTCAATAATTTGACCTAACATACTAGTGATAAGTTATTTTAAAATCCTTTATTGTTAAAAGACAGAATGTTGAATTATGTTTCAGATGGAAAAAGAACCAATGTTTATTAGATTTATTATGGTATCGTCCGGTTATATGTTTTGACGCTCATCTATTTCGACGCCATTTTTGTTTTGACCTTACAATTGGTGAAATGACCTCGTATGACGTCAAAAGTTGCTGACTGCATTGCAAGCATGTATTGACAACATATAATTAAAACATGTGGAAAGACAGAGACCCTTCACTGAAAATACTTCACCTTCATCATATGTGCTGTATTTTTTTTTATCTTTTTACTTAAGCAAAATCAATCAATGTTTATGCAAGCCATAATTTTGCAAATACATGTACAGCCTTTGGAAAGTCTTTACCGGTCCTTTTCTATTTCTATCCTCCATTTTAAAGTGTCATGTGACTATAAGTGCCCATAATATTCACTGTAACATATGGTGTACAGCTTATATTGTTTGAAAACGTTAATTAGTTTTTAATTGATGCAGAGTAGAATTCATAATAAGTTAATTATTTTTTATAAAGTTTAAAAAAGATAGAGAAAAAAAGCATTTTTTAAACGAACATATATTTTTTCAGCTCTGTAAGTAACAATAATTTGTAACAGAGTTACCCCGCCTCGGGAAGTTTTATATGAAGCATAAAATTGTGCTATTTCAAAAGATTGAGGTATGGATCTCAGGGCTTTCAGTCCAAGATTATGATCAATGCTTTATCTGCAAATGCAACAATAAATTTATTAAAGAAATAAAATGAAACAAGGAATTTAAAAATCTATCATGTTAAGCTTTGACCTCTAAGTGTGACCTTGACCCTGGAGGTAGGGGTGCAGGTGTTCTGCATGACATATCAGCTTATTATTGTTACTATTTGTGCCAAGTATTTTCAAAATCCCTTGAACTATGAAGAAGTTATAGATTGGACATAAAACATACCCTACATCAGACTATGTAATCTTTGACCTCTAAGTGTGACCTTGGAGGTAGGGACCCATGTTTTGCGCCTGACATATCATCTTATCATTGTGACTATTTGTGTTAAGTATCTTCAAAATCCCTTGATCTATGAAGAAGTTATGGACGGGACACCATATTGCGCATGTTGTTGCGCATGACACATTGTCTTATTATAACAAACATTTGTGCCAAGTTATTTCAGATTCCTTTGATAAATAACAAAGTTATAGACCGGACACGAAGGTGTGAAGGCTGGACAGACAGACGGACGGACGGAGCCTATTTCTATATCCCCCTTTTTTCTTCGAAAAGGCGGGGGACAAAAAAACAGATGCTATTCATCAGGATAAATGGTAAATGCATTCAAGGTGAGACAGGTGCACCCTTTAAGACCACAGCCAGGGTGTATGGCATTCCTAAATAATGGATAGTTTTATATGAAATAAAATATATTTTCAAATTACATTGCAGGTTTGCTCATTTAAAAACTTCTTTTGCTGTACATATTGCATTACAGTGAAATATCCTTTTAAAATAACCATTTTTCACTTAAATTGTGAATGGGTCCCGTCCGGTACCATGACAATTGTGAAAAAATATCCAAACTGTCAGACCCATTCTAAAAATTGTGAAAGACCGTTCAGAATGGATCCGTTATTTGGTACCATTTATATAAGGAAAAAATAGGTGTAATCAAAAGGCATTTCATATGACTGTAAACAACAATGGATGCATCCATGGTCTGTTTACTTTTAAAGTACAAAACTATTTAAGTGTTTTTGAACTTGTAACAAACATAAAATGGTTTGCAGGGATAAACAACATGCCATAGTTACTTTATATGTATTTTATTTAATGATTAAAGTCAATATAAAAACATCAGGGCTCACGCTGTCGGTCGCCATAGTCGCCATTTGCGATCATTTTATAAGATTGGCGATTATTTTTTGCATTTTGGCTACAAAATCTGGCGATTATTTTTTACTTCCAACAGTACATAAGGTGTAAAAATCGATAATGACTGCAGTAGACCCAATTAACACCAGCAGGGTAGATAAAATTGAGTGTCAACTTTTTATCGGTCACGCGTTGCTTACTATTGCCCGAGGTGATAAAAATACATGCAGGTGATAAAAATACATGCGATATGTAAAATTGTTTAAGTACTTTAAAGATATTGTCCAGCATTATAATAGCCATCAAATATCCGTCAATTAGCCACAAAATAATCTTCTTAAAATTGATAAAATGGATAGGACCAACACAAAATTTACCGTAAATTGCAGTAATGGCAAATTTTGATTTTTTTTGTTTTAAGCTGCTTGACTAAATCGCCAGTGGAAAACATTGATAAAATATTTAAAAAGTATTTACTTCCAACCAACTATTTGCACAACAACCAAAATTGTGAATATTTCTTCAGAAAACAGAAAAAATCCGATTGTCACATATTTTCGCGACACCGATAATTTTGATATTTATTTAAAGGTGAAAATAAGCTATGTTCTGTTTAAAAATCTTTACTATTATGGCAGAAAATTTGTATTACATTGGTGATGATGCCATTTGTCAGTAAGTTATTCAGAAAAAAAGGCTGCATTCTGTGAATGAGTTTGCAAGTGTTATTTCTATAGGCTAATATGACCTAGATCTCCAGTTCTGTGTGAAATGTGGAAATTGACAGTGGTTATAGCTGATAAAATTGATTAGAACAAACAAAAGAAATTGTCTGATAACAGCATTATGTAAAGTTATAATGAATCTTTTATTTTATTCTTATACAGTTATTGTACTATATAACATTTTTATTTTGTTCTATAATAACAATTAAAGTTGTGGTTCTATGTTAAAAAAAAGGTAGTAATCAATATACACAAATGTATCAGTTTATTTGAGAATCTTTATAAAACTGAAAAAGTTTTATATGTAATGTTTATTTAATCAACTGCTTATGTTGTTGATCGCTAAATCGTGAATAGTCCGCTGAACTTTTGGCTATTATTTTTTTAAGTAGAAAATATTGGCTATTATTTTATTTGAGCCAGTGTGAGCCCTGAAACATGCACTAGTTAAACAGCTTAAAGGCGCCGAAACTATTGACTCTGGGATATCATGAATAGAGTGCATCTCAGCAAATGAAATGGCGGTGCAAATGTAAAGCCTGGAACTCTTCTTGACTTGTGCACTGTTGTAAAGGTTGGACAAAAATTATGTGTTTCAGAGCCTGCAATCTTTATAGAGACTTGATGGTAACTCGATTTTTTTGTCTGGAAATAGTTTTAAAAAAAGATGGATGCCCCATCTGTGTTTTATTTTTTTATTGACAGCTGACATGTACGGATCAAGCCGGGACTGAAGACAGTGAAGTGTATGTTGCCTGTTTTGTTTGGGTTTTTTCATCCTGCACTACCCAATTTCATGTCTTTAAGGATTATATCAGTTCTCATACTAGTCAACCTTAAGATAACTTAACTTAATCTGTTATTTAGAAAGAAATATAACTTTACTGGAAGCGTAGATATCTTCAAAGACGTGATTGATTTCTTCTGACAGCTCCTGGTCCATATTACCCGCCATATTGTCTAATATTACTAAAAGATGTACATGACGTACCAAAATCGTAGGGGTGAAAACCCCGGATCCGGGATCCGGAAGCCAGGGTGTCCGTATTAGATATATAGAAAAGCTAGAACTCCGCGAGTCGGATGTGTCGCCTTTTTCTTCTGAAATATAGGTTATTTATAAACACCACTCTTACAATCTACATGTACCTTCATCTTTAGTGGCATTTGAACTGATTGTAACAATGTTACATCAGGATTGATGTAGCTTATAATACTTTTATTGTGTAGGAGGCTTGGCCCGGACAAAAATAAAGTATAATAATTAACAAAAATATGCAATAACTCTAAAATCATGAAGTACAGAGTATCGGTTCTTGTGCACTGCTCATCTTTTCAATGAGATCTATCATCATATTGAAGTTTCAAGTTCATATCTTTTATAGTTTAGGTGAAATGGCCGTGACAAAAATAAAGAATTATAATTAACAAAGGGCAATAACTCTAAAATTATAAGGTACAGAGTATCGGTTTTAGTGCACTGCACTTCTTCTCATTGAGCTCTATCATCCTATGAAGTTTCATGTCCATAGCTTTTAAAGTTTAGGAGAAATGGCCCGGACAAGAAAGAAATATGAAAAACAAAGGACAATAACTCAAAAATAAGAAGTGCCGAGTACCAGTTTTTGTGCTCTACATTTCTTCTATAGAGATCTATCATCCTATGAAGTTTCAAGTACATAGCTTTATAGTTTAGGTAAAATAGCCCGGACAAAAATAAAGTATGAAAATTAACAAAGGGCAATTACTCAAAAATAAGAAGTGCATACTAATGGTTATTGTACACTGCACTTTTTATTATTGAGATCTATCATCCTAATAAGTTTCAAGTCCATAGCTTTTAAAGTTTAAGAGAAATGACCCGGACAAAAATTAAATATGAAAATAAACAAAGGGCAATAACTCCAAAAATAAGAAGTGCAGAGTACCGGTTTTTGTGCACCGCACTTCTTCTTATGTATGGTGGCTGATTTGTGCCATTTTGTTTTCGCCCCGCGACCCCGACAAGCGAAAAGTCGAAAATAAACAAGTTAAAATGGCGTGGGCGCGGAGCGAAATCTTGCTTATTAGCGAGGGCGCGGGGCGAAGTTTAATAAATAAAATCAGTGCCCACTTGGGACAAACATAATTTATACTTGATGTGAAATACATTAGATATGGTAGCTGCTGGTCTCTATATTGGTGACTAGCTCAAGAATAACGCAAGCTTTTGATCTTATAATGTTACAACACTCCATTCAAGATCAGCAAACTGTTTCTTTTTAATCCTTAAACACGCTTCAAGTATGTTTAATTAACATGCCCATTCTTCAGTCTGGGTAAAACTTTTCATTACTTTTAGTGGAAATTTCAAAATATGTTGTAACTGAATCAAGAACAGTGCAGACCATGATCAGAGGACGCGGTGTGCACTGGTCACATGGGTAGAATCTGTAGCCGTCAGCAGGCCTCAAGTTAACGCGCTAGGCTTAAGGCACAATGACATTATAAATCTTGATTTTCAAACCAAAATAGTTAATTAGTTATTTTAGGATATACCGTGTATTTGTTGGCAGACAGTATATACTATCGGCTATCCAGCTAGCTTACGGAACGTCGTTGGTTTTTCTCAGGTGCCCGTTCGTGCCTGAAATAATGCACGGATGGGCACCTGAGGTCTTCCTCCATCAGTAAAGCTGTCCAGAACGTCGCGATATGACATATACTGTGTCGATGTGACGTAAAACCCAAACAAACAAGCAAACAAACAGTACTATCGCGTATAGATATCTATTTAAATATGACTACATTATTTTCCACATAAAAGGAAAATTGACCTTTTGTTTATAACAAAAGGTCAATTTTCCTTTTATGTGGAAAACAATGTAGTTAACGTTTTAATTTATCGTTGAAAATGTATGTGAATAAGTATAAAGTGATATTATGTCCAATCTAACAATTAGACAGTAAGCTGTTATAGTATACTTTTATAGTTATGATATATCCCTAAAATTACTAAATTTTAATGATAACACGAATTAAAGCTTAACGTGTTACCGTTACCAATACAGCGTGTTACCATTACCAATTTACAAGGGATTAAACATCAATATTCAATTGACGTATTCCAAAGCAATAAGATGTTAGCAAATATATGTAAAATCGAGAATTGCATTTTGTACAGATTAACATGAATTTATAAATTTTCTCCAAATGTTTGGATGATACACTTCTCTTTTAAAAATACATTTTATGTCTCAGAAACGAATACATTTTTATTTCATTAGAGAGTGGGGGGGGGGGCATTTAAATAATAGTTTTAGAGCATGTTAGATGCTTGTAACCGAAAGAAAGTGAAACTAGATCTATTTGTAATAAAAGTTAGCAAATAAGAAAAAAAAAATTATTTTGACTTCCATGCAAAATACTAAATCACCTTATCTGTAGGAAACAGATGGGGAAAAAATGAGTAACTATAAAAGTACACCAAATAATAAGCTTTTGAGAAATAAAAATGAAAGCATTTCTGAGGCGAATGGGCCTTTAAGCTTTTTTTTTACTTGAGTTTTACAATCTATCAAATTTAAATACATGGGTTCTTATCATTAAAATCTAATGAACATAAATAAAAATCATATCCAGTGTTTTAATACTTGTACATGTATTGTTAAATGGGTAAAGAACTTAAAGTTTTTCTGCGATGCTCCAGATAATGCCGACTTGCCGAAACACTTGAATATTTAGAGCTGACTACAAATTTTACACAGCGAGTGATTCATTCTAAATGTGGAATTATGTGCGGGCGCGTACATGTGCGTATGTCAAGTTGATCAGCAATTAACCAATTCTAATTTTACAAATACTAACTAATGAGCGCTAACCTATACTGAAACCACAGGAAGTCGCGCCCGTGGCCGGTTTGCTAACATCTTTGACTTTTTGCCACTTGCCTTTTACCGCTGTAGGTCCGAGCCGCGCAGGCGTCTACGGGTTCTTTCATGTGCGAAAGCTATCCATGAAGCTGGCTTTTACGTGCCCACTTTTTCCTGAAATAATGCACAGAGAAGCACCGCACCTGAGTTCTTCCGTCACCAAAAGATGAGAAGTCGGCGTATGACCTATACTGTGTTGATGCGTATTATTTTGAAATAATAAGAAATATTTCCTTAACATATCATGGCCAACCTGAATTTTATTGTTTAATATCAACTAGGAAACAAAGCACTAAACTGAAGTAAATGTGTTGAAGTTGTTTGTGAATCATCTCTAGTATAACCCTTTTTATGAACCGTATAATATGTATTTTTGTCTTCATCTTGCGTATAAATTTGAGAATATGTAAAAAGAAAAAATCTTGAATATAACCTTTGGAAAAAATGTTACTATTTTGCTTTGCTGTTTCTCAATGGCAACTGCGGTATGATAATGTTATGTAACATTTATTACATATAAGATTGCATAATTTGTATTTTGTTAAAATAGACATAACTAGATGTGTAGGATATTGAAAGCTGGTTGTTTCCTATTAATTTTTAAATAAATTTTATGTATAATTTGAAGATTATATGCAGGAAATAAAATATTCTACGTAATGTGAATTGTCTCTAGGTTGAACATTGAAAGATGACTTCAAATTTAAAAGGGCATAATCTCATAATAAAGAAACCAAAACATGTAATTTACGAAATGACGGGACACTTAATAAAATTTTCTATTACAATGCATGAACAATCAAGTTTACTTTTCAAGTTTTCAGACTACAGTCAATAAATGAGCCGCCCTATGACAAAACCAACATAATGTGTTTGCGACCAGCATGGATCCAGACCAGCCTGCGCATCCGCGCAGTCTGATCAGGATCCATGCTGTTCACTATCAGTTTCTCTACTTGTAATAGAGTTGTAAGCGAACAGCATGGATCCTGATCAGACTGCGCGAATGAGCTGGTCGCAAACCCATTATGTTGGTTTTGTCATGATGCGGCTCAAATGTGTGCCTGTTCCCACCAATTCTTAATAAATATATATAACATAGATTACATATGAAAATTTGTACAACATTCACTGTTTAAAACGGTCAAAGAAAGTCATTTAGAACGAGACTCAGACGTGTCACGTTCATGTTTATAAATCTATTAATAAATAATCTTGTAGTGTATCAGTGCTGTTATATCATGCTTTTAAGATTACATCTACTTTCTTTTATTTTGAAATAAATATGTCACTTCAAATTTTGGACACCCGTTATAAAGCCGACATAAATTTCAATTTCCCTTTATCATAATAGGTCATAAACTCTCCTAAATCTGATGTACCATCTTGATAAAAATATTTTATAATTGACGAAAACAAAAAAGCCCGTATATAATTTTATAACTGAAATAAAGTTCTCTGTCACTTATAAAATAATATGATACACGGGTGAAATATTTTGACCGCTAGATAGTCAGCAATACCGATACCGCCACCGGTCATTTAGGATTATTCCGCGTTCTTTTCGCCTCTCAAGTTCACATTCAATTTTCTAATTTGCACACGGATTACGAAGACAATGGTTGATGTTATCTTAATATTGTTATATTTATTTTCTTTCTGACCAAGCGTAATTAAGATGATACAATGGATTAGTTAGCAGATCGTATAAATGTGTACAGTATCATGCTTGGTTACATTCTACCTTTCAGATCTACCCGAAATTTATAATTTTAACCACAAAGATCTATCAATTACCCATCTGAACTTTCTAGATCGACACCACCCGAACTAAACTTCACTTTTCACAGAGAAATTTAACTGTCAGTGATAATTTATTTGTGTTTTTATGTATTAAATTTACATTTTGACAAACGCCCATTCCCGGAAATTAGGATGAAATATTATTTTGTTCTTAAAAATGAAATAATCAATAAAACTGATTTAGTCAGAATGTAATGTAATATGTGGGTAGTCTATATAATATAAGCCGCGTCACGACAAAACCAACATGATGGGCAGTCTGATCAGGATCCATGCTGTTCGCCATCAGTTTCTCTACTTGTTATAGGGTTTGTAAGCAAACAGCATGGACCCTGATCAGACTGCGCGGATGGGCAGTCTGGTCTGCACCCATGCTGGTCGAAACCCCATTAAGTTGGTTTTGTCATGACACGGCTCATTTATGTTTTGCAATCGGGTGGTTACGTCGGGTACAAAATCGCTGCATCCGCTGTTGAGTACCAATTATATAAATTGTGCATAGCTGAAATATATTACCAGCATAATTATGAGCAGCAAACAAGCATAAACTTTGTGCAAAAAAAATAAATAATTAAAACATTTTCTTTGAGTCCAACTGTTATGCACACGAATCTTTCTGAATAATATTTTGATAAGAATACGCCGTTGTGGTGTTGCTAAAGCCGTCCAGTGGTCTAGATATATTTTAAGTGCAATAATAATAAATTAAGCTGCGGATCGGATATAATTTTGTTTCAATAAAACAGATGATTTCAGTTTGGTGAAAATTTAAACTGAATATGTGAAAAGTTTTATACCACTGAATTTAATTTACCTTTGCGATATCAGAAAATTACGTTATCGACGTACCCATTTGTAAAAACTTTTTCGAATTCCCAAATTTCTCACAATTCATGTTTGCAGCATTTTCAAAAGCATTTGTTAGACTTAAATATTTCACACTGAGACAATAATTTCAAACTCAACCTTGGATAAACTTTAAAGTTGATTAAACTTAGCTGGTATATTTAAATGTAATGAACTTCAGCGATGGAGTAAGGAAAAAAGATGCCACTTTTTGAACAAGTGACATCATGCCTGTCAAAGTGTTAATGCTGGGTGTACAGGTCAAAGTCAAAATAGCTTTAGATTTTGAATTTTATAGTCTAGCTCATGAGTATATAGTAAATAACTTAGCTATACGTGACTTGCAGAAAATTCTATATATATCCTTCTACTTAAATGAAAACAGAGGGGAAGTTTATATATACATGTACATATAATTTTTTTCTTTCTTTCTATAGGCAGTTGTTATATTTTATCTTTAACACTTTTATTATCAATTATCGGTCAAAGTCAATTATAATAGTCAATCTTTTTTAAAAAATAAAACAAAATCTGCTCAAATCGACATTGAAAATTCGGCATGTTGTCACTTTCAAAACGTTCAAATGCACTGTAATATAATCTCGTAGCATTTTGAACGATAATTCTGGCATTATTGTACCCAAACGCAAGATGAAATTTAATATCCATTTCCATACTAACATGCTCGGAAAAGTACTTTTCATGACCTTATTTGGTTTTATTCATTATCAAAAACTACCGGTCAAATTTTTCACTTTTTCTATGTTTTATACACTTTAATGATAATTTGATTTTACGCATGAGAATTAAATAAAAATATTGTTCAAATGCTGAAAATCGTGTGGTGGCCTTATTTACAAGATTGAATAAATATTTACTTTGCTTATATCTTAATTCACGCATAAGCTCGCCGATTTGTTATTTTTCTTTCTTTGGTTTTGCCTTGCTTTTAGTTTTCTTAATTCATAGTATTTCATAAAACTCTATGAAAATGAATCTACTGCATTTATTTTCTCGCTAAATTGCCCATAGGAATTTTTCACCTGACGAATTATATGGTCGATTCGTTGTTAATACTCATAGGTGTCACCATAACATTAACATTCATCATCACCTTATGAATAATTCCACTTTTAAAAGGTGATTCATTGTAATTTAGTAAGGCATCATAGCAAATGTTGCGCCCTGAAATGTTTACAACCCGTAGCGCGCACATGCAGTGTAGAAACAAACGACTTTAAACGACAAAGGGTGTTATTAGAAAGATGTTGCTCATACCTTTGTAATAGATGATTAAAATATTCACTTTGACTGGACTAATAGGTAAACATTTCAGCCCCATACCGTAATTTTCTGAATTTAACTTAGAAATACAGATTATATAGCACAAATTGAAAAAGTGCTCATTTTCATAATGCCTAACTGGATATGAAGTTTTTTACAACATCTGTGCTAAAATAGATATTAAAATAACCTATATTATCAGGGTATATTTATTATTATTTGGCGGTCATGTAGTCCACCAAAACGTGCCATGATTCCACATGTCTATTCATAATGTTTGAAAAACTTCAAATATGTAACTTTATATTGATGTATCATTTATCAAAGGTCCTCTGTACTAGTTTTACATCAACATAATCTGTAACGACATTTTAAACGTACTATAGCTTTAACGTCTAAAGTTGCTTTCAGCATATAACGCCAACCGCAGATGGACAAAAGTTTTAACGTCTACAGTTGCTGTCAACATTTAACATCTACAGCAGATGCACTAAAGTTTTACAGCTACAGTGACTGTCAACATAAAGCGTCTACCGCAGATGTAGTATACATGCAACTTTAACGTTTATAGTTGCTGTCAACATTTAACGTTTACCGTAGATGTCCCATACGTATACAGTTGGTGGCAAAATTGAACGTTTACCGTAGATGCACTATAGTTTTAACGTATACAGTTGCTGCCAAAATTTAACATCAACCGCAGATGCACTAAAGTTTTAACGTCTACTGTGGCTGTCAAAATTTAGCGTGTACCGCAGATGCATTCTAGTTTAAACGTATACGGTGGCTGTCAACATTTAATATCTACCGCAGATGTACTAAAGTTTTAATGTATACAGTTGCTGTCAAAATTTAACATCAACCGCAGATGCACTAAAGTTTTAACGTCTACAGTGGCTGTCAAAATTTAGCGTGTACCGCAGATGCATTCTAGTTTAAACGTATACGGTGGCTGTCAACATTTAATATCTACCGCAGATGTACTAAAGTTTTAACGTATACAGTTGCTGTCAACATCATTGCTGGTATGTATCACGCTGTACATAGTCAAAGGTAGTGACTTGAGAGTGAAAAATTGTAAAGTTTAGAAATATTTTGGCTCATCTTGAGACATGCAGCTTTAATTAACTTTCTGTTCTCTTATGTTCCTATAAGATATGGGGTAGGAACTATAAGTTTCCTTTCTCATGATTCAACATCAGCAACATTTATACTACGAATTTGTTTCTGAGAACTTTACTAAGCTATTATCAATACATATTTTGTAAGATAAATCTCCTTCAGGCACCTCTACTCTCTTCTTGTACTCCTGTTTATAACATTTTTATACATTCAGTTTTGCCCTAGAAGGAAACTTGTGAAACTGATTATTCGCTTACATCAATCTCTTATGCACGTTCTGTACCAACGAAATAACCCGATCGAAACAGCTCTAGATCTGCTATTATCCTTATCTTAAAGATCCTGTATGTTTTGTGATTGATATTGTTACTGAGTGTATACCACACTTGCAAAAATTATATATGTATATAATTATGCAAATAAAACAATTTTCAAACTTTAAAGAATATGTTAAATGTGTAATGCAAATATTTGTGCACATTATATTTAATCAATAAATTACATGCATTCATTTCTTATCAGAAAATTTGACTTAGAATTTATAGAAAATAAATTTCTAATTACCTCCCTTTATTTACATGAAATGTTAAATTAGGTAATATCTTTAAAAATAATGCTTATTGAAACTTACAATATTGATAAATCTCAATTTGAGCATCATATTTATGAAATAAAACCATAAAAAAATGTGTTACAGGATCTTTAAGTTTGATAGAAAGGGTCGACAAGATGCAATTGCCGAACAACCTTCGCACTCTGATTCTAAGCATGGAACTGTTAATAGATTATCAAAATATATCTACTTTGCAAATGAATTACGTGATAGAACGAATGATTAATTGTTTTCAAATACTGATATTGTCATATATAACCTACTATTATTTACAAATATATATTGAAGTACAATGTATATGTGTTCTTTACAATATAAAAATGTGAGAATGTAAAAAATAATTTGTATTCATTTACATACTTTTCTCATATACTATTTGTAACCGTCATTCTGTTTATAGCGACGAACATTGTAAAATGTTAATGCCTTTTGAAATAAATATTTAATCTTGAAACATCTTGATGCTTTCCAATCTTATCATACGTGTCTGTCTCTCTACCTGTAGAGATCGTGGACCCGAGCCCTTTGGTTTCTCCATATGAAACCAATACTGCGTGGGAAGTTCGGGTAAGTTCAAATAAGTCACACCAAAATGTAAGTACATCACGATTAAAACACACGGGACAGGGAAAGATTTATTTTTAAAATAAATTGATCAATTATGTGTTTATAAATGATTAATCAGAAGCAAGCAAATATCTGATAAATTGATATAAAAACATGATAAATCTAATTAAAATGATATAAGGCTATCATTGTAAGCATTTATATATAGATCTGAATTAAAAACACTTATAAGCTAAATATCAGATTTAATAAATAAGTTTTTATAATAACATCAACATTTCATCAAATTTTATAAACAATTTTGCCGGTTTAATAGAAGAAAATGTAAGGGTTAGGTTTAAACTAACAATTTGTTTCCGTGAAATATTGGTCAGTTTTGTTTTGACAACCATAATTCAATTGATTTAGATAAGATTTTCCCATTGGCAAAATAACTAGCATTATATTTGTTCTTATTCATTGTTCACAGACATGGAAAAAAGTGACGCCCACCTAGCATGAAGGGGTATATAAAATAAGACATTGATGGAGAGCATACTTAAATAGACTCTTCGGCCAGGACTTTATACAGAGACGGGAAATATAAAGGTAGGAATAGTCATCTGTATTATATTTTCATAAAATTTATGAAATTTAATTTTATTTATCTATTCAAATATTTAAGAATATGATGAATCAACTGAAATTTTGATAACTGCAACTTTTAAATCTTTGCATGATTTCTGTTAGACTGTTTTTCGTGTGCGTGTTTTATTTTTACCTTGGACTTCAATTGAAATTTTGATAATTGCAACTTTTTGTAATTTGATGTAAAGTATATTGATAACGTCAACTGGAGATGCGTTTTAAAGATACACTTGATTCATTTATGTAAATATCCATAGATATATATATGTACATCATTTATAGTTCTCAGAATTAACTTAATAAAATGAATAAGAAGTATTTTATATTATGCTGACATTTTTTAAGTTAAACTGCCATTAACATGTAAAAAACTTTTACATCAGAATACAATGAATTTCAGACCGATTTCACTCCGACTCAGCCCAAACTTACTTAATATAATTTGGGGTTTATTACAATAACTGAAAAATGGAAGTAAGCAAACAATAATGCTGTTAAAAAAAATAAAATAAAAGCTTACAGAATACTGTTTATGAAGCGATCTGCTACTCCTTTAACTTGTGATGGTATTCACTTAATATTTGTACGAAACTGACAATAATAATAATAATAATAATAATAATAATAATAATGATAATAATTATAATAATAATAAAACATTCAAGATCCAAGGTATATTTTTAGTTTTATGTGCGGTTTAAGACTGATTTTGCAATATTTAATACCATATTTCAACTACGTTACTAACGCAGTAAGGGCTATTTTAGCATATGTTGACGACTTTTTGGAAATTTTCTTGGATTGTAAGTGCCGATTGCAATATGTTTTATTACTTTTTTTGTTCATCCCACAATATTTTACTTTTTAATACATTTCCAAAATTTTTATGAAAATTATATGGAACTGGAGGCGTGCTGCTTAAAACAAAGAGAGAATGTTTTTTAGTATTCATGTCGTGTTCTGTGTGCATTATTTCTGTACCAGTATGTTCATATTATAAATCATATTTAACAAGACATTACTACCGATGGCTTAAGTATGTTTCCAGATTCTTAAATGTCAGCCGGTAAATTGTATAATTATACTACCGTTATATACGAACACGTTTAATCAAACCGACTCTGAAGCATTTTAAATTTTGCCGTAGTATGGCGTTTCCAATTTTTTCTATTTTGATATAAATAGATTAAATGAAATGTAATCATTGATTAAGCGGTATTTGTACAAAGATATTCAGCGGTGCTATTAAAATAATTAATGGATTTATAATACAATGTACGTCAAATCGAACTTACTGAGAAATATGTATAAAACCCTGTTTTTATTACCACACTTTTTCTGTTGTATATACATTAATTGTTCCATCAAAATATGGCAATGAAAAAAAATGTGGTTCCACCCGCCATTTCATAATGTGATCAATCATTAGTATTTATTATCGAAAGTGGTCACCTAATTGATTTGAATTGAGTAAGTCAGAGAATGTTTCCATAAAATATGCAATAATAAGGAAATAGCCAATGCGGCTATTGTCTCTGTGTTCACGAGGATTAGATTTAAAAACTCATATATTCACCATTGTTTTTTTTTCTTTCATAGATTAAATATTTAATATTAATTAAAATAAGCATGTTTATGAAATTTTAGAATTAGTATACATATATTTATTTTAGAAGATTAGGATATTTTACAGTTAACCCAAATATTGATATTGATACTAAAATTGATCCTTATTTTGATCCGATTATTTTTGTATTTGTTATGTTATTTGTTGATTAAACCTAAAAATAGGATTGCTTCATTGCAAAGAAGTGTTTTTTACATTTTGTATCATTTAATTATTGCAAAATACGATCAATTCGAGTTTTTAAAAATAATAAATATAAAATCAGGATCATTTGATCCTGTACCAGATATTTTCTCAGTGAACACGGTGCCTGGTTTTATTGGCTGAAGATTAAAGGTAACAGACACCTGATGATGGCGCATATACATGAGCCGCATCATGACAAAACCAACATAGTGCATTTGCGACCAGCATGGATCCAGACCAGCCTGCGCATCCGCGCAGTCTGATCAGGATCCATGTTGTTCGCTATCAGTTTCCCTACTTGTAATAGATTTGGTTAGCGAACAGCATGGATCCTGATCAGATTGCGCGGACGAGCAGGCTGGTCTGAATCCATGCTGGTTGCAAACGCACTACGTTGGTTTTGTCATGGCGCGGCTCATATCTTCTTTATCATTCTGTATCATGAATGATGACAATATCAACTTAGTTGAAAAAGATCATGAACAGTTTTCCAATCGTTATCTGATGTCTTTTAAAGCTATTGGTTATTAAAAATCTGAAATATCATTAATGCATTTCTTCTTTCAGTTCAATTTCGTGAACATATGTCAACCATGATCGGGTTTTCAGCGTTTGTTGCAATTCTACATATTGGTTATGTAGCGACCTTTTCTCCAACAGGTTAGTGTTGTTAAGTGATATAGGAGGTGAGATAGAAATGAAAAAGGTTTCCCATTCGCCTCCACCCTGTCGCCCGTCCTAGGTTTTTTATGTGACCGGTGTAGTTTTGAACATAGACATTTTGTAACTTGTTGACTGGCAAATGTGAAGTACGAATATATGCCCCTCGAACAGCATTATCGAAATAACCATTTATTGTATGCCCGAAAGAATATCGGGCATATTATGTTATAACCCCTGGCGTCCGTCTATTCGTCTGTTCGTTTGTCTGTCTGTCCGTCCATTTGCACTCTCGTTTCCGGAGCATAACTCAAGTTCCATTTGGACCACAAAATTCAAACTTTATAGGATGAGTGTCCATATTGAGTAGAAGACCCCTATTAATTTTTTGGTCACAAAGTCAAAGGTCAAGGTCACTATAGATGTAAAATGTTATAGGATGAACAGCTATGTCCAATACATGACCCCTATCGATTTAAGGATCATCAGGCCACAATGATCTAATCATCTTTACACTGAAAATTGTGGTTATCTTCTGTAAAATTGGCAACAGGCGCATTATATTTAAATTTGATGAATATTCAATCAACTTACTCATTCTAAACCATTCATTTAGGAAAAATCACATTATGTTGCCGGCTGTTTTATTTTGAAACCAAGGGGAGCAACTTCAATGGTGTACGAAACTTTTTTCAGTAAAGTTGATTCATAGTTACATCAAACTATTAATGGTTATTAAAAACATTCAATATCATATTTAGGTCAGACTCCTGTATTAATTTTCTCATAGACTTATGTTGTAAGAAATGACCTTTAAATCTACCATGTGATTTTTCTTGGAGAATGACATGCCTGGCACTTCAAAATGATGTTATATATAGGGTTGACAGACCAATGTTTTTGCAAAATTTCATCAAAAATGATTATCCATCTTTTCTCTGAATTTTAAGCTGATAACAGAAGTGACATATATTTTTATAATGCAAATATCTAGGTGACAAGTTATCCTAGAGACTTATAAAACAGTTCATTTTTCAAGAAAACAATGCAGTGTTAGATTCTTAGATAATTTCAAAAGAAGTTCTACCACTTGGGTTTAGATGTAAACAAAGCATGACTAACGAATGTATATGTTTGACATCCAAAGTAAAATAAAGTTGAAAATATGTCTGACAACCATTTCTGATTTAAATATTCCATTGATGTACGTTTAAAAGCGAATCCGAATAAATGTCAACAGGTTGGCATTTTCTCCTTCGGTTTCTACAAGCGTAATAATAAGTATATTAATAATGTACAGCTTACTTTTATATCTATGAATTTATTTACTTGATATATTGGGAAAAAACTTGTTAACAATTCCCAGCATTAAAATGCTATTTGTTTACATGTTTAGTTTCCCAGCATAGGTTAGACCGAAATACCGTTTCCGTTCTGTGTATTATTGCTATAAGGACCTACCTTATCCGAAGACTGACGGAAAGGGTCGAAAAAGTTCCCATCTCTCTGCTGCAATATTGAATTCGTATCTTTCAAAAATTTTCTTATCTCATTTAATCCTTCAAAAATGCCATTTTCTCAAGAAAACGAAACAAACCTCATCATACTTGTCTAGTCTTTGATATTGTGAACATTTCTAGTGTTGAAGAACACAAGCACCTTGTTGTCACCTTTCCTGAAACTGGTAAATGGACCTCACATGTCAATAAAGAATGACAGAGCATTGGTATCCGTAGAAGTCTGAAAATTCTTATTTCTAGAATGGGGTTGGAGAAATTATATATAGCTTTCATTAGACCATTGCTTTAGTATGCCGACGTGATATGGGATAAGTGTAGTAATGAACTAAAATACGGCATTGAATCAGTTCAGCATTAAGCAGGAAGAATCATAACAAGAGCAACTGAGCTTTGTAACAAGAACAATTTAATTAACGACCTCAGTAGGGATACTCAAACAGAAAGGAGACGAAAACGAACAAATGGTTTGCTCCTGATTATGTCTCTGGTATGATACCAGGGTGGGTAGGCACAATATTGCTATCAAGAGAAAAATCACTCAAGATGTGCCTCCACGTGAAAGAAAGCACACGAGTTGATATTTGATAAAAGTTCTAGCAACGGCATTTTGAGGTATTCCGTATCGAAATTGCATCTGAATGATGAAAATATGTACTATATGGCACAGCATTCTTCGATTTTTTGAAAACCAGGAATGATCTTTTTAATGAGATATGTTTAGAAATATTGTCATCCTTTTTCAGCTTTGTTTTGAACGACGGTTCTTCAGCGGAAGTGTTGAGGGCTCTCATTTAAACTTAAATGAGCCGTGTCATGACAAAACCAACGGAATGAGTTTGCGACCAGCATGGATCCAGACCAGCCTGCGCATCCGCGCAGTCTTATCAGTATCCATGCTGTTCGTTTACCAACCCTATTACAAGTAGAGAAACTGATAGCGAACAGCATGGATCCTGATCAGACTGCGCAGGCTGGTCTGGATCCATGCTGGTTGCAAACCCATTACGTTGGTTTTGTCATGACACGGCTCAAATGTGAAAGATCCAGCGTGTAGTAGGGGTTCTCCCTTGGAAACAGCCTTAATATTGTTTCATTGCCCACACTGAATTGCTTTTTACTTTTAAAAAATCCTTTATGTTTCCCCAAATGTATCTTTTGAATGTATTTAAAGATCCTGTTACAATTTTTTTGGTTTTAAATCATAGATTAAGATTTATCAATATTGTAGGTTCCAAAAAAGCATTATTCATAAAGATATAACCGAATTTAACATTTCATGTAAATAAAGGGAGGTAATAAAAACTTTATTTTCTGTAAAGTTTAAGTCAAATTTTACAATAAGAAATGAATGCACATATTTTAATGATTACATATAATATGCACAAATATTTGTAGTACATATTTTACATATTTTTCCAAATAATTTTTATTTGCCTAATTATGTACATATATATAATTTCACTTAGTGTGGTTAACCACTATGATTACAACATACAGAATCTTTATTATTTTATATACTTTTTTAATTTCACTTTTTTATTATCTTTTCTAAGTGGCTTGATGCAACAACTGTCTATGTCCTCGAGAATGGTTTGACACAAAAGATTGATTAAGCACGATGTATCATTGAAATTATGCAAGTGTTAAATATGTTATTAAATTTTACTGTTACAGTGACTGTGTCATGCTCGGTCGGACCGTCGTACACATTTACAACGACTGGTGAATCTGCCACCGGTGTTATATTCATTGACGGAGTATGCGCCGCCCAGACCACCGATGGAGGACCATATACTTTCACCGATACAGAGTGTTCCGGAAGTGCTCCTGCTTTAGTAAGTTGACATTTATTTGAAAATGTGTAATAAAAGTATACAATTTTAGTAAGGAATATAAAACCAGTTTTGTGCGTGTAGCAAAATAAGAGATTTTTATCCGATATAAGACGAGTTCCGTGTCAGACATGACTTGTTCCTGCCAATTCTCCCTGAATATCATGTTTATTCAAATAGCTCAATGCCATATTCCCTGGGCCATGTGTACGACAACATTTCCCTTACCAGGAATTAAACTAGTTCCGAGAAACTTTATTCTAGTAGTAACATGATAACACTCATTGCCAACTTGTTCTGCGGTAAAGTCCATTTCGTTACAGAAATGGAGCAGCTTCATGAAAACATTTATTCTGATAGCTCCGTTATACATGTCTTTTGTTTACTACAGATTTTATTTTTAATTTTTGTGTTTAAAAGCTTATAGATACGTACTGTACGTCGCATCCTTTCCTGACATCATTTAATCCATTACTAGGCAAAGAATGTAAAGTTTATAACATAATGAAACTATTATATGGCTTGTCGGTTGATCAAGGCGGTCATGCAGCGATCTTTCTAGTAATTTAGTCCGATGCATTAACCAATAAAAGTCTTTACAGTATGAATAATATAAGATCAGTTTCAATGTTTAATTCAATTCCATAGCCTCATTCTCAAAAGTCACACTAGAAGTAGTCAATCGGCATACCTCGGCTATTTTTCATGATAACCTTCGAGAAAGTAGTTCTATCACGTGGTTTTGGATGTCACTGTTATCACTCATGTTTTGTTTGTATTTATTTGGGAAGGGCTTAATCTTATGTTGCCCAACCAGTTTTTCTTTTGCTATGTATTTGTCAATCTGTAGCCTATAATGTTTTACGTATATGCATGTAATATGTTTAAACTATATTTATTTATTCTTTCATATGTGTTTTCTGTTCTAACACAATGTGCACGTTATTTTAAAAATCGTGTTTGTGTCTAATTTACACGACAGGGCACAGAGTTCAGGGTCATTGTTCAGGAATACGGAACGATAAACCTTTCATCTGATTTTATCGCCACGGTAACATGCAACCTCACTGACGTCACGGTTGTTGAGACTACATTTGTAAGCGTTCTGTAAGTGATTATCATTGCTAACTTCTCTTGTAATATCTTATTCTATCTCAGGGAACTGAATTCAAGTTGGTCATTCAAGAATATGCTACGATAAATCTGGCTACTGACTCGATTGTGAAGGTGACATGTACCCTGGACACCAGTAATGTTGAGAAAGTAGTATCTGTATCGGCAAGGTAAGTATTTTTGATAAGTGGTGACAATATGAAGCCGATGAACAATCTGTTTTAATCTTACATAAAATAAAAGTATAAAGTATAAAAAAACTTTATATGTAATGACTTTGAGGCGATACAATATCCACGTTCATCATCATTTAGGGGGCAGGGGACCTAAAAATGAAAAATTTTGTATTTCAGTGTGACCAGAAACACAATTCCAAATATTTCAAAATATGTTTCACAGGCAGATAACCAGTTGCACAGCATTATTCAATGCTATATGACAAACATTGAAAAAAATAATAGTTTGTATGCATTGCTCCTTCAAAAAATGACTGACAGCAATTTATATTTACCCCCACCCAGCCAAAATCACACCTAAAATATACCAATATGGGCAATCTTCATGAAGGTGCAGCATACTCCAGAATCCGCCCGATTCCTTTAAAAATATCAGTAACACGCAGTGCAAGCCATGGCATTTTCAGAAATGACAAATAAAGTGTCTGTCATACGTTTAGATTTTTCACAAAATTTATCTGAAATTTCTTACTTGTTTGGCGCCAACTGTCAAAGCTTGATTTTTAACTTTTTCACCTCCATTCGGAGAGTCAGAAATACATACAAAGCTACCAAAATGCTTAGTTTCGGGTAAAAACCCAAAAATATATCTCATTTACTACACACAAACAAGAAAGAATTACAATGACAGAGAAATATCAGAAGTTATCAGTACCTTCAAAACACCATGTCTGAGTTATTAAAAAATTTGACCGGGGCCATCATTCGAATATGTCCCCTGCCCCCTTAATCGGGAGCGATTTTAAATTCCGACAATATAACTTGTACCATATACTCACACCGCAGCAATGATATAAGAGTCACATTAAGTCCTATAGGTTGCCATGGAGACAAAAAAGTATAAGAGCCGACATTCATGACATTGTAACTTTGATTAACATTTGTAACTAAAACACCATGAACATCGCAATTAATCTTCGATAAAAAGATTGAAACATTCGAGGGCTGACGTTTTTACAGTTCTGCGGATGCCTGTCTATTAAGTGCGGAGGTGCAACAAGAACTAGGAGTCACGTGCTCAAAGGCATCATCCGTTTCAAGGGTTTCACGTGCTCTTTTCGGAATTTCAACAGTAGTTTCATTGATTCTCGTGCAGTAAAACAGTGTCACAGGTAAATGCAAATTTATATTGTTTCTCTTTTATTACATGCTTTGATAATTTTAAATTTAAATATTTTCAAACCGACTACAACAACACCAATAATAGAAGAGAAATAAAAAAGACAAATAATTTAGTGAAAAGGTGGATCTGATATTAGTTGTCATTTGAAACTGTATAAATAGAAAAAATACGGGATTATGTGATACTAGAAAAGGTAAATCGCCTCTGGTTGACAATATCAATTATCACCTCGGCAACTATGTGTTATTATAGACAAACTTTATGGTTGACTTCAAGAAGTCACCCCTCATCGCTTTGAGTTCGAGTCTGGAGATGGATTTTTTTTCTTGCATATCAGACTGGCGTTTCCGTGAGTTTTTCCATGCCAGAAATTTCATCTGGCATGGGGGGGGGGGGGGTTCCAGATCAGTCGCGTGCTGTATACAATGGCACGGTTAGGATGACGTCATTTTACCGTTATGAATGAAGTTGTAATTCATACGCTGTTGTAAGAAAGAAGTTACGGTTGTAATGATATGAATTTTCATTGAAAATAAAGATAAAGAATTTAAAATATAATTGAATATGGAAGAATATGCAAGAAAAAACATCTTACATATGTTTGCGGTTCGGATCGGAATATCTATCCCTCGGTCATCCGCCCATGGGCGGGTCACCTCGGGACGGATATTCCGATCCGAACGGCAAAATAAGACAGATAATATTATTCACACGAGAAGCTATCCAGATAGCTATCTACGGAACGTCGGTGGTTCTACTCAGAACTGGTACCTGAAATAATTCACGGAAGGGCACCATAAATAATTGTTCAGTTAAGATGGTAATTCTATAATTATTCTCAATGTATTTATCTTCAAATTATGTTGTCCTTTATTGTAATGGGTATAAGAATAGAATTTCCATTAATAACTTCTTGGTTTTATAACAACTTATAATCATATGATATATATCATCATGTTGTTTATATCCATTTTGATGGTCTTGATTTTGTTCAACTTTAGAACTGTTTGTAACTCTTGTGCCAAAATGGTCTTTGAGTTTACAACTTGAAACTTTGAAAATTCTGTTCGGGTGATATTCAATCTAAACACAGTATAAGTGTAATAGAAGTTTAATTCATGTATACACATAATAAAAACTTTCAAGCTAAAAACAGTTAATTGTTGATAAGCATGGCCCAAGCGATCTTTATAACATTTTTCCTGGAAATGTTTCATATAATTATATGTATATATCAAATGACAACGAATACCAGATTCTTTTTGTCATATGACTAAATATAGACCGTTAACAACTTTTATTTATACACTTTTAAAAACGTGTTTAACACGTGTTTTATGTCAAGAAATACTTAATGGTTAACTTATATTACATAGAAAACAAGGGAAGTAATGACATTAAATAATATACATATATATCATATTTATACATTATTGATTTGACTTTTAGGAAAACGATCGTGTTTAATTGGTTCTCTTTTGTTAACAGAGTACATATAACTAAATGTATACATCACAAAACATGTATACACGTGTTCATCTGGTAACAAAGAGCAAAATGAGTAGAGGAAATTATCAATGTGTAGAATTATTCTAAAGTATAAAATACATATTTGTTTACATTGCAGATGCCGTGGGATTACTTGCGAACAAATGCTGTTTACTTTATCACTTTTTAAGTTTCTAATTTAACATTTTTCCTATTTATTATATAAGTGATGAATAAAAAATGAACGTTTGGCTTCTTTCAAACACATTTCAAAGTGGTTTTCTTGTTGTTTTATTATTATTGTTATTAATATTATCATTGTTTATATCTTAAATGGTTTTCCAAATCTTAAACTTTACGAGTCATAGAAATAAGTTATATAATGACTTATTATTAAATCAAAATCTGCACGTTGAACTATTGAACCTGATCCTATGTCGAACCTGATTCTATTTTAAGCACGATCCTTTGTCGGAAAAGATCCTATGTCGAACATGATCCTATGCCGAATACTTCCTATGTCGAAAAGATCCTATGTCGAACCTGATTCTATGTCGAACCTGATCCTATGTCGAACCAGATTATATGTCAAACCTGATCCAAAGTCGAACATGATCCTATGTCGAGCATGATCTTATGTCGAAAAGATCCTATGTCGAATCAGATCCTATGTCGAACCTGATCCTGTATACATACTACTTCCTTAAACAGTATGCACACTGTGAGTTACAATGAAATATCCTACAGTTTTGAGTGTGTTATAATTACAACATTAATGGCTGCATTAACTGGTTTGTGTTTCATTTCATAAGTAGTTAAGGTATACCATGGATGTCTAGGGTTTGATGTAGTCATTGGGAACACCTCAACGATAACTCGCAATAATCTCGGAATAAAAACATTCCATCAGCTAACGAGACATTTAGGGCAACGAGTACAACTGTTAAACATTCCGTCAGCAAACCAGAAATTTAGAGCAACGAGTTCAACCACTAGCTAACCAGAAATTTAGGGCAACGAGTTCAACTGTTAGCTTACAACGACTACAACCACTATCATTGTATATGTATTAGCAAACTAGATATTTAGTGGAACGAGTACAACCGCCGACATTCCGTCAGCAAACTACAGAGAAAGGACCACCGATCTTCCGTCGGCAAACATTTAGTAAACTTTTGAAACCACCAACCTTTAATCTAATAAATGTTTATTATAAAGTTATCACGAAAACGTCAATATGTCTCTGAATTAAATGTGGCGAGGTTTATAGCCAGTAAATAAATTGTGTGATGGGGGTCGGTTACCATAAATGTGCTGTAAAGCGCCGTCTTAATTGTTTTACGTAAACAAATTTGTGCATTCAATTTTCTACATGTATGTTTAGAAGAGTACTTGAGCCTCCCCCCCCCCACCTCCCCCCAAAAGAAGTATGTATTGCGTTTTTTATGGCTTGCATGTTTACCTCTCCTGAATGTATGTACAAAACTTCTGGAGATTTTCACTGACTTGATTTTCTCAGGCTTCTCATTGAAGGCCTTACGTTTGCGTATTTTACCGTGTACGCGGGATAACAATTTTACATTTTATTTAATTTGATTTTAAATAACTTTGCATCTACAACATGGGGCCATTGTGACTCTAGATCTCTTACTTGAGAAATGGTTGTACGAAACTGAATAACATAATATCATCAAGACAGGTTTTTCAAGGTGCGGGGCTTAGTCATAATGTTGTTTTTTTTTTAAGTGTGATTCTAAAGAGACATTCATATATTTATATAACCATACACAAGTCATTTTATAAACCGTAAAGTTGCGTTCAGTTGAGCCAAAATATTTGATGAAAATCAAACGTATTAAAAATGTTCCAAGACTTTAAGAATCACAATTTTTTTCAGAAATACTTTATATTAAATGCAATTATAATTATAATAACTGATTTAGTAGAATCCATCACTATATATCTGCTGCGTTACTAAAGCAGTAAGAGCTGTTTTTTTTCTTCTCGACCTATTCTTTTTTTGTTATTTCTGTATATTGTAAGTGTATTTTTCTGTGTGTAAATTACTTTCTTTGTTCGCTTGACTATATCTTACTTTCAAATTCATTAAAAAAAATTCATGAAAATTTGAATATTGTACATAATGTTAAATTTGGGTGTCATTTTAGTGGAGAAGATTTCGACACGACCGACACGGGCTCGGTTTCACCTACGTTCACAGTAGCGGTCGAAGACTCTATTGGGGATCCTCTTACTTCCGGCACTATTGGAGACGCCGCCACAATTAAAATTTCGATTCCTGCAGCAGAAGCACGTACGTGAGTTATAAAGATATGAACGTTCAATAAGTTTAAAATATAAGGCTTTTTTAAATGCAAAATGAAGTGAAATGAATGGAGAGCAAATTTTACGCTATTTCGTACAATGGCTTATTTTCCATTAGATTTCCATGCACAGTTGCACCATAATTATACAGTTTTTGCTTACACGTGAGCGAAACACTGGAATTTACGTAGACTACAACTAAAGTAGACTGTTTACGTCAGAATCGATGGTGATAATCAGTTCATTTGAGCCGCCTCACGACAAAACAAACATAATGAGTTTGCGACCAGCATGGATCCAGACCAGCCTGCGCATCCGCGCAGTCTGATCAGGATCCATGCTGTTCGCTTACAAACCCTATAACAATAGCGAACAGCATGGATCCTTATCAGACTGCGCGGATGCGCAGGCTGGTCAGGATCCATGCTGGTCGCAAACCCATTATGTTGTTTTGTCGAAACGCGGCTTTTTTTTGTCAATCGTTATATAGCATCACAAAGGTGTTTGTTGTGACGTTGACGGCTACTACTACGACTTTGACGTCATTAATAACGGGTACAACAACGAAAAACGATGACTACGACTACGGGTTCGATTGTTTCTATATGACGACAGTGACAACATGTGAGACAAATGCTGCTACTGTTACTGACACTGCTGCTGCTGTTGCTTTTACTTATACACTTCGACAACTTAAAAGACTATGACAACCACTTCTATGACAACGGCGGCGGCAACAACGACGACGACGACGATTACTACTACTTCTACGACGACGACGACTTTTTCTCTGCAACTTAGACGTATACGATTACGACTATCCATCAACTACGCCAACGGTTTCGACGACGACGACCACCACCACCTCAACAACAACCATAACGGTTCATTTACTTTTCGTCACTAACTGACTTACCTTTTATGAAGAGGCTGCTATGATCGTACAAGATTGTTTAACGTTCAAGTGAACCTTTTATCTACAGAACATGATATAACTATCATTTTTTCGTGCTGATCAATACCTTTATATTCATATCATCCTCACAAGTAGGTGTGCATGAACCTATCCAACCTAGCTTTATTTATGTTATAAGTAGGGTTTCCCATTCCCGCCAGTTGCAACTTCGCCCGCCCTTATGTAAACAATACGCAGTGATGTCCCTTTAGAAATATTCAGATGTACTCGTCTCACATCTTATTAAGCCTCTCGTAAAAATCATGCTATTTCTGCAGTCAGCTCAGTTCTTTTTGTTTATTTCAGTTGTATTCGATTATCAAGTTACCGGACTTGACATCGCAGCAACGGACACTGTCACGCTCATTACCGCTGGGTAAATATTTAACTTATAGGGTTAACGTTTTACGGTGAATATACTGGGAAATAAGACTTATCTTATTTTTGAAAATCTTTATACTTAATAAGGGAGTGTTACATTCTTCATTCTTGACAAGCTGTCAATGTTAGTCGTACAAAATGAATATGGGTTTGTCGGTCAAGGTCACTAGTTACTAATGGACACTGGTCTACAGACCTAAGGATCTGAAGACCGAAGAATTAGTGTTAAGGTGGATTATGATTAGCAGATGACCCGTCATAAGGAAGGCCAAGGTCACATTGACACTGTGTAAATCCTCTGTCTAATCAACAACTTGAGAAGTAATAAGCTCAATAAGTACATGCGAGCATTGTCCATAGCCTGTAGGAGGCCCCTATTGATTCTGATGTCATAAGGTCAAGGTCATCGTTACATTTAGATCACAGTTATGACACAGTAACACTTGAAATCTTTTCGAAGATATCACTGTTATAGGTTTGTAACACTTATTACTTATAACACTATTAATATAAATATATCTTAAACTTATTGACATAATAGTTGACTTTTATGAACAATGCTAAGTATGTTATGCACGAAACTAAAAAGAGAGCATTTATCAATAAACTATATGTAATTACTGTTTTTATAAAGGTGCCCAGACTTTTCAGCTATCATAGCCCAGCCGTCATCACCAACAGCCGGAGTTCTCTCTATTCCTTTCAACTTGTTTATTCCGAAAGATACTTCTACATCAGCTGCTCTACCGGGAACGTCAGCTGTTTCTGTGACCTTCACCTTTGACATAAAAGTCTGCGATACTTCTTGTCCAGCGGTAGGCTGTTTTGTATTTTTAATTGATTTGCATCTTCCTTATATTCAACATTCTTGTTTGTCATAAAAAGGTTTATTGTTAATATTTCCTTGTGATGTATGACTAAGTATTTGTCCTGGATGCCCCAGTGCCGTGTTATAACTCCTACCAAGATGGCTGAATCGCTTATTTTCATTTTGAGATGATTGCTATTTAAATTAGCTGATAATAATATTGTGCAGTAAGACCATTCTTAATTGTACATACAAAGAAAGACTGAAATTGGATATTGAAATAATGAGTGTAGATTCAATGGAATCTACTAAATTTATCTATTTATTCTAATTATTTATTTAGTTCAGTGAAGATATGCAAATATAATATCATATAAATCACATACCCAAAATAATAGTATTGATATGGTCAAAAAGAACAGTTTTTCATTTGGCGTATAATATATGAGCCGTGCTATGACAAAACCAACATAGTGCGTTTGCGACCAGCAAGGATCCAGACCAGCCTGCGCATCCGCGCAGTTTGATCAGGATCAATGCTGTTCCCTATCACTTTCTCTACTTGTTATAGGATAGGTTAGCCCTGATCAGACATCGCGGATGCGATTTTGAGTAACACCACGCTCACAGGCACGAGTATCGGACCTGGGAAGAAAAAATTTGACCAGATTGATAATAAAACCTGTGTTCATCTTAAAAGTGTCAAAAACCTAAAAAAATGTGTAAATAATGACCCCTTTTAAAAATATACTTTAAGTTAAGAGAAGGCCGGAAACTCCAGATTCGAGCCTACGAGCAAGGGATTCATTCCCCGGGCCGTTGTGAAAACAATTGACCAGACAATTAAAAAAAAAACTTTTATCACTATTTCACGTTTGTATTAAGCTTCCAAATGAGACCGACCCAAAGTTTCTAGCCCTTCCCGTTCATGAAATATCTATCAGGAAACGAGCGAATTTGTGCTAAAAATCCTTGGTAGACAGAATTGCGGCACAACGATTCAACATAGACTAATACATGTTTGTCAGCTGAGTACGGGTCAAAATCACTTGAATTTACTAAATAATATTACTAAATACATTAAGTTGGGCCACTCACAACAGTCAGTAGCATCTGATACACGCAAAATTCGAATTTCAAACCTTTCCACGGTCTTTAGATTCCTTTCTACGCCATTGTCAATCAGCTGTTCGATATTTTGTAACGAGTCTTCTGATTGGCCAATAGCAATTATCAATCTGGCCAAATTTTTTCTTCCCAGGTCCGATACTCGTGCCTGTGACCACGCTATGTTTATATGACGTGACGTTAAAATGTATGTACGACCACAGGCACGAGTATCGGACCTGGGAAGAAAAAAATTTGGCCAGATTGATTATAAAACCTGTGCTCATCTTAAAAGTGTCAAAAACCTAAAAAAATGTGTAAATGATGACCCCCTTTAAAAATATACTTTAAGTTAAGAGAAGGCCGGAAACTCCAGATTCGAGCCTACGAGATAGGGATTCATTTCCCGGGCCGTTGTGAAAACAATTGGCCAGACAATTAAAAAAAAACTTTTATCACTATTTCACGTTTGTGTTAAGCTTCCAAATGAGACCGATCCCAAGTCTCTAGCCCTTCCCGTTCATGAAATATCTATCAGGAAACGAGCGAATTCGTGCTAAAAATCATTGGTAGACAGAATTGCGGCACACCGATTCGGTACGTAAACATAGACTAATACATGTTTGTCAGCTGAGTACGGGTCAAAATCACTTGAATTTACTAAATAATATTACTAAATACATTAAGTTGGACCACTTACAACCGTCAAAAGCATCTGATACACACGAAATTCGAGTTTCAAACATTTACACGGTCTTTCAATCGCTTTCTACGCCATTAGGCATCCTTGCGTGAAACGTTGCGGTTTCGTTGCTATTGGCCAATCAGAAGACTCGTTACAAAATATCGAACAGCTGATTGACAATGGCGTAGAAAGGAATCTAAAGACCGTGGAAAGGTTTGAAATTCGAATTTTGCGTGTATCAGATGCTACTGACGGTTGTGAGTGGTCCAACTTAATGTGTTTAGTAATATTATTTAGTAAATTCAAGTGATTTTGACCCGTGCTCAGCTGACAAACATGTATTAGTCTATGTTTACGTACCGAATCGTTGTGCCGCAATTCTGTCTACCAAGGATTTTTAGCACGAATTCGCTTGTTTCCTGGAACGGGAAGGGCTAGAGACTTGGGGTCGGTCTCATTTGGAAGCTTAAAACAAACGTGAAATAGTGATAGAAGTTTTTTTTAATTGTCTTACCAATTGTTTTCACAACGGCCCGGGAAATGAATCCCTTGCTCGTAGGCTCGAATCTGGAGCTTCCGGCCTTCTCTTAACTTATAGTATATTTTTAAAGGGGGTCATTATTTACACATTTTTTTAGGTTTTTGACACTTTTAAGATGAACACAGGTTTTATTATCAATCTGGTCAATTTTTTTATTCCCAGGTCCGATACTCGTGCTTGTGTGTACGACCGTGTCATATCTTTGAAAAAAAGCGGCTCGGTTGGGTATATGGGGATTTTAACATATTCTCGTATACAAATTTGATATGTCCTTATTTTGCTGTTGCGTTGTTTCATGATATTATTATATATGCATGACCTCACACAAAACTCATTTCAATAAATTTCAAGTGACTAATTTACAATGACCCGTATGTCGTGAATGCTAAATACAGTTATAGACGATGTCAATAAAATCTTCTCTTTTTTCGTTTACCGATTTCCATATTAAATAATCTTTTATTTGCTGGAACTGAAAGTGATTTTCCTTTGGCACCATTTTACAATTATACAGCCAGACAAGCTTGTAAATCTCTACAGCCTGGCATAGCTCTTTACTGCTGGTAGCTCAATTTTTGTACTTTGATATTGAAATCCCGTCAACTTTGAATGGACTGTTCAAAATTCAAAACAAGGCAAATCCATTATAAAAAGTTAGCAGACTACGGGTTACAGTTAGTGAATCACATGCTCTCGATGCTGCTTTGATGGGTTATTTTTTCATGGAATAAAAAGTATTAAAACAATTGATAGATGTTTTGTATATTTACGTATATATATTGCACTGAATTTTGTGTATGTGCAGGTATCTTGTACCAGGAAGAAAAGGAGCATAGAAAACTCAAATTCTACCATTGAAGTTGAGCTTGCAACGTCACTCGTGATTTACCCTGCAGGTACGTACAGTTATGCTAAACAACGGACGTTGGTGTCTCGATCTGTGTTAAATTAAAAAAAGGAAACAAATGGTTAAATAAAGTTAAACCTAGAAAAAAGTAGATGTTCTGACTACATGTTAGACATTGCACTATTAAGGCTATTCCTGAAAATGCAGGTGCTGTAATTACACGATAGATCTTTTACGATTGAGGCTACTCCTGAAACAAACAAAAAATATGTACGTCTTTGACCTTTATATGTCCCTGTGATAAAATATCATGCAATTTTCAGTTAAAGCTGTGCGACTTTCGATTTGATTTATGATTTTTAAAACAATACGCATCCAAACCAAAGATATGAATGTTATAAGAGCTTATATCAAAATGCTTATTTTATCGTTAGGGAAAGTGTAATATTTCTTTTATTTTTAAAGGTCACAAACCTTTCGCTAAAATGGCACCATCGAACGTGGACATAGAAGAAGATGAAAAAGATGTGTGCTTGTCGAAGACACCTCTTATTGGAGTGTTGGTGGCACTGTCAGGTGCTCTCATCGTTTGTATGGGGATAACAGTATGGCTGTTCTGTCGACTAAGAAATCCAATTAAAGGCGACAGGAATGATTTTACCAACATGGGATTCAAGTCTTAGATTTTAAAGATACCAACAGTTAAAGCTGCATCGTCACACATATCAAATGTTAATGCAAACAAAATGGACATTAAGTCATCTGAAAACATATCAAATGCTTATGAAGATTGATTTTTATCCCTACAGTAGATTTTAGCAGCTCTAAACTTGAGATATTTTTTGTTTTGTTTTGCTTTTGGTCAATTTCTAACAAGATGTTATATGTATGCTAAAAAGGTAGACTTTATATATGGATATTTAATTAATGTCTTCTTATTCAAATAAAATTTTTATTCAGTTGAAAAGCGAAGAAGAGAACCCGTATTACACGTGATCAAACAAGCGTTTGTGTGAAAGTGATGCCAATTATAATTATAAAAAAATGTTTGTACAGATATTTACTTTTTATAATTCTGAAGAAATTATTTTTTTACGCCAAGAAAGTGCTTAAAAGATAACATCGTCATATGGTTTGCTTTTTTCAAATGTCTTTAAATGCTAAAAAAGAAAAAAAGTTTTCAATTTTTCCGTTGTAAATTTTTAAGACTTTTTATTATTAAAAAAATATCATTTCTATTTTTAAAGACAATACTAGTAACACTAGGCAAAATGATGTATTTGAGATAGTTTTACATTGACTGATAGTTTTTTTTTGTTATCTATAAAATAGTTTTTCTTTGTTATCTATAAAACTTTTCTATTCTGGTCTTATAATTTAATAGAATTATATATATGTTATTAAATTTAATATCTTTTTTAAAAGTGTTATTTGTTATTATTTGGATATTGTAAAAATAAATAACGAATCTTTATTCAAGCTGAAAGTATAGTGAAGCTGCTGTTGTTATTGTTGTGCTGAGTTATGCTTATAGCCCCCTCCCCACGGGTACCTTGCAGTATATGAACTCTTGAAAAGTACTTGTTTTATTTGTTTAAAATGAAATACTCGCATATCAATATAATTTCAACTAATGTGAAAAACATTTTTGTGGTGTCCTAAAACTAAGGTTGTCGTTGAATATCACGATATCGATATATCGTCGATACTCAAGAATCGGTAAAATCGATTAACAAGTTTCAAAATTGATAAATCTACAATTTAAAACCCATTTCTTCATGTTTTAATGAAAATATCTCACTAATTTACGAAAGATATTTGATGTATCGATATATCGTTGATATTTGGCTTTTGTTATATCGATTTTTTTTTTCTTCAATGACAGTCCCACGGAAAACCACATGTAGATACCACCTCTCTAGACGTAAGTAACTTTTCATATAAGACATAAAAAGAAAAAAAAAGAAATTGTTTCTAGCGAAAAGGAAGACAACATTATGCTGATGGTACCACTATCGAAAGATTTTAAATTCTAAAATCATGTTTAAAACAGATTATAATAACTATTGATTGTGCCAAATATCTAAAACAAATAAGAGGTACACAGCTATGTAAAATTAGTGAGGCGACTATTCATATTTATATATTTTCAAATAATGAATAGACATAAATATAAATCCATTGACAGTTTAAAAAGTTGGCATATGTCAATATAACCTCCGTAAAATGTATCGGGACTGATCTGTTTTTGGTAATAATGATGAGATATTCAAGAGTTTTGTTCGACTGCATATTGTAATGTATCTTCTTTCGGATAACGACCCTCAATTATCCCCATCAGAGGCAAGCCGTTGTTTCCTTGAGCAAGAAACTTCACCATCATTGCTCAATACTGGTTGATTCCAGCAACAGATTCCAAAGTGTGTCTATCAGCTTAAACTGAACTTAAATAAATTCTGTAGAAACATTCTGTACATCCATTGCGTAACTTGTCAAGTTGTTCGTACAATTGCACCAAATTTCATCACCATATTTCAAACAGGTCAAATGAATGCTATATATACAATTTTCAAAGATTTATGATCCAGGGAGAATTTCCATAACATTCACGCATTTTATTTATTCTTTTCCAAGCTTTATCAGTTATGAGTTCAATATGTTTGTGTCATGTGCAATCAGCAAAAAGAAAGATACCTAAATGTTTGCGTAAATGTTTTAGATAATTAATTCTTTATTGAACTGAGATACTAGTATGGCACGGGCAGCTGTGGAACCATGAAACCGACTGTTAAGAAATAAACCCGAAATGCGGCTTCATAACCTCTTATACTTAATCATAATTCTACTTAATTTAGTTATTTCAATTATATTCTCAAATTTATGGAGAGCACTTGTCACAGAATTACACTGAATCGTCACATTGACGGTACTATGATCACTGCCTTATGAACACATCTGTCATTTACATGTTAAAATGGAAGGAAAATGAAAGCGGAACTTGGACACATATTTGTACGAGCGTATATATAACAAGGTTAGCTTTTAAAAAAGCTAGTAGCGACTCGCTTCGTAATTTCTTTCCAGGGGCGTGTTTAAATGTAAAAATGACAGTTCTGTTAGCTGAAAAGACTTCAGCGAACATCAAAATAAAAGTGACATATAAAGTTAAGGAAGCCAGTTCTCTCAGTTTAACAAAGAGGAATATGAGTATATATGAAGATGCATGTAAACAGATAGAATGAAGTCCCTATGTCTATGCACATTTACTATATGGCCCGTTGACCTTGACCAGAAAAAATATAGATAAGTAGAATTCATAAAAATGTCTCTTTATACGAAGTTAAGTTGTAATATGTTATTTAGTATTGGAATAAGTGACAGATACAAGTCCTAAAGTAAACAAAACAGAAGTTGTCAATCAATTCAGCCAGAAAAGCCGGGATCCTATTAAAAAAATAGGATCCCGGAAATTGACCAGTTCAAGAATATAGTTTTCAGAAAAGCCGGGATCATATTAGAAAATAAAGAGATCCCAGGAATTGGACAGTTCAAGAATATTGTTTTCAGAAAAGCTGGGATCGTATTAAACATATAGGGATCCCGGGATTTGACCAATTCAAGAATATAGTCTTTGATTTTTCCAATTAATTAGGCATATAATTATAAGTATTGTGATTTTGTTAATAAATAGCTCTAAATATATCTATACCCAAAGTTAAATCAATTTAACTTTCATTACATACAATAAAAAAAAACTTAACGTTTAATGGCCTTTCATTACGACAATAATCAACACAAATATAGTTTATTAGTTTTTTCCTCTATTATCTTATACGATCCCAGATCCCGGGCGTCCCGGATCCCGGCCAGTAAATACATACACTTAATACCGGAAAGGATGAAATGACCGGAAAAAAGGAAAAAGAAAAAAATGCACAGAACCAGATGTCGTTTATGTTAATTAACCAAACGAAAACTTACTACAGAGTAAACAGGACTGGTGAAATCGCTAAATCAACAGTCAGTGTAAATATGATTTACTGAAAAGAATCCATGAAAACAAACATTTTAATCATCATTATATCTTTGCGCTCAAAACAATACTTGCTGCTTTTTAAAAATGGCGTGAAAATTGAAGGTTTTTTGACGCTATATAAGATCAAATTTGATTGGCTAAATAATTTTGGATCCTAGCCCTGATAGATAAATTTTGTAGAAAGCTGGGAGCTAAGCTTCGATTAAATTTTTGGATGGATTCGGAGTTTTAGGTTGTTTCTCAGTAAAATCCTAACGTAATACCGGCTCGCCGTGGCGAGCCGGCATAATTAATTAAGAAATAATATACCCCAAACTGTGATTTTATTGCTCAATAACATCACTGTTTGGAGTTCGGATGCGGGGAATTATATCACGAGGGCGTAGCCCGAGTGATATAATGATGCGCATCCGAACGACAAACAGTGATGTTATCAAGCAATAAAATCACTGATTTGGATATATTATTTCGATTCTAACAAATCAACAAATAAATGCTGAAGTACATGATAATAAGCTAAATTACGCCTGATTTGTTTCCGTACTTATTGTCAGCCCGTCACATTTTTAGTGGTTATGTCACGTGTATAATGATTACGTCACATGTCTAAATATAGAACGCCAAACAGTGATTTTATAGCATAATAACACACACTTTCGGTTCTTCAATGTTCAATAGGGAAAAATGCGGGTCGTGTTAGAATATCGTTTTAAACATCAAATAAACACATTTCTCGGATGTCAAAGTAAGAAAAGGGTTTTATTTCATGCTTTCCAGTGTTTTATTGTAATATATCAGATGATTATATTCTGATAAAACCACTAGTGAATTTTATAAAATATAATTTTCACTGTAGCAGGACTATATCTGAATGCGGATAAAAAGAGTATCATAACTAATTGAAATTACAAGCAAAAATATATGCCGTCAAAAGTAAATTTTGTTTCTTAAGGAATTCATAAATCATGTTAAAAATGTTACAAAATTACAGACATTTAACAGAACTATATTTCAAAAATGATGATGTGACTTCATGATGTGATGACGTCATGAAGGATATTGCGCGACGTTACGCGGCAAAATCAGTTAAAAATACTTAAAATTACTTACAAAGCATGAAATAAAAAGAAAATGTATTTGTTTTACATATAAGATTGAAATATATTTCATTCGTGAACACCAGCTAGCTATTTTCACTCGTGGCTACGCCACTCGTGAAAATATTGCATCTGGTGTTCACTCAGTGAAATTATATTTCAATCTTACATGCAAAACAAACAAATATCCTCTATGTACTCAAATGAAAAGTGCGTAACGTCAAGTTAAACGCTCAAAATATACATAAATGGTATCGGGCCCACCGCACTGCGTTGCAATCGAATATACCGCCGTCTGCGTTGAAATCATTTTTATTTGTTTGGGTCGTCAGACCAAACAAATAATGGTAGCGAAATTTCAGACTCTAATGCTGTTAATTGCAAGTGCCGAAAGTAGTCCGCTTTTTTGAAGCGGTTACCTCCCTTTATATGTAACACTTAGGCCGAAAAATTTAGGGGAGATCACTGCGTAAATATGGTCACATGACAGGCGGATTAATTTTCAAGCAAAATAATTCCCGAATGGTCGAAGATTTCTAATATTGTTTTATTATTTATGGATATACATGCTTATAGTAAGCGCCATGATTATTTACACAAGTGTTAAACAACAGTTAGCGTCGTTACAAACCCTAATTAGAATAATACGGTTTTCTTCAGACCGATAACATGTAAATCCATCGTGGCCGATGGGTTAGCGCGCTCGCTTAGGAAGCAAATCTTTTTTTTTTCAAATTGTTTAAGTCAAATAAACATTGGATCGAATATCAGTGTTGCAATTAGTTTCATAGCCAATCTACTACAATTAAAACGCTGGAAAGCATTGGTGGCACTTTACAAATACAAATTGTTTTATAATCTCACAACCTTCACCTTTCTGACATTCTGAGACCCAAACAAATTCAGCGCCTTTTGTGCTTTGATTTGTCATTAATTTTATAAACAGTCAATAATAATTTCCCAAATTTCCAAAATATGGTTATTTTGTGAAAGTATTATTCATACGATGTGATGCCGTTGTATTATGGGGTCGTTTTGCACACATTTGTATGTGTTTTAACCAAAATTAGGCAAAAGTGGCATCCCCTCGTCAATCTGTACAGAAGTGTTTGCATAAACGGCAATAAATTGCACAGTGTGCGTGTAATAAGTTGAAAGAGTACATATGTGGGCTCCAGTCTCACTAAGTATTTCCAGTAAAACATTAAAACATAAAACAAAATTCAGTCATATACTTACCGACAACAGCAAACCGCCATATTTTATCCACCGCTTCTGCGATGAATACTCCACTGCCGCTGTGATGGACCCATCGCTTCTGCGAAAGCTATGGCCAGTGTGCATTGGAGCTCAGGTCCAGTGCCTGTCTATAAGACGAGTTGTCAGGTTGTGAATTGTTTGTCGTGAAAGAAGGTAGTGAGGCAGTGTGAAAAGCATGCTAACACGTGAACGGTACAATTGCACAAAATACTCAAGTCAACAAGTTAAAATGTCTTTTCATTTAAGCCACTTCTACAGGGGGGGGGGGGGGGGGGGGGGTGTCATAAAAAAAGATGTGTAGACGCCTTCGACTGGCTCGGTCGTCAAATGGCGGAGTGTTGAGAGACAGACCTTGAGAGACAGTCCTTGTTGCTAAGTTAGTTAAGTGCAGACTTCCATCAACTTTCAAACAAAGCGGATTCAATGTCAGTAAGAGTGAATGAAATACTACAGGATAGTGATGCTTGTGCTCCATGCCATTGTTCATTAAAAAAATCGAGGATGTGATAACGTCAGACTATGCTCTGAGTGACAGTGAAGTACATAAAATAAAATGATAGTAACAATGATGGACACAATGCGTCCAATTTAGTCAAAAGGTTGTTTCCAGAACTCTTTGGAATTGGAAACTACAATTTTTGGTACAATTGGTATGGCGATAGAAAACTAGGTAAAAAACAACTGTGTAGGGAAAGAAAGTCGTCGGTATGCCAATATGTTGTGAGGTACTTTTCTGACCACAAGCATGAGGAATCCTTCGAGGACTGTATAGTCGCAAAAGTTAACGAACTGGTACGCAGGAAGGGAAAAGATAAGGAAAATTTGATTCATCCACTTGATATGAGAATGCCTCATTCTCATTCTTGACATACTTGAACTGTTAAAAGAAACAATAAAAACCCAGTCTAAAAACATCATAAATAAATAAGTGGTCAAAACATTCATAGCATGATTCTGAAACCCATGGATCCACAATACTACACGGAGTGATACTGTATATAATGTATATACAAACTGGTTATTCTGACACTGTAAATAATACAATCACTTTTGATAATGTTTTGATTACTAGTATACTTTAATTTTATGAATACATGTATATTCATTTATTAATATAATAAAAGCCTGAAACTGTATATAAATCAACCACTTTAAAAAAAAAATGTTTTCATTGTATGTTAATATTCGTGTATTAATCAGTAAAGTTATGTTTTAAGCAATAAAATAAAGAAACACTGATGTATTGATAGTTTCTGTAATAAAGTTGTGGAAAGTTATGAAAAAAAAAGTTGTATGTTTTTAAATGATATACAAATCATGTTAGCCTTCTCCCCATTATCTGAACTATCTACATACATGAACATGTATATATTGCATCAAAGGAAAATAACTAAACTGAAATATGAGTGTTTTACATCGGCTAAAAACAACAGTATAAGTAACAATTATGAGGGTAGAAAAGGCATTAGTTAGTTGCAACCAGAAATGTTTGAAGTACAAGTTTGCAACCAAAATGCGCTTGAACAATATATTTTTGTGTATTGAAACTTTATTTGAAACATGCAAATTAAAACATTAAATAGTAGTGATAGATACATATTTTAGTGGTTAAGGTGTCTGCCTCTCAACCCAGAGATCATGGGTTTGAGCCCTACTCGGGTCACGACCATGTTTCTTCATATGACACCAGTACTGGTTGGTTCCAGGAAGCGGACTCGAAAGTGATTAATATAACTTGCAAGAACTTGTTTCGTAATCGAGCTTAAATAAATATGTTTAAACCGATACATATTTTGTTTTGTTTGGTGAACTTAAAAACTTACAGATGTGAATGAATGAGCTTAAACCGCTTTGGCCGGATTGTCACAGTGATAAAATGTGCTTTTTTTATAAATAAATTATGAATGATATTTGAAATGACACTGTTAATATCTTATGAGACCTATTTTGTATCATTATTTTTGCTAAATGTGGTCAAGGTTTGGTACTTTTGTAGGCTTACTTTATTTAATAAAATTGACGCTGATGAAACAAAGCATTTAACAAAGCTGAAGACATTTGCCAAGAAGTATGTTAAAATAATCTTCGAGTACAAAGTCTGATTTATATAAACGGTAGTTTAAACATTTACTTAAAGATTGGACATCACTGTTCCAACTTTGCATGAACTGATCTCGAAGTTTGGACTTAAATCAAACGGACTAGGCACAGATTGACTTAACCAATAATTTGATAAACCAAGTTTGTTCAAAGTATCCTTAACAAAAGAAAGCCACGGCAATTCAGTTCTATATCTAACATATACAGAGTACGCAGTCTTATATAAAATATTACAAATCTTATCATCTTTACCATTCAAAAGCTTACACCAGCAAAGATATCGTAGTAACTCCAATTTCACAGTATAACATACAATTGGGAGTACTTTGCTTGAGGTTAAGTATAATTTTGTAAAATTTAAGCTGAAACTGATCAAAACACTTTAAATTTTCTATTCCCCAAACTTCAGAGCCATAAAGAAAAATAGGAAAATGATTGTATTAAACAAGTTGATCTGTAGATCTCCATAAATTGAATAAGTAGTAAAAAATCATGTTCATGTAATTTTTCTAAGTTCCCATTCCCCAGAAAATTGAGATGCATCTTCCATACCATTTCTGCCCCTTGAAAATATTACAACCTTTGTTTTTTGCAGAGTTTACTTTTAAATTCCAAACATAACAATAGGGCCTATTCTAGCATAGGATTTAATGCAGTCTGAAGCTCATCTGCATTTTCTGCTAAAATTACTGTATCATCAGCATAAAGGAGCAGAATGAGCCTTAAAAAAGGAACCTCTTAATCGTCGATCATTGCTTAAAAAGCTTTTCACGTCATCAGCAAGTGTATATAGACCAGCATAATGTTTTTCAGACATAAACTGTGCAAGATCATTTAGAAATAACGAAAACAACACGGGTGAAAGATTTTCACCCCCCTGTCTTACGACGGTATTACTTGCAAAAAATTATTCTTGAAATCTTATTACCACCTTTTTCACACGACTTTGCTTTATCATACACATTACAGTACAGTACAGTACTGTACAATATGCAAGCTTTTCAAAAAATTACCCCTACTGGTAATATTATTCGTTTTTGCCATACGGCAATTCTATCAACAGAATAAAATGTTAAGGCTTTACGGAAATCTACTGTATATATATATAAAAAAATATAATTTTTTAACCCCAAAATCAACCAACATATAGTTTTCGCGTCTTTTTGAAGTTAAATTATCTTTTCGGTATTTTTTCTAATGCAAGCGTCTATTGAAAAAAAAAATGGAGCGGGAGGTTTGAAAATGAAATTTTGAAGCCATTTTAATTAAATTTCAAATTTGAACTATTGAAACCGTTAGTATCAATATTTATTTAACTTCTGCACAATGTTTGATAATATATTTATTGTGAACCTTCTAATTTTCATGAAGATAAATCTTGATCTGTCCGAATTTTATAATTTATGATTTTCGGACATATTTTTTTCAAATTTATGATTTTTGATTTTATAATTTATGGTTTATGGACATTTTCAATGATTTTGATTTTAAGTTCCATAATTTTTACTTCCTGCATAAGTCTCCTGGTCGTTTTGGTTTTGTGCATTACACTTTGTGGACGATTTTTGATTGGATTAGGACACTTCATCCCCCGCACACTTCGACCCACAAATCCCCCCCCTACCCCCCTCCCCCACCCAAAAGCAACAAAAGAACAAGTACAGTTGTTTGACCGGTTCCGGCGCAGTTTTTCATCTTTTGCCGTCAGGATACAAATTAACAAATTGTTGATATAAAGAAATGTACCTGCTAGTAGATTTTTGATTCAAAGTTAAACCTGGGACAGAAGATAATGGGACGGGAAACACAGAGAATAGAGATTAGCGCTCTTGTGTGTTTTCGTACAATCAGGAATCAGCACCGCCATTTTACAAATTTAGTTCAAAGCGGAGGAAATGTCGACAAGAAAATTGATCGGTATTGTGTTTACTTAATCTTTTAATGGGGTTGAAGTCCTCAGAAAGTAAATTTACTATGAAATATTTATGTAAGTATCATGACATTGATCAGAATGTATTTTAAAGTTTCTAATGTGTAGAAAGAACAAACACAAATCTCGATCGAACTGATGTTGTTGTGTCGATCGCTGTGAAAGTGTAATTTTTGTCTGCTAAAATTCGTTTAAGTAAAATACAAGAAAACTGGCAGAATATTTTGAAAGATACTTTAAATGTCTTTGGTTTAACATTAAGATTATGGAAATTTAGTGAGTTAAAATGAAATTTTATGCGTTCCATTTTTATGAACTGAGACTAAAAATCTGAGAAATAAAATGGCGGAATACTAAGGTGATGTGCATTTTTTGTCCCAAAAATGAACGTAATATGTTGATTAAATTTGTCTCATGTTAGTATTTTTTATAAAAACATAGCCATATTTATAGCAAGAGAGTTAAATAGGATCAATTATTTTGTAGATTTTTCATTATGCAGTGTCAAATTTCAACAATTTTTAGGCGAAATCTGGGACCAAACCATAAATTGATGAATTTGCAGATAAATTGATGAATTTGCAGTTACTTTGTTTAATATCTAAAAAGTAGAAAAAACATGTTTTAGAAGTAGGTAACAAGGTAGGTTTTTTTTTTTTTGAAATCCATAATTTGTTATCTAAATGAAAAAAAAACAAAACATCTTTATGAAAAATTATAGATTCCTTAGGCTTAGCTGTGTCATTGGATACATATATCATGAAGGATAACCTGCCTTGGTGTCAACTGCTTTTTGCACTTGTTGTATAGTCTTTTATTTCCTTAATTTTTGTATAATAATATTTCAATTTCAATTTTTCAATGTGTTGAAATAAAGTCATTATAGTAAAACAATGTCAGCATGAAATTAGTTTTTTCTGTGATTTCAAAAATGGATCACAGATAAATTTGAAATCATGGACAGAATTCACATGCAGTAATATTATAAATGTCAAGGTAGCCATAAACCATAAAAAGTGTAAATTTCTAAAGTGTTTTTAATTAAATCTCAGTAAAAAAAAGTCATTTTACAGCAAAAGGTTTCAACAGATTGAAATGGCTGCTTGACTATAGTCCGTGGGCAAATTTCATTATTTTCTTTAAATTACATTATAGATATTAAATTACTATGACATACATGTTGGCAACAAAATTTGTTCTCTTTTTGCAGGTTGTGTAGTTTGAAATCATAATTATCAGACATATTGCTATAGGACAGCAGGAACTTGAAATTTGGTGAAGATTGTCTCCTTATATCTGGTATGTTTAGAATGGCATATTTTACAATTTGAAAACATCTAGAAAGAATAATAAATGATAAACCTATTTCTTATTCATCTCCATACATCTACTGTACATAATTAATGATTCTTATTTTTGATGATAATTACCTTTTCATCATAAGTAAGAAAATTAAATTTTTTGTTGTGCATTTTTACTGCCTTGGGTACCGGGGCCGGTACCGAGAAATTGGGACAAATTCATCATTTTGACTGTCGCTAAAGTTGGTAATTGTACATAAAATGATGATGTATGGGATATTAATTTTATCCATGGTGAGACTTTAAATCACTTGCCCCTCACTGCTCAGCTGTGGGTTCAAATCCCGACAGGGACTTTGGATTCTTTCATGTCAGGAAACTATCCAGCTAGCTTACAGAACGTCGGTGGTTCTACTCAGGTGGATGCCCGTTCGTGCCTGAAATATGCAAGGAAGGGCACCTGAGGTCTTCCTCCACCAGTAAAGCTGGAACGTCGCGATATGACCTATACTGTGTCCATGTGACGTAAAACCCAAAACAAACAAACAAACGTTGTCCATGGTGACATGTAAATTATGCAAAATTATATATGCTTAATGTATTTTTTACTAAATGATTTTCCCCAATTTTTTTTTTAAATTATGATAATTAATAAAAGAAAATAATTTTCACTTCTATCAATTGGGAATGTTGCGTTTTTTTGTTATTAGTTAGTGATATCAGTGACAAAAAGCAAATATTCATGAACTATATATATATAGGTGACTTAAAAGAGCTCATACATGTTTATAAAGATATATTTTAAATTATTTCAGATTGCTTTTGTCGATCAATAATGGCTCGGAAAAGGAAGAAAATTGGATACAGCAGAAAATATTCCAAAAAACCTTGCAGAGCAGGTTTATCAAAGATTGAAAACTTTCCATCAGATGCTTTCTTTGCAAATTTTTGTTTGCTTGAGAATACCAGTAATGATGAACAAGTTACTGAATGTAAGGTCACAATTGATACCAATGAATTTATTGATTCAGATGGACAATCTGCAAATGAATTTTATGTCATTTTAGATAAAGTACATAAGTACAACCCACAGCATAATCTAGATGAGTTTGTTTCTGGAATTCAGAATAACCTTTTTTCAAAACTGAAATCAGACAGTTCAAGTATTGAGAATGATCAGTTCTTTTCAATTCCATCCAGTAAGGATATTAAGTTTATCTCAATTTATGACAGTGATGTAGTTAGTGATTCACCAAGAATTAAAACATGTATTCGCGTCACAGAGAAAATGAAGTTGGACATATTTGTGCATTCAAAACCCTTAAGCACTGAACATCCTATATGGTTGTCAGTAAAGAAAAATTGTTATACAGTTCAACAGTTAGAGAATGTTATCAAGGAACTTTGCAAATACTCTATTTGTTGGGGCAATAAGGATGCTGACTTACAATCTCTAAAGTATAACAACAAACATGCTTACAAGGAAGAGATCTACATTGGTTCAACAATTCGATCGGTCTCGTGTTGCCTGTTAATTAATCAACGAAGTGAAAGATGCATGAATTGCAAAACATACAGAAAAACACTTATCAAAATGAAGAACCGCAAAAGTAATGTTAAAAGATTCAAGTGAAATTTATATCTTATGTGCAATTAATGACTGTATTTTGCAGTATTTATCACCATATTTCTACTGCATTACTAACACAGTAGGGGCTATTTATGCATATTTTTACCTCTTTGGTAATTTACTTGGATTATAAGTGCCGATTGCAATGTGTCAGGTACTTTGTTCATACTTCATTTCACAATATTTTCAAAATTTTTATAAAAATTAGGACGAATCTGGAGGCATGCTGCTTTAAGTAAATTTACAATGTTTTCATAGCGTTATGGTATTTCATTGAAAAGTTATAACAGAGAATTTCTTCATTATTTAACACACATGAAATTGTATGGAAATTCACAATAATTCACCCTTCTATTACTATTTAATTAAGTGGTTTTTTTTGGCGCATGTCTCATTTTGAAAAAATGGATAATGTAACTATTTAATCATGATATTTTTTTTGCAATGCAAGACATCAACTATATATATATCTTTATACTTTTTAGCTCGACTATTCGATAAGAATAAGTAGAGCTATTGTAGTCACCCGAGCGTCGGCGTTGGTGTCCGCGTCCGCGTAACCACTTATGTTAAAGTTTTTGTAATAGTTCAAATATTTTCAAAGTCCATTGACATATGGCTTTGAAACTTTGCACACTTGTTCACCATCATGACCCCAACCTGTAGACAGGAGGAGGTAACTGTATCAAGCATTTTGACAGAATTATGCCCCTTTTTCGACTTAGATTTTACGTTAAAGTTTTTGTAATAGTTCAAATATTTTCAAAGTCCATTGACATATGGCTTTGAAACTTTGCACACTTGTTCACCATCATTACCCCAACCTGTAGACAGGAGGAGGTAACTGTATCAAGCATTTTGACTGAATTATGCCCCTTTTTCAACTTAGAATTTACGTTAAAGTTTTTGTAATAGTTCAAATATTTTCAAAGTCCATTGACATATGGCTTTGAAACTTTGCACACTTGTTCACCATCATGACCCCAACCTGTAGACAGGAAGAGGTAACTGTATCAAGCATTTTGACAGAATTATGCCCCTTTTTCGACTTAGAATTTACGTTAAAGTTTTTGTAATAGTTCAAATATTTTCAAAGTCCATTGACATATGGCTTTGAAACTTTGCACACTTGTTCACCATCATGACCCCAACCTGTAAACAGGAGAAGGTAATTGTATCAAGCACTTTTTTTTACTATCAAGCACTAAGAATAGTCGAGCGTTGCTGTCCTACCGACAGCTCTTGTTTGTATTCCAATTATGTTTATTTGTACAGTTAATATTCATTAGATGAAATAAATATTTTAATGAATCTTTTGTCATGTGTAATATTTTGATGGGGTGTAACTGTTTTATGTTTTATTTTTCTCAACTAGGTAGTCCTTCATGCTACCTAGCTCTTTAATAAAAGAGTCAAATAATTTTAATGAGTCACTGGTTCATTATAAAAGTCAAGGATATTGGCCACTGGTCTGATGCATGTATATACATACAGAAATGTCACATGACAAATGGGTCGAAGCTGGAACTCTAACCATGGGTATGTAGGTTGATGACCAGTATGACGGTGGCCTTTGCAGATATGAATCTTAGTTGTTATACTATAAAATACAACTGAAATAGACCACAGTAAGAAACATTGCATAAAAAAAGTTTTTCTAACATTTAACATGCTTAACTCCATGTTTATTCCTTAAATGACCTCTTATACCCGAGACAGAATTGTATAACTTATCACACTGATCACAATTAGAAGTTTTTCTTTTATCCTCTTTAGATTTTACACTTGTCTTATTATCAACTGTAAATTCACCAAGAAAAAAATCTAAATATCTTCAAAGTGAACAAAATCTGATTTTCCATGCGCCATATTGCAGTGTATCAGTGTGTATACATTTCATATATGAACATTGCATCTTAAATGTTATCTTTTTGAGTTATGACTTATAATTTAAACTGTCATTTAATAGCATCTTTTAAAAGGGCTTTATTGTGTGTAGTAAGAAAACAATCTATTCAAAAATGAAGATGAAAGCTAAATAAGAACATATTTACAAATATATGTTATATACATACATTTATATTTTTACCAAATATTAAAAATCACTGGAAAGGTTATTATATTTTCTATGTGCATGTAAAAAAATAGTAATAGTAAAAAACAGATGCTAACACATAACATGTAAAATTGGGCATTTTTAGGGTATAAAAATGTCTGTATCTTTATTTTGGGTAATGCTATCATAAAAATCTTTTGGGCACATTTGCTTTATAGTAAGCCCTTTGTAAAAACACAAAAAAAAAATTGCAAATGTAAAATATGTTTTGGAAAAAGCCTGCATTACATGTATTTTTGAAAAATTGGCCCATTTACTGTGCGGCAGGCATAATGTCAATAAACAACAAAACCAGTGAATATTTCTTTTTTGTGTCGCCTTGAAAAGGTGACATATAGGGGTTACTTTTGTCGGCAGTGTCGGCATCTGTGTCGTTGTCGTTGTCGGCGTCCGCTAAAGCTTGTCCGGAGCATAACTCAGTCACTATAAGTCTGATTGACTTCAAACTTGGTATGCATGCTTCTTTCAATAACCCGAAGTGCAGTGCACAAGAACCGGTACTCTGCAGTCCTTATTTTTTGAGTTATTACCCTTTGTTAATTTTCATACTTTAATTTTGTCCGGGCCATTTCTCTTCAACTAAAAAAGCTATGGACTTGAAACTTCATAGGATGATAGATCTCATTAAGAAGAAGTGCAGTGCACAAGAACCAGTACTCTGCACTTCCTAATTTTTGAGTTATTGCCCTTTGTTAATTTTCATACTTTATTTTTGTCCGGGCCATTTCAACTAATGTATAAAAGCCATGGACTTGAAACTTCATAGGATGATAGGTCTCATTAAGAAGAAGTGCAGTGCACAAGAACTGGTACTCTGCATTTCTTATTTTTTGAGTTATTGCCCTTTGTTAATTTTCATACTTAATTTTTGTCCAGGCCATTTCTCTGAAAGTATAAAAATTATGGACTTGAAACTTCATAGGATGATAGATCTCATTAAAAAGAAGTGCAGTGCATAAGAACTGATACTCAGCATTTCTTATTTTTGAGTTATTGCCCTTTGTTGCTTTTCTTACTTTATTTTTGTCCTGGTCATTTTTCCTCAAGTATGAAAGCTATGGACTTGAAACATCATAGAATGATAGATGTTATTGATAAGAAGTGCAGTGTACAGAAACTGCTGCTCTGCACTTATTATTTTTTTAGTTATTGCCCTTTGTTATTTTTCATATTTCATTTTTGTCCTGGCCATTTCCCCTAAACTACATTGTTCACAAGGCGACACATCCGACTCACGGAGTTCTAGTCTAAATTTATTGTTGTTTACATGAATGGCTTGCTTGATTGATCGGAACTAGTCAATGCGCGGGAAAACGGTCAAACAACTGTAGGATGGTACCCATTTTTATTGTTGTTTACATGAATGGCTTGCTTGATTGATCGGAACTGGTCAAATTCAATGCGCGGGAAAACGGTCAAACAACTGTAGGATGGTACCCTATCAGCTTATGGTACCATTGTTCTTCATGTTGCCCTCCTCAACAGAGCTCTTGTTAATATTTTGTAATAATACATATATGGTTTAATGATATTTACTATTTCAAAGGTGTCAAGTATGGGAAGTGAAGATTGCATTTATAATTTCCTGCCAGGAATGCTTGTTTATGTCAAAGATGTAACAAAAATCTGGGAAGATGGTGTTGTAACAAGTGTTAGCAAAAATAAATGTACTGTTGCTGTTACAAATAAAAAGGTATATGCTTATCATTATCATAAAATACATATATCTATAGGATAAGTTACTTAAAAGTTTTTTTGGAGGGATTTTTTTTATGAAAAAATATACATAGTTTCTATGCTATGTTATTGAGGCAGAGTTGTTGTTGTGTTTTAGATATAATAAATATGGAGAGGCTAAGAGTGACTTTGTGACTAATGTGTTGCAAACAGCAGGGCACGGTGAAGCTATAACAGTCAATGTAAATTGTTTGTTTGTACCAGCGGATAAGTTCGATTTAAAGCCAAATTGGTCGAGGTGCGGATAAAACTGTTGTTGTTTTAGTGCTTGAATTAGTTGAAATTGTGTACTTTGAACAAGCTTTATTAATAGTATTGAATAACAAGATTTGTGTACCTCAGTATGGTTTGGCCGACACTGTTTCTGTATATAGTGAAGTACCTGATGCTGTTATTATTGCATCCCTGTGCTAACAATGCTTAAACTTTTATTGAATTAAAAGGATTAGGTTTTTATAAAAATATATATAAAAAGATCCCCAAGTATGGCTATTTAAAGGTAAATAAGTCATGCTAAATTTATAAAATCAATCATTGGTTTCTAAACATTTTTCTTTACATTACTGTTTTACAGGAGACAAAGGAGTATTTGGTAAATGACATTTTACCCAGGTCAGAGCAATGCTTGCAGACAGTTCAAAGTCTCACAGACCTTTCACCTATCAATCAAGCTTCAGGTATTAGTCTTTGTTAAATTATAAGATTGTCCGGAAGACAAATAGGGGAACTACCTGACTCATCTGTGCATTGTCAGCTGCATAACACTTAGTGAAAGTTTTGTTTGAAACTTGATATCTCATTTATCTCTGGAAAGGGAATTCTCTTATATTTATACTGTAAGGTCACTACCCAAGACATGTCAGTCTAGCATGGAATTTGTCTTAATTATGGCCCCTTTTGGTTCAGTTATAAATTTTCAGTGGACTGTACAGGCACCTTGAAGTAAATATGTTTTATTTCTACAGTGATTTTGCTGTGAATTTTCAAAACAACCGGTAGCGCTCTGAAGTAGAAAATGTAGGCAATGAATCCAAAAAAGAGAAGACCAGTGATTGAAAATGCAAATAGTAACACATTTAATCAAATACATGTACATGTATTTCAATTTGATTGCAATTAAGATAAGATACACAACAGAGGCTGTTTATAGTGACAGCTTTGTGACTCTTTTTCCATTAAAGCTTTTTGACTATCTATTAAATTTACTAACAATTTAAGCCAGCTGTTGTAATGTAATGGTTCTTACGACAAATATGCACAATTTCATTTCAGGGGAAAAATAAGCTATTTTAGGCATGGGGGGTAGCCTGGATTTAGCTGTAAAATAATAGGGAAATTCATTGGAACATAAATACATAGGACAAGTACTTGGGAGGAGGAGTGAAAAAAGCTTTCTATTTATATGCAAAATTTCATATCTAAATTTAATTTGAATTTATTTTTTAGTGCTATGCTGCCTTGAAGAGAGATTTGCAGATGGTCAGTTCTATACAAACGCAGGCAGTACAATAGTTGCAGTTAATCCATTCCGAAGCGTTGACCATTTATATACATTAGAAACTGTGTTAGCTTATCACAGACACCATGAGGTATTCCAAATATTTGTTAGTTTTGTGAACTAAGATCTCTGATTTTATTACCCATTTTACAACAATGGTATCAATTCTTAAAAAGTAACTAAACGTCACCTCTCAACTAAAGTCCTTGTCCCCCTGTGAGTCAGGGTGTTGATGTACCAAGGTTGTACAGTATAAAACATTGATGGTTTTAAGCAGCTTATGGTCATCTTCATTTTTATAATGGTAAAAATTATTTTTAATTTGTAAAAATCATATAAAGTATACTAGTAAGATGATTTCATCTCCAGGTGGATATTTAGTTAATAGGGTTGTCATTAAAGGTTTTCTTTGACTGTACATTTCGAAATTAATCTGTAAATTTTTAGATCCTGATGAAGACCTCACGGTAGGTCGAAACCGGTAGATAATTAAATAATATAAACATCCCTGGTGTTGACGTGTAATTTTCTTCCTACTTTACCTTATCTGTAAATTTTTAGGTTTATCACATACAACAAACAGTGTTTTCTAAGTTTTGAAGCCACCTAATATGCATTTGAGACAGTTATTTTTTGGCTGCAGCCTCCTCCTTATTACAAAACTGTGGATATATCAACAGGAATGTGATCTATCTTCATGTCAAAAAATGCTGAAATAGTCCTACCATTGTTAATAATGTGGTTGAAATATGGTGATCAAAATACACATGTAGTTAATCTTAATCTATCATGTAAAACTGAAATTCATGCACAAATGATCTTCAAAACTAATTTAAGTAATTAATAATGATTGAAATATTAATACTTAATATTAAATCATGCAGATTTTTACTATTTTAACACAAAAGTCCCCTCTGTTTCAGGATGTTCCACACATATATAAAGTTGGGAATGAAGCATATACAAGATTGTGTAGAGAATTGGGACATATAAACCAGTGTATAATTGTGAGTGGAGAAAGTGGGTCTGGCAAGGTATGTATTTTTAAATATATTGTCCAAGGATTACCTATCAAAACAAGCTGTAATCACCTCTGAAATAAAACAACAAAAGAACATAATGTTGTATTTTTTCATCCATTACACCATTTCTGGTAGAAAGAAATGATATTTTATATTGTATGTCTGTGTGCTCCTTGTTTATATTGTATCATAGTTTGGAGACCTTTCTGTTGAAAATGTGTCAGGGTTAAATCGTATACATATACATGCACAGTGCGTTAACTGGAGTGCGGGTATTAGTTACCCGCACTCCAGAGCATGCTCATTGATTGGCTCATTTTTGCTGGGGTTTACATATTGTAACGGCAGAGAAAGGGAAAGATACAGAAATGTCATATTCAGATGTTCGTTCATTGGTTCATTTTTGCCGGGGTTTCATATTGTGACAACAGGGAACGTGCTTTTATGTTTGACTATGATACAAAAGAGAAAGAACACCAAAACACTCGGCAATCTGATTAATACTCGGGGGCTACGCCCCCTCGTACAAATCAGATAGCCTCGTGTTTCGGTGCTCTTTCTATTACTAATCCATAATTCTGGACAAGGATTGGTACAGATTTATTCCCCTTTATGAACTTAACAAATTTCGTTTACACCATTTGTGTGCTTTATTATGAATTATTGATTGGAACACACTGCAATTTAGTCTTTATCTACTTTTCTAAAGGTTTTGTAATGTTTTTAACTATTTTAAAGTGTTGTAAGGGACTTCAAAAATAATCAATTTACAATGTTGCGTTGTAATGGGTTATAAATATAAACTAAACATTTATTAAGTTAAAGGAATCATGTTTGGTTTGACTTCTTGACTTCTTGAAGATAATAGGACCGTTCTACTCAGTCATGTGTTAGCATAACTCATTTGTTTATCAAACTTCAAAGGTACCAAAGGAATTAACATTGTACTTGATACTTAAAAGATGTCTTTGGGATTATAATTGGAGGTCACTATCTAAGATCCATAACTCTGGCATGTACGAGGGTTGTCCCAAAAGTCTGTGACAAATTTTATAGCCGGTTCATTTTTAACGCCAATAGAAAATAATTCACACATATAACCGTTAAGTTTATTATTTAACATTACAGCAAATCATTTACAAAAAATTTACCCTAGTTACTTAGAAATTTTCAGTATTAACGACATTGGTTTGAGTTGCCGGCGCACGTCAAATAATTTACATTTTGTTATGAATAGGCTGAAATTAATTACGTATATTTCAAATATCTGATGATGTGTCTGCACAATGTGACGTTGACTTCCTCTGCTGCTATGTTTAAATCATCTCTGAAAATTTTAGTAAAATTACTTAAAAAACGAAAAAGATACGAATAAATAAAAATATCTCATATAAAATAGGAAAGTTGAAATGGCGACGTTCGAAGAATTTGCGGCGCAGTGAACATGTCACTCAGGTTTCATGACTATTTCGAGATGACAAATGTAACGATTTTCAACAAATATACCAAATATAACAGTTTAGCAACACATTCTGAGCATTTGTGTACAAAAGGCATGAACGGAACCAGAGTTTTGCGCTACAAAAAGCGAAAATAAGGAAAACACGGATAAGAAGACCGATCTTCGTCGCCTATTTCCTACAGCTAAAAACAGGAGTAACGAGACCGGAAGTTCGCGTATAGCAAAAATTAATGTATGCCATCCAAACATTCAACAGACATTAACAACCACATGATTTAAGTCAGAAATTGACGATTTATGGGTACCATTATTGCGTTGAAAGCCATTGAGAGTTTTTGAGAAAGGCGCCTTATATAGATTTAACGCCGTCTTTGACGTTGGATGTGCGCCGCGATTCAGTTAGTTGCCATGGTGTTTATGGCATATTTTTGTTGTTTGTTGATATTTATCTATGAAAATTTGTGAAAATGTTTAAATTATATGGGTTTATAACATATTAAAATATCAAATTCGTACCTATTTTATTTAGCTATTAATCAATCTTGTCACAGAATATTGGGACAACCCTCGTACTTTGATGATTGAATAATGGCCCTTTGTAAACTTAGATTAGAAAATAGTTATTTTGCCAAGATCAAATTTTCAAAATTACTGAAGAATTTCTGTTGAAACTTGATTGTGTCCTTGGCATTATTATTGGAATTTACTATCCAAGTTTAATAACTCTAGCATAGACTGACAGAGTTATAGCTCTTTATGAACTTACAAAACTCTTACATTGAGTTTGCTTAACTGTCAAGCATAACTTTCAATAATTGCATGCAGTGTTATGTAAACAGCTCTTTATCTACTTTTCTCAGTTTTGCAATGTTTTATAATTGTGTCAAGGTGTCATATCAGGGACTTGAAGAAGCACATTGATTGTTGTATATTTGATTGTAATGCATTTAATAGAAACATAAACTTGGGACTTGTTATATTATTGATCAACAGCTTTATTTTTCCCATTATTCTTCAGTGTATAATTAATTAAGGATTTGAAATTTTGTTCTATTATACTTATAGACAGTATCTGCAAAGCATCTATTGAGGTACATGACAGTGGTTTCAAATTCTTTGATGTAAGTTCAATTATTATTCATCTTTATAGTCAGCTGATTCTTTATATAGTTACAAAACAAAAATGTTTCATGCAAACAGTAATATTTGAGTATACAGTGCAACCTCTGCAAAGTAGCTCTCTGTAGAACAATTATAAGTTTTTACTACAACAGTATTAACTCTTTCCAGATTAAGACTTTACATTAGATTAATCTCTCTAGAGCAACTCCTGTCAAAAAGAGCCAAAATCTTTGTCTTCCAAAAGGTGTTGTAATTCAGTGGTTGTTTTGTATATTTTCTTGTGGAAAGGAAAGTTTGAATGAATATAGGTAAGTTTGTTGCTTTGCAGAACAGATTTAATTAAGTCAGTAAACCAAAAAGGCTTTGCCTTACATTCCTCAGATTTATAGCAGGGAAATTTGTCACAGCCTGTAGATGACCACTTATTAGTCCCCTACCGGTTTACCGGAGGGGACTTTAGGTTTACCCTCCGCTGCTATGTTACAAATAGACTGAATTTCAAGATTTCTGATTCTAGTTTTTAAGTTTTTTCACTATAAGTTCTTTATTTCTTAAGGTATTTTCTTCAAACTTTAAATATAAGTTGCTTGTCATCAACCACATCATATGTGACAAGGTTTACAACTCTAGCACAAAATTTATCAGAATTACCTCCCTTGAACTTAAAATTTTCATGAAAAAAACATTGTTTTTTTTAATAACTTCTTTTTCTGAATGTATCTACTTCAAACTTCATATAAATGTTTCTTATTATCACTCAACATTTGTGAGTGTTCAATACTCTAGCAAGACTATTTCCAGAATTATGCCCCTTTTGAACTTAGACTTTTTTTTGAGAAATTGGTAATTTTTACTCCAACTTCTTCAATCATGATAGGATTTTAAAAATGTTATATTTTGATAACAGGGATGTTTAAAAAATAACTTTAGAGTGTCCTTCAGTCCGTCTGTCTGTACATAAAAACGGTTTCCTGTGATCACTTTTAAAGAACTTTTTCAACAAATTTACTTAAAATAGGAACATAAGTGAATGGCCAATGGCCCTTCAGAATGTTGCTTGGGCTCTTACCGGTAGGGGACTTATGGATTGCTTGCAATACTATGATAATTGCTTGTTTTATTTAGGTCAAAGGTCAAAGTGACAGTTGTAACACTGACCTTTGATAGCCCAAACATTTCGACAGGTCAAATAATATATATGCTATGACCCTTAATTTATCAGATTTAGTTTAGAGTTGACCTACATTGATTTTGAGATCATAAGTTCAAAGATCAAGGTCATTGTAACTGTCACCACTAAAGCCAGTCTGCTCTCTAGGCTATGAGATGGTAACGTGACTACCTGTAATTAAATGCCATTGAGGATAGGGGGTACATGTTGCTCAAACATCTTTTGTTAATGGATATGAACATATTGAATTGTATTTCATGTATAAGAGGCTGTAAGTTATTTTAATATTTTACATTTACAGAGATGAAAAGTTTAAACCCAGAGCAAAAGTATGTGAGTCAATAGAGCAGAAGATTTTAGATTCAAATCCAATACTGGAAGCTTTTGGTAACGCTGTCACCCAACGAAATGATAACAGTTCAAGATTTGGCAAGTTTATACAGCTCCAGTTCTCAAGGTGAGTTCTACCAATATTGAACAGCATTAATGTGACCACACGTTGGATACTATGAGGGTATAATATTACACATTGCCGAGTTCAATACTGAATTCCATTGGATGAGTACACAGTTGTCAAACCTATATTGGACAAGGCACTAGCCAAGTCTAATATAGGTTTAGCAGCAGTGTAGGAGTACAATAGAATCATTTTTGTTGTCAACAATGTGTATTGACCTCTTAATTTCACATTTTATGACATTTTCACAAAACGTTGTTACTTCAAGAACAATAAAGAATATATTGGACTCTGAAAATGAAAATGAGGCTAGATGAAGTATGATATGCTTTTGATATTAACATTTTGGACTCTGGAAATGGAAACAAAGCTAAATTGGTGAGGATGGATCCAATAATGATCTCTTTTGGAACATCACATGCTAAAAGTGCATTGGCTGTGTTTTATAAGGTGTGAAATAAAAGATGTTATTATCTATAAACAATATAGTATGACCTTGACATTGAAGAAAGAGGCTTCGGTCTATGATAGAAGGTGTTACATATTGGCTTTGTGTTCTGATACGTTTGTTAAATTATAGGAAAAGACCTTCTTGACTGACAATGTTATAGCCTGAATGAAATATGAGACAAACAAATAAAGGAGCATTCATTGGTGTAATAGATTTTCCGATATATTTTTCAAAACTGATCAGATATATTTTTCAAAACTGATTACAGTAGAATATATACCCGGTATATTAATGATACTGCATGTTGGAATGTCACTTTTTGTTGGATAACTGTGATGTTTATATAGTTCTATATACATAGCTGTCAATATATGAAATAATTTATTTTTTTTCTCTGATAAAGGAAGTTTGCTGTATTATAAATTTGTTATAAATTCCTGAAAGGTTATATGGCTAAATATAAAAGGTTGTTTGCAATATACCCCTTGCCTAGCTGTTCAGGTTATTTTTCCAAACAACCATTTCTATAGGGCCATATAACCTGTCAAAACAGTGATATTTTTTCCTGTATTTTACAGCCGAATAAAGACTGTTTCCCCTAGCTCAAAATATGTATATTTTCCCATAAAAAAGCTAATATTTTCCCCTGTAATGCTCTGAGCACTTCTTCACTAGAACCATGACTTAACAACATCTGACTTATTATATCAGCTAGAAGACATAAAGCTGTCCCTATAGCCTCTGCTATATATCATGCATGTTGAATTAAATTGAAATGAAAATGAAAATTTTATAAATTGAAACTGGAGTTGATTTCTATATTCAAACTTACATGAAATGTGTGGGTAAATTCCATTCTCAATTGTTGGAATTTGATTTTCCCCTTTTCTGATTTATCAGGCTATATTTTCCCCTTCAGAAAGCCACAGGTTGTTTTGAAAAAAATCACTACAAAATCTTTATAACTAATAATATACATGAATATATATATGAATATATGTTGTATTTTGTTTGTTAGAGGTGGTGATATGATGGGAGCAGAGATCAAGACATACCTACTAGAGAAAACACGAGTGGTACATCAGTTACAAGGGGAGGCAAACTTTCATATCTTCTACCAGGTAAAGGTTTTAACTTTTCCTTTTTAGTTCACACTTTTCAAACGACATCTCCTCTGAAACCATAAGGCAGATCATAATGAAACTTCAAAGGGATGTTCCTTGTGTGAAGCCTTAACAAAGTTGTTCAAAAATTTCCATTCCATGCAGAACTCTGGTTGCCATGGCAACCAAAAGAAAAAACTTTAATCATCTTCTCCTAAAAAACCCAAAGAGCTAGAGCTTAGATATTTGGCATGAAACATCTTCTAGTGAGTGTCTACCAAGATTGTTCAAATAAAATCCCTGGGGTCAAAATTGGCCCCACCCCAGGGGTCATTGATTTTCCCTATATGCATATAATAAAAACTTAAAAAAATCTTCTTTTAAAGAACCCAAAGAGCAAGAGCTAAGATATTAAGCATGAAACATCTTCTAATGAGTGTCTACCAAGATTGTTCAAATAAAAGCCCTAGGGTCAAAATTGGCCCTGCCCCAGGGGGTCATGGATTTTCCCTATATGCATTTAGTAAAAACTTAAAAAATCTTCTTCTAAAAAACCCAAAGAGCTAGAGCTTAGATATTTGGCATGAAACATGTTCTAATGGATGTCTACCAAGTTTGTTCAAATAAAAGCCCTTGGGTCAAAATTGGCCCTGCCCCTGGGGGTCATTGATTTTCCCTATATGCATATAGTAAAAATTTAAAAAAATTTCTTTTAAAGAACCCAAAGAGCCAGAGCTAAGATATTTAGCATGAAACATCTTCTAATGGATGTATACCAAGTTTGTTCAAATAAAAGCCCTGGTGTCAAAATTGGCCCTGCCCCAGGGGTCAATAATTTTCCCTATATGCATATAGTAAAAACTTAAAAAAATCTTCTTTTAAAGAACCCAAAGAGCTAGAGCTAAGATATTTAGCATGAAACATCTTCTAATGAGTGTCTACCAAGATTGTTTAAATAAAGGCCCTGGGGTCAAAATTGGCCCCGCCCCAGGGGGTTATTGATTTTCCCTATATGCATATAGTAAAAACTTAAAAAGATCTTCTTTTAAAGAACCCAAAGAGCTAGAGCTAAGATATTAAGCATGAAACATCTTCTAATGAGTGTCTACCAATATTGTTTAAATAAAAGCCCTGGGGTCAAAATTGGCCCCGCCCCAGGGGGTCATTGATTTTCCCTATATGCATATAGTAAAAACTTAAAAAAATTTCTTTTTAAGAACCCAAAGAGCTAGAGCTAAGATATTTAGCATGAAACATCTTCTAATGGGTGTCTACCAAGTTTGTTCAAATAAAAGCCCTAGGGTCAAAATTGGCCCTGCCCCTGGGGGTCATTGATTTTCCCTATATGCATATAGAAAAAACTTTAAAAAATCTTCTTTTAAAGAACCCAAAGAGCTAGAGCTAAGATATTAAGCATGAAACATCTTCTATTGAGTGTCTACCAAGTTTGTTCAAATAAAAGCCCTGGGGTCAAAATTGGCCCCGCCCCAGGGGGTCATTGATTTTCCCCATATGCATATAGTAAAAACTTAAAAAATCTACTACTAAAAAACCCAAAGAGCTAGAGCTTAGATATTTGGCATGAAACATGTTCTAATGGATGTTTACCAAGTTTGTTCAAATAAAAACCCTGGGGTCAAAATAGGCCCCGCCCGGGCTGACATTGATTTTCCTTATATGTGTATAGCAAAAACTTAAAAGTCTTCTTTGAAAAAACCCGAATAGCTAGAGTTTAGATATTAAGCATGAAACATTTTCTAGTAAGTGTCTACAAAGATTGTTCAAATAAAAGCCCTTGGGTCAAAACTGACCATGCCCAAGGTGTGTCATTGTTTTTAACTATATGTGTAAAGAAAAAAACTTGACCAGCTAGACCTTAGATGTTAAGCATGAAATATCTTCTTATCGGTTTCTACCAAGTTTGTTCAAATAAAAGCCCTGGGGTTTAAACTGGCCCCGCTCCGGGGGCCTATATACAGGTGAGCGACTTCAGGGCCATCATGGCCCTCTTGTTTAAGAAGTTAAGGATATGGACAAAATTGATGTTTTGAAAAGCAGTTATTTTTTTTTGTTATAAAGCACAAAAGTTGTATGAGTATATTTATCATTACATGTATATGTTAACCCTTACCATCAGGGTTGGTCATTGCAGACAATAGTTTACAGTAACAGTTGGTTTCCAATGTAACTTGTGTAAATTTCCCGAAATACTTGCAAAAATTGTGACACATACTTTCATCAAAATATTGCTGTAGCGAAAGATTCTGCAAGCATAACAGGAAAAGTATAAAATCAAAAATATAGCTTGGAATTGGCAAATACTTCTCAGGAATATAGTATATGTTTATTATTCAAATATTGAAAGATATAATGAAAAATTAGCAAATACGTAAGCGGGAACCCAATGTTACTGTAAATGAATGTTACATGATCACCCACCATGCAGTGTAACATGTTTAACTTGAATATTGGGCTGATCTTTGATTTTAGGGAATTTGGTAACAAAATATGCAGCCAATGGTTAAGATTCAGGTCTGACTTCAGTATTGTTTTAATGGTTGACTTGGCTCATTCCCAATCCAAAAAATATATGTTTCAGCTGTATATACTTCTGGTTTTTGAGAAAAAAAAATCCCTCCATATAAAGTTTGTAATGATGGTTGGATTTGTTAAATTTTAGATAATGGAAAGTGTGTGTCAGTCTGGAGATACAGTTCTAGGTAAATTGGTTCAAGACATGGGAAAAGATACCTTTAAAGTTTTACCTGTTGGAAAAGGTAAATTAACACTATTTCCAAGGTATTTAATTGATGTTTTTTTGTAAATGCATTGTAAAAAATCTTTGTTAAATATAAAACAGTCATTGTTGTTTTTAACAACTTTAATTTTTGCAATAGTAGCCTGTATGACTGGATGGTCACTTTGTTTAACAACTTACCAGTGTCTAGTACATGTAGTTTTAAATCCAGACATTTGAAGTAAAGAAGATATTTAGCTAGGTTTGAGAAGATTTCATGTAGTTGTAAATCCAGCTAGGTGCATTACTTTAGCATAAAGGATTAAGTAGTTTGAAGGCTGCCACATTAACATTCAGCCACGGCCGCCCAGTATATTGAATTGTATGAAATAATGTAAGTGAGGATACAATTTGAAGTACATGCAGTGTTCAATCTAGAGCGCGCCATTGCGCCATTGACCCCCTGAAAAGACCGCCGGCGCAAAACAAAATCAACTGTGGGCCAGACGGGCGCACTCATAGAAAATTCCCAAAATGACATTTAGAATGCTTTCTTAAACCTGATTAAGTACATAAAGAAGTTTCTTGTGAATAATATTAATAAATACTGAATTCAAAACTGAAGTTTGTAAAGAAAAACAAGAGCATGTTGGTTAGTTAGTTTACCGCACTCTGTAACCCATTTAAAACCTATCGCTATGCTCTCGGTCCGCGTCTGTAAAAACTATGCAGACTTGTTCTTCATACCGTAACTATTACTTACTTTTGAGTCACAGTTTTTATAAACCAAACAAATCGTCACAGATAATCCAATACGTGCGTGTAGTTATAGTTTTTTTCGCGGTCAAAACAAAAAAATATGTAATAACTTTCCAAAGGAAAAAAATATATATATTTGTGAAAAGTGCGAGTTAATTATAGAGAAGTGTGCATAAATTATTTCGAACACGCCTTCATCCAATTAAAAAAGTCTTAAAGATGGAGCTAATCAAACACGATTGGCTAGGGAGTGTCTGACAATTAAGTAAATTAACTTTGATTGGTCTTTGGCGGGTCGGCGCTAAAACATTGTGCATATCATTAATCAATACAGACAGCTTATGCGTGACGTAAGAACTGCTGCCCTGACAAAAAATCAAAGGTACCGGTATGTCAATATACATTGTCTTAGCACCTGTTGACACTTTGTTTTTCGTTCGGATATATTGAGAAGGGTAAATGTTTTTAGCGACTATTATAAGTTTATATTCTTCATCAACAAAGCTAATTTCAAAATATGATTTTCCTTTATATATCGGGCGCTGATCATTATTATCAGATATCCCTGGTAACATTAAAATACTAGTAAGATTCATATTTTTCTTTGAACATTATGTCATCGCGTTTCTTTACCAATCAGTTCTTAAAACAGAATTCTCAAAATGTCATTTTTTTAGTTGAGTTCTTTTGGAATTTTGCAACCGTTTTTGGTCTAAAGATGGTACGTGAACAAGTAACTGAAAAGATACAATACCTTATTTGAATTTGATGTTCATTTTAAGTGTGGCCCCCCTTTTTTCTCAAATGACCCCCTTTTGAAAAGTTTATGGGCCCGAAGGGCCCCCTGGGAATTTGTTCTAGATTGAACACTGTACATGTGTATTGAAATTTTTCAGATATTGCCACAAACAGAGATCTGCAGGAAACTCTTAAGGCAATGACTCAGATTGGTATACCTGAGACCATGCAAGGGGAAATAACTAAGGTTCATTTTCTTTCTAATATTTTTTTCTAGCTTGACTTTTCGAAGAAAAGAGAGAGGTATTGTACTCACACAGGTGTCCATTACACTTTGAGTTTTTGTGTGCAAGTTGATTTCTGCTAAACTATTGAAAGGAGCATAATAGGAGGTCACTGTGCAAGGCCCATAACTGAAACTTGGTTTTTGACAGAATTATGGCCCTTTTGAACTTAGAAAATTGAACATTACCTGTAACCAGGTTCTTGTTCTACTATCAAGCACAGAAAATAGTCGAGCATACTGTCCTACTGATAGCTCCTGTTTTAATACTTTTTAAGATCAATATTTCATGGAATTCAAAGTTTTTATATGATTATATGTCACTTTTCCTTTCACATTGACAATAAAAGACATTATATTTCTAATGAAGTATCTATTATGTCACAGTCTTTTTACTTTACATGATTTTATTCAAGGGAAAAAATAGCACTGTAAAATTAGTTTTTATGTAACAAGAATTTCTGAAAACTACATAAATAAGCAATATCAAATACAGCTGTGACCTACAGAATTTCTTGCTTTCTTTTTGTAAAAAAACAACAACAACCAGTTTTCAGCATGATGAATGAATCTTTTTTAAGCTAGAACCTTTAGAAGATAATAGCGTTTTTTTGTTCTTTTAAGGACGGTGTTAACATTAAATGAGATAAAAATAACCATTTATATAAATTTACAGGTGCTGGTGGCAATTTTGTTCCTTTGTAATGTAGAGATAAAGCCCCTGGAAGATGAACTCTGTCAGTTGTTACAAGAACAAGGTTAGTTGTACAGTTCAATTAAATTTTACATAATTTTTAGCTCGACTATTTGATAAGAATAAGTAGAGCTATTGCAGTCACCCGAGCGTCGGCGTCCGCGTCGGCGTCCGCGTAACCACTTATGTTAAAGTTTTTGTAATAGTTCAAATATTTTCAAAGTCCATTGACATATGGCTTTGAAACTTTGCACACTTGTTCACCATCATGACCCCAACCTGTAGACAGGAGAAGGTAACTCTATCAAGTATTTTGACAGAATTATGCCCCTTTTTCGACTTAGAATTTACGTTAAAAGTTTTTGTAATAGTTCAAATATTTTCAAAGTACATTGACATATGGCTTTGAAACTTTGCACACTTGTTCACCATCATGACCCCAACCTGTAGACAGGAGGAGGTAACTCTATCAAGCATTTTGACAGAATTATGCCCCTTTTTCAAGTTAGAATTTACGTTAAAAGTTTTTGTAATAGTTCAAATATTTTCAAAGTCGATTGACATATGGCTTTGAAACTTTGCACACTTGTTCACCATCATGACCCCAACCTGTAGACAGGAGGAGGTAACTCTATCAAGCATTTTGACAGAATTATGCCCCTTTTTCGACTTAGAATTTACGTTAAAGTTTTTGTAATAGTTCAAATATTTTCAAAGTCCATAGACATATGGCTTTGAAACTTTGCACACTTGTTCACCATCATGACCCCAACCTGTAAACAGGAGGAGGTAACTGTATCAAGCATTTTTTTTACTATCAAGCACTAAGAATAGTCGAGCGTTGCTGTCCTACCGACAGCTCTTGTTGTTCTGTATACTTATACATAGTATGTAGATAATGGGAAATAACCCTGCAATTAATTTTGACAAAAGTACTGATCCATTTTAATCTGAGAATTTCACTAATATTCTTTCTACCATTCCTTTTGTTCACTGAAATTTTGTAAGTTATTGGTTGGAAACTTTGAATTTGTGTTAATGGCCATAGTCTCCATTATTATACAAAAGGAAATAACTGGAAATTTTTTTTTATGAAACTATTGTTGCTTTTGGCTTAGAAATTTAGACTTTAAAGGAACTCCACTGAGGTCCAATAGCCTGAAATCATAAAATTTAAAGCTCTTACATAGATCAACTTGGGCACTTAATTCACAAAATTATGTAAAAGACAATACAGGAACATACCAAGACTGAATTTAAATTGCAAATCAATAATTAGGTTGCTTCTTAGATTCTAAGTGTGTTCCATTTAAAAGTGTTTTATTGGGGGGGGGGGGGGGGCAATTTGCACAATAGAAATGATCTGCAAAAACAGAGTAAGCAAAAGATCTAAAAGTGTGCACAGAAGTTATTGATATTGACTTTCATCAAATTATACAAATATCTTGGGAAATTGTTTTTAGTCCCATCATGTCAAAAAACCTCAGTGGAGTCCCTTTAAATCTATTGATAAATTACATATAAGGGTTCTTGTAGAAATAGAATATGAACTAATAATTTTATTCCATAAAAGAAGATTAAAACTCTTTCAGCTTTAATATGTTAGAGAGATGTTTGTTTTGTCTAGAGTCAGTTGATTTGTCAGATTGTAACTTCATATCAAATTTTAAATTTTGTAGAAGACAGATTTTTAGACACTGGATTTGTTGACCTTGAAGGTGCAAGTGGAAGTCAGTTATATATTTTTATATGCATAATTTTGTCTTCCAAATTTTTGGGAGACAGATTGTTTTTGCCTTTGCTGTCAGTCTGTCCATCTGTCCCTCTGCATTCAGCTTGTGTGGCTTTCACAGATCAAACTGCTGGTGGGATTTCAATGAAACTTCACAGGAGTAATCAGTACCATCCCTAGTTGTGCATATCGCCAGCATGTCCCACTCTGCTGCACAAAATGGCCTCCAGAGCTGTAAATAGAAAAATCTTGTCCGGCTTTCACAGGTTGAACTGCATGTGGGATTTAATGAAACTAAACAGGAGTAATCAGTACCATCCCTGCAAAAAATGGCCACTAGAAGTATAAATAGAAAAACTTGTCTGGCTTTCACAGGAGGTTCGTACTCTCAGTGCCTGAAAGGGCGGATGGACCCTTATTAAACTTAGAACACATGCTTTCACAGCTCTAACTGCTGGTGGGATTTCAGTGAAACTTCACAGAAGTGATCAGTACCATCGCTAGTTTGGGTATATAACGGGCATGTTTGGCTCAGCTGCACAAAATGGCTGTCAGAGCTATACATAAAGAAATCTTGTCCGGCTTTCAAAGGTCAAACTGCTGGCAGGATTTTGACCAAATTTACAGGAGTGTTTAGTATAATACCTTGTTTTGGGAGACATATGTTTTTGTGACCCCTTCTAGTTGTTGTTTAGTATTCTAATGTAGTTTTAAACTTCACATTAGTTATTTGTTGTTGCGTGCCATCATTTCTAGTGTATTAGTTTAGAAGTTGTTTAAGAGTTGTCAGTAGTGATGCAATGTTACACATTAACTTTCATTATTATAAAGTTATTTGAAAGAGAATAGTCAAGCACACTGTCCTACTGACAGCTCTTGTTTATGTTTTAGTACATAGAATTCTCTTTGGCATTGGAATGATTATACATAACATTTTGTTATATAGATTTACAATGTATCTTTCTTTTATACTAAATTACAGAAAAATTTGTGAAAAGAACATTTTTACATAGAAAATAGTTTTTAGTAAAATTTTTAGCTCTATTGTGGTGTAAATATCAAATAATAATGTTTGTTGGTTTAATTTCAAATTAACATTTGTTTTGTGTAATTGACTCACTTTGCTTCAAATTTTAAATTGTCATTCTGGGAATTTTGATATGAAAGATGTTAAAATTAAGTCAGGCCAGTCCATGCAGTCTGATAAGGCTCTACTTTGTTGTCACAAAAACTTTTAACTTTTCATCTTTATATCCATAGAATTTATAATAGACTCAGTGCCTATTCTAGGAGGGAGGATGGGGGGATTCACTCATATTTTTGAGAATTCCTCCAAAGGAGGAAAATTTTAGATAGAGAAAGAAGGAAAAACATCAACAAATGTAATAAATTCTCACTTTGCGATAAAAATCCCCGGTGTTTTTCGCTTCCTAGAATAGACACTGATACAACTGTTCCGAAAAATGGAAGTGGTTAGTATAAAATAAACATATTATACTGTGCAGTGACAGAGACAAGTTTACAGCAAGCTGGTGACTTACTGGGTTTACAGTCATCTCATATGGAACAGGTCTTGTTATACCGACATATAGAATCGGGCGGCAATAAGCGTCGGAGCGTGTTCGTTAAACCTGTACCACAGAGAGAGGCATACAGTAGACGGGACTGTCTAGCTACCGTCTTATACTCAAGGTAAAATTTCTGTAGTTTCGACAGTTTAGAACAAAAAACAAAAAATCAGTACATACCCATGCTGAGCTTAAAAATGAGCACAAACATTGTGATATTACTGTATTGATCTTTTAACAAAGTTACATGGTAATGTTCAATTTTTATACGATTATGCTTAATAAATTTATTAATTTCGTTGATGTTTCTTTTTCAAGATGGACACAAAAAGGATATGTGATGTAAAGTATAGAATGATATTATAGATATCAATATAAAAAATGTATTTATTTGTTTTTATACAATGAATTTCAGATTATTTGATTGGCTAGTTGGATTTATAAACACCCAGATACATGGTAGTGGATATGATCATACGATAGGTGAGCCATATATCTGAATACATCAGTTTTATAACAGATACTTCTTGGCAGTGATAAATAATATTGAAGTTTTAAGTTTATCTCACTTCCCTCACTTGTACAATCAGGGAATCTCCTTGAATACACACCATTGAGTCTAATCCATGAGTATATATAATACAACATTTATGAAATAAACCTTATTTACACATGTATAAAAACCCAGGTGTCTACAAGGACATTGTCGAAAAATCCTGTCTTTATTATGTCATGATTTTGGTTTCAAAACTTTTACATGTAAACAAACATGTAACCAATAGAGAAATAATTCAGTTTTGGCTTGAATTCCTATTTTTTGCCAATTGATGATTTATTACAGTACTTTAAATGTTAAAAATTAAGAAACAATCAAGGTCATGAGGCATAAGAGATGTTTCCCTTTACATTATTTCTTAAACAGACTTTATAAAGAGTTTGTCATTTTTATGCTCTTTAATTTATTTCAAGAGCTCATTTCTTTCACAGTTTTTATCATAACCTATTTTACTGTTTAACATGACAGGTTTGTTGGATATCTATGGGTTTGAAGCGTTTGAGAGGAACAGTTTAGAACAGTTATGTATAAACTATGCTAATGAGAAACTTCAGCAGCACTATGTTAAACATTTCCTTAAAGATTTGCAGGTATGTTAACTTAGTTATATTTTGTCTTCAAAGTTTAACTAACCCTTAACTTGTAGAATATTAATGTAATATTAATGTATTCATTTAAGTTCATTACTGAATATATTGAATTCATTGAATAGAATAATATTATGCTCGCCAGAGGATAGCATAATATAATTTTATTCAACTTGTACAATAAATTCAGTATTAAACTTACACTCATTCAGTATCCTCTATATATTGTATACTTAACTTGCCTTGAATGCCCAGAATATTGTTTCCATCCTAAGTACACATATATTTTAATGTTTAACTTGACAGGTTTGTAGGATATCTATGGATACCGGATTTATTGAAATTTGTGTTCTATGTTATAGAAAGAGTATGAGGAGGAGTGTATAGACTGGCAACATTTAACATACAATGATAACCAACCTTGTCTTGATATATTAGAGGGTCAACCAAGTGTTTTTGGTCTTCTAAATGAGGTAATGTTAACAAATTCTGAACTCTGACTTTCTTTACCTTGCTGAACTTAGCTGTAATTGAGTTATCCTGCTTAATTGGAAATTTGTACAAAGCTTACCTTTATTGTCCTGCTTAAAGGAGCATGCCTCCAGATTCATACTCATTTTGAAAATTCTAAAAATGTATTTAAATCATGTAAATGAAAAGTTGCATTATGATATATGACTATGATTCTATCTTAGTTTATATACAGAACTTATTTTAGTTTGACTGTGTAGGAAGGTTAAATATAGACACACTGAATCAGTTCCTGGAACCAACCAGTATTGAGAAAGGATTTAACTCAATACAGTGTTGGAGCCAACCTGTAGACACGTACAGAAATTAGAATAGACAAATATCGTTTTTTTTCTGCTGATTCTTACATTTTTCTTTCTTTATGTATATAAATTGGTGTGAAGAGATGAATTAGACGTTCTTAAGTTCATTCCGTTTGGTGAAAAGGCGAGATTCTAGCTTTTAATCTTTCAAGCGCCTTGTCTAGTATATAATGGAATACAGTACTAAGTGTCGTGCTCCAATCTTTTTTTCAGTCCCACTCACTGAGAAATAAGTGTAAAGTTTCTTGCTCAAGGAAACAAGGACTTGCTTCTGACTGGGTTTGAACCCACATTGATAGTAATCCTTAGATTACTAGTATAACATGTTAACCACTTGGCCATGCCAGCACTCATGATTCTATCTTTGATTCTATCTTTGATTACTATCATACAGGATGTTCAACTGAACAGAAAGACAGACACTGTACATTTATGTGACAGGATACTTCAGTTATCACAGACATCATCTAGTTATATAAAAAGACCGAAGAATTATATGAAGATAGCCGGGTTTACAGTGAGTCACTATGCTGGTGATGTGACATACACAGGTGATGGTTTGTCCACCAAGAATAGAGACAACATTCCACAGGTATCATTTCAGTCACTGCAGATCAACATCTTTTGTGAGACAGAGATTTTTTTAGTTGCTAAGAGAGGTGTTGTTCTAGGAAGGGTTAATTTTATTCTGACATCTTACTGTTTAAATAAGTCATACTAATGCTGTTATGTATTTATTGCTATTCAGAGGGTCACCCTGTAGAGGTTACACTGTATTTATCAGCTAAGCATCTTTAAATGGTTTAAACAATTTTATATGAGTAAAATATACTATAAAACAAAAATTTCAACTACAGCCAGGTTTAAAGGAACTCCACTGAGGTCCAAAGGCTTAAAAACATAAAATTTGAAAATGTTAGAAATGGGTTGTGAAGCACCTAAGATGGAAAAGTCTGCACAGGATGATAAAAAAATATACTCAGATTTATATTGAAAATCGATTTTTATGCAATTCTTAGCCAGATTTTAGTGAAAATGGTTGCAACGCTTCTCATTTTTGGGCCATTTTTTTCACAACAAAAAAAAAGAAGATCATCTAGAAAAACAAGGTGAGGGAATGAGCTGAAAAGTTGCATACAAGTTAATGGATAAGACCCTTTATCAATTAGTACACAAATCTCAAATACAGTTTTCCTTCAAGAAACCCTTTAAGAATTCTCAAGGTCATTTCTTCAGTTTTAAAAACAAATGTCTATGTTATTTTAACACTTATTAATTAAATAAGGAAGCAGTATTTATAACCTTTTTTTAACAAAATATTCAATTGTTATTTTATTTAGTTTCAGAGACCAAATGTAAAATTATTATAGGTACAATGTATAGATATTTACGTTTAAACTGTAAGTAAAATAGATGGAAATCAAGCTACAAATATTGTATATTTCAAACTAATTATTCCTGAATTATTGTCCTAATGGATTTATTTTCTGTTTTGTTTTTCTTTAAATAACAACACAGGAACTTATTAGTATGTTGAGGGGTAGTAAGAACAAGTTTGTATCTGATTTGTTCAACGACTTTGTGACAGAAGAACAGCAGCCAGGCCGTACTAGTAAAAGAAAAACAGTTCTTGGTAAATTTAAGACTTCACTAGACAGTCTAATGTCATCACTGCAAGCATCGGATGTTCATTATATACGTTGTATAAAACCAAACACCCACAGCGTGCCACATAAGTTTGACCGTCGTTATGTGATGGCTCAGTTAACAGCTAGTGGTATCATAGAAACAGTCAAGATCAGCTGTCTAGGTTACCCTGTCAGGTATATACTTGAATCTTACCATCTGTGATCATTGTAAAATCTTACCATCTGTAATCATCGTAAAATCTTGCCTTCTGTGATCATTGTAAAATCTTACCTTCTGTGATCATTGTAAAATCTTACCTTCTGTGATCATTGTAAAATCTTACCTTCTGTGATCATTGTAAAATCTTACCTTCTGTGATCATTGTAAAATCTTACCATCTGTGATCATTGTAAAATCTTACCATCTGTGATCATTGTAAAATCTTACCATCTGTGATCATTGTAAAATCTTACCTTTTGTGATCTTTGTAAAATCTTACCATCTGTGATCATTGTAAAATCTTACCATCTGTGATCATTGTAAAATCTTACCTTCTGGGATCATTGTAAAATCTTACCTTTTGTGATCTTTGTAAAATCTTACCTTCTGTGATCTTTGTAAAATCTTACCATCTGTGATCATTGTAAAATCTTACCATCTGTGATCATTGTAAAATCTTACCTTCTGTGATCATTGTAAAATCTTACCTTCTGTGATCATTGTAAAATCTTACCTTCTGTGATCATTGTAAAATCTTACCTTCTGTGATCATTGTAAAATCTTGCCTCCTGTTATCATTCTAATATTTTACCTTCTGTGATCTTTGTAAAATCTTGCCTTCTTTGATCATTGTAATATATAACCATCTGTGATCACTGCAATATCTTACTACAGATGATTATTGTTAAGTCTCACCATCTGTGATCATTGTAACATGTTACCATCTGTGATTATAAAATCTTATGTGCATTTTGGTCAATTATATTGGTCAATTATATGTGCAATATTGGTTATGATTCATGGAAGGACTTCTTCCAGGAGTTGAACTGGAAAATGAACTAAAGTAGCAATATTCATAAACACTTATCAAGTCATACATGCATGTATAATTAACAAACAGGATGATATAAGAAAATGATAACATGGATTAAGATTTTCTGCAGAATTATGTTATTCCCTTGTTACACGGTGATAGGGCGATTACCACAACTTTTCCGCGCAACGTCAAAATATCTTACTTCTGTCCGAGACACCGTATATTTCTGTGGTACAATATGGACAGCAAGCCTGTAACCGAGACGAAAACAGCATATAATTTGCTCAAAACAAGGTAAAATCATCATTTTTTCTTTTTCATCGAATGTGCCATTTAATTTGAAACTTATTTATCTTTACTACATGCAAAATGCTTCATTAATTAAGTCAGGATAGTGAAAACATTTAGGGTATACTGAAAAAAATCTTGCTTTGATTACGAAATATAACGTATTTCTAGTCCGTTCAGTTCATATAACTGGTCAAAATACAATATAAATATGTACATTATTGTCGTATGAACAAGTTACAATACATAAATAACCCGTTTTTTGTATATTTGGTATGATTTTTATGTTTCCACGTGTGTATTTTAAGGCACCGCACAACTTTGTCAATCATAAGATTAGGGCACCGCATTATTCCTCCTTAAAATCACCGCATTTTTCTGTCTTTTTAGCACCGTTGATTTTTGATATTAATGTTTGCTTTCAGAAAAAGAAGACGTTCAAACCTATGTCTGAACAAGCCAAAGCAACGTGCGAAATTGGCAAAGCTGCAGATAATGCAGCAACTGGAGAGCGCCCAACTAAGTCTTCTGATATCAGCAGTACGCCAATGGATCAGCGCCTCCCTGTATTTCAGGACGATATGCGTAACGCACCACATAAGAAAAAGAATATGAAGTCAAACTTTCGCAAAAGATTGTTTAAAAAAACACATTGGAGACGGTGACTGAAGAGATTATGGAAATATTGCCCGGGTTCCTGCAAAAACTACACCATGAAAAATTGTGTTATGACTTTTGCAACTTTATCAAATAAGTATGCTATAAGAAATTCCCATTAACAAATAGTTCATTCCTTTTGTTTCTCGATGTTGTTTGATGATCACACGTATAGTCTGCCAAGAACGTCAATCTTTCCATGTGGGGTTTATCAGTTTGAATAAGTTCGAAAAGGAAAAGACATCCTTATCTATATATAGATACCATTGCACTTATCTAACTGGTAGTATTAACACAGACCTTCAAAAATTTTCCATAACATAACGTATGATAACAGCAACATAACATAACAGCAAGTAAACAATCTTTCATCAAACTTTCATCAAATAAAAGTTATTATAAAACATATTTGTAAGAAGATTGTATAATTCAAAAGGAGACGGTTCCAGTATTTATCGGTCTAACTGAAAAAGAATGCGGTGTTTGAATTCAGTGTTGTACGGTGCTCCAATATTCGGGTCAGTAGGCCTTTTTTCAACAAATATTCCCTGAAATTTACGATAGAAACACACAATTTTGTATGGAACTTGAACTTAGGGTTAACCATAATAAATATACGAGCTCGTTAGGTCATTGAACAAAGACATCGTCGTTATAACACATGTTTTTGTGACAAGTACGAGTCATGTTGAGGTACACACGATCTTTTGTAAACACTATTTCTTCGAAGTATGTGTTTTTTTGTGAATTGTATTGTGCTAGATTAACGATAAATTGTCTCAAAAATTCGATGGAATACTTAAACAATTGGAATAATCTTGCAATGTCCAGCAGTAAGATATTTTGTAAGCTATTACCTGGAATTTGTTTATCCCGCCATTAATATTTTGTCCAGAAATATACGGTGTCTCGGTCAGAAGGATGATATTTTGACGTTGCGCGGAAAAGTTGTGGTAATCGCCCTATCACCGTGTGTTAGAAAATAAATTACAAAAAAAAAATTCATATGAATATAATATAGAAGTATTAATGTTATTTGATTATTTAAGCATTTATTAAGTTGATCGCTAACTGAATTACTTCTATATAAGATTTCTAAGCCCATGTAACAAGATCCTATAGTAGGGTCACCTTACAGTTAAGACCAGTTTCAATAAAGAGCCATTGATAGTTGTAATTGATTTATATGCTTAAATTTGATATTTGAAAATACTGTTTATTGCCATACAGTTTCTTTAAATGTAAAATAAACAGCTTTAGAGTAAATGCAGTAAACTCTTCACAATATATATATACATAGTGTCAATGAAAAACTTGCAGTTCTTTAAAGACAAAATTATCTTGACCAGTAATATAGAATGCAGCTTCGCAAACAAAGTTTGTGCATTCTTTTATTCAAATAGAACATACTTAGTGAGTATTTCCTAGATTTCAATAAATTTCTGCAAGAAAAGTATTTTACTAAGGGATGAGAATAGTATAACTTTTTAGATAGATTTCAGAAGGATTTTTTCTGTATTTTGTATATAAATGAAAACAGTTAAGTGGAATCTATGATATTGTGTTATTTATTAAAGGATCAAGTACCCGATGTTCCTGCAGAGATATGGTCTGCTTATACGTAATGCAAGAACGCCGCCACAGTCGGAGACAGAGAACACGTGTGACACAGATACCTTGTACGACCCACTAGATGCACTGTATCGTAAACAACTTGATATGGTCTCTGTAGACTCACCAAAAAAGAGAAATAATACACCAAAAAGAAGGTTGAGGAGAAGGGCAGGTAAATTCTTCATTTATTTTTAGCTTGTCTGTTCTGAAGGAAATGTTGGGTGACTATAATGATCGCTGCCTTGCTGTTGGAGTAGTCATCTTTGTTGTTGTCATCGCATTACTTGCAAATCATTCAAACACTTTTCAAGGTGGCAATATCAAACTTGAATACTTTATAATTATAACAAGAAGCAGTTGCAATACAAGGAAATTCTGATTCATAAAGTATTGTAATGTTTTTGAATTTATGTTATTTCTATATTGATTTTAATTTATTAGTTGTTTTCAATAACAAATGAGCTTTAACAGTGCTTGCAGTGGACTTGTTATACATGTATTTCTACAGCTGTTTATTCCATCTTTATCTTCATGGCAGTGTTGTAAATGTAGCTTACCTCTAATCTATTCACCCTCTACTATTCAAAGATGAGGGAAAATAGGGAGGGCTATTGCACTCACCCAGATATTGGTGTTGCTGTCACACTTTGGTTAAGTTTTTTTTGTGCAAATTGATATCTCTAAAACTTCTCAAGAGAATGAGTTGAAGCTTCATGCATTTGATGTTATTATCTTACATGATGGGCTTAGGTCCCATAACACTGTGTTACCTTTTTTTACCTAGTTTTGCACTGAGAATAGTCAAATGCACTGTCGTATAGATAACTCTTGTATGTTAAGTAACGATAAACATTAGACATTGTGCTCTTGTCTAGCCAATGTAAATGATTGCTGACCAAAACATATACATAAATACATGTACTTGATACAGATATTTAATTTTCAGGATTGTCAAGTGCAGACCACACCAGGCGATGTAGTGCTGCTGTGTTGACTTTACAGTTTGGTAATTGTAAGGGTCTTACGAAGCAGTTTGGTAGAAGTAAATTGTTTTTACATCAGCATCAGGTACACCAGTACTCTTCTTGACTGTACTGAAAAAATATCTTACCTTAAAACTTGCCAGAGAAACAAGGACATTTCTAGCACATATATAAACATTACAGCCCTTATATACTAAAAGCAAATTATTTTAAAATTCATTATACAAATGGAGCATCAGAATATCACAAAGAAACAATAAAGAACGTTACATGACATAAAAGAACTGCAACAAAATGTGAAAACTAATGTTTAAACTTCTAATTGATTAATTAGTTTTATATTAGCCAAAAAGCATTATAATGTTAAAGTGATTGGAAAGTAATAGTCTAAGTTTTTCACCATAAAATATTTATATAATGAGAAATGTCTTTTATGATGCTTTAGAATAATAAGAGAACAATTGGTCATGTTTATTTAACAATAATTTGGGTGTGGGGGATCTGGAGATAAAGAGATTTGAAAAATAATTTAAACAGAACACAGAACCTTGTCAACATGCACTGATATACATGAATTTAGAAAACATATTAAGGAACATAGTTTAATTTAAATAATCCAACATATGTTCCTGAGTTTAATAGACCTTTCCAGTGTTTACAATTTTATGCATATTAGCTGACTGGCTATCAAACTGTTTAACTGAGATAATAATTTATGTAGTCATTGGCTGACCTAGTTTACAAAAATATAATGCATGGTTTTGTTGGTGATATGCATTGTTAGCAGTTGAGCTAACAATGAATAGAAAAGGGCAGGATAATTCTTTTCACTGTTAAAAACTTGGTAGGTTTGATATAAATAAAGGGTCATGTATATTATTGTTACTGTAACAGGTTGACAGTCTAGAGAAAACAAGATATGATATTATATCATCAAAGGCGGCCATGATTCAAGGTTTGTGGAGAAGGTATATTAAATGTTGTAGAGCAAAGAGACAGCATCAGGCAGCAAGTGTGATACAGTCAGCTTGGAGAAAATACAGACAACATAAACATTCCACAGCTGTGTTAAAAATACAGAAAAGTATGTGCAATAAAAGTTTAGTAAACATTTAATTGTTACATTGCAACATCGCGCAACAGATTGCGCCTACTTAGCTAAAAAGGGAGAGCATCAGATTTGTAATCTCAGGATCTGTGGTTCAGTCCTCAGCCTAGGTGAAATTTCTCTCAGGCAATTGATCTCCAACATTGAGTTTAGTGGTCATTTGTATCGCACTGCTTATGCAAAACTCATGTGGGATCAGTTTTTGGTCACTTGCCAAGAAGTTAATGATTACTGGTTAGTTGTCCAGGAAAGCCAGTTATTTAGGTGGACCTATTTCTACTTATTTGAGAGCAAATTAGGAGGTCACTGTTCATGGTCCATAATTCTTATATAGGATTTTGACAGATATATATGACCCTTTTTGAACTTAAAAAAACTGCTTTATCTAGCTCTTGTTTGACTATCTTCAATAAGAATAGTGGAGCATGCTGTCCTATTGATACCTCTTGTTTGTAATGGACTTTTCCTGCAGGGAAAGAAGAACAGACCAGTAACACTTAACAGTGGTAAGGGAGTTGAGTATAGATCACATGAAATACACCAGAGGCTTTGTTATACTTAACAAAATGTCTGTTTGACATGGCTTTACAATGATGACAAATAGCCTGTTTTTATATATAAATATATTTATAAACATATTCCATCTTACTTAAAATAAAATGATATTCTAAATACTCTTTTATTTGTAGCATTCCGTATGTATTTTGCAAGAAAAAGACTCAGGAAAATTGTGGCAACGATGAAGGAGAGAAAACAGAAGAAGGAGAAGACATCTTGGAAACCAATTCTTGACATGAGGAGGACATCGCCAGGTACTGGAAGGTTAAGTCGCAGTAGTGAAAGGTCAGATACGTCGCTTGATAGGTCATTAGAGCCAGAATGCAGCAGTTCAAATTCAAACACTTCTAGTCCATCTGTCTCAAAATCTGAAACTAATGTGCACTCCTTCACCATAAGTACCCCTAGAAAATCTCCAAAATGGCGGAGATCTGATAGACTAAATAATAAACAAAATAAGAACAAAGAAAATAATGTGATAATTCGAGCTAATCCTAAAGGTAGACCTGACATGAGTAAGTACAGTCCTGTAAAGTTGCTGCGATCTTACAGTAAACTGTCAGCCACAAAACGTTCCAATTCTAGCGTTGCCATGGATACAGGAAGTGAAGGTCATACCCATGAAGATCCTGACGTCTCTCCGAGAAAGAAACAAAAGATGGCAGATAGTTCTGTACAAGGTGCATTTCATCTACAAAATGGTATACTGACACGAAGATGTATACCTAAGGTATGATTGTATAGTAATTTATAATTGTTTTTTACTGGAAAATATTTCCTTACAATTGTATTTGTAGGATAAAATAGCTCTACAAGACTACATTAACCAATATCTAAGCTCATTAGAAAGAAAGATGGACTGTGAATCAGGCAACCTGAGTACGATTCCTTAATGATACAGGTCACTTTCGTTGTGATTGATCATGATCCTTTCTATGGTCTTTTAAAACGTACCTCTGCAGGGGCATGTGCAAATTATTTTCTGGAAAAGTAAGGTAATACGATACTGGTAAACTCTCACAGCCCTTTTGGGAATATGCGGGGGGTAAACTGTGCTTGACTAAAGGGGAAACTTTAAACCAAACCCCTGTAGTCTACTTAAGTCAGAATAAATTAACTATATTTTTCAAATTTAGGGCAGTTTTTACCTTATTTTCTTTTTTTTTTATCAATACCCTTGGGGCAAAGGGGTTGTGCTTAAGGGTTTGTTTTAAAATGCCAATGATCAAAATTTGTGTTGATCCCGGGTAAAACAAAACAAACAAAATTGAAACAATATTTATTATATATTTTTATATATATAATTTTTTTTTTTTTTAATTGACTTTACAGATCCAAAAAACGGTTCATCAAGAAACCAGTGTGTTTGAAGTATGCTCACTACATTCATCAGAAAGAATTACCAAGTGGACTAAGTGATTGTTTACCAGATGACCAGTTAGACTAGTTAATCAGTCTAGAAGGCATATAATTGAGCCGCGCCATGACAAAACCAACATAATGGGTTTGCGACCAACATGGATCCAGACCAGCCTGCGCGATGCACAGTCTGATAAAGATCCATGCTGTTCACTATCAGTTTCTTTACTTGTTATAGAGTATGTAAGCGAACAGCATGGATCCTGATCAGACTGCACGGATGCGCAGGCTGATCTGGATCTATGCTGGTCGCAAACCCATTATGTTGGTTTTGTTGTGATGCAGCTCAAATGTTTTATTTTATATTAACCGTCTGACCTTTTGCTACCCATGTGATCAGTGCAGACCAATATAAGCCCACACATTTGATCCATCTGATCATGGTCTGCACTGATCGCTCGCTTTTCAGTCATGACATGTATGTATTTTCCCCTATAAATGATGAATGGTTTTGTCCAGATTTTAAGATTTTCTAGCTTGGTACTGGTTAATATTTATTGAAAGTTTTTAATCTCTTTCTGGAGCTTAATCATTTAGCAGATGCAGATTTATTTTTGTTAGAAAGTTAATAACATGATTGCCATTCATGATCACAATTTGCTTTTACAAAAGTACAAAAGAAAATACTGGTAAGTCCATAAATACAGTTAAAAGACCTATACTTAGTAATGTAGAATCTGGGGAATAAACTTAAATATAAACTTAAATGTTTAAAATAATTTCAGGTGCATTTTTATGAGACTATTTTTGATATTTGCTTAAACTTACAGATTAAAAAAGAAAAATGTGCTTATATTTGTACTTACTGCAATATTATTTTTATGCTAAATTCTATCATGTTTATGTTTTTGCCTACAAGTGTCATGTGGATACACTGCTTCTTTTTCATCAAAGTTTGATTAAAAATGAGTCTTCAATCTTATGTTGAAAACTAATTTCAGGGGCTTATGCTACAGAGGGATATAACATGTCCATATTTTTGTCAATAAATCTCATTTTTAACTGTTGAAATTTAAAATATCAATAACATTATTTTTATTCAGTCTTGATTTGTTTTAGAAAATTTTAACATTTTAAATAATATTTTTTACAGAGTTATGTCCCTTGTCTTACTGTCAAGCACTAAGAATATGCAGTGTTGTGGGCAGCTTTTTTTAATATATATAAAATGTTTTAACATCATTATTGTTATCATTGTGGCATAACTTTCAACAATTTTAGTGAAGTATATGGATCAAGAAATGTGCTTTAAACATGCATGATAAAGAATAAAGAACAACAGTTAATTTTTATGTAAATTTATGGAATCCTACAAATTAAAATGTATGCCAAGAACAGGTTCAGCATAGCATTATCACCCATACTGTGAGTGATATACTACGAATGATATGGATTTTATTTCATGGATAAAAATCCAGTACATGTTTTTATAAAATAAATTGTGGAAAATATTCACTAGTCTGTACAAACTGTGTACAAACTGTGGCTCATCATGGGCAATATGAACATTCACAATTGATTTTGCTTTCAAGGGTTTGAGTAATTTTGACTATAATCAAATCTTATAATCAATGTATATATGGAACTACATGTCTGTAAATGTGACATAGTCAAAGAGAGATATGTACTAGTATAGTATCACACTCCAACATCTATAATGCTAAGATTGATTTATCTGTTGTTGTTAATGCCATTTCTAATTTTTGTTTAGCTGCATTCCAGTTATCATGTAGTTTTATTACACTGTAATTACAAATACAAATTATTCTATCAAAAGTAATGTGTATAAAGTGGGCCAGGCACGATTCATTTCACTGCAATCAGACCAGTTTCTTTACTGCTCATTGTATACTTTTCTGTTTTCATTTCTAGCTCCACTTTTTGTGTCGCCTTGAAAAAGGCGACATTTAGGGGTTACTTTTGTCGGCGGCGGTGTCGGCGTCCCCTAAAGCTTGTCTTCTGGAGCAAAAGTCAGTCATTATAAGTTGGATTGATTTCAAACTTGGTATGCATGCTTCTTATAATGACCCAAAGTGCAGTGCACAAGAACCGGTACTCTGCACTTCTTATTTTTTTAGTTATTGCCCTTTGTTAATTTTCATACTTTTTTTTTTTGTCCGGGCCATTTCTCCTAAAGTATAAAAGCTATGCATTTGAAACTTTCTCATAAATTATAAAAGCTCTGCATTTCTTATTTTTTGAGTTATCGCCCTTTGTTGATTTTCAAATTTCATTTTTGTTGTGGCCATTTCTCCTAAACTATATTGTTCACAAGGCGACACATCCGACTCGCAGAGTTCTAGTTGATAAAAAGGTAGAGGTATTGTCATGTCCCAATTTCCTTTTAAGTTAAATTTTTGTTTTTGCTCATTTATTACAATGCTAACAAAGGTATAACATTGAAACTCAATATGTAAATGAAGCTTGACCAGTTCTACCTGTGACACTGATTTTAAAGGTCACAGGTTAAGGTCACTGACCTGTAAATGATTTTTAAGGTCAAAGGTTCAAAGTCAATGTGGCCTGTAAAGGATTTTTAAGGTCAAAGGTTCAAGGTCACTGTGACCTTGTAAAAGGCAATAGGTTATGGTCCATTGTCTCAGGAACTACCAAAGCTATTTGCTTCTTACTTTGTTAACTTGTTCATCACTAACATGTAATGCCATACCACAAGGGCAGTTTATCTTAACTTTTATAAATTTTGCAGTTATGTCCTTTTTAAAAATGACTTTTTTTGCCCTGGCTAACCTTTATGTGAAGGTTAGTTTCTCAAAAACTATCAAAGATATTATTCACTTTGAACTTGAATTATTGTTCACAATCAAGATTGGGTCCAATTCTAAATGACAGAATATTATTATCTGCTGAGAATTATGTTTTTTCCAAGTATGGAGAAAAAATTATACACTGCTTGTGATATCTTGTATTAAAATGTAGACACTTTCAAATTATCATGAAACATGTTCAATTTGACATATATCTAGCAGTGTAGGATTAAGGAAGATATGTATGAATTATTGCTTTGTTACTGTTATGTTATTAAATAGTATATTCTTTTTACTGCAAATAAACTATTTAGAAAACAGATTGAAATTGTTTTGTTTTACTACATCAGAATTACTAATTCCCACAATATTTTTACATGATAGCCAAAAAATAGAACTTTAATTATATGTTCAGCTTGTCTGTTTTAGAGAATAAGTCATAGATTGGTGGTCGTGATTGTGGTGCAAAACCCATAGCTCATTATTCAGTCACTTACAACAAGCCACAGGATGTAACTTGGATTACTTTATAATCTTGACAAGGTGTAGTTATAAGACTAGGGATAATATTCTGAATGTTTTCTTGGAAATAGGCCGCTCAAATTTGGTCAAAATTTTTATTAGGTAGAATGATTTCAAAACTGAGATGTATCCACCCAAAACTTAAAATACTTGTTAAACATGTCAAGGCATAGTTGTAAGACAAGTGCATTATATTTTGAAGGCAATATCTTATCTGGAGTTTTTCTTTTCTTAAGAATTGATGTTAAAATTATTATTTAATGAAATATTTTTTAAACTAAAAATATTTTACTCCTTCCATGGCATACTTTCTTAAGGGAACAAGTTACATAACTCAGTGATCAGTATTTCTAGAATTATATGCCTTTATCACATCTTAAACAATTGCATAACTTCTTCTTCTATTTTTTCTATAGCAATATATTGAACATTATCAAAATTATTCTTTAACATTTGTTTAAAAGTAGACCTATTGTGTTCACAGCATCTTCTGTGTAGTGCGCAAAATAACTTTTATGTGACTGATTACTCAAAAAGTATTACCGGTTAGATATTGACATTAATTCAAGTTATCTCTTCAATTTCATTAAGCACTAGTCAATTGTTTCCAAGGTCTCCTACACCAGGTGGTGGTTGGGGGCTTGTGAGAAATTAGCAGTGCCACCATGTCTGGTAAATATGGTGCGGCAAATTAGCTGGGGATATGTCCAGGTAAATCTGACTGCCCCTGTAAGATGAGCACTTTCACCAGGAATTGACATTACGCCAGGGAAGATATTGCTCCGCCCAACTGATTCATGTGACCCGGTCATTAAGAACCTTAGACAAAAGACTGTACCAACGTTTACGGGAAACTGTCATGCCACTAAAGTGACTAATGAATTTACCTTATATAATTAGGTACATGTATATATAAAATTTTAATGTGTTTATTGAATAGTTCAATGTTTTATGATACTTTAAAAAGTAACAAATAACTGCATTCACGCTTCAATGATGAATAAGACATTTGGCAAAGATCTTGTTATATATCTCGCTGACTTCAAGGAAGATGTTACTGACAAAATATCATTTTAGTTTACAAATTCAAGGATACTTAAAATTGATGTACAGAACATAATTAACAGTAAAATTATATCATTTCATTTATTGGCAAATCGGCAATATAAATGCCTTTGACTATTTACATACTACATATGGCCAAAACATAGTTACAGTTTACATAAAAGTTACACAAAAAACTGCATGTTTAATCTTTAAATAATCAGCAAATTTTAAACTCACAAATAAAATAAATCCTACGAATCAATGAAACAGTAACATCAACAAATGTTTTTGGGGTTTTATGTGCAAAATCACTTAAATATGTTATTCATTTGTGCATAAATTGTCAAAATTAAATGAGAGAATTGCCCTTACATACTTTTGTTGTATGATATATGATTTTATGTACATTAGATATGTTTCATGATAAAACGCAATATTATTCACTTCAAAATAAGTTTTGCATATACCAGATCTCGGCTTTAAATTAAAACCGTGATCAGATATGATGTTATTAAAGCATGAAATGTATTTAAATATTTAATCTAAATTCATTGAGCTTTAATAGAAATATTTTAAGGTAGGATAATTTGACCTAAAATATTTATTGCATATTTAAGTACTTTTTTCTACTGCAGCATTTTATTGACACTTTTGTAAACGAACAAAAAAATGTCATATCATCTGGATATTCTGGGACCTTAAATAATAATAATATTATGTGATTATGAATTGACATAATTGTAATGAACAAAGGAAAGAGTACTTGTATTTGTTTAAACTTTTTCCTTGTTTAATGCAATGTGGTATCAGAGACAATTTAGATAATATTATCTATGTTTCTGGTGGTATAGCCATTTTTAACTTTCATACCTGCTATATAACTTATTATCTTCATATCCTATAGAAAGTTACTGATATTATTGTTTTTGTAAAATGAATCAGTTACGTATATTAACATATTAATTAATATATATACCTGAATCCATCTGTCATCATGTCAGGATATTTTGTAACTCAGATATACCGCTTTAATAGCTTAAAATTGACAAAAAAATAATTTCAATATAAATACTGCTGCACCATTGTCTTATACATATAGCTTATCTAAGGAAAATGGCAGACATCTTAGAGTGAAACTCAGATAACAATCGCAGATTGGCTTATAGGTCTGTAAGACCCCTGCCAGCTTGATTGACAGGTGGCGTAATGTCAATTTGGAAACTATTTTCCTGGAGTGAGTGAGACTTAATAATATGTATTAGTAAGTGGTGTGAGAGAAAGTTAAAACCTAGCTAAATATGAACATTGTGAAGGATTTTGTCATTAATTAAATATTTTTTATAAAATAAAGAAGAGATCTGAAGTAAAAAAAACAATAATGTGAGCTTATACCGGTAGTAACCACCGCCTGTTTGATTTCATCAAGGTAAGGCAGTGTACAATGTCACTTGGAAGCTAGTGCCCAAGTGATACAATTGGGGGGGGGGGGGGGGCATTCTGGGGGAGGCAAAATAATCAGTGAAAGACACAAGGGAATAACCAGTTCTAGGACCCAACCTCCGAAAGTTCTCGCAGTGCAGTTATTTCCCTTGATCAGTACGACAATTATTTGAAATTCATGTATGTTTTCTTTGTACGGGAACGAGACTAAATTATACATGTATGTCAGAAATGCAAACTTGCATTGCGTCACGTTATTTATACTCGTGACTTGATCCATGCACGGTTGTTCGCTTAAATCTTTGTCAGGGCATAAAAAGTGAGGTATATACCCATTTTGGACTGTTCATTAACCTACTCAGTACACAGGGGCAAGTCATATAATTATAATAAATTAGTTCAATTGATTTTAGGCTGCTGAAGCTGAATAGTCAACAGTGTCAGTACGCATGTGCGAGACCGTGCACGTAATTAACCGAATTATTGGAAGATTATTTCGAAAAAGAAAGTGGTGATAGAGTACAAGATCGTTTAAGTTATCAACAGTTAAGCTAAGGTGTAATAAACTAAATGTGTAATTTTAATCTTCACGTTAGATAAAATCTGATCTCGATAGAAAAGGAGTGAACACATTGTACAAACTGTAGAGTACAGTAGTCGTGTAACTTATAAGGAAGATATATTCGGGTAATATTTTCAAGTTACAACTAAAGGATTACGTTTAGATGAACCAGAACGAGGACAACCCTACAAGCTTCCTAGGTGTCCAACCTAGAGATATATGTAAGTTTTCTCATTGATATTTTTGTATTTTTATCTGCAGTAAACTTAATTATAACTATAAATTTAAGATGTGTATTATTATAGACTTAGTAGACACTGAGGTTATGATCACAGGAGATTGACATTCTATCATTTTAGTTCAAAATAAACAAAATTAAAAAATAACTTCAACTTCAACGGGGTTACTCGATAATATCCACAAGGTAGACATTGACGTCGAGGAGGTGAAGACTACATCGGCAAATATGGTAATATAGAACCAGGGTCAGCTTGGCCCTCAACTTGGGTCAAGTCATCTCAGCCCTATACAAACTCGGGACAGGTCAACTTGGCCCCTTTTAATTATATTACCTGTATTTATTGAAAAACTGCAACATTATAAAAAATACATTCATTTTGTCAACCTAAATGTATTAAGTACATGTATCACAATACTGTATCATGATACAACAAAGATATCATTCAATAGTAAGCAGTGAATTCAAACTTCTAGTTAGACTTGTGAAGGAAACATTAGTAATAATTTTGGTAAAGGGTCCAGGGGGGCATTTTAAGCTGAAAGCCTGAAAATACAACCGTGTTTTAACAGCATTTGCATGGATGGATTGTCAATCTGTTACAAGTGAAAACCTTGGAGTTGGATCAAAATTCAAATGTTTTATAAGTTTGTGTACTGTGGATAGTTAAGGGCTGTTTACAGGTTGTCATGAATGTTTTCCTTCATATTTGTATCATAAAGCCTGTATAAATTTGAAACTGTCATTCCCTGGAAATTTAAAATCACTTGAAATATAATTTTGTTAGTCATGTGTGCACTGTCCTCTTAATTATATTGTACAAGATTAACTCAGTATTAACTAAGAACCATCACTAGTATACCTTTGTTGAACCTGTGTATATTTTTTTATTTTTTCTGAACTTCTATATATCATATTTGAAGTACATTTAAGTTGCCAAATATTAATCAACTAAGTACGTGACTGGCTAAACGACATTGACCCTAAAGTCCAAATGATCACTGTAATAGAAAAGGTCAGAAAAGCTTAAAATGACCGAGGATATTGTACTGTCCAATTAAAAGGTCAGAAAATCTGGATGTAATGTCCGCTATATTGTCCACTTGTATTTAATGTTCGCTATATTGTCCACTATATGCAAACAATGTAGTTGCTTGACAGCATAGGTGTAAAGATAAAACATTACATTGCCATCAGTACTAATGATACTGCAGTTTACAGTGAGGCCATGCAGGTAAGGCTTATCAGCTAGTGGCTTATACCAGCTGACCAACAACCAGTTATATACTGTATATACATGACTGTATATTACACTACATATCAGTCTGAGCAGATGTATATAATTTATTATTCTGTAATAATTATATGTATATGCTTCTAACCAGGCAAAATTGGTTCAAGTTGTACTCATTGTAATCTACTTAAATTGCACTGGTAAAGTATTCATTGTAGTTCAAGCCACCTACCCCTAGGAATAGGCCTTTTTACTGATAGCAGGGTAAATGAGCTCACCTGTCTGCTTGTCTGGTCAATGTATTGTAATGTTTATAAAGGCATACAATAAATTACATATAATGATGCAATATTGATCTTGTATCCTACTGGCCTTTCTTTTGTATTATAATATCACACTGACAACTTGACAAGGTTAAATTCTTAAGCTCCTTGATCCAATGTAATGTAATATTACATCCATGCATATTCATACATCATCTTAATGGGACTATAAACAAATATACCTGTAACCTACTTAAACTGTACAGTGGTCTTGTCCTAGTTTGAATTAAAAGTTAAAACCATCCCAAAGTTTTTGGGATTTCAAGCATTGTCAATATCAAATATAGAAATTGAACCACCAACAGTATAGAGCCTTGTCAGACTTCATGGAAGTGCAGGCAGGGTCTATACTGGGGGCAAACAGTCAAAGACTAATCTCTTTTGGTTTAAGACTTTTAGCAGATTTATGATAAATGACTTTACCTGTTCTATTAACCTTCATAAGTGGGCATGAAACATCACTGGTTGAAATGGTTTAGGTGTTGCTGATGAATGAAGTATATCTCTTTATCAAAGTTATAAGTAGACATCCATAAAAGTGTGGCCATAATATTGTCATTGTAACATAAACCAAACAACAACACCAATAAAATCAAATATGAAAAAGCTGCCATAGACTGTCTTTGAAAAGAGCTTTGTGTCTTTGAAAAGAGTTTTGTATATCTCCCCCACCCTCCTTTGCTGAATCTTGTATATGTCTGGATAAAGCTTATATTCTTAAAAAATGACTTTGCATCTTTTTTATATATAATATATTATATAATGTATCTAAAGAGTCAGCCTATAAATTAGTTGTGAAAGGTTTCACCCATTTCACAGACTATTTTTTCATACTGTCAAACTAGCCAAATATTATCCCAATGTCTATTGTCTTTTTGACAAGGATAATTAGTTAAGAGTACTAAAGAATATTATTCAAGAGTTGTCATCATTGAAAATGTCTTCAAAATCATAGCTTGAAATAACTGCGTCTAGATTTATGTCTTAGATTTTATATAAAAAAAATAAATTTTGTACTTGTGAACCTACTTTACAAAAAGTTCAAATTACGTGGATAACCTAGAGTATATAATATTCTCATTATATTTTTAGTTAACATGCAAGACTGACAAAAGTGCAACTAATTGCTCTTGCAACATTAAAATTTTAATTTTCACTTTTAGACACACCCACATCTTAAGTGAAGAATACCGTCTCTTGCAAGAAAAACAAAGTGAAAGTACAAATGAATGTACCTGTTACATGACTTAAATACCCATAACTTGAAAATATAGACATCAAATTGTGTACAAAAATCTCATAACATGGGTACAACGGCATTAAAGGCTAATAAAGTAAAGGGAGAATGTATCCATGCTAGGCCCCAGAAAAAAAAAATGTTATGTGAAAAATAGTGCAAAATCGGCCATAAATGACACATAACATGGAAATTATACCATTTATCTTGAATCTTTTTATGTTTACTGTTTTCTCAAGTTTGATTTTCTTGAAATACTCATCTGGAGGCATGCAGCTCTAAAATATTGTTGCAAAATGCTAGTATATAAAAGTTTCATGAAAAAAAAATGTGTTATCAGTTAAGTCAGACAGACACTCATTGTTTTGACTGTCGTTACATACACTCTTTTTGTATTGCGCACAATAAAATAATGTAACAATTGGCTGGTCGCCAGTATTGTATTTCGGTCAAGTGAAGGAAGCGGTCTTTTTTGTTGTTTGAATGACACTTCAATCATATGATATATGAATATAAGACATTGTACATGTAACCTATTATGTTTAATTTACCCATGAATCACAAAATTATTTCAATAACGTTGTCTGAAGTATTCTTTTTGTACTTTGATATTGCATTTTATCCAGCTTTTATCTTATTTAATTGCAAGGGACCACATCTTACACATTTCTAGTTTCAAGGGACCAGATTTCACCATTTTCAAGGGATCAGATTTAACACATTTCAAGGGACCAGATTTTACCCCTTTTATATTCAAGGGTTCCAAGAGACCAGATTTTTCCTCTTTTAAGGGACCAGATTTTACCCCTTTTAAGGGACCATATTTTATCCCTTTCAAGGTTTCAAAATGACCAAATTTTACAATTTTTATTGGAAAAAAATGACATTGTTTGATAATATATAAATCAGTCAGTCAGTGCTGAAGATGTACAGTGTAAACTGTATTATTGTGTTCATTCATCCAATAAAATTAAATGGATCTAAATGGCTTTTTGAAAATTTATCATGACTTGTTTGTATTCCCCCAAGAAACTTAAACACATCATTGTAAATCTCATTTTCTCTTTCTATACAGTATAATATATTAAATTGAAGTTATAAATTACGAGAGTTCTATTTTTAAAATGTTTCTGACAGCTAATGTCTGAAGTTATGTTATCTTTTTCGTGTTAAAGTGTCGTATTTACCAAACTTTGTTTTTCTTTAAATTCATTTTCGAGATACAAAAGTTTTAAGAAATTATTTACTACTTAAAATTACTACTTAAGCCATTTTATAACTATCTAGCTTCATTATTGAAGCCTTTACGGATAGGGGGTTTGGGAGATAGTGTGGGGCGGCTTCCCTTAAATATGGGGAAAAAAATAACACAGTAATTTTGAAAAAAGGGAAAGACTGCATGAATAGCATGATTTTAAAGAATTTTCATTTTGGGAAGCAGCCCTTGCTAGTGAACAAAAAAAATCCTGTCAAGTTAACTAGTATTACAAGTAGTTATTAAATCTAGTAGAAAAAAAACAAAACTAGTTAACCAGTGGATTTAAGTAGTTGGTCAGTGGATACACAGCTTATATACTAGTACATATGAACTGTTGTCTTTTGTCAATTTTTCCTTTCTGTAATTCCTTTTATTCAGTCTGAGGTGAATGTCAGTTTAATATGGAATCTGAAGAATTTCACTTTTCAATTTGAGGTTCTTCATTGTTTGATAGTTTATATATTTAGAGAAGTTTAATAGGTGCATTGCATTGGTATCTATGTTTGGGAGAGGTTTGTGGTAAAGTTGAATGGTTAATCAGTGTTACTGAGTTAAATTAAATAGATAGTCTTATTGAAACACTTTGGGGCTATAATTCTGTGGATTTTCAAGTTAATCCTTGGCTACTGTTTCTAATATTAAGCCATTTTATAAGCATCTAGCTTCATTATTTTAAGCTTTAGTGGGGTTGGGGAGAGGTGGCCTTTCCCTTAAATATGGGGGAAAATAACACAGTTATTTAGTAACACTGTTTTTGAAAAATGGAAAGACTGCATGAATAGCATGATTTTAAAGAATTTCCTGTGGAGAAGCAGCCCCTGACCTGCTAGAGAACAAAACAAACCCATATCATTTAGTATAGCAATATCAAGTTAACTAGTATTACAATTATAAACTTAAATAGTACTAGTACATATGAACTGTGTCCTTTTGTTAGCTCGACTTTTCTATGAAAAGGGGAGCTATCCTACTCGCCCCGGCGTCGGCGTCGGCGTCGGCGTTAGCGTTGGCGTCACACCTTGGTTAAGTTTTTCGTACCACCCCACTTTATTTCAGAAGTATTACAAGTATGGCTTTGAAACTTACCATACTTGTTCACCATCATAACCTCCATCTACAGACAAGAGTACATAACTCTGTCAAGGTTTTTGACAGAATTATGGCCCTTTTTTGACTTAGAAAGTGTATTGAGCTTGGTTAAGTTTTTTGTACCACCTCACTTTATTTCAAAACCATTGGAGGTATTGCTTTGAAACTGACCATACTTGTTTACCATCACGACCTTCATCAACAGACAAGAGGACATAACTCTGTCAAGGTTTTTGACAGAATTATGCCCCTTTTTGACTTAGAAAATACATTGAATATGGGTAAAATCCACTTATTGCCTTAACCCTTTGAGATATTGCTTTGAAACTTTTTAATGCTATTTCACATCATTACCCCCATCTGTACGCAAGAGAAGGTAACTCTGTCAAGGATTTGTTTTAAAAATTAAGGCCTTTTATCGACTTAGAATCTTGGTTAAGTTTTTAGTACCAGTCCACTTTTTGACTGAACTGTTTGAGATATTAATTTGAAAGTTGGAATACTTGTTTACAATCATGATTCCCAAACATGTCCAGGAGAAGGTAATTCTGTCAAAGATTTTATTTGAATTATGGCCCTTAACTGTCAATGTTTTGTATTATAGGCAAGCACTAAAAAACTTAAAAAATCTAAAAAAATTCATTCCTATACACTTGTTCACTTTACCATAAATTATGTCATATAAACATTGCTGTAATATTCAAGGGTATCAAACAACTAGTTCACTTTAAAAATACAGAGATTCTTGTATTGCCTTTTACTGCAAAAACTTTTTTTATTGGCAAGCAATAAAAAAGTCGAGCGCGCTGTCTTACGGACAGCTCTTGTTAATTTTTCCTTTCTGTAATTCCTTTTATTCAGTCTGAGGTGGATGTCAGTTTGATATGGAATCTGAAGAAATTTCCCTTTTCAATTTGAGGTCCTTCATTGTTTGATAGTTTATATATTTAGAGAAGTTTAATAGGTGCATTGCATTGGTATCTATGTTTGGGAGAGGTTTGTGGTAAAGTTGAATGGTTCATCAGTGTTAACTGAGTTAAATTAAATAGATAATCTTATGGAAACACTTTGGGGCTATAATTCCATGGATTTTCTAGTATTTTCTTGGCTACTGTTTCTAATATTCTTTTAGACCAGATTTAAAACTGACAGTGTGAAGGAGTTTCATTCTCTTTCAGTAAAATTCACAATCCTTTAAGGTAGGATACAATATTTATATAATGATAATTTTATGTTTACAGTATGTGCAGACAAACTTGTTGAGCTAGAAAAAGTTGACAAGAGTTGTAATCAGGAGAGCTGGTGTATAGCATGGGCGCCAGATTGTTCTTACGTAGCCTGGTCACAAGGTGGTGGAATTGTTTACTTGTTGCCCTGGGCTCCTGATGAAGGCCAACTGTAAGTATAAAACTTCCAATGAAAATCATTAAAATATACATGTAACATCATTCTTGTTTCTGTTTAGATGAAAAACTTTTATTTTCACATAATTAAATGTACTTATCTAGTGATAATATCTTGGGGAGGTGATTTGTTTATATTTTAGATTTTTATTCCTCCACTTCCTAGGGGGAGGGGTAAGGGGAAAAAATTGGCCTGTCACACTATCTTTCCATATAGACTGTCAAAACATTTGAATGGCATGGGGCATTCTAAATATTCTGTAGACACATTTGTAGGTTCATGATATAGCTTCAGACAAAGGTCTTTAAAGTAAAAACTTAAGAAATTAATATGTATTTTCCAGGTTAAAGAAACCAACACGGGACCAGAGCTGTGAAAATTTGAATGATATCGAGGAGCAGCCATTTTTTGACAATCTCCCACGTCTTTCACAACCAGATGGCGTTGATGAAATTGAGGGAGATTTTGAATGGAACCAAAGTCCGGGACCAAGCAACAATCGTCAAGTTGAGGCTCAGCGATTTCGTATCGATTGTATGGACTATGTGTGGTCAATGACGTTTGGAAGTGGAATTTCACGGTCAAAAAATAATGTTACAAAACGTAGACGATTCAGCTTTAACAGTGATCTGATACTTGTGACTGGTCTTCAAGGCGGAAAAATTAAAGTATGGAATGTATACACAGGTAATGATTTCCTTAAACAATGTTTTTTATCTTCACAGTATTTATCCATTATAGCCCACTTAGACAATCATTTCACTTGTTGTGATACCTTGACTGCTATTATTTATGGGACTTCTGTTATTTATTTTAGTCCATCCATACATTCTTAAAAGAAAAAAATTCATTTTATACCACTTAGTTAATAGTCAATACCACTTAAACTTCAAAGAAAAAAAGTTGTGATTAAGATTTAAAAGTGATGTAATGTTTAATAGAAGTTACACTCATTCTTTATCTTCATGTAATAAAAAGTAAAATCTGTAATATTTGAACACGAAAAATGTTCCTTTAACACTTTCTGCTCTGTAATTACGTTTGTTCATGTTGTTTTTAAAAACAATATAAGAGATAATTCAGCATGTAATAAAATGTTTGTCTATTACTTTCTCAGGTAATTTGATAATGGAGCTGTTAGACCACAAGAAAAATGTGCACGGGTTAAGTGTAATGTGTGACGGGACCCTCAAACTTGCCTCCTGCTCGGCCGATTGTACTATCAAATGCTGGGACTTGAACAATGATGGAAACATGTATAAAACATTGAGATTTAAAGAAAATGTAATGGTATTTGATTGTAAGTGGTCACCAAATTGTAAACAGCTGGCAGCTGTTGGGATGAATAAATGTGTAAGTCTTGTGGGGGGTTTTCCCTCCGTTATATTCTCATCGTCCTACAGAGTACCGTATGTATTCTAGAGGTCTTTCTTATAATAGATGATTCTGTCTCAATGTGATTTGAATTCATGTATGTTTTAAAGGAAATTTAGATTGTTTTGAACAAAATGGAAGATTTTGATTTGGAATTTTGTGTATATATGTTCTTGCATGTACTGATATTTCTATGCTAGGGTTTTGTTCAACAAAGTATCATAATGGGTTACTTTGATGCTTATAGATTTGTATGATAAATTTACTATGTGTTGATTTTGGAATAGTTAATCATTTAATTAAGGGGTTTAAATAAATAAGAAAAAAACATTCAAACCCTTCAACTGCTGAATTTGTATAATGGATTAGCCCTGGTTTGAATTTGGAAAAGTTAATCAGAAGTTTTAAGGGATTTCGATATCAAAATACAAGAATTGAGCTACCATCAGTGTAGAGCCTGGTCAGACTGTACGGATGTGCTGGCTGGCCTGGTTCTATACTGCTGGCGAAGGCTAATCACCTTTGGTCCCTGTAGGTTAAATGTTAAAGCCTTCTTTCCTACAGATATTGAGACTGGTTTAGCTATTCTACTGGTGGAATGAACAAATTGTAGTTATTGCTAACATTGTGAGAGTAAATAGTATTACGACATATAACGTGATTTTTACAGGCATTCTACTGGTGGAATGAACAAGTTGTAGTTATTGCTAACATTGTGAGAGTAAATAGTATGATGACATATCACTTGATTTTTACAGGCATTCTACTGGTGGAATGAACAAGTTGTAGTTATTGCTATCATTGTGAGAGTAAATAGTATTATGACATATAACTTGATTTTTTACAGGCATACGTATGGAATACTTCGAATCTCAGTCAACCAAGAAAACTTTCCGGCCACCTACACAACGTTGTACATTGTGATTTCTCACCAGATGGTGCTTTGCTTGCAACGGCATCATTTGATACACGGGTCATACTATGGGATCCATACACTGGGGACCAGATTAAAACTCTAGGGTAAGTTAGTGTAAGCTTTAGTGTTGTTACTGTTAAGAATTTTAAAATAAAGGTATGTGTATTTGTATGTATATATAGAAAAATTTGAAGAGATAGTATAATTTTTACAGTCTTAGTTATGTAATTTTACATCTCAATTTTTATTTCTGATGTTTAACATAAATTACTCATTATTTTGTTTTATTTTTAATGCACAAAAAACAACAACAAACAAATGTACCGTAATATTGGACAATGGAATAAACAAATTTGCTGAAATGTGGGCCCTGGCTGCTATAAGATTTACGCTTTTACATTTGTGCACTTATTTTGTCCGCTTGCTAAATTTGTTTACAATTTGTGATTAAATGCAACAAGCAGTCCTTATAGAAAATGACATACAACGCCTTTCAAACACGACAAGGTCAGTGTTGGCAGACCGCCAAGTTATGCACAGTGTTGGCAAATTGTACAGCTATACAATGAATGCAGTAATAAGTGATATACATTGACAATATTATGTGCCGATATGAGTCATTGTATTATATGCATTTTTTATGTCCTCTCACTTAATTGTGGTCAAATCTTCATAATGGCTGTTAATTGTATGTTATTTGGTTAGATAAAAATGGGTTAAAGTGATTGAAAAGTACTGTATCTTATAATACAATGGGTTAAATTTATTGAAAAGTACTGTATATTATAATACAATGAGAAATACCAAAAAGAGTATGTATGTATATAGATTTCTGAAAAATATGACAATATTTTTTGCTTTAAGTCAAAGGCTTGCAATATGCAAATTTATATAACTCACAATTTATTGTTTTAATTAGCTGCATAAAAAGGCTTTGTAGAGAATTTGTTCAGCCTACAGTCCTCTGACAGGGGTCTTTGGTGTTTGAACTCTGTGGAAGAACATTTAATTTAAACAGGACAATATATCCCGAATGCCATTCATTGTCCAATACTGTTAACAATTTATTCTTATGGACATACCATACATTATTTATGGAAGCTTATTAAGTAACAGTTTGGTAAAATTCTAAAAAAAAAAAAGCAAAACAAAACAATGAAGAAAAACAAAATGAAATAAAACTTGTATTGCATGTTACATGTGTATAAAAGGTTAAGTACAATGTAATTAGAATAATGGTGTTTACTAGAAGTTAAAGTGAGATATGTGAATTACGGTAACTAAAGCTAAACCTATATAATATTCACAAAGTATAATAATGTAATTCAATACACGGCTGGAATTAATAATGAATCAGCATCATATGATGTTAATGAATCTGTGTCATCTATATTGATCTTTCTCTACCATCATTTCCAGTTGTTTTAACAAGACTAACAATAAATAATATACTAATCCCTTCTTTCCTGCTTTTCTGTAATGGTTTAGCCCTGTTTTGAATGTGGAATAGTCCATTTGTAGATTGAGGTGATTAAGGTATAGGAGGTGGTCATATTTTATAGAGGTAGAAAGACAGTTGTCAGCTGAATGTGATAAAAACCTTAGCTCAAGTCTGGAGCGTCTGTGCAGTCCGACCATGCTCTATACTGTTTGTAGCTCACTTTTTGTATTTTGATATTAATTTTTTATACTAAATTCATAGCATAATTTCCAAAAGGACTAGCTAAGAAATTCATCAGATTTAGAGCTGGATGTGTTATAGAATTACTAGTTTTCTTGACGAATGTTATTACCTGAATGTTCAGTTATCGCACAATCTTTTGCCCACACTAGTTTCAGGTTTTATGTTACCTTGAACAACAACTATTTTATCTGTTATTAATGCAGTGAAATAGGAGAACAGTTTTGTAATAAATTTCAAATGGCAAATAAACCTGGGCAGAAAATCATTATACCATATCATCATGGAAAATAACCAGGTTAATTATCTTATGTATAAAGTATATTTAGCTTATAATGCTCTCAGTTATCTTCCCCCCCCTTCCCCCCCCCCCTTTAGTCATATAATATATTAGTCAGGTTAGCTCAATAGCAAAAGCGTTGAATAGGGCATGCAGGTTTGATTTTTGGATGATGCAGGTCACTTTCATTATGATTGATCATAAAATCCTTTCTAAAGTCATTCACTCTGTACCTCTGCTCTGGCATGTACAGAAGCTACCAGTTCCTTATGACAGTGAAGGCAACCAGTACTGGTCAACTGCTTGACAGCCAGCCCAGGAACGATGCGGTGGCTGAACTGTGGTAAATTAAATGTGGCAGGAGTAGTGATCAGGAGTAAAAACTACCAACACCCCCATCACCATATAAATTGCATGTATGTCTGCCCATCTGTGTGTGGCCCATAACTCTGACATTGATTTGTACAGAGTTATGCCCCTTTTTTAAACTTAGAAAGTTGTACATTATCCAGGCTCTTGACCGAGAATGAGACAATTGCATCTTTGTGAAATGCTATTAGTATCAACAACACATTAAAGAATTTGGACAGTATGCAAGTTGGCAGCTTTCCAAAAAATTATGAAATAGACACTCCAGCAATGTTATGTATAGTTATGCACATATGATAAGCTTACAGAACAAGTTGTTTATACATTAAAATGCAAGGTCACTTAAATAATGGAATGTTCCAAACAACAAATAATGAACAATTCTGACTTCAAACCAGGACAAGGCCATACAAATTTAGAATTTTTTTAACATGTCTTTCAATAGAGCTGTATTTTTGTAACTTTCCATTCTGGACCTTAGATTACAAGGTGTGATATTAAATGACATCAACTTGACATCTGCGCAGTCTGATCAGGGTCCATGCTGTTCGCAACATAAATGGTTTAAACTATCACAATGATTTCTGCCGGAAATAACAAGGCAACTCTTTCCAGAACTGATCATTAGACACAAATTTACCTTTTACAGATATTATGAAAAATTTCATAATATATTACATATTTCATATATAATAATATAAACTATGTCAGTCATTATTCTGAATTCAATGATATATTTATATTTAGTAATTGTGTGTATCATCAGATTTATGTCATTTTTTTTTTTTTTTATTCCCATTATCTCATCAATATTTTTGAACATTTTTCTCTCTTTTTATTTTGTACATGACAGATCATTTATGGCAGTTTGCCCGATATATCAATTTGTGTACGTGATTATTTTGTAACTTTATCCTTGACGGTCATTGGAGCGTGTATCTATCCATAATCTACTTTACAAAAATTATGTCATAAGTTTTATCCCTCTTAAAGTTTGAACTTGTCAGTGTCAGGTTAAAGATCATTATAATTTGACCGATTTTAATTTGTTTATGTTTCAAGGACTACAATACTTAAACTTTATTACAATATTTTTGTACTTTAAATTCGAGATTATCTGGCAAAGATCATACTTGTGTTTTGATCTGTTAACGAATATTTTGTTGACTAAGCACAAATCTATTTGGGTTTGACAAATGAATTGTGGATGATGATGGGTGAATGAGCAGCTTACCTGCTTTCAAACTCTCAATTATATTTTTGACAATTAACTAAAAATATCTGCTATTATCTAATAATTACATAAAAGGATACATGAAAATAAAAAGAAAATAAACAGTTTTAGAATCTGTTCATAGGAAGATCCAATGCTTTAAAATCCAAACCCTTACCCAAAATCGAATCATAACCCTAGAAGTAATCTGCGTGATTCTGTACAGTAACATAAATATTTAAGAATAATACTGGGTAAAATGTAAGAAATAGGGCGGACAGATTCTAAAGTCAAGTCAAAGAAAATACAAATTCACATATTTGGTCTTTGGTAAACCATTTTAAGTATCTTTCTTCAGAAGTCTATAGCTAATGATGTGATAGTTCTTTTGACTTTGGTGCGAAGAGAGCAGAAAAATTGGATAAGATTTTTAGCTAGACTATGTGAAGGAAAGGCAGAGCTTTTGTACTCGCCCAGGCATCGGGGCACCATCACACTTAAAGATTTCTGATTCATGCAAGTTGGTATCTTAAAACCTGTTGAAGGGAATGGGCCTTATTTGAGAGCTCTTGTTTTGCTATTATGCACTGAGAACAGTTGAGCATGCTTTCTTGCTCACAGCTCTTGTTAACGACACCAGCCAAATAATAATGAATGGACAGTTTCAAATTCAAAGCCAGGCAAGGTCATTATACAAGATTAGAGATGTTATAGTTAAACACGACTGATATTTTACAAATATTGTGTATTTCATTACAGACATATGTTTCCGTCTCCGCGACCTATATATGCAGGAGGGGCTAACGAGCACTATGCCAGGTGTGTCTCATTCTCTAAACATGGTTACAGGATCGCTACAGTTGCTGATGATGGGTATGTACATGTTTTATGAATATCAGTTCTGTAGGCCAAAAAAATCCCAACTTTACATGATTTAATTTGATTTTGCCACAGGGTCAGACAGGTTTCAGTGTACATGTATATTAAATAACAAGTATTCTATTTATGAAATATAAAGGGCATATTGCATATTCTTTTCATAAGATTATCTGTTCTAGGAGAAGAGTCACAAATTTAAAAACAGTTTAAGGAGAACGCTTGTTTGCACATCTACTTAATTGCACCATTCGGATGTCAATTATATTATCATAATCATAACATAATTGGAAATAAAATGTTAATAATTATAATAACATCTTACAGGTTCTTAAGAGTATGGAGTTTGGAAGATTCTGAGGAAAATCCACTAAGTATTGCTGAGATACAGAAACCCTTATGTTGTTGCTATAGCTCTAATGGCCACGTAATATCAACAGGGTAAGTAACTCTTACTGTCCTTATATTTATATATGATAATAATATTGAGGTTTTGATAATCTTAACAAGTGTGGTGTGCTTGATAATTTAACCCTTATTATGCTAAATTTTCATAATGCACTTGTCCTGTTTTAAAATTTGGAATGGTCTATTATTATTTAGAGGGGATTTTGATATCAAAATGCTAAAATTAGCCCTGACCCTGCTAAATATGTGTAATGGATTTGCCCAGCTTTAATTCGGAACAGTCCGTTAATTTTTTTAGAGATTTCACTATCAGGAATACAAAAATTGAGCAACTTACAGAACAGAGCCTGGTCATGACTGCAGGGGCATTCAGGCTGGCTGTATAATGAAGCTTGCAAAGACTGATATAATGGTTTCGGCAGGTTATGGGTTAAACAGCAACTAGTATAGTGTCTGGTCAGAATATAATTAGATACAGGCTGGCCTGGCTTTATACTTGGGATAGGCAAGTCATTATTGATACAGGCATTCTAAGGGTTTATACTGTATGAATGAGCACATGTGTGGTGTGTGGTGTGAAACAAGAACAATTATTTCCACTGTTAGTTTTATAATAACTTTATAGATACGGGTTTGAATCTTGAAATCTTGTTACGGGTTTATTTAAATTTGTAGTTATATACTAATCTGTGTAATGTGTACATGTAATAGCAATATACTTCATATATAACTGATGAAATATAGTGACTAGATCATTATAATAATTTTGTAAAGGTATTCTAAACTTGAACTTTAAATTGTATAGTTAAAGGGGCCTGCCTTTTGATCACATAGTTACAATTAAAAGTACTTCAATATAAAACCTACTTGTATCAGGGTATATAGTATATCATTGTATAGCATAATATACTGATATATATAATGTATATTATGACAGATTTTTAGCTTGACTATTCTGAGAGTTGTAAAGCTATATTACCTGTAACTTTTGATGAAGGTTTCACATGTATGGTTACTTGAATTTCCTGTTTCTGATATTTACTGAAAATCACAACATGTTTTAACAAAATCATAAATGTATGTCATTGTCGAAGACGCATACTAATTTTTTAGCAAGGATTTTGGCTGTTCTTTACCAATTGTGAACTTTTAAAGTGACTTGGTCTATTATCAAAGGTCTGTAATACAATTGATAATTACCATATGTTGATAGTGTTATGTCTAACAACAAGATTTATTAATGGATATTGTCAGTAAGTGTGAGATACATGATTTGATAAAAACATGTTCATACCTAACTTTATCAACTTTTTTTGTTCAACCAATAATTTATAAGAACATTCAAAAATACATTTCTATTGTTTTTATCAGTATTTGAAATACATGTACTTTAATATTGTGCCCATTGTAGACCAATCCACTTTAAATGTCTGGTTGAGGATTCACATTGCACTGGACCACTGAAGATATTCATTTCAAGCTTTTAATATATATTATTCAGATTATAAGTAGATAAATGACCAAGACCCATATAACACTAGCTTGGATCTGGACTGAATTTATAAATATTTAGAAAATTCCTGGTCAAGATTTTGCATACTACAAGATTGAATTTTCCAAAAAATTCTATCCATACAACCGGTGCAGACCAGTCGGAACATCCATACCATCTGATTATTGTCTGCACTGTTTGCTATTCTTTTATCAAAAAATAATGCCAAACGGTTTTGTCCAGATTGAAAGATAGACAAGTCCCTTTAAGATATTTAGTGATATTTAATATGGTACTGGTAAATGAAGGTCACTGTCTATATCTCTAGCATGATTGTTCACTGAATTATATACCCCTGTGTGAACTTAGAATTATACCCCTGTGTGAACTTTGAATTATAACCCTGAGTGATCTCTCTCTCCTATTAAAGTATTCATGTGCAAATTACACATATTCAAAGAGTCACTTTTGTAAATCCAAGTGCCATAACTCTTTTCTTGACTTATAGAATTATTTCCTTTTACTTTATGAACTTGTAAAACGTCCTACATGATTCCTACAGGGTCTTGCTTTTACTATCAAGCACTGAGAATAGTCAAGTGTCCTTATAGATTGACAACTGTTGATCATTTTATACTTAAATATTACTAACATTTCATAATTATCTCACTTAACCAGCGAAAGAGGCAAGCCCCTTTTCCATGATTCTACTTTTGGCAAAATGTTTAATCAGTTATCTTTTCATTTTAAGGCACAATTATTTATCTATATCCAGAGTTATTTTAACATCATTGCGTGGTATGATAATTTATATGAAAAGTGTTTATATCTTGGTGTGTTTGTATGTGTATGTGTGTTTGAAAGATTGATAATACAGTCAACTGTGTATTATATATGTATCGGTTAACATTTTTGGATATTTTTTTTTATTTTGAAAATGTTAGACCCGTTGGGTCTCGATCACTGGTTAACTTTCATTTTCCACAGAATTATCTCCCTTGATAATGTCACATGAGCAAGAGAAATGGCGATGAAGAGGAGCTAAATATAGCCCCTCCTGACAAGGTGACCTTAAGTGTTATGACCTTGTTACATGACCTTTAAAAGGGTCAAGGTTGGTACTGATCATCTAGTTGTTGCCATGGAAACTAAATACATGTATATATATTTCCTCTCTCTAGGCTTAAATGACAGTAAATTTCGGATCATTGTTGTATTCATTAAAGAAAAGTTAAATCGAAATAGAGAAAAGTGAAATATTAATGTACAAATCATTAAAAAATGGCAGTGAATTTTGTGATTATTCAAGGTTTAAGGTTAGTTTAGGTTATTCAAAATTGAACCATAGATTACTTGCTTCCAGATGATATACATAAGCAACTTAATTTTAAAATAGGAAAAATCAACAACAACTCTTGAATATTACTTAATTTTTTTTACTTAGCATAGTCTCGACTTATGCCTTCATCAGGATCAATATTAAAACAAACAACGGATGTGACTTAATAATAGTTTATACTTAACCTCATAATGGAGGGAAAATGTGCATTACAAATATAAGTTGTTGGTATTTTTAAGTCTTCATAATACAAATAATATAAACCCTCGGAGTACTTTTTTGGATATAAAAAGCAAAAATTTCCTACTACATGTATAATTATAGTAACCATAAACAGAAAAGAAAAAAAAAATTCCCCTACTTAATGTTACAGTGTTTTACTTCACATTGTAGGATATTTTTGGAAAACTCCAGATTGTTTATTTACCGGTTTAGAAGTTAAAAGTGTCCAATTACTATGGATATATATTTATAGTCCTCTGACCCACTTTTTTGACAAGGCTGCCGTATTTATAGCACACTGGGCCACTGGCCTACATTTTTTAGCATAAAACTATTCATTCTCTACACCTGAACACACTATATTTGGTTAACTGAAAAAAATGTCTAGGTATTGAATTTCGATAAAACCAGTCCATAATAGATGACTGTTCATTTTATCTGATATATAAATTTATGAACATTCCATTTATCATTTATTTAAAAAAAAAAATAAAATTATTGATCATCATAATAAGGATCTAGACTATAAAAGTAAAGAATTCAGTATTGAATTTATTTAACAAATGTTTTTAGTATTGAAAAAACATATCCAAAAAGTGGAGCTCCCTTTAGGTCACTGCTTCTATTGAATTAAATGACCAAATTATAACTATAGCCAGCGCATGTATCCTCTTTCCACATGTTAAGTTTATATGGACATTGGCCAAAGATTGACCTGTATTTACTTTATTACTATATAATCCTTGTGAAGTTCAAATCAGTACTTTAGTACTGTAAAGGACATATAAAACTGTCCAGTACCCAACAGACATTTGTTTTCATTGACCATTAAGCTAGATAATCTCCCAGTATTGACCATTATGACTGATTAACTGATATTGCATTAAAAAATTTCAATAATATGACCCTGTGAAATAAAACGAAAAAGAAAAGTTGCTTGTAATTATTATTACATACTGAAATTCATTATAAGACCTTGCAAATTTATATGACTTTGGCCTCTGAGTTTCCCTTAATGGCATGCCGGAGTCCAATTTAGTCTGTACCCAAAGGAATGGATAAAGTGCTAATGAACAAAAGAACACTGTGACATTAATCAACTATGTCTGAGATCAGAGGATAAATAAAGTTGGTTGTATTTAACATGATAAAATCTGGTTATGGGTCATGATTTTCATATGTAAAATGTTAATGTCATTCATCATTTCAAGTAGCTTTAGAAAAATATCATAAATAAGGTCAGGCAAACTTTTATCTGTTATAAAGTACATTACGTGTACCAATATATAATGTAGAATGTAGGTTGTGTGTACTCTAAATATGGGTCACCTTTGATATTATAACGTCTCTTACCCAAAAGTAATTTTTTATTGAGTATGGGACAGACTGACGAAAAAAACCTTTAAAGTACATGATAATTTTGTTGTGTTTGTTGTTTGAAATAAAAGTGGGCAAATTTTCTTTACGTATAAATGTTATTCAAAGGTCTTTAGAATTTGTAATTATTAAACAATTATGCAAGATTCACTGCCATTTTTAGCCCACATGAACCAAAGGTTCATGGTGAGCTTTTAAGTATCTGAGGGATATTCCAATGATTGTAATCTGTAGTCCCCCATCTGTAGTCCCGCATCTGTAGTCCTGCATCTGTAGTCCCCCATCTGTAGTCCCGCATCTGTAGTCCCGCATCTGTTGTCCCGTATCTGTAGTCCTGCATCTGTTGTCCCACATCTATAGTCCCGCATCTGTTGTCCCGTATCTGTAGTCCTGCATCTGTTGTCCCGCATCTGTAGTCCCACGTCTATAGTCCCGCATCTGTAGTCCCACGTCTATAGTCCCGCATCTGTAGTCCCACATCTATCACCTTGAGTCATCTATTTTTATCTCCTCAGGAAGTGATGACAAGATTTAATTCAATTTTAGGTCGTTAGTTATAAAAATGTATGCATTCTGGTGCTCATTTATCAGAGGGCCTCATTTATTGCTTATCACCACATTAACTATAGCGCAATACGCCTATATGACTGAAATACTGTTGGGAAAAGGCGTAAAATGAAACAAACAAATTAAGCGCAATAGGTAGAGCGTTGAATTTGTAATTCAAGGCTTGCAGGCAAGGTATATTATCACCTTTAAATGTTTTCTGATCTAAAGTCAAACAGTTTATCCTGTTTTGGTGCAGCTAAGGATAACAATAGGAGAAAACCTTCTTCTTATGAACCAATGGATGAATCATCTTTCAACTTATATAAAAGTCAAAAGTATCCATACTGTTATACATTTAGCTATTTAACAAATTTGCTAAAGAAAATTTTAATTGGTTTGCACCAATTACATACATATATAATCAGTCATGAATTGTCAGTTACAAAAGTTTAGAATTTAAAATGTAATAGAAAAACTTCATCTAAAAATTTCCATTGCAAGACCTAAAGAATTGGTTATCACTGACTTAAAGGTTAAGATTTCTTTCATGTGAGGATGTTATCCATATCCAACTAGCTTACGTTCTGTGGTTGAAATAACACATGGAAGGGCATCCTGAGGTCTTTATCCACTAGTAAAGCTGGAAAGTCACCATTTTGACCATTATTGGTGCAGTGTAAAACAGAAAACAAAAACAAACAAAAAAAGATTCAGATTAAACGAAAAAAATGAAAAAACCCCAACTTTTTAACAACTTGGGAACCCAATATAACATTTATTTCTGGTGAGTGATGACGGGCTATGAAGGCCTTCTTTGTTGAAGTACATTTTATTTTTACGATATTTTGCAAAACAGACACACAAAAAGGAGAAAAGAAAAAAAAACTTTTATAAATAATGGTATATCTGCACAGTATCAAATTTATTTTGATTTTTTTATTATTAGTGCAAGAAAAAACAAGCATGATTGTGCGTATATTAATTTTAGTATGATAGAAACTTTGAAAACTTTCTCAGCAATTATGAAACTAAAATCAAGCTTATTACCTCTCTCACCTCATCCATTATTTATATATAGAGAGAATATATATTATAAAAAAAACAAGGTAAGGGCAGTGTGTAATATGTCCTTTCTTTTTACAGGAATCGTGCTGGTAAGATCGAGATTTTCCGTCCACAACCGTGCGGAGTGGCCAAGTTACAACACCTGTGCCGAATGTCAGTACGTCAGAAAATTCAGGAGCCCAAGCTAGTTGATTCACTGCAATATCCATTCCGTTTGAAGGAGTACTTGAAATACAAACATCTCTGAACCCTCCCGTTCAGAAAGATGTGTTCAGATTTTGAGATTGTCAAGTAGTATTCTTTTTCTGTATCTCTTAGATAAGAGAAATTGTAAGCTTTGCTTTGATTTTTTTAATCACAAGTAAATTTGTAGCTCATACATACAAAACGACAATACTTTTCACTGACATAGAGTTAGAATTAGCAAGACCCTTTTGCAGAAATGCATAATAAGCAAGCTGTTTTCTGACACAGAGTACAGAATACCAAGCATCCAAAAGATCTGCCTGTATGTCACTTGTGAACAGAGAGATGATGAGCTCTTTTTAGGAGAATGCTTCTGTAAATAGATAAAAGGAAATTAAGCATACCTATGTCTAAAAACGGATTTGGTTATATATGTCTGTGATAGATATTGAAATATATTGTGATAATCATGCCTATAATGTGCTGTAAAAAAGCCATTGATGAAGTCAAGTATATTTTGAAGGGTCATGGTTATTAAGATTTTCTATAGCATTCATGCTAGACTTTCTAATTTTCATATTTATATGTGTAAATCTTTGTGAAAAGAACATGTCTAAGCCTTGACTGAATACTCTAGACACTTTAAATCCACTGAGAAGTATTGGACCGTTAAAATAAAACATATCTGATTTGACTGGCCATAACTTGAACAATTTTAAAGGTATCTATATAAAACTTGGAACACTTGCTTATCATAACAAGAGGCAGTTGTAAGACAAGGGATATGATTCTGAAAGCTATAATTTTTGAGTTATACTCCTTTTTTTCTTGGATTTTTTTTTCCTGAAATGATTATTTTAACAGATGAGTGTGGCACATGTGGTGCTCTTGTTTTCTGTCATGCTATGACACTGCCTGCCAAAAACTTAAGCCAGATGTCTAGAGCTGTGTTGCATTCAAGCTCCTTGTTTCTTTTCCTTCATATTGTAAAGATAAATTTATGTAAAACTTTTCATTACTTATGTAACACTTGCCTTGAATTTCATTAATTAATAAATTTATTCCTTTAAAAAAAAATGTGTGTAGAATCTCTTGAATTGTTGTAAGGTATATTTTCTGAAGATTACAATATAAATTCTGACATAACTGTGTTCAAACCTTCACAAGTTGTTTTAGTTTCTATGTTGTTGTTTTTTTAATTCCCTTTAAGGGATAAAGTGTGCAGTCCATGCTTGTGTTGCGTTGTCCAGATTTATAAATTATAATGTTATCTTGTGATAAAATATTTGTTAATATAATTGTCTGTCTTAAGTATTAATTTAAACTTCAAATATATGTTCCGCGTCAGTCAAACCAACTATGCTTTGCGACAGATGTCCAACTCTAGCTCACATAAGTGTGATCAGGATTCATCGCCTTGAACTAAACTCTATTACAAGTAAAAACTATAGCGAACTGCATATTCCTTAAGCGGATCAGGCTGTCTATATGCTGGTTGCAACACACTATGTGGTTTGTCTATGACGCCCAAATATTTATATGTGTTATATAATAGAACAGGTTTATAAGAATCAAGCTCATTTACTTACTGTTTTAACAGGTTAAATTTCTTGAATGAGGAATAATTTGCAAAACAAGGTAATATTGCAAAACTGTTCATACATATCTTTATTTATATTAATGTAATACTTTCATTGATTTAATATGTATTATGGTTACTGTTATACATTTTTTAAAGTAAATTTTATTAGATAAACATTGTTATTATTATAATATATGAAAAAAAAAAAATACAAATTACAATACCGCCAGCTACATAGGGGCTTTAATACGCTTAAAAATTAAATACATTTTAATCATTTTATAATAATTTCATTAAGCTGTAGTTCACCATTTTTACCATTCTTATAAGTACAAAGTTGGGAACTTTATGATATTTCTAGTAACAATTCTTTATGTACAATATACAGCCATTTGTTCCAATAGAATTTCATCTGTAATTTCAAATGGCTAAATGGCTTTATTTTTTTTTTTTTCAAAATCTCTGTTATATTACTTTTTGTTGTTATTTTGTTATAATTTCTAGAATTATTCCCCTTGATCTTGGAATTTATGTTAACAAATATTATTTTTTACTATAACTTAATACATAATTATACATAATTGATTTTTCTTTCATAGTTTTGTCCTCCTTACTGCGTCCAGTATTTTATTAGTCGAGCTTCGCTGTCTCCTGTGACAGCTCTTGTTTAAATTCCCTTAAAGGGATAAAGCTTGCAATCATGCTTTGTTGCTTTTGTCAATGATAAATTATATGTCTATCATAATGATAAAAAAGTGTAAAATAATTGTTGTTTCCTTACAAAGTTTTTTATCTGTACAAATGAGCCGGGTCACGAAAAAACCAACATAGTGCATTTGCGACCATCATGGATCCAGACTAGCCTGCACATCAGCACAGTCTGATCAGGTTCCATGCTGTTCGCTCACCAACTCTATTACAAGTAGAGAAACTGATAGCGAACAGCATGGATCCTGATCAGAATGTGCGGAGGCGCAGGCTGGTCTGGATCCATGCTGGTCGCAAACACGCTATGTTGGTTTTGTCTAGACGCGGCTCAAATATTTATATGATTGTTATATAATAGCAACTAAGGTTATATTAAGATACAAGGTCTCAATTTACTTACTGTGGTGTTAACAGGTAAATTTCTTGATGAGGAATAATTGCAAAACAAGGAATAATTGCAAAACCTTGTCATGAACATAGGTCAGTCTTGATGTATATATTAATGTATATACTTACTTCATTTAGATTTATATCATGTATTATGTGTATGACTGTTAGTACATTTTTTAAAGTAAATTTTATTAGATAAACATTGTATTATTATAATATATGAAAATAAAAAATACAAATTACAATACCCAGCTACATAGGGGCTTTAATACGCTTAAAAATTAAATACATTTTATCATTTTATGATAATTTCATTAAGGCTGTGGTTCACCATTTTTACCATTCTTATAAGTACAAAGTTGGGAACTTTATGATATTTCTAGTAACAATTCTTTATATACAATATACAGCCATTTGTTCCAATAGAATTTCATCTGTAATTTCAAATGGCTAAATGGCTTTATTTTTTTTTCAAAATCTCTGTTATATTACTTTTTGTTGTTGTTATTATGTTATAAGATGGTTTAAAGAAAGTAATTTTTTTATTTAAAATGCTATAGTATGGAAATATAAAAAATAAAAGAATTGAGAATTTATAATATCATCATATTTAATAGGCCTGTTTGATAAAAACAATAATACACTAGTGTAATAACTACATGTATCAGCAAATGAGCTACTGACCACTTACAAAGTTGTCAAAATGTTTCTTCTGTTACTAAGATGTATTTCAAAACATTTTGAAGTCTTATTAATGACCATGTATGGGAAATGACCATGATCGGTCAGATACTTCTCTATATAATTAACCCAGTTAGTTCGGTCATTGAGGATTTGTGTGAAGGTTGACCAACTGTTTGGGTCGATAGGTCAGGTTTATTATTACAGCACACAAGTTCAAATATTTTACAATGCAAACATACGGCTTTATTCAGAAGGGAATTTTGTCCTCTGAAATGAGATTAATATTGCATTGCCCTGCATTGAACTTTAAAATGTCTACTATTGGTTTAACAGATTTAGTGATAAGTACAAATGTACATTCTTATGTTCTTTGTTTGTTGAATGAATTTAGATATAAAAATATGGCCTGAACAGACTTAAGAAAATAATAAAACCTGGTATTTCCTCAGGGTGTTATCTGTCATAGATCATTAATTTTAATCCCCCCCCCCCCCCCCCCCCCCCCCCAAAAAAAAAAATTAATGGTATAGATAAAACATCGGCTGAGTTATGTTAAAAATAGGACAACTTAATTATGGATATAGATCACAAAATGTTTTTACATTCAGTTTATATATTCACAAGGTTATACCTAATTTGCATATATTAGTATGGTCATAGGTAACATGACATGTATAGTATATAGTTCAAGGTTATTGTTTATAGTTCAATGTAATATTGATAAAAAAAACAACACACACACAAAAAAAAACAACAAAAAGCAAACTGTCCACAATTTCCTTATTGTTTAAAAAGTAATCAACCACTTTTGTCATCTTATCACATTGCCTTCAAGTTTCAGTACATTTCTCTTTGGTAATTTACAAAGTATCTCAAAATAACAAATGTTTGGGTGAACTTTAAGCATTTATTTTAATATTAAATCTCTTAAGATTGCCACATGAGCTTTACATTGTTAATTTGACCCAACATATTCAAAAAAAAAAATTATATGTTACAAAGTCTTTATACACTTTGACAAAAAAATTTAAGCTACTTTTTTTTTATCATTTAACAAATGTTTGCAATTAACTGACATTTATTTACATAATCGTAACATTAAAATGAATTCCAGAAAGCTAAGTTGACAAACATGTTTACTCATGTATATATTGAGGGTTGATTGCAAAAATGTTGCGAGTCCTTTATTTCACATAAGTTACTGTAGTTTTGCTGTCAACCCTCGATATATTGACCTGCTCTACTGGCTCATTTTTCATTTACTTACATACACAAAGAGAACAGCTGTTGTGTATTTAAATGCCTGTATTCATCTTATATCAGAATATTTAGATCATTTGTTTACATGTGGAATCTCTTTATGTGATAATATGTAACATATATATTTATATATATAATTATATAACAGTATTTGATCATATCTGATATGATCGTATCTTTTTATATTTTAATTCTTGCTGAAAACAGAAAAATAGCCTATGTCATTACCATAGAGCCAAGCCAGTCTGTATATATATTTGCTAGTGTCAGGGCAGTCTACACATATGCGCTAGTTAGGTCAGACTACACATATGTGCTAGAGCCTGGCTAGGCCAGCCTACACATGTATGCTTGTGTCAGGCCAGTCTGTTCATATTTGCTAATGTCATGTTAGTGTACACATATGTGTTAGAGTTTGACTTTTTTCAAGTTTTCACTGTTAAACTTTTGCAGCAGCTTTTTGTTTTTTGCTCTCTAAGTTTTAAGACGAAATATTTTTGATACATGTATTTCACACTACTTTTTAAAAATAATCTCACAAAGGCATAAGAGAGATAACTGTGAAAATATTGCTTTTTTTTGTCTTACTATTCTACATGTACATACATATTGATTGAATGTAATTCTGAATACAATGAAAATGTTATGCTGTAATAACACGTAATTCGGGAATACAAAACAGAAATAATAAATTTGTTGGGGGAAAAATATTAATTAGATCAAAGATTTTATTTGATTATGTATATTATTAGGCAGAACTTTAAAAAAAAAAAAAGGGTTTTAGTAAGTAGCGCTAGCATTGTTTATTTCTTTCCACAGTGGATCTATTTTACACTATCATATTGAGTACCCTAGCTTACATAGAATCTTATTAATATGTTTATATACCGGTGAATTGTTATTTTTGAGTTTTTGTTATAGTGTTTGATCGTAGGTTTTCTAGATATCAACGATGATTATTTATCTATGCCACTAGTATATAGTGCCTAGCCAACCTGCTTGATCAGATCCCTATACTGATGAAAGCTCATTGTTTGTTATTTTGGTATTAATATCATGAAATCCTGTTAAGTGTTAATGGACTGTTGGAAATTTGATGATATTGACAAAAGCCTCTTTGGCAGAATAGATTCTTCAGTCTTACACTCCATAATGACCCGTAGGTCTGGGACTGTCCCGGAAATCAGGTGACTGTCATGGAGTGTCCCGGATATGATTTCTTAAGTTCACAGATTACTGTATTATAATTGTAAATGAGTCTCACATAATCATATTATTGTTTTGTACAAATGTATATACTGTTCTGTTTGTTTCTATTTGCATTGATATTGAATAAAATAAAATAAAAGAAAAACATGTATGTTTTGTTATGATATAATCATATTATTTTTATTTATTTTAGTAAAAAAAAAAAATATATTGTTTACATTCTGTTACATTGTTTTAAGGTTGATTACTATTAACAGGGGTTATCTATTGCCAAGTAGTTAAAGTCATTCACTTCAAACCACCCCGTTACTGCTGTGTGTTAATGTGAGGTATGGCAACTGAGGGAACGTCTTCTTCCAGAAAAGCCGTAATGTCACCATTTGACAGTTACAGAGTTTGTGTGAGAAAAACTAATAGAAAAGAAATAGACTGCAACTCAAAAATCATGCTGTTTATTATAAAAAGAACACATAATAGACTAATAGTGCACACTAGCAACCGGAGAACTGAAATAACACCCAAACCAACATTGTAGTGTGATTTTCACTGCTATACACTTATTCTGACAGCTGTAAGGGGAAAGAACTAGAACATTACAGTTTCTTAAGTCTATGTAGATTATTGGCCCCTGGGTAATATATTAATGCTAAAGATTATGATGTTTATTTCTGGGATGATTGATCGAAATAACACCATGTGACATCACATAAAAGTTAATGTGAGGTGTAATAAAAAAGGATGCACTCAAACTTCAATTGCCCTTGGATGAACTACTGAACCAGTGTACTTAAAGTTGCAAAGTCGGTAAGTGTGACACATGCATGAGACTATAAAATACATTTACTTTAATTTACAGTTCGCCAAAGTTTGTCTGCCTGAATGAATTCGCTCTATTAAAATTGTTTAAATTTTGCCGAAATATTTACCAAACAGTGCTTTAACTTAACTGTATGTATTAAATACATAATGAACTTGATTTGAACGGGCGGGGCTTACTGTATGTTGGTTATAGGTTATATTTCAGAGACAGAGTTTTAAGAAACTAATCTTTGCTTCACTTCTTTTGCTCGAAAATTTAAATTTCTTAAAACTCTGTATAAAACCTATAACCTATACTTAAAACTACCTCATGACAACAGTCTAGAGTTTTAATTACTTCTCCCATAAATTCATCATTAAATTTTTGCTTTTGTAAAACAAAAGTAAACTTGGTATAACTAGTGAACTTAAAGCAGCACACCTTCAGATTCATGCTAATTATTTTCACAAAAAATTTAAAATGAATTTTAAGGTAAAATATTGTAAAGTGAAGATAATAATTTACACATTAAATGTAAACAGTGAGCACTTAAAATCCACTTTAATTACCAAAAAGAGGTCAAAATATGCAAAAATACCCCTTACTCAGCATTCACAAGTAACAGTAAAAATATAATGAAAAAACATAACCCAACATGTAAATTATAACTTGAATCTTGAATCTTTTCAGTTTTCTTAAAACCTTGGTACATTACTGAAGATAGATTATCTTGAAATATTTTTGCTCATCTGGAGGCATGCCACTTTAATATATCTTGCACGGTTGTATACAGTCATGACTTTGGTATTCTGAGAGCATGACTTCAAGTCATGCTCAACTCACATGAAGTGTGTTATCTATTTAAAGGCACGTTATGCCTCAACAAAGTCCTTAAGAAAGGGAAAACATATAAATTTATGACTTTTAAATTATGGTTAAAAAGCATGTTAAATGCTTCTTGCCTGAACAAAGTAGTGTTAATTGTGAAATAAATTGTCATAAAGGTAGCAAAATCTAAAGAAAGTAGTACTAATAGTATTTTGTCTTCCATAGAAAATACTTAATCACTATTTAGTATTATTGTGCTATTATTGCTATAAAGCAAAAGAACAAAAAAATGGTTCTGATTATTTGTCAACATTTAGTCACTTTTTGTACCCTATAAAGGAACATCAAAAATTTAAAGCATTTGAGAAATAAAAATAAAAGTGTTTCTGATGCATACAGTAATGGGCCTTTATTCAATTTCTCCAAATATGGTATAATTCAAATTAGCTGTATAATTATCACATTTTGCTGTCTAGACATTGAGCACTGTCATTTTCTGCATGAGGTAGTTTCCTCACCTGACACTGTACTTTAAATATTACAGAAATAATATAGCTTTGTGATTAATCTGGCATGTTTAGAAACAACATGAGCAGTCAGGAGCAAGTTATTTGAAGTCAATTGCAGCCATTTTATAATGCATGCCAGGTGGTACTCACAAATGAAATCCTGTGTTAGAATGCGTGCAGCATTTTAAAATTATGTAAGTTAATAAATATTATATAAGGCCTGGTTATTAGCTCGACTTCTTTTTTTTTGAAAAAAAAAGTAGAGGTATTGTTATAGTCGGGACGGCGTTGCCGTTGCCGTCCGAAAACTTGTACCTGGATCATAACTTTTTTATTTCTTGATGTATTGTCTTCATACTTGGCCACAACAACCCTTGGGACAAGACCTTTCACTAGACCACACTAACCTTGACCTTCATCCATAAATGACCTTGACCTTCAAGGTTAAAAGTCCAATTTTTGCTTGTTCATGCTGTTATTGGCTGTAACTTGGTTATTTTTGAATGGATTGTCTTCAAACTTATACATAATAATCTTCAAGGATATCCCTTAAAAATAACCCGCCAGACCTTGACCTTCACTCATAAATGACCTTGACTTTGAAGGTCAAATTATTGAAATTTTCATTTTTTTGGCTATTATTGGCTGTAACTTTTATTTTTGAATGGATTGTCTTCAAACTTGAACATAATAATCTTCAAAGATAACTGTTAAAAATATACCGAAAGACCTTGACCGTCACTCATTAATGACATTGTCTTTGAAGGTCAAATTATTGAAATTTTCATTGTTTTGGCGGTAACTGACTGTAACTTTGCTATTATTGAAGGGATCAACTTCATATTATAACAGAACATTCTTAAGGACCAGACCTTGTTGTTTATCAAACCCAAATTTGCTTGGGCTCTTTAATGACCTTGACCTTGAAGGTTAAATTACTGAATTTTCTCAGATTTGTGCATTAAATGACCATAATTATATATTTATTGGTGTGTGTGTGTGTATATATATATATTTACAACAACAACAACAAGAATTGCGTAATGTTTCTATTTATAGAATTGCGTCATTGTTTCTATTTATAGAAATTGTTTCAATTTATAGAAATTGCGTCATTGTTTCTATTTATAGAAATTGTGTCATTGTTTCTATTTTTAGAAATTGCGTCATTGTTTCTATTTATAGAAATTGTGTCATTGTTTCTATTTTTAGAAATTGCGTCATTGTTTCTATTTATAGAAATTGCGTCATTGTTTCTATTTTTAGAAATTGCGTCATTGTTGCTATTTTTAGAAATTGCGTCATTGTTTCTATTTGTAGAAATTGCGTCAGTGTTGCTATTTATAGAAATTGCGTCATTGTTGCTATTTGTAGAAATTGCGTCATTGTTTCTATTTTTAGAAATTGCCTCATTTTTGCCATTTTTAGAAATTACGTCATTGTTTCTATTTTTAGAAATTGCGTCAATGTTTCTATTTTTAGAAATTGCATCATGTTGCTATTTTTAGAAATTGCGTAATGCTGCTATTTTTAGAAATTGCGTAATGTTTCTATTCATATATATATACAAAATATATAAACAAAACTAATGTGACAAGACAGACCAACTAAATTTATAAAAAGGAAACGTTAAGATATGTTCAAACCTTTCTATGTTTGCGTTTAGAAAAAGTAAAAAGTCGAGCGTTGCCCCCGCCCGGCGGTGGCTCTTGTTTTTATTAAAACATAGCACTATCAAGATTTCACAATTTTTAGTATGCACTTTGTGACTCAATACACAATAATAATGTTTTTAGTATGCACAGTACATGTAGATATGCTAAATACATGTAAATATGCACAATACATGATTATAGATATACACAATACAACATGTAAATATGCACAATACAACATGTAAATATGCACAATACATGTAGATATGCACAATGCATGTAAATATGCACAATTCATATAGATATGCACAATATGTGTAAATATGCACAATACATGTTAATATGCACAATACATGCACATAATGTACAATAATACATGTTAATATGCACAAAAATACATGTAATTTTTCACAATTCATGTAAATATGCACAATACATGTAGATATGTACAATACATGTAAATATGCACAATAATCCATATAAATTATGCACAATATTCATGTTAATATGCTTAATTCATGTAAATATGCACAATAATATAGGTAAATTATATGCACAATATATGTAGATATGAGTCAATTATAGGAAATCATTTGTATTATGAATCATGCAGTCCTCCCAGATGTAAAATAATCTTAAAATATTTTAACATGATGATGATGCCCGAGGAAACTTGGGGGGGCTTAGTATTATTCAAATCATGCAGATACACATTTCACAACTTCTGTATTTGGTTTTTGTGTTGGATTAAATTGTTTTTAACTACATGTACATTAATATAAAAAAGAAATCGATCAGCAGATGTTTTATTAGCCTAATTAATTCAGTGTGAATTATGGTTTTGCCCATTTTACAGATTTTTTCAATACTGTCAAACCGTTACATTATGACATCAGCCATACAAAATTATCTTGATTTCTCTAAATTGACAAGTCTCATAAGTTTGACTAATGTTTTATTACATCTACGGGATATTGAGGGAAAAAAGGATGTGTTCCTATTTAAAAGAACTAGATTGGCTTATTTAGAAATCAAAATAGCATTCAATTCTAAATATAAAAGTATAATTTGAATTTTTCTCTCATTTAGCTGTATTTAGTGGTATTCAACCTTATCTCTGTATATAGGACATATTGCCATTGAGAAAATAGCCTTGCACAGAAATTTTCTTTAGTTAAAAGGAATATTATTGTATAATTACTTCGTGAAGAAATTTTTAAATGGATAAGTAGTATGATATTTGGAATTAGTTCATCGTGATGCCAAGATTTTTAACTATTAAGCCAGTGCTTTCTGATAATTAGGTCATGTATTCACTCAAGTAAATGTGATTGTTTGTCGTGTAAGAAACGTATATCAGCACCGGTAAGATTTTCAGGGAAAGGACAAGATTTTTTTAAAAAAGAAATTCAATGTTCTGCTGATGGCAATTTGATGCCATCAAAGACTGATTTCACGGATCTGAAATTGCAGATGATTAACTACCAACATGACTTCTGTTTCAAGTGGTAATTTTAGCTAATAGCCCTTTAAACAGTGTTTAAAAGGAATCCGGGTCAGCTTGGCCCTAAAATATACTCGGCCCCCGAGTCAGCTCGGCCCTATACCAACTCGGCACGGGTCAACTCGGCCCCCACTTTTCAATTATTAATATTTAGGTTTGTGTTATCACTATTTATTGTAATTATTTATAAATATAATACACGGATTGACAGTAACAATTTTTTTTTATGATAATTTTAATTTTAAGTTTTTGACAATTACAAACAAATAAAATGAAATTGGTAAAACGCCCATTCTCAATAAAATAAAGCATTTGAGGTTGAAAAATATTGAAAATTTGATGTTGTCATTGTGTCATTTTTTATCGCTGAAGTAAAAGTTTAGGGTATTTTGCAAGTTTGCCAGAAATATTTTGAACAAGAAACTATGATATAACAGGATGGCATTATTTCGGTAATGACACTGTATTTCTTCGGTAACGTAGATTTCAGATCTAATAATGTAACATATTGGCTGCATATTAATAACAAATGTCTGTAAAATATATCAAAATCTGTAAATTCTCTTTCTAGAGGGCCTTTCTAACCCAGAAAAATTCAAGGAAGTTGGGTACCTTGCTAATTTTCAGTCAATTTCTTCAAAGTGAAATATTCGTAGAAAGCAAAAAATAGTCAATTTTGGAAATGATTATTTTATGTCTTCGTTCAAAGGACATATATCATAAATAATATATGAGAGGTCGAATGCATACACAAATGTTGTATTAGCAATTTTTTTTCAAAACATTCAACTTTCCACTTTCTTAATATTTGGAAAATTTATTGCTAAGCAGTTCTGTATTTATCCCCATATAGGATGTCACGTATGTTTCATTTTATTCAAATGCAAGTAAAAGGATGAGAAAACAATTTTATTTTTTGTAAAATAATTTATATTTATGGATATTATTTTAACATTATTATATATAGAATGAAATACGGCCAGTAAGCTCTTTGCAGAAACGAATTAGTTGTTGCTGAGAACATCAATATCTTGTAATATATTTTTAACATTTCTGCTGGTACATCAACATATTATAAAAAATATCTTTCCTTTGTAAAAACAATTTTGTATCTTCTTTCATCTAATACAAGGTAACCGTTACTAACAGGCATGTTAATCCCAACTTTATCTTTAATTTTAAAAAAAAATGTTGAATTGTAAGTTGGAGTAACGTATGTTTCACACTCGCTTATTTATGAACTTTATCACGGAATTCAAACTTACATGTAAAATCGACTTTTTTTATTTAGGAATCAAATGTACATCATTCTATTTCATAAAAATGCGAGTTTATGTTTTTATATATGCATGTGTAAACAATATAAAGTCTGTTTGATAAAAGTAACGTTTGTTTCACTGTGGTTACTTAAACAAGTTAAAACTCGACCAAAGTTAACAAAATTTACTTACTAACGTCAAATAGAAGTATTATGTTGCTGATATACGTGCTTTCTGACTTCAATTTCCCTTTTGATAAACTTACTTTAAAAAGTTGATAACGTATGTTTCTGTAACGTATGTTTCATTTTTACATTGAAAGTGGGTTAAAAAATGACACAAAACCGTTTAACCCGCCATAATTTGTGGTTAATATATCAGAGTTACACACATGTTAATTTTCTTTCTTGTTTGGATTCTTCTTTGAATGGATTGGCTCTTAAATAATGGTAACGTATGTTTCTTTTTAAAATGCTGTTGAAAAAAAATGAATAAAAAATGAAAATTTCCGAAAATATAATGATATTTGAGAGGCTGCAAGCTTATTTTTACTTATAATTATATATATGCCGTATTATTAAGCATGCATCGATTCAATTATGTAATTTCGGTTTCACTTCTTATTGTTTTAGGTTTGTCACTATTTATTTATATGCATTTGGCGACATTTGATCATCCATTATATCAATGAGATTTTAACAGTAAAATATAATTTTTACCAATAATCAAAGTTCATATACACACAGCAATGACTAATTGCACATGTTTCGTTTATTCTGGAACTTATTTTTCTGAAACACAATTTCAAAGTTGAAAATTCTAGGTGGCGACAGTAACGTATGTTACATTTTAGGGCATTAATGGTACTTGTAAAAGAAAAATAACAGATAGAAATGTAAAACTGAGAGTCCCTATTAGACAAAGTGGCAGCCACCTTTCTAACGACATTTTGACCTCAAGAAAAACCTTCGTATAAGAGCTACCCAGTGGAACATCAAATGCTGTGTTTTATTGAGAATGAGCGAAAAGACGTTAAAGGACTCCTATTGTCACGGGCTTTTATTATCAATCAATGTGTATATTAAGGAAACCGATTAATTAGGTGATAATTATGATTGATTCATTCATTCAAATTTGATTAGTGGCCACCTGCAATTAATTAGACGCTTATGATATTAAGTGAACACGTTTTTGTTTCATTTTTTTTTTAATATTACTTTACAAACAAAATGCTTCTAAGGAAACACATTTTTATTAGATCTATATTAATCTTATCGAATATTCAAGACAAATAAATAACATTTTCTAAATAATTACTTTATTTCGACAGAATTACAATGTATAATTATATAATAATAAGATAATGAAAATTATTTTTTTTATTATATTTCATTTACCTTAACAACATGCAAAGCAAAGTTAATACGTTATATATATTTTTGTAAAGTGGGCCGAGTTGACCTGTGCCGAGTTGACCCGTGCCGAGTTGGTATAGGGCCGAGTTGACTCTTTTCCGTTTAAAAGTCCCTCAATTTTTTTTAAATCTATGATGACTGCTTCTCATATTTTTAAGTTTTATAACATTGTAAGTTGGCACAGTTATTTATGATATATTTTGTACTAACTTACCCAGGTCAAGTAGCGATCAAATTTGTCTTGAAATTGAAATACATATTTTGCATCTGCCACAGTGAAAAAAATGCAGGCTGACATTATAAATAGTCAGTTGCTTCGTGATATTTTTTCTCACAGTTCATAGGTCCAGCCGACTGGGACTCTGAATATCATCATCACCAGGTTCTGCTGCTGGCTTGGCTATCTAGTTGCATTACACATTTTCTCTGTGAATATTGAGTCTGCAAAATTAGCAGTTGTCCTATTGCCTGAGACAACCATTTTTTGGCCCTGACAACTAATTTTTAAAAGTTTACTTGCCCGATGGACAAGTAAAAATTTGCAAAAAGTATTCATCAAAATGTCAATGAATAGTGATAAAATGCAAGATATCAAATACAATTATCGTAGTTTGCTTACATTTATTACTGAAAATAAGTTTGCAGATTTGATCAATAATTGCTTGGAGATGCTCTGCTGAAAATATTGGGACAACCAGTTTTTACTTCGGACAAACAGATTTTCTTGAATTGGTTGCCCGAATCATTGGAATGACAACAATTTTTAAACCCTAATTTCACAGACTGCCGCTCTATATTGAACTTTGTACCAAAATTTCTTAAATTTAAAATGACTCAGAGCTTTAGTCAATACAGTCACAGTCTCTTTTGTGCAAATTTCTCGGGACAAGAAAATTGTGCAGTCTGACCAGGACTGAAACCCAGGACCTTCTGAAAACCATTCTGCTACGAGGGAGTAGACCTATCTACAAAGCTATTTGGCTACTGACACATATTACATCTTCTGTATTTCAGATGTGTTTGAAGCAGTGACTAGTCAATTATTTGTGGAACTAAGACAAGTTTACAAGGATACTGGAAAAGGTTAGAGTTTACCTGAAGTAAAACAAATTGTAGTTATTTTAACATAATTATAATGCTTAGCCCTTAAACTATTGGAACCAAAAGTAACTGGCAGTTTCAATGATTATAGAGCCAGGCCAGCCTGTATATTCATGCAGTCATACTGTCAGTAGCTCTTTTTTTTTTAATTTGATATATATTTAAATCCCATGAACTTTCAATGGACTGTTCTCAAGCAAATCCATTACACAAATTCAGCAAGATACATGCACCAGTTTTAAAATATGAGAAGATAATCGAGATATTAAAGAATATTATTGAAATGTTATCAAATTCAATTAGCTTATAAGGAAAATTAGGAAAATGTTATATAAAACCTCATTCTAAGTCAAGTTTTTCATGCAAATAAAAAATTTACCATATCAGAGAATTACTTTTTACAATTTTCTGGAAAATTAGCAAAAAATGCTACTTTCTATGTGACAGTGTCTGGTAATAAGATTATGCTTGCATTGGTTGGTGTGATGAAAGAAACACACAATTAACCTCTTACCAACTAGATACATGTGTTAGCTATGGAAAATGGCATGCATGTAGTTGGTAAACGATTTTTAAGCTTTTGATATATAGAACTGTTCACTTGCTATAATGTACTGTTCTTAAATTTTTATGATAATTTTCTTTCATTTTCAGTTACAGATGAAATTTTGTCAGCGTAAGTTTGATTAAATCTATTCAGGAAGTGTTCCTTATGGTCAAATTAGTTCAAGATAAAGTTGGTACAGAAATGCAGCTTGAACTGCCTCATTAGCATAATTAGAATAAATATGTGTCCTAACTTAAATTACTCTTAGAATTTTAGTATTTTCTACAGTTTCCATTAAGTGACATACGAGTACATTTTATAATTATAACCTCAGGGAGACAAATATTTTGGTTGTTGAATAGTGGTGTTGCTCAACAGGGGTAAAAATAGTTGAAATATTTACTCTGAGAAGAAATAATATTGCTGTTGTGAAGAAGGAGAGCCACTATAGAGGCTATACTGTATACTCTATTTGAAAATAGATTTTGTCCCCTAAATGATCTCATGAACTTGCATAATGTTGCTACTATTGTTTTAATTTAATTTGTTTGGTTGGGTTTTACATAGCACCAACACAATATAGGTCATATGGCAAGTTTTCAGCTTTACTGGTGAAGGAAAAACTCTGTAGCATTATTTCAGCCACAAATGGGCACCATAGTACAAGTTGGTTTGAACCAAAAAACAAAAAGACATTATATGATATAATAGAAAATATTTCAGGTTGAGTAATGTATATCAAGCTCCGTTATTGCCGGCATTAGATCTGGTTGACAGTAGAAGTGTTTCTCGACTTGTTTGTCCTGCAGGTAGACAGTTGTATCAGGTAATTCATAATGGCTGTATTTAATACTGTTACCATAGTAACTTAATCAGTCTTATTTACATAAGGATATATACATCATAGCTGTATGCTATGTCCATGTTTTGATACAACATATGCCTCCTATTACAAATCAGATAACCATGTGTTTTGATGTTCTTTCTATATAAGTGAACTCTAGCATCTGTAACAACCAAGTTGGGCCTCCAGTATGAAATGAGGTCAGCCTTTACATCTATGCAATATGATCACATTCTATACTACAAATATTAGCAGCAGTTACAGCACATAAATATTGTAAGTTTGTAACCCCTTAAAATTACAATGGATACTATTAGTTCGATATTCAGAGCAAGTCATAATTATCCTTTATACAAATTTTCTTTAAAGTTTTGACAAAATACAATGCACATAGTTACAGGCTACCTGTTTTAGCCAGATACCTTAGAGTGCTAAACAAGCTTCATTATTGGCGAGGGATCATCACTCGTCCGACTATTTAACCTTTTGGGATGCGCTGGCTCCAAAATCATGTAATGATCCCCACTCATCAGTTGATTCAGCTCTTACTTTTGCTGATGTACAGACTAAGTTGATACTGCCCAGTCAGGAGCCACCTAGCTCCTCCTTTGAGTCTTCCTCCACTAAATTCAACATGAGGTGACTGCTGCCTTCATGTGTTCACTCTGAATTGCTCCTATAATTCCTATTGTTCTCCTAAGAGATTTTGTGACAAATCCCCTGCAGCCCACCTTGATGGGACACCCTCAAGTCTACATATAAATTGTTATACGCAAGAGGCTGGTACATGTACTTTAGAAGCAGTCGTAAAGAATAAAATGTGGTTGAGGTTGTTTGTTCCATTTATTTTCATATACCTTGTGTACTTATAGTGTTAAAACTGACATGAAATATTCTAATATTATGTGTAAGCAGGTTCTTTTTATTTGTTTCTAATATTTAATTTTGGCAATGAGTTTAGCCTTATGTAACCAGTTATTTATTTGTAGTATTACATGCACATGTATATAATTATATTTATGTATATTTTTAGGTGATTGGAAGTTCAGGTACACCATATACATGTTTCAAGGGAAATCACTACTGTTCTTGTCCTGCATATAGATTCTCTGTTTTGAATAAAGAGGAACTATCTATGGTAAGTATCTGTATAATATTAGGTACATCTTACATGTATATATTTAATATTTATAGCAACTCTTGTTGTATTGTTAATCAAGTTGAGTTTTGACAGTTGTGCACTTAACTCGAGCCTGTAATGTACTGGTAGTAAAACATCACTAATTTGAGGTAACCACAAGTGAAGTTAAAAAGTTAAATTTGTAGAAAGAATCATGAACTTTTCTTATTGTCATAAATGTTTATGATGCACATCTAATAAGATTTGATACAAGTCATCTAATTATATTAATATAATATTTTCAGTGTAAGCACGTACTTGCAGTGAAGCTGTCAGATGCTATGGAGGTAACTAAGAAACTTGAAGTGACAGATAAAGAATTGACTGACTTGTTGATCAACTTGGAATGAAAAACTGGACTAAAGCAGATATTCAGGATTTTTAAGAGGAGGTTGAATGCTGCTTAATTTTTATCGTTATAATTTAAGAGTATTTGATATGGAAGGAGTTTATAAACTGAACTGATCACTTTTACAAAAACTGTGAGTTCAGTCACAGGTTTATAATATGATTATGATAAAGAGTAAAAACATACAACATGATTTGAATAAACTTTCATAAAATCTGCAGGGGAGTTAACCTTCAGTATGTTTGGTTTGAAACATCTAAATTGAGCTATTGATGATGAGGGGCAATATTATTAGGTAACAGATTTCTAAGGGGGGGAATAAACTTGTTGTCTTGTAAGTAATTGATTTGCACTGTAGAGCACAGTAATTCTAACCGAACTAAAATTGAATAAGATGCTAAATGTAAAGAAATTTTAATTACATAACATTTTATTTCAAATGTATTACAATATGAACTATTCCTGTAATATAATGTAGTAATGACAGGCCTGTCCAACAGATAGGCCAATCAAGTGCATTGTTACACAGGCCTGTCCAAACAGAAAGGCCAATCAAGTGCTTTGTTACACCATATATGCACAGCATAAATAGGAATTCTTACACCTACCTTGTATGAAGTCAGATATATGCATTTCACACCTTTTAAGATAAATGCACTTTCAGTATTTGCACCATGTGATGTTCCAGTAGAAATCATATTGGATCCAATCTTATATCAATTTAGCCTTGTTTTCATTTCCAGAGTACGAAAATCAATATAAAATCTATATCGCACCCCATCTAGTCTCTTTTTCTTTCTTTTTAAGAGTCAAAAATCCATGTCTAATCATCTTTGTAATTGAAGTACCGGTAATAAAGTTCTGATGTCAAGAAATGGTGGTGTGAAATAAAGAGGTCATTTAACATTGTGGAGAACAATACTGATCCTATTGGACTTGTACACAGCTGCAATAACCATATCAGACTTGGCTAGCAGCTCGTTCCAATATAGTATTAACAGCTGTTTACACATCCAATAGTTCAGTATTGTACTCAACAATGTATAATAACCTCATGATATATCAATAAATCAAATGGTGCCAGGAATATTACTTCTATACTCGATGTAGTTCACTTAGCACATTATAAGTATTTAATCTGTCGAAGAATATAACTGAAATACATTGTATTGTTAAACTGGCTTGGAACGTAATAATAAAACAGGCAGATTACTTCTTTTTTTTATTAAAAGACATCATTTGGCTTGTGTATATAATTAAATTTTATACATTTAATTATATTACATTTAATTAATAATATCCATCAATATCATTCTTAAATTAAGATCCAGGTACAGGCTACTGATATTAACAATGAATAGAAATTGTGAAATAAAAAAATGGAAAAAAAAAATAATATTGTTAAGGTATCTCAATGAAGTATTAAGCTTCCCACCGTTACATTTTATTATTATTGTTTCATTTTGTTTGTATATGAAATATTTGTTATTTTGTCATATGAATTGAATAAAGCTGCTTTATTTCCAAATGTATTTCTTAATATAACAACCTGATTTTTAGTAATTAATTATGCCCCACTTAAATGAAGTGTGGGTATATTGCTAGCATTTGTCCCTCTGTTGGTCGGTCTGTCTATTGGTCCGTAGACCAAATGGTTTCCAATCAATAACTAAAGAAGGCTTATGGTTTTTGGGTCAGAAGTCAAGGTCACATTGACCTTGTAGGTAAAAACGGATTCCGATCAATAACTTGACAACCATTGGACTGCTGGCTCTCAAACTTCGTAGGTGCTTTAGTCTAGGCAAGGAGATGACCCCTATTGATTTTGGGGTCAAATGTCAAGGTTATATTGACCTTGTAGGTGAAAACGGTTTGCCAATCAATAACTTGACAACCCATGGGCCCTTGGCCGTCAAACGACATATGTACATTGGTCTTGACCAGTACATTAACCCAATTCATGACCCCTATTGAATTTAGGGTCAGGGGGTCAAAGGTTAAGATCACATTGATCTTGTATGTCAAAACAGTTTCCTATCAATAACTGGACAAGCAATGGGCACTTGACCTTTAAACTTCACAAATGCATTGCTTTTGGTCAGAAGATTATCTTAATGGATTTTTTGGGTCAAGGGGTAAAAGGTCAAGATGACAAGATCTTCTAGGCTTAAACGGTTTCTGATCAATGTTTCAACAACTCGTTTTTTTTTACTTAACTAAAAGTGCTTTTGGTATACACATTTCAAGGTCTATAAATGTTATATAAAAATTGGCTTTCATTAAGGAGGCCTACATGATTCATAAAATTTATGCATATATTATTAGGTAAGATTTGTGATAAATTTGTCATAAAATTGCTGCACACAACCTTTTTGGTCACAATGGCCTAGTGACTAGTCATGACTAGTAGATAAACCCTATTTATTTTTTGGTCACTAGGTCAACAGTCTGTCCCAATAACCTGGCCACATGACTAATTGGCTGCCAATAGGGGGCATACATGTTTTACAAACATACCTTGTTCATTTATATCCGGTAACTACAATGTATATAGATGGCTATAGTAACTCTGTTTACAGAGATAGTTTTTTGCTGATAAATCTTAATCATGCATTTCAGCATAAAGATTTGTTGATAAGTGTTTAGGGTGGTTTAATTACTTAATTGGATTCATGGAAGGACAACTTGCCTACAATTCCTTTTAAAAAAAAAGCTGAATAAAACGCAAGTCAGTTTTGACCAAGTTTTAGAAAAAAGATGTTTTGCGACTTTTCCAGACTTCTTAAAATAAACAATATTGGAATAGAAAAACACCTTACTTTATAAAGCTCATTCAAAACAGAAGTCAGTTGTGGATTCAATTAAGGATTACAGTACAGTTCTTGTGTGTTAAAGTGAACAAGCAAATTCCTTGAATTTATATCCCCCCACCGAGTACTGGTTATTACTAACACAACAACTGAAGACATAAGGCTTTATTTATATATATTTATCATGGCGTAAACAGTAATATTCTTTGTACATGATAAATATTCAGGGCAATAACAGAGCTGTAATGTAATGAAGGGTCTGGTCTGAACAAGGCAACAAATTGTGCACATCTCTTCTTGGTATTAATGATTCCTATAAAGTTTAATTGAATCCAGCCAGTAGTTGCAGAGAAGTAGTGTGGAAACAATTATTGCTCTATATGCATACTGCTTTACTATTCAAGGGCCATAATTCTGAGTTAAAGTGTCTGACAGGAACAAGGCGATGATATGGGCATCTCCTGTTGGTATTGAAGGTTCCCATAAAGTTTCGTTTGAACTCCAGCCAGTTGTTGCAGAGAAGAAGCGCGGAAAAGATTATTGCTCTATATGCATACTGCATAATTAAACAAGGCCCATAACTCTGAGATAAAGGGTCTGATCGGAACCAATTTACCATATGGGCATCTCCTCTTGATATTGATGATTCCCATCAAGTTTTGTAGAATTCCAGCCAGTAGTTGCAGAGAACTAGGGCGGAAACCAAATTCGGATGGACAGATAGACAGAAAGACTGACGGACAATGCCAAAACAATATCCCCCACCTGATTCCATCGGCGGGGGATAATAAAGGCCTATAACTATGCTGCCTGCAGTTTACAAACTTTTTGTTTGATTTTTAAGAGTATAAAAGAAATATATCTTTTGAGCAAATGTCACATGCACAAAATCTTTGCTAAACAAAAATTTTCAATTTTATAAAAATGTTTCATTTTATATAGCTATATACCACTTATAACACTGAATGTGTAATTATGTCTGGCTGGATCATTTCAAGTCTGTATTTCTTTCTCGAGTTTGTTTTAGTGGTTACCGATGAAGGTAATGTTTGATGTATTACCAAGGTGAGTTATTTTTGGCTCAACAAATACAGATGAAGTCTGAAGAATTTAGATGCCATTAGATGCCTTAATGTAAGGGCCAAATACAAAATTAACATGTTCCAGTATATAAAATGTTTCCAGACCTTGTCAAACCAATGATACTTTGGTCTACTGCCCTCAAATTGCAGTGGGATGGTTGGCCATGATCTGTATATATAACAACTATTGATTTTGAGGTCAAAGGTCACCTTGACCACAATAAGCTTGGTTGGTTACAACACTTGTGAAGAGTTGTGATGCAAATTTTACAAAAAATGATTGCCCTGCCTTGTATTGCTTTCTCTCAAATAGAGTGTTTAAAAATAACGAATAGTTTTTATATGTTAACATATCCAACTATTTTTTTTATTCCATGGGAATTTAAACATTTTTGTTTTGTTTTTAGCTAGAGTGACTTAAAATGTGGCCATTTCAATTATTTCCAGTAAATGTTGATAAAAGACTATGTCAAGGTGCGTCAGATCAAAAGCTGGTAATTGTCAACCTATTATATCATTTGATTAATGTAGGGTTTTATATTTTTAGTGCTGGTGCACAAAGTTTATTTTATTTTTGAAACTTGTAAAAGTACCTTTTTAAGGGTGATTTAGACCAAGTTTGGTAAACCATAATGGTTCATGAGCAGAGGATGTTTAAATCTAGCTTTGGTGACCATAAATGGGGCCAACTGATATTACAAATTGTTAAAGTTGCAGAAAAGTGTGACAGTTATAATTAATAAACACCAAACAAAGTATAGCTGAGAAAAAGGAGCAGATCTTTATTTGTAACTTTTGAGTACATAATAGATCACCCTGAACTTTAAACAAGAGCTGTCTAAGGAGCAGCACGCTCTACTTTTCTCAGTTCTTGATAGTATGATAAAAGCGGAGTAGAAAAGGGGGCATAATTATGATATGTTAAGCAGAATTTTTGCCTCGATTTACAACTAGTATTTCATGGTTTTTAGAAATTATGAAAATTTTTAGAGTTAACAAGTATTCCACGTTTAAATTGAAAATATCTTTGATAGTCTGAGAAATTATCCATAACAAAAAGGTAAATCGGGGCAAAAAAAATGAGGTCAAACAGGGGCATAACTTTGCGGAATATATATAAGGATAATTTGCCATTTTGATATAACATCACATGATGATAGTGAACAAGTAAACCAAGTTTAAATAAATAGCTTTAGAAGTTTCTAAGAAAATTGACCTTTACCTTCATCTATAAAGGTCAGTGATAACCTTTATCTAATAAAGGTCCGTGACCTTAACCTCCTGACCCCAAATCGGTGACAGGTAGAACTGAGATGTACTCCACATACGAAGTTTCAACGTTATGGCTTTATTATTGAAGTTAATGGCCATTAATAAAATCTTAACCAAAAAGATTTACCAATGCCAACAAGTGGGTCATGACAATACCACCAAAAGTGGAGCTAATAAAAACAGAGCTCACCCTGAACCTTCAGCTCTAGTGAGATATACAAAGAAAAACAAAACTCATCTCAATGAAAAAATGCTTTCATTTATTCATAAATTATTTTTATAATTACACATACAGCTACTCTGTTTCATTAAAAAATATCTAACTTAAAAAATAAATGATATAATTTCATTTTAAAATTTTTAAAACAATACAGTCAACTTTCAAACACTACTAAAATTGATGACATGTTTTAAAAGAATGTGAGCAATAAACTTAAATCTACTTAAAAACATAAAAATGACAATTTTATCCTCTTTAAAAAAATTGATGCACTAAGAAACATTGTTTTAAGTATCACATATTAATAAATAAATACTCAAAAGTTTTTTATAAAGTAAATGCCCATGAAGAATATAAATGGATTATTCGTATTAGAGTCTCATAATAAACAATCTCATATGGAGAAGTTTGTTACAGTTTGCTTATATAAAAATACCCCTTTAGTTTCTATTTTCAACTGTATGTTAACAATGGGAAAATTTCAATACTAAAAAGAAATTAAACGAGTTACACGCTAATTTAAGTACATTAAAAAGAAATCGGGACTTGGTGTGATTTCTGTATCATACTTATTGTGTTTCTGCTTTCACAACTATCTTATATCAATAAATGGAAAAAATGTTCATGTCATTAAACTGACGAAGCCTAATAGAGCGAAACATGTTTTGATAAATTGTGTTGGTTTTTGTAAGTTATTTATTTATGACTATAAAACAAACAATTCTGACACCATACATTGCAATGTAACTTTTATACACTTATTTGTTGTCAATGAACCTTTTTTTATTTCAAGGAAAGCTTTAAGTTGTTTCATTAAACATGCAGCACAGCAAATATTTCCCCAAGAACATTTATCAACACCTAAAGCACATTTTTGTTGGGTGGTGATTTTGTAGACACAGTCATACACATGAAACTAAAAACAATCTTACAAACATTGGATAACACCAATGTATCCCTGAGATCTTTATTGTTTTCATTCTCACTCTGCTCTTACATATAACATGCATACACTCTACCTGTAACATGCCACAACTGACTTGTTACATGTAACACCTTATGTGTAACATGCCACATCCTGCCTGTTACATGTAACATACTATGTGTAACATGCCACCCGTCTGTTACATGTAACATCCTATGTGTAACACGCCACATCCTGTCTGTTACATGTAACATCCTATGTGTAACATGCTACACCCTGTCTGTTACATGTAACATCCAACATGTAACACCTTATAGATAACATGCCACAGTTCGAATCAAACATCTTTCATACATAGAAGTTTTACACACCAAATCATTCCATTTTAATATCTCTGTTACAAAATAATGTGAAAAGGTGTTCTTTTTATACAAAAATACCAAAAGCTTTTCCTGTCACCCTATTTTAAAGATTGTCCTATTAATTATACAGAGAAAATTTGAAGCTTGTCTTATCATTAATACAGAAACACACACAATATCTTTTTAATTGAATGATGTTATGATGTAACAACAGAAGACTTTTGCTTAAAAAAGCGTTGCATCTTTACACTACACAACCTAATATTTCATTTAAAACACATTTACTTTTAACAGATTTTTATGACCACATTGTGCTTTTTCACAGTAGATTTTTATACAATTTAAATATACAATACTGCAGTAACAATGCAAGACTGAATTCTGAAAAAGTCTTACACATTATTGCTATATAACGGTAATATCAATAAAGGGGCATAATATCATAATGCCCCCAAGTAAATTTAATGTAATGGTGGGATATTCAATGTTTGTCACACAAAAATTATAAACACACACACACACACACATGCACATATGTCATATATAAATTCATACATGAAAGGAACACTATTGAGGTCTAAATGCATAAAAACATGAAATTTGAAATTCTTACATAGATGAACTGTTACGCTTTAAAAAGAAAAGAAAATGCAAAAGATATTAAGTGTAATTGAATGAAAAAAAGTATGTGATTTGATTTAAAAGCAGTACAACATTTCATTTTCCAGTCATTGTATGCAAGGAGTAAGCAAATAATCTGAAAATTTGCTCACTAGTTAATGGTCCAAACATACATCAAATGGTACATAAATCTTGATAAAATGTTTCTAGTCTTTTCTCATGTAAAAAAAGAAAAAAAAGAAGAAAAGTTATTCTCATGTAAAAAAGAGAGAAAAAAGGCAACAATCTCAATGGAGTCCCTTTAACAATATCACCAATCCCTGACCACACAAACATGACATTAACTGCATTCACACAACAGGATACACTCGGAGCATGATTCAGGTTCAGTGAGGAAGGTGACAGCATCAATTAAGACTACACTTTCATTCTTTCACTGTCATCTGTATGATTAAGCGCGGGTAGAAAAATCATACCTTTAAAATACATGTATAGCTCCTGTCCTTAATGTTGACATCTTTCTTTATACATTGTGTACAGCAGTTAAATACTCCATTCTTCACCTTAGTGCAGTAACAGGTTAACTCCTTCTAAATTTAACAGGAGTTAACCAGTTATTGCACTAAGGTGACGATTTGTACAATTATTCTGCATTCAAATATTCATGCAGTTTTCTAACCATGCAAAGTTTAAATTTTAAACAACTGGTTCAATATGAACATATCTATACTTTTTTTAAGTTTCCACCCCTATCCCCTTGTAAGTAGTCTTGGCAATGGATCTTTTCAATCTTTAATCATATAAATTATGAAAATTTTAGAGATGTAAATTTGTTCACATTTGACAGGTACTCTATCTATTCTATACCCAATGAATGACCTCTGCATCAGAGCAGAGCGTCTTATATACAGTTGAATTATTTACAGAAACTATAAATAAGCGTAACAATAAAAAAACAAACAAAAACATTCAACAATTAACAAATAAAAGTTGAAACAGCAGTATAATTTGCAGGAGAAATTGCTTTTTTTATTTCTTGCAATGAAAGAGGTCAGAAATAATGTCTGAACTTGTCTTTACAATCAATTAAAAAAAAAAATCTGGTATGTTTTCATAATAATACTAATTAATATCTTTTTCAATATATAAAAATTCAATTCAGTTTGTAAAATAACTAATTTACAATTTAATGTCGTGGTTAAAAGTGTACTCATATTTTATTTGTAAAAACAAAATTAATAAAGATCTACTTAAAATATCTAATATCACCATTTAAATACACTGGTATATTTGTTTTATGTAAAAAAACTCAAAATCTATTACACTGGTATATTTGTTTTATGTAATAAACTAAAAGTCATCATCATCTCAGCACATAAATTCAAAAATCTTTCTAAAACATAGAACTTTGTTAAAACTAACAACAGGGTTTTTCTTTTAAAAGTAAAAATTTGCATATATAAAAATTTCAGTTCATTTAAGATCACTTGTATTTTATATGGTTTTGTATATATATTTTTTTTTTTTTAAATTCTCCTCAATAAAAAATTGATGAAGTTAATTAGGAATGACGGATTTTCTTTGATGCTGGCGTACCACAGGATTGGTTCGGCTCCATTTTCCTCTTCATGCCAGGCTTTGCAATGAAGCGTTTGTTTTCACTTTGGTTCTTCAGTTTACCTTTCTGTGTCTTCTGTCGTAGCCTACGTAGCCTCATACTGATTCTAGTCGTCAGACTCTTGTTGCTGTGAGTCTTTTTCGTCACCCTCAATCCATCACTTGCTGCATTAGAATTGTTCAGATTTTTACCGAATTTTGATTTTTGAGAATTTTTCAGATTCAAGTTTCTCAGACCTAACTTCACGTCAGTTGAGTAGAAGTTCACTAGATCTTTAACTTTGAGGTCTGTATGCGGCACTTTACTCGTGGGGACGTTTTTCACATTTTCTGAGGTATTTTTGCAAGGCTGTAAACACTTCTGTTGAAGACTACTAGCTACTGTATTTGTACCATGTGCATGAGATCTAGTTTGATGCATATTTGTGTCATTATTAACACTATTAGTCAAAGCATTCACAGAATTTTTCACACTTTCCGGTGATTTCTGTGGAGAACTACGTGTCGCCATACCAGTTCTACACAAGTTTTCACTAGAACTAGTCTGTAGAGGTGATGCTTTGGGCTGGGGTGATCCCAGCGATTTTCCTTCATGTTTCTTATGACCGTTTGGCACAGGTGACACTAAGTGCGAATTTCTTATCTGTACACTTTCATCTAAACTGTCTGAGCCTCTATGCATAGGTGATGTTATCACTTTGTTACTATGGTTCTGTGATTTGGCATGAGATTCTTCTTTAGCTATCGCACATGTTTTATTATCTTTCGTATGTGCGTGTGTTTTGTTCTCTTTTTTCACACCATTTGACTTCTTATCCTCGTCATTTTCTAGTTTTGGCTTTAGTGCTGCTAGTGAAGGCACAGTATTTTTTGCATGGACCTTCTTTGGTGATTTTGTTAAACTCTCCTTTGCTGTCAACAAATCCATTACAGCATGGTTATCATGAGATTTCTGTAGGGCAATCTCTTTCATTCTTTCCTCACGTTTCTTTTTCAGAATTGAAAGTTTTCGTGGACCAAGTGGATCAATTAGGACAACTATTGCACTTGTATTGTCGGCTTTCATTAGCCTCATTCTCCATTTGTTCAGGGCAGCCTGTACTAGACGTTCAGCTGGATTGATCCAGTATGACAAGGGGACAGTCTGAAATTACCACAAAAGCATATGAATTTTTTTTTCCAGATGTAAAACATATTATTGCACAATTTGGCAAGTAGAAATCGCCAAAAGTAACGATTGAAAGGAGCAGATCAGCAATTTCCTCATTCAAAGTTAGAAATTCAACAATATAAATATATTTTCACATTTGCTTATACGACAGATTTTTTTTTAATATTATAAAAATAAATTGAGCAGAATAGCTAGATATACAACAGAAATTTGAAGAAACGTTTTTTTCACACTTGTGTTAACTTTCTATTCATAATGTCACTTAATTATGATAAGCAATGGTTATCAAAAACTTCATTTGCTACTAAGTATTATCATCTGCTTCATATACAGACAAAATCATCATAAACAGTATTCTGTAATATATGTTTGTCTGTTGGAGTGGAATTTCAACTACTTAATATTGAATCACCTTTGAATACTTAGGAATGCTTCAAGACAGTTCATAACCCTTTTAAACAAGTGTTGTCATTAATATTGGGTGCTTCATTTTTACATCCATAATAAAGTGTACCAAATTTTGTTGGAAAATGGGCACAACTTCAAAATTAATATCACTGTTGCCTAACCTGAAATTTTAATTAAAACGAAAATAACAGTTAGAGAAATGAACATGGGCCTTTCATGTACCTTAAATTGATTTTATTGTAACACATGCCTAAATAAGACATGACATAAGAAAATCAATATTTCAACATGAAATTCGAATGTAATCAGTGTTTTTTTTCACTTTTGGGGGAAGGGGGTCAGTGCCCATTGGAGGGGGAAAAATGCAACAGGAGGGGGATTTTTATACGGATCTAAAATATTGATGTGTCACATGATAAACTTGTTGGGATACCAGGAGTAGCTCCCCTTACCTATATGAAAAACCTTGCTTAACAGTAAGTCTTACAGGCATAAAATAAAGCATTTTTCGGCAGTTAGTTGCAAAAAAATGATATTCATTGCAGGCAGATTTGGGCTGCCATATTATAGGGGAAAATTTCAGCTTTCAGGGGGGGAAAAAACATACTATTTTGAGGGGGGAATAGGGAGAATTTCGCCGAATATTTTGGTGAAAAAAAACACTGGTAATCAAGAATAATATTGCTGACACAATGCCATTGCTTAACAATTCAATTTTCAGTTTAAATACCAGGAGATACAAAATAACAAGAGTGTCACAAATGATCAATAGTGAATACTCACATCTGATTTTTCTTATCTGACCTATGACCTCTGCAATTTATGATTTTGACCTTGGTCAAAGGCTCCTGAATTTTCATTCAACATGTTGAACATTTGTCCCAACTTATAAAACAATCCTTCTATGTAAGAAATTTCACCTTGGCCTTTGACCTTGATACTTGCATCATGTGTTCAACACTATGTCTCATGATGTAAAACATTTGTGTCCAGTTATACTAGGATCCCTTCATGCATATGCTACAGGTTACATATCTTGTGACCTTGACTCTATTGACCTTTGTTATCATGTTATGCTGACAAGACTCAGTGCCATGATAGTGATCATTTTTGATATAGTCCCTAAAGTTATGACCACCACATATTAATTGACCACACATAATTTCAAATTTTTCTGTGACATTTGGCCTCTTAGTGTGACCATGACCTGGGTTGCAGAAAGAATTTTATTTGAGACACACCGCATTATAACTAAAATCAACAACTTGTATCAAATACATGTACCTAAGATTGTAATAGAATGGATCGCACTGGGCATTTTGCACCTTGTACATTCTTGATCTAGCAAAATCAAATGGCGCCAAATTACTGACCGGTCCAGATACTAAATAGTTATGTTTCAAACTGAGCAATGTTCAATGTTTCTAAATAGACTGTTAAATGTGTCTTTTTTTGTAAGTAAAGAAACTCATCTGAACAATCCGAAAAAAATAAGAAGACAAATAAATACAATTGGTATGAACAATAAATATTATCTTAACTAACCGGATCATTGATAACTTTGTATTCAAACTGACATTCTAAATCAAACACTGAGCTGACTGACTCCTCTGCAGTCAACATGTTCCATAAACCATCAGAGCCAATGACAAGGCACTTATCAGTAGCAGGATCCAGTTTGTGAACAGATACATCAGGTTCAGGGGAGACAACAAACTCTTCCTTCAAATAGTTGTAACTCCAAAGATCACCTGTGAATAATTTAAAATATATTGTAAAAATCTGTGGCAACAAAAACATCAATCTAAGATACTAACAGGAAAGTCCACAAATACATGCAGTCTGAACAAACTTAAAAATGTTGCTTGCTTATTATATAATTGAAATCCCTCAACTGACGCTAGATGTTTTACATAAGAACCTGTAGCAAAAGAATGCATTTACTGGATGGTGTATCTATCTCATAAATACAAACTGACTTTTCTTGCATATCAGACAGGATTATCTCCCGTTAACACAGGTGCTAGAAAACCCTGTCTTACACCGCCCATGTAAGACAATTTGTGTGCTTTAAATGACGTCATTGCTGCACGCCTTTTATGAATGAATTGCGTTCAAAGGATGACGTCATTTTACTGTTATGAATGAAGTTTGTAAGTTCATACGCTACTATAAGAAAAAGGTGCGTTATGAAAATAATTGATATTTAATATGCAAGAAAAAGAATCATACACTGGCTGTCGGTGCAGACAGGAATATCTAGCTCTCGGGTAAATGTTCAGCGGAAACTCAGCAGAGCCTCGTTACCGCCGTAAACAGTTACCCTCAAGCTAGATATTCCGGTCTGTACCGGCAGCCAGTGTAAAATTCTTATATCTCCTTACCACTTTTTGGATAGACACCCAGTACATGTCAAATGATAGAGGATTTTAAATTAATGAAAATACAATACTAAATTTATTGAACGAGTTAAATAAAATCATATTATGCGAGCCTCTGGCAAGCGTAATATTCTTTAAGTCAACAAGTTCAATAAATTTAGGATTAAAATTCAAATCTCACAAATATAATATTTTGTTTATCATATATCCAAACTAAGAATGGTTTACAGTTGAAAAAAGAGAGTATTTTTTCATTGACAACAGTGTAATGCTAAAATTAGCCTGCTTTGAAGCTTGTTTGTATTAACACAAATTATGTCATGACTGTCAAATTGTTATTACACTAGTGTAATATTGTTTTTACTAAATTTCATTAAATGACTATTACACTCCTGTGCGGTGGTTCATGTGATAAAACTATTTCTAAATCTTATAACTGTTAACAATAGCACTCAGCTGTAAGCTCAAATTTCTGTTACATTATTAAAGTATTTACAACAATTTTAACATATGTACAAGTACACGGTATCATCTATCACATTATGTTTATTTTAATATATGTCATAAATCAACACTTCAGAGCCATCAACCATAAATTTTTGCCTTCAAAAACAAAAACAATTCTTTTTAAAATTTTACCTGCCTTTATCTGCTAAAAGCAAAAGACCCTTAACAATGTCCTTCGATTCGTTCGAAGTTTGCTTTTTGCAAAATATGTAAGTATGTGCAGCAAAATTGCCTAAATTTCCCCGACATGAGAAAATAGAATGAAAATCCAAAATCACACCTCCTACAGGTATTTCTCCCTGCAAACAGAGCCCTGTACTTTCATACATGAAAACTAGTTAGGCCTAACTGATTAATATTTTAGTAAGTGACTTGTACAGTTTATAAAAATAACAGATTTCTATGACAATCCACCTTTATAATTACATTACCTAGTGAACGGGCAACAGCCAGAAAGGGAATTCTGTCTATCTGTGTACTTCTTCTTATAGGTCCTCTGTGATCAGTTCTTGGACGATTCCAAACGACTCTCTGTACCCCAGATTTTGCTACAACTTGACCACCACTTAACTCGATACGTTTTAACTCATCAGGATCATCTGGTTTGTGCTCCTAAATCATAAATATAATGAGTTTTACAACAGTTGTTAAGTTTTGTAAGTGTCAAATTAGCTCAATTGGTAGAGTATTGGACAGTGAATTGGGCATACCAGTTTCAATTCCCAAATGGTGCAGGTCACTTTCTTTGTGATTCATCATACTTCTTTCTATGGTCATTTGTACTGTACCTCTTCTTTGGCATGTACAGTGAAGTTCAGTTCCTTGAGTAAGTGAAGGTAAATTAAATGTACTCTGGTAAATTCTAAGTGGATTACTGTCCTTATTCAAAGGATAAACTATCAACACCACAAACAGTAGCTAAATAGAATGCTCTATCGATACAATTATAGCACATTGCACTATTAACAAGTCTTATATTTCAGGGCTAAACTTTACAAATTCTGACGCGTTTCTTTTAGCCAGAATTTTTCGCAAGGAGTTACAAATAATTTGGTGATTAGAACTTTTTGTACTGTTTATGCTTTACCCTGGTGTAGTATCATCGTACATGATGAACTTGAGCTGACCTATGTATAATGCTTGTTTGCGCATGCTCCGTATTTTCTAGTAAAATATCTAAGATCACATGTTAAGGGTTTACAGAATAAATTTATATCTTGTGCTGAACACTCGTCGTGTTTTACTTTACTTCATTGTATCAACGCACTTGGTTTAATTTCTATTAATTATTGTTCATAATAAACGAACATTACAACATGGTGTCAGAGTAAAAACGTTTAATAAATAACCTGGACATACGATAAAAAAAAAAAAAAAATTGGAATATTTATCTAAACAAAATAAAGTTACACAATTAAATTAATTTTTGAAAACAAAATGGAATTATCTGGATTGTCAGTGCCCCAAATGGACTGGGAATCTTCGAATTTACCTGAAGCTTATAATAAATTCGAACGTCACGCAAAACTAATGTTTACAGGACCTTTGAAGAAAAAGTCTGAAGAAGAACAAGTTTCTTACTTTCTATTATGGATTGGTGATAAAGGGCGAGATATCCACTGCACGTGGAAAGATATTTCTGAAGACGATGCCAAAAAGATCGACACGTTCTACAGAAAATTCAGAACTTATGTGCAACCTAAGCTCAATCCAATATTTGCTAGGTATAAATTCTACAATCAAACGCAGGGAGAAGAAACCATCGATTCGTTCTTGACAAAATTACAAATCTGTGCACGAGACTGCAGTTTTGCAAACACAGACGAAATGATACGGGACCGTATTGTATTTGGCACAAATTCTTCTAAGGTTCGAGAAAAGCTAATCAACGAAGGTGCAGAATTGACCTTAGATAAAGCTGTACAAATCGCTCAAAATATGGAATATTCCAAACAGCAATTGAGTTCAATGGCATCTGCGGCGGACAAGGACGTTCACCACGTGGCGAGGCCTAGAAAACGTTTAGTCCAAAGGCGGGAAAAGCCACAAGACAGTGACGGGAAAGTGACCTGCTCCAGATGCGGGACAACACATCAAGAGGGCAAAACGTGTCCAGCGAAGGGGAAAACGTGCAGAAAATGTGGCAAACTGAATCATTTCCAGAAAATGTGTAAATCACGTAATACTGTGAACAATATAAATTGTGAGTCGGACTTATCGAGTGACGATCAGGATTTCTATGTATGCACGGTAAATGATTTCAATACTTCTCGACCTGATTGCGCAATGGTTAAACTCAAAATTGGCCGAAAGTCCGCCCCTGTAAATTTCAAAATAGATACAGGTTCTCAATGTAACTTGATACCTCAGGAAATGCTCAAGAAACTAGATTTCAAAGGCCCCTTGCTACCCTCTGATGATAGGTTATCTTCCTACACTAAAGACCCTATCCCAGTTTATGGAAAGGTCAATTTACCCTGTAAGTTCAAGGATAAGGAAATCGTTGCATGTTTTCACGTAGTAGGCAGTAAATCTCCAGCATTATTAAGCTTACAGACTTCAATAGATCTGAGATTGATAAAACTGACCTATGCTATAGAAAAACAACCAGTCACGTTAGATAAACAAAAAATCTTGACTGATTACAATGACGTATTTCAAGGCATTGGTTTATTCCCAGGTACATGCAGTTTACATTTAAAACCAAAAGCTATACCTGTAATTTGTCCACCCAGGCGTGTACCTGTAGCTTTACAGGACCGTTTAAAAAATGAGTTGAAGTCTATGGAGGATAAAGGAATTATCCAAAAGGTTACTAGACCGACTGACTGGGTCAATTCATTAGTCTGTGTGGAAAAACCCAGCACTGGAAAGCTGAGGGTGTGCTTAGATCCTAAAGCACTAAATGACAATATCATGAGACCGCACTACCCTATGAGGACTATAGAAGACGTGACAAACCAATTGACAGGTGCTAAGTACTTCAGTGTATTAGACGCAACGAAAGGTTATTGGTCGATAAAATTGACGGACGAATCCTCATATTTGACGACATTTAATAGTCCCTTCGGTAGATACCGATATTTGCGGCTTCCTATGGGTATCAAAAGTTCCCAAGACATATTTTGTCAAAAAATCGACGAATTCTTCGAGGACGTGACGGGCGTGACGTCAATAGTAGACGATCTTCTTGTGTACGGACGGACTATCGAAGAGCACGATGCAAACCTGACACGTGTTTTGGACCGAGCACGTGAAAAGGGTATTAGGTTTAACCCAGACAAATGTGTTATCGGCTCTCAGGAAGTTAAATACTTTGGTCACGTACTGACAGCTGACGGTCTTAAGCCCGATCCCGAAAAAATCAGGGCAATTGTAGAAATGAAAGCCCCAGAAAATAAGTCAGAGTTGGAAACTATTCTTGGCATGATCACGTATCTGTCAAAATTTGATTCAAAATTGGCAGAAATGGTAAGCCCTATGCGTGACTTGTTGAAAAAAGACATTGAGTTTATATGGGACAGTGCGCAAATTGACGCCTTTGAAAAGGTTAAAGTCGCAATGACTAAGGCACCAGTCTTGGCATACTATGACCCGAAAAAGCCTGTCACATTGCAAGTCGACTCGAGTGCACGTGGTTTAGGTTGCACGTGCTTACAGGACGGCAAGCCCATTGCATTTGCATCAAAGACATTGACCCCTACAGAGAGAGGTTATAATAGAAAAAGAGACATTAGCTATACTTCATGGTCTTCGACGTTTCAAGCAATACTGTTACGCAAGACATACTAAAGTTGAATCTGATTGCAAACCTGTAGTTTCAGTTATGAAAAAAGAAATATGTCGGGCGACCCCCAGACTACAACGTCTCTTATTACAGATTCAACAGTTCGACATAGAGGTCGTACATGTTAGCGGGAAAAGCATTCCCGTAGCGGATACATTATCCCGTCATTTTGTCAAGGACACGTATCCAGAATTGTCTGACGGACTTGACGTGCACGTGCACACGGTTATTAATAGTTTACCGGTTAGCGACGGAAAATTACAAGACCTCAGACTTTCCACACAGCACGACAGTCAGTTTCAGACACTGAAACAAACAATTATTGACGGCTGGCCTGAATCTAGGCATGAGTGCCCGAATTCCATATTAGAATTTTGGAATCATCGGGATGAACTCTCGACTGTAAATGATATAATTTTCCGTGGTCAAACATTGGTCATTCCAAGTTCATTGCGAACTGAAATGATTAACGCTGTTCATGTAGGTCATATGGGAGTGACTAAAACGCTGAACAGGGCAAAGGATATTATGTTCTGGCCAGGCATGGTCAAACAGGTCACAGACCACGTGTTAGCATGCCCTTTATGCCTAACACACAGAGCATCAAATGTGAAGGAACCATTAAATCCCCACATTGTGCCCCAAAGACCCTGGCAACATATTGCCGCTGACTTATTTACGCTTGACGGACGTGATTACCTTATAACTGCGGACGTCTACAGTAATTACTTTGAAGTCGATGCATTGCCAGAAACAAAAAGTAAAACTGTTATTAGAAAATTAACAATGCATATGGCTCGCTATGGTCAAGTAGAATCATTGAAAAGCGATAACGGGCCACAGTTTAGCTCAGAAGAATTTCAAAAATTTGCTTCTGACTGGAATTTTAAACATGTAACATCTTCACCTGGATATAGCCAATCCAATGGTTTCATAGAAAAAATGGTCTCAATAGCCAAAAAAATCAAAGAAAAAATGCCACGAGACCAAAACAGACTCATATTTAGCATTTCTGGAATATCGTAACACGCCTTTAAACTGCGGATATTCTCCCGCACAACTATTAATGGGCAGACGGTTAAAATCCATTTTGTCTACAACTAATGAGCAATTGAAACCATCTTTCATTAACCACAAATCTGTAAGAAAATCTCTGCAAGAAAACAAGGTTACGCAAAAGAACTATTATGATAAAAGTTCGAGGTCACTTCCCCCGCTAAACAAAGATGACTCTTGCAGGGTGCAATTTGGGAAAACTTGGAAACCAGCCATAGTTCTAAAAAAGAAGGGGAGAGATCATACAAAGTGCAAACTGAAGATGGCGCTATTTACCGCCGTAATCGCCGCTTCATAAACAAAACGCGGGAAAAGAGTCCTTCCCTAATATCCTCCACCAAGGTCAAGATCCTCATGATATAATCTCAAACAAAGCACCTTTAAATGATACAGGTATTTCCCAGAATATTCAAAATCCTATTAGCCATGAAACAAGGTCAGGCACAGGTTATCAGACGCGCAGTGGTCGAGTAGTAAAACCTAATAAACGTTATAATACCGATGAATGGAGCACTGTTAATTAATCATCCGGAATTGATTGACATTATGATCTAAAGAAAAAGAGAGAGAGAGAGAACAGAAATAAAATAATAGTAAAAAAAAAAATTGTGACTTTATAAGACTATTTAAATTGTTCTCTTCAGTATGTATATGCATTTTTAATCATCATAATTGTTTATTATCATATACAATTTTATTAACATGTGTTGCTTATTTTTTCTTTTAAAAACAGGGAGATGTAGTATCATCGTACATGATGAACTTGAGCTGACCTATGTATAATGCTTGTTTGCGCATGCTCCGTACTTCTAGTAAATCTAAGATCACATGTTAAGGGTTGACAGAATAAATTTATATCTTGTGCAGAACACTTGTCGTGTTTTACTTTACTTCATTGTATCAACGCACTTGGTTTAATTTCTATTAATTATTGTTCATAATAAACGAACATTACAACACCTGGGGTTTAAAAAAATCATGAGGGCAAAGTCCCTGTTATTATGTGGTTACAACTGACTAGTGCGTAACTTGCAAAGACCTCAAATATAATGATTTGTAAATATACCTTTGTCAATAATTTTGCCTTTGGTCTAACTATCTTCTCCGACTTACTCTCATTGCAACCTAAGACAATTGCCGAATCACCAACATGACCAATATATAATTTAGAGTTCTTAATTATACATATACTGGCTGTTGTTCCTGCTGTACTTGGCAATCCACTAGCTGTTCTTGGCCACTTATCTGAAAATCAAGACATTCTATTTTTAGATATCACATGATGTTGATTTTTTTTATCTCTTACATAATCCATTAATTATTGTGTCGTACCCAAAAATTCACAATTACATTATTATCTGTTAAGATAACTGCATTGTAACTATTGATTTTATAATAAACTACGCTTTTATAGATCTTATGAAATATAACAAATTAGGTCAAGCCTCATTTTCGAATTGGAATGAAATCACCAGACGGTTACCAAACGCGCGGGATCATCGCTGTATTTGAAAAGTTAAGGCTTCAAAGCAAAATTTCTGACAAATTTTAAATGTATATTAATTGTATTAAGTGTACTGATGACCAATGGTTTGAGAGTCACTTCAAATTTAGTAGAGAACTTGAGTAAATTTTACACTATCGACATTTTCAGCCAGTTTCAAAAACGTAAAAGTAGGACGAAGTGTCCCGTTCAAGAAGCGTGCTTTGAGACGTACCAACTTCTTTCCACATTCCCAAATGAGTGTCCATGAATGCAGACTTGATGGCGTATAATATATCATCATCATTGTCACTCCAAAAGCAATCATACTTTGTAATTTCATCTAATAAATAGTCACGAGCGTACTTTGAAGCTTCCCCACCACCATGGCCGTCAAATATGCCGAAGTAAGCAAATTCAAACCCTCCTTCATCGTTTTTCACAAATCTAATAGCATGTCTATCTTCCATATAACGGCGTCCACCTTGGTTACTATCCTCTGTAACCCTCAAATTCATGCCAATCCGATAACTCGACATTTTTCTCTCAAGTTATCATCCGCCGCTTTTTACGTTTGGGGAAATTCGCACGAAATACATACAATTTGATTGGTTAATTGAATTTGACCTCGGGTTAAATTTATTTTTAGAATGAGATTCCATATTACAGAGTAAAGATTATTTTAAACGAATTTTTTTAACTTACGTTTCAGGGATGCGTGGCATTTAAAACTTTTCGTTTTGTGTATTTATTGTACTGATTGTATATGAGTCTGTGGGTAAGGGTACAGAAAATATGCCATTTTCAAATAAGATTTATAGTGCTCTTACCGTTCGTATCCATGGATATTACCATCGTATTCATATTTTAAATGTCCGTGCATTACCTAATTCAGGCCCGCATTAGGCCTAAATATTTATAAATTTATTTTCTGGTCTTATTTTCGTAAAAAATCAAATCAAATCAAAATTTATTTATTGTCGGTATACTTATATAACATTTTACAAAACATAAGCTATGTATAGCTTTTGACCGACATACATGCATATAAACATAAAACTCATAAAAGAAGCACATTATGATAAACTTTGAAAGACAAATGGTAAAAGACAAGTTAAATTACTATAATGTGGGATGTAGACACTAAATGTAATAGTTTAAAGTAAAATAATAATAATTAATAAATAGTAATGATATGCTAAGGATAACATTTAATTACTGTATTATAAGTGAATAAAATAATATATATCTAGATAAAAATGCGGAACATATTAGCGCATACATGTACATAAAATAAGATTAAAAGAATGAGTTTTTATATAAACAAGATCATGTAAGTATGTTGGTCCTTGTTTATGAATAATTTTATGAATTTCGAGGGCTATATTGTTCTGATTCGTCTTAATTTTAAATTTGTATAGTTCTTATTTTCGTACAGATCTTATTCATTTATTCTCATGACGTTTCATTTATATTCTTAATTAATGTTTATATATAGATCTCATATGTATATTAATAGGTCTTATTTTCGTATAGATATTTTTTTCATATATAGATATCTTATTTTCGTGTAGATCCTATTATTTTCGTACAGTTTTTATTTTTGTACAGATCTTATTCTTAAAAGGTCTTATTTTCATAATTATCTATTTTATTCTTATACAGATTTTATTTTTGTATGTAGGTTTTATTGTCATATATACATGTAGATTTTTCCCGTATCTGTCTTATTTTCGTACAGTTCTTAAATTATTATGATATAGATCTTAATTATATTGTCACAAAATATAGGTCTTATTTTCATCTTCATGTTCGTCGATCTTATTGTCATTTAGATTTTATTTTCGTATAGCTCTTATTTTCGTAAAGATTTTACTTTTGTATAGATCTTATTTTCGTAAATATCTTATTTTCATAAAGGTTTTGTTTCGTACAGATCTTGATTTCATATAAAATCTTATGCTCATATATAGATCTTATTTTCTGACAGATAATATTTTAAATTAATACCATTTTAATTAATATAAGCCATGGAACATATATGTAAATCTTATTTTCGCAGTCGTCATCTAAAGTTATTTTCCTATGATTCTTTTATATACTATAAATTTGATATATTTACCGCACATGTGTTGTTATCATGTCATTATAGATCATATCATTCTTTCTTATTTTAGTCATACAAATAGTTTAATAACAACATAAATACGTTTTAATACGCTAAATTTAAAACAAATCATATTTTCATAGCCTCGATCTTATATCTTTTCGCGAAAATAGCTTATTTTCAATATCCATACATATGTAATATCTGAATCTGAACATTAAATGGCCATAAGCATTGGCCATTACAAAACCATTTTCAAGATTTCATTACAAAAATCAGTCTTTTGGAGGAACACCACTCTCAAACCCACCCCTTCACAGGTAAGAGGTACAGTTTTCAAAAAGCTATTTTCATTGGTTTTTATATACATGAGCCATCTATTGCTGTCTTTAACGTTTGTCAATATATACTTAATATCGTGATTTCGTAATTTGTATGGAAGTACGCTTTTTTAAGATATGCTAAGACAGGGTCTTTCAAATTGAAAGGAAAATAAAGTATCATTATTTCAACTTGTAAAACACATGCGTGACATTTCTGCAGAATTCATTTCGGAGGCTTAATGTGCCTATATACTCGGGGATGAATTTTATAATGTATACATTAAGTTTATATACATCATGGCCTAGTTAAATTTAAAATTTATAGAGATAAAAGAGTGCAAGAAACTTTGTGAACGCCTATTTATTGTTATTTTTTTATAGAATGTAAGCAAACAGCGTTTTACAAAAATACATTATAATTTAAAAACAAAAAACAAAAAAAAACATAGCAACAAAAAGACACCAAATAAATTGACAATTATATAAGCTTACAAATCGTTTGCGTAAAACATACCTTGTGAGACTTGGGAGAAGCTGTCACCATCCTGTTCTTGAATATTCGTGGAACAGAAGACATATGCTGGGACTAGTATGGCCTTGGGGTAAAATTCCAATGCCTTACGAGTTCTTGGAAAGCAGGAGTTAAGACGATGTATTGAGGATAAACGCGTTCAGAATTTAGTCAGGATTAACATGTACAAGATTGTTCTGTATTTTATAAAGGTATAATTATGTGAGATGGGATTGGAGCCGACGTTTGTTGTTGTTGTTGTTTTCTAAATAGCGAGGACCGCCTAACCATGATTATCTAACATTTGTGTCACACTACTTTGGAAGTCAAAGCTATTACCAATATATCCAGCAGTTTAGTCCGCATTCCACTCCGGAGGTTACGTGTGTTTCTGTCAAGAATGTCATATTATAATTTTTTCATTGTATCTATATATAGTGTCTTAATGAATAACGAGCGTAAACTTTTCGTAGAAATGCTTGCAAACATAAGAAAAGTATTCAGAATAATCCGCTGTTCTAACGTTAACCATAATCTAACTGCAGCGACTCATTGTTAATTTTGGTATACAGTTTTCTTTCATAGATATGTTACTTCTGTACAAGTAAAGAAAAAGAAAATATTTCAATGAATTATTTCATTTTAGATGTGTCATCACAAAATAAACACATTTATCTTCTTATGTTTCATAATGTTCCAGTAGTAGCTACTAGTATTTATTAAAATGGATCAAGTCTTGAAACAACAATCCCACCCCACCCCGTCCAAAAAAAAAGAAAGAAGACGAGAATATTTTGCACTGAATAAGTAGTTGACTTCTACTGATTTATAATATACTCTATAAATCAATTTACTCGAAGTCTTGTAAATTCTTTTTTTCCAAACGGCAATACAGGTACATTTTGTTCATAGGGAATTACGTACGTACATTGTATATAAAACTACAGTTATACTTAATAATCTAAACCTACGAAAAATGCATGTCATCACTGTTCTACATTGAGCCACTAGGGATTCATGCCGTTAAAGGGACTCGACTGAGGTTTTTTTGACATGACCAGACTACAATTTATTCTTTCGAAATGAATGCTCCATTTGATGAAGGTCTAGACCAGTAACTAATTCAGGTTATTCTCTCACTCCGTTTTACCTTATTATTCTTATTGTGAAAAAATGTCCCAAAATTGCAACACTTTTTCACTTAAATCTGACTAAGAATAACACATACACACAATTTCCAATCTATTTCTAAGTATAGTTTTTATTCATTTTTGTATATCTTTTTGTTTTAACTGTCCAAGTTGATATATGCAAGAAATTTAAATTTTATGTTTTAGGCATTTGGATCTCAGTGGAGTTCCTTTAATGTATAGATCACGAAATGCTTGACTTTTTTCTATTTCAATGTAAATATGACCAAGCAGTTTTCGTCTGTGATAAGACATGATATGCATGATTTTTTAAAGATCTTTTAATGTTTTTATTAGTACTGAACGACCTTATTTGCATGTGTTAGTGATATACACTGACGATATACATCTAAAGGTACATACGTTTGTAGCAGAGATGTCCCTTTCATAATGAATAAATATGAGTATAAAAATGTTGTAGTTTCCAAATTTGGAACTGTCACACTCCCACTCTTTTGCCACAATTATGACACCTGAATAATAATCATCATTATACATGAAGTTGTCTTAATTGCTTTGAATTTCGCTATTCAGTCTCAAAATTTACAAGGCCTGGTCAATCAAAGTTCACAATTAACATCTGTGGATCTCTCAACATTCTAAATTATTCAGGTATGCTTAAGACGGTACTGTGAGGGGGCGGGCATGATGGTTGCCTACCCATACCACTGCCGTCAAGAAACAGACACAATCCGAGTCTGCAACAATTTTAATTTTGCCAGGTTGGACTACCAATTTTTTCTCATACCTAGTCAGTCATATTTTTCTTTGTTATTTTACTCTCATTAATAATTCAAAGTTTAAAACAATATTATCCAACAAGCATTTTTCTATGATTCAATCTTCAGGTGTAAATAAACTGCATTTTTTCTTGGGGAAAAAGGCATAACCTGACCATTTCTATCATTTCACTTGTAAACAACTGTAGAATATCAATATCTTGCAGAGAATGACAGGTAATAATCACGAATTTGAAATAAAATGAGATGTTTTGAGTTACCTGGTAATGAAAATGGCCTACAACGGACAGACTCTTTCAGGAGCAGATAACTGAAGGTAGAACCATGAACACCATTTTTGTTCTTCTACAAATTGTTTCATTTTATTTCTTTAATTGCACAAAGTTTAAGAAAATTCTGTTCACTAGTTTAAATTTGCCTTCTTTTCTTATGTAAACTATGAAGAAACTATTATACATGTATATAGCAAACATCATTCAAATGAACTAAAAAAGTGATTGTTACAACTAAGTGACCATAAATATCTAACTCTATAAATACAATTATCATGAGGAAGTCATTCATATGATTAACCACTGTCCTACACATTTTGTTTCTGATTGAATCCGAACCAGTCAATATTTCAAAACTGATTAGATAAAAGCTCCTTTTTAAAGATATTTCATCGTATTAAAGTGGATTGGTAAAAAAATGGGCGCATTAAAAATATTGCCAAACACAATAAAAATGTCTTAAAAATAGTTCTTGAAAAAAGTTATATAGTATGAACATTTATATTAATAATACCAATAATTTGTTTTAGAACAATTTATTCATTTGCTATATATATATAGAGAGAGATAAGAAACATGGGATCATGTATCTCACACTTCTCAACAACATCCATTTATAATTATTTCGTGGTTTGTTGACACGTATGATCAACACATTTTTTCCCTTGTATAAAGGAAGGTCTGTAACCTTCCTTTATGAATCAAGGCACTGTCAAAACGCAAACAAAATCATTTAGATAAGAAAATCTTCTCTACCATTCTGTCTTTGCCTTGTTCATTTTTTCAACCATTCCGTCAATACCTCACTGAAGTATATAAATCGGCCTGTAACTGCTTGTAAAATAATTTCACACATTTCACTATCTGAATACGGATTTTAAAAACATACAATAACTATGATATCACATGCATTTTTTATTATTTATTATCAGTTGAAAGAAATGCAAACACATAAAAGACACAAAAAAAAACACATAAAAAAAAAGACAAACTGATTATGCATAAGATTAGGAAGAGATAGACGTTCATTAAACAGATTTAGAGTATATTGCACTAAAACATATAATACATTACATAAACCAGCTTATAAGCTTGCAAAACAAACTTTTTAAAGGAATTCCAATAATTAGCTGTAATAACAACAACAAAGCACGCCTAGTTACTTTTATGAAAATAATGAGATTGTTAAATCACTGTTCTTTTTTTCAGATGTGCTTACATATTATACTGACTTTTAATCTAAAACTCAGAAAAACTAGTAATAAGGAAAAGATGCTTCTCGTTATGACTTGCTTACTGGAAAAAAAATCCCTTCCCTATCCAAAACAAATAAAAAATCTCTGGTGAATTTGAAGTACAAATATATAATATTTGTTTCCATATATAGAGGATATTGAATGAGTGTAAGTTCAATACTGAATTTATTGCACAAGTTTAATAAAATTATATTATGCGACCCTCTGGCGAGCATAATATTATTTTATTCAACGAGTGCAATAAATTCAGTAATGAACTTACACGAATTTAATATTCTATTTATCACATACCCAAAATAAAGACCGTTTAAAGTGAAATAAGAGTCATTTTTCATTGACGCGCCTTTAGTATGACGCTAATATTTAGCGCGTCTTGACACTATGTTTGTATAACGCTATTGACGTCACGTCAAAATATATGCACGGCCGTGCAATACCATATTTACAGAGTCGCAAAATCGGCACGGGTGTGTGATAAATTCAGTTTCTTCATGACCTTGTATAACACTCCTGATATGATTAAATTTGACTCTCTGTTGTAACTGTAGTTTGTAGATATAAACACTTAACATCTCCCCTGAAACTGCAAGAAATTATCCTTAGCCACCAGTATAGAACCAGGCACTTTTGTGACACTGACCAGGCAAGTGTGCACGTTTGTGCAGTCTGACCACACTCTAAACTTCTAGCTGTTTTAAGGGACTGCCCAGCCAGCATGGACATTTGTGCAGTCTGACCAGGTTCCATACTGTTGACAGCTCGGGTTTTTATATTTTGATAATGAAATCACCTAAAGATTGAATGGACTGGTCCAAATTCAAAGCAGAGCAAATCCATTATACAAATTCAGCAGATTAAGGGTTAAGAAAGGAAATCTTAACAAAACCCTCTCTTATATATAATAATTATACATGAATTTATCATGAAACATTCAGTTTCGATGGACAGCTATGTACGTAATGGTTAATGAACCAACATTTTGGAAGTTAAGTTATAATGTCAATAAGGTATAAACTATAACATTTGATGCTTACAAGCTAGTCAACAAACATTTTGAAAAAGACCTTTTTTTAACAACTATAACATAAATGATATTGATGAAAATATTTATCTATATGTAGTAATGAAATGAAAATTAAATACATATACATATATATTCAGTGTGGACAAACACATGGCATTTGCTGTCTTTTTTTTAAACTATCAACTTATAGTTTTTGCCACAGTTTACATGAGAAAAATGTTAGATATTATTTATTTACTTCGTCAATTTTAATTGAGCATAGTGTATACTACAAAAGCCTCTGTAATCTAATAAAATATCCTTAAGGTTTTTTTGTCCTATTATATAAAAATTAAAATTATTTCCCGTCATTCAAGAAAACTGTGATTTGTTTTGTAATACCTAGTGATATGTCCACACTGAATACTGATAAACAAAAATTATGCCATTTCACTAATACTGATTATTATTTAACAAATTATAAAAGGACAAGTAGACCAAATGATTACAAAGTCACTGTTATAAATATTATAAGTCTAAAAATTTGTAGGTATCCAGAGTTTTTCCCCCTTTTTTGTTTTAAAAAGTCAGAAACATAGTTTTGTAGTCAGAATAATGGACAAACATGTATTTGCAGTAATACTTTGCTAACATGCATAAATATTGAATTTTTGTATCGCATTATTTATATTTCATCTTATTGTTCAATATATTATGAAATTACTAGACAGAGGGAAATGAAAAAAAAAGCAAATAAAATAATAAAAATCTCAAAATAATTTGTCTATATTTAACAGTAAGCAATATGTAATATAATTATAACCCTGATTTCAGTAGACTAGTTTTTTCGTAATTCTAATAACTGTTATCGTAATTTTAATAACTGTTATTGTAGTTTTTATTACTGTTATTGTAATTCTAATAACTGTTATTGTAATTTAATAATGATTACTGTAATTCTAACAACTGTTCTTGTAATTCTAATAACTGTTATTTTTGTAATTTTAGTAATAGTTATTGCAACACTAACTGTTCATGTAATTCTAATAATGATTATTGCAATAATAATACCTGTAATTGTAATTCTAACAATTGTTATTGTAATTCCAATAACTTACTGGTGGGGGAAGACCTCAGATGCTTCTCTGTGCATTATTTCAGGCACATATGGGCACCTGAGTAGACTCACCCACCTTCTGTTAGCTTACTGGATAACTTCTTCACATGAAAGTATATCCAAAGTCTCTGACAGGATTTGAACCACAGCCGTTAGAGGTGTGAAGTCAGTTTTTGACCACCTAGGCACATTAATTTACCTCAAATTACATGCTTTAAATTGACTTATATCATCAAAAAAATAATCCGAAATGACTGAAATATGTAAAAACATATTATTATTTATGGTACTTTTACTGAAATCATAAATGTGTATGTTATTTTAAGTATTGAAATGTCAGAATATGGTCAAAGAATCTAACAATACCAAAAATACTTGTTAATTGAAGTATGTTAGTTAAGTTCATACAGTTATTAAATCATAATTATTTTCTTATTTTCACAATATATAATGCATTTAAAAAAGCTAACATTGAGCTTAAACAAACTATATTTTAATCAAGCATAAAAATGTACACACATGAACTGCAATGTAGTTTTGTATTTGGAAGGTATAAATCTATTGTAGAATAGGATATAAAATTTGTGTTTTTTTTCTTCTAATGCTCTCTTTTAACAAGTGTTAACTTGATATATTAGAAAACATAGGGCTATCAAATGAATTTCAATGTATGTAAAATAATGACTAAAGATTACAGAATACACTTAATGAAAAAAAAAATCTCAATATAAAATTTGCTGGATTTCACCGTATTTACTCAACATCATATAGTAATTTGAACATAATCTTTCAAATACAATGCACACAAAGCTTTCATAAAATCAGCTGCCATAAAAATAATGATTTTTAAAACTACATGTACTATGCTTCTTATAAACTTAAAAGTGGAAGCCAAGCAGCCAACTGTTATTACAAACAAAAATTAAAATGTTCGATACTGTATATACTTAAAGGCCCATTATGCCCCAACAATGCATTTGTTTCACTTCTCTTGGCGAACCATCTTTTGCTTCTGTTGCCTTTTTGGCAATTAGTACAGTTATATTGTTTTAGTATTTTGCATGGAAGTCAAAATACTGCTATGTTTACATTTCGCTTCATTCTATGAAAATAATTTCAGATTCAGCGCTACTTTCTACAGGTGAAAAGCATGGAAAGTGCTCTTAAACCATTATTTAAATGTTACATATTTTCATATCTTCCCTATCTAAAGAATGTAATATTTTTTCATATCTGAGGCATAATGTGCCTTTAAATGTACCGGAAGATTGATAAGTGATTTAATATTTTCAATCACAGTCTACACAACAACTGTTAACTATATTTAAGAAATAACACAGTTGTATAGTGATTGTGCAAAATCAGATTTTGGTCCATTTTTAATGTGCACAAAGTAATTCACAGGAACGGTTGGTGTTTTAATTAAATGTAATATTTTTGTATCTCTGTAAGTGAAGAATGACACATTCACTATTCCCCTCCGTTACACAGCACCTTTGTTATCAACCTCGAAATGTTTGTATATAGATGTGACGTACGTGAACACAGCTTGCCAGTCCGGTCTCTCCATCGCCACCATATCATTGATATTCTGAAATCGGTGGACAAAAATATGTTACACTGTACATCAAAGTAAATCACATACAAATAAAAATATGTCTTTTTTTTTTTAATAGTCTATAACTAGTTAAAAAATATTTTTCTGGTTGCTTAATGATGGAGAAGCCCCTGACAAATCTGAAAATCAATTATCTTTTAGAGTGGCGGCGTGACTGAGTGGTTAATGCGTCGGACTAGTAATCTAAGGATTGCTGACCGCGCGAGTTCAAACACTGTCAGGGGCAGCCCGTTGTTTCCTTGAGCAAGAAACTTTACATTCATTGCTTAGTACTGGTTGGTTCTAGGAACCGATTCGAGTGTTTCAATAAGTTTACAGCTTCCAACAAAATCGAACTAAAATAAATTTGTATAAACTAATTATCTTTAATTAATTAATTGCTAGGTAGGCTAGTAAAGATCACTGAAAGTGATTAGCCTTTTGCCACCAGTATAGAGCCAGGCTAACCTGTGGCCCTGCACATCCATGCAGTCTGACCAGACTTTATTCTGTTTATAACTCAGATTTTGTATTTTGTTACATATGGTCTCGGGGCAAACCCTTACATAAAATCCATCAGTATATGTGGTAATATATAGTTTAAACATTTGGGATTCCATGACTGTAAAACGGATATTTCCACAGGTACATGGATAATCTTACCAAGTTTGAATGGATTCCTACAGATTCTGCTGCATTAAATGCCAGTGTAAAATTTCTTCTCTGAAAGTAAAATATTAATTAAATCTCAATAAAAAATTATCATAATGCAGCTCTGTAAAATTTGTAGCATTCATTTACTAAAAGTTAATGATGAATTCTGCACCAAAATGTAATGCATATATTTGAAGCAAAGCAAATATTTGAAGCACATGCACATGTTACATTATATATTGAATTAAAGTTTCTGAATCTTCAAAATCAAATTAAATCTAGCAAAATAAAAAAGAAAAGAAGTCTTGTGTGCCATGTTATGTAACATTTTGACTTGACACCATTAATTGTTTATAGACAGATGCCTGTCAGTTTCAAGTCACAGCCATACTGTTACAGTCATACAGCAACTTTTCAGCTTTACTGGTAGAGGATGACCTAGGTACTTCATGAATTATTTCAGGCAAAATGGGGACATAAGGAGAATCACTGACTTTCCTGGATAGCTTCCTCACATGAAAGAATACAGAGTTGTTGACAGGAAGTTGAGATAGTAAGAGTGTAACAAACCTTGTCCTCAGAGGTGAGTTCACCATATGGTATTTTATCTGGAAGATAACTGTGTATCAAGGCACAGAATGCTAGTCCATCATTCCAACTGCTACTAAAGTTTGTCACATCTACATTCTGTATAGACAGGATATTCAATAAATTTAGTATTGAATCTAAACAAATATAATATTCTATTTATAACCATACCCAAACTAAGGACTGTTTACTTGAAAAAGAATCACTTTTTCATTGACAAGCATATTCATGTAGTGTAGTTAACATTTAGCACGTCTTTTCGCTATGTTTATATAATTCAAATGAAGCCACATCAAAATACATGTATATCACATATATATATATAATGTTTTCTTCCATTTTATTTATTTTGTAGGTGTTTGAGTTATTAAGGCCATATAGCAACTTTCCAGCTTTACTGGTGATGGAAGATCTCAAATTCACATCTAAGCATTATTTCTGACAAAAAAGAGCACCACAGTAAAGTAATATTGACCTCACATTAAAAATGAATCTAAGACATGGGTGGAACTCGAAAATTTCTAGTTTGAAGTTATATTTGGTCACATAAAATTGTTCCATTTTTCAAATTCTTCAGTAGATCTAATCTATTTAATCAGTATGAATATTTCACTTAATAGTATCCAATAAAATTCAGCGTACCATCAGTGTACTAACTGTGTAAAGATTCAAAAACATGATTTTAACCAACGAAATAGGTTAGTGTTTGATAAGTCAGCATTAATTCCATTAAATCTGTCGAGCAGCTTTGCTGGGCCACACAGATTTAATTTAAAATACTAGTATGCTGAATTACAAACACTAACCTATTATGTAGAAGTTAAAGAAATCATACAAAATGACAAAACTTTCTCATCTCCTGAATAAGTACTATAAACTATATACTCACACTATATGTGATAGTCTTCTGCTGGCACCATTTGAGCAATGCATTACGTTTTGATCCTTTGAAAGACTTGGCGAGGCCCGCTAGAGGGTCCTTACTACTGTTCTCCTTCCGGTCACTTGATCCTGGATCTAGACTACTTAAAGAATATATATAAATGTATTAAACATACATGTACATAAATTTAGCAAAAAGGCATGGAATATTAAATTACTGTATGTATGTAATGCAAAATATTAAAACTCTTACATAATTCACAATACATGTATATCAACATAAACATCATTTTACAATACAATATTGCTGTAAAAACACTGCTGTTTCTATTGATAAAGTTATTTATAAATGGTTGGCAAAAAGTCAAGACATCAAATCATTTTTCAGATGTCATCATGATTCCTATAGAAATTTGATACATGTCTATGATAACATGTTGTAATAATAAAAGAACTAGTAATAACATGCTTTCCTACATGTATATATTTTTTTCATCAGAAATTAAATATCATGGACTAGTTGTTCAGATGGGAAAATACAAGGACACATGTTAGTGCAACATGTTATAAATTGTGTACGTTTCTCTTCTTGTCCAACCTCATCCTAAATTTTAGCAACTGATAATATTTATTATTTCTTTAATGGAATAACTGTGACTTTTAGTTCTTGTTGGCTTTGTTGGTTTTTTTACACCGACTAACAAATTTGTGAACTGCCTGCCTGGATAACTAACCAATGTCCAAGATCAACTTTTAAAGAATTAACAATTTTGAATTACACAATATAATAGTTCTCACTTTATTTCCACACAAAAGGATAGAGATATGCAGATATTCTTTTCAATTACTCGAGAAGTGAGTATCATGTTTCAAACTAATATTTGTTCAATAATCACGTGTCAAGAAAATTTACTTATATCACATGATTTGAAATGTAAAACTTGTCTTCTATTATCAAGGTCAAATGTTATTACAAGGCTAAATGATATTACAAATGTTTAAATCAATAAAACGCTACCAAATTATTTCAGAATTATCTATATAGGTGAAAGATTACAAAATTTGACACCTAAAATAAAGAAGCTATAATGTGAAAATTATTTCATTAAAAGCCTGATACTAAATATGCAGATAAAGTCAGCTTGAGTATTATATAATATGACATTTTTTCTTACTTTACTCCACTGCTACGTCTTGAAGGCGTTCTACTTGACAGAATAGATGTCAGCGAAGGTGGAGTGTCATTTCTAGAGATAGGAGGTGCCGACTTTGGCGACTCGTTAGGGGAACTTGAACCATCGAAAGGTAAGCCGCCAAGCGAGTGCCGATTAAGTGGTGAGGGACGTTCAGATGTTCGTCTCAGGACTGACCGTAATGGAGTTGTGCCATTTTCTGGAGACAATAAGCCTTGATCGCCAACAGGCGATGAAGGGGATTTCATTATTTCTTGAAAGTCTCTTATACCAACTAATGAAGACTCAGAATCAGAATTCCTTCTTGAGCTGCATGAACTGGAATGTATTGATGAGCAACCACTTTTCACTTGCTCCTCAATAGAGCGAATCAAGTTTTTCACAGATAGTGTCTGTTGTGTTTTTTCACCCATCCTTCGACCTTCACGTAAATACGACAGTTCTTTGTCCATTGTACTGATCACTTTACCTTTAAGCTCTGCAGAGGACAAAATGGAGGATTTCTGGGCACCAAGAGTTCCGGATTTTTCTTGAATCTTATAAGCGTCTATTTCACTTTTTAACTTTGCAATCTCTGCTTCTAGGGACTGACATTTTTCTTTATAAGTGGCATTATCAGACTGTAGTTTTTCCATATCACCTTGTGTTTCTGATCTAAAATCATTTGCAATCACTACAGCAACCTGCAAATCTTTCTGAAATTGTTTCCAATCTTCTAATTCAGCTTCATGTTTCAGTTTATTCTCCTGCAATTCAGCCTCAGCCACTTCCTTTAACTGTCTCATTACACTTACCTCCCCTTGAAGTTCTTGTATCTTAGCTGTATAATTTTTTCTCTCCTCAAAGTACTTATCACTGTCTTGTTCCAGTTGGTCTATGTGTTCACGCAAATGTTCTAACTCCTGCTGAAAGTCATATCTATCTTTCTTGACTAGTTCAAGTTTGTACTCCATATCAATAACCTGGGACTTAGCATTGTTTCTATGAACCTTAACCTCTTCTTCTTTCACTATGATTTGATCTTTCAAGTTTGTGACCTCATTCTGACTATGAGCTAATGCATCTTGTACATCTGCCAGTCTCTCCTCAAGTTTATCTTTCTCTTGTCTAGTATTATGCAGTAACTGTTCTAAATCACTTTGATCATTTGCTTTACAGTAAGATTCCAGCTCCTGTACCTTTGTTTTCTCATTGTCTAAAAGAGTTTTAAAATGAGCAACTTCAATTTGTTCATTTGCAAGAGATTCTTTCATTTCCATTAATTGTTTATCTAAGTTTTCCTTCTCGGACTTCAGTGCACTAACCTTGTCCTCAAGGAGTTGAGATTTTTCCCTCACTGTTTCTGTATGGCTCTGATAAACCCTAGCATCACTTTCAGCTGCATGTAGTTTTCTCAGAAACTCTTCTCTCTCATCTTGGGCTCCTTTAAGGAGTTCCAACAAATGCTGATCCCTATCAGACTTGTTTGGAAGCTCCCCACTTATTAATAAACACTTGAGTTGTTCTATTTGTGTACGACAATGCTCAAGTTTTTCAGTTTGTGTACACAGAGATTCTAATAATACTGATCGTTCATCGGCAAGCCTCTCATTTTCTTCGGTCAGTTCATTAACAGCATCTTGTAGATCACCTAGTTCTTGTAGAGTGGCTTGCAACTCTTCATTTGTACTATAGTGAGTTTCTTCCATTTGAAGAATCCTCTCCGTTAGATTGGCCACTGATATATCACTAAGAGCATCGCTACTTTTACTACGCGTGTCCCACTTTCCATGTAAGTCAAGAGAGTGGTCAGGGTTACTACGGCAATAGTCTCCAAAAGACATTCCTGGCTCTGACATTGTAATGGATGGCGAACGTTTCATACCTGAAATTAGCAATGCAGGTTTATATACATTAAATAAAATTTAAAGAATAAACAAAAATAGTAGACATTAAAATTCTAAAACTCTTTTTTCATTTCATTTTGTACTAAACAGTGTAATTTAACCCTTAACCTGCTGGAACCAAGTGATCAGCCTTTGCCACCAGTATAGAACCAGGCCAGCCTGCATATCTGTGCAGTCTGACCAGGCTCTATACTGTTGGTAGCTCATTTTTTGTATTTTGATATTGAAATCCCTTGAACTTTGAATGGACTGTTCCAAATTCAAAGCTGGACAGATTCATTACAGAAATATAGCAGGTCAAGGGTTATATTAAGTCTGCTTCTTATAACAACTGCATTTATAATGTACTTTTGTTAACTGTTGAACAATCATTGTAATCCAGGTTAATCTATAATTGTAATGACTATAAATAAAGTGATTATATTGAATATAGAGGATAAGTCTGCATATCCATACAGCAACTATTCATACAAAGATAGGGTGTATACTTTTTTTTTAATATAGGCAGTCTTATTCAATGATTTCTTTCATTATATATGACATTTCTTATATAACTATATTTGACTTTTCATTACTTGATTAATGCAATATATGTAGAGATTTCTGAAGGATTCAAGGAGTGAAAACATTTTTGTTATAAAATTTTTAGATTTGGTTGGGATTTTAATCAAACCAACACTTTAATGTTTAGGCAATACATCGAACAATTCAGGTGCCACTTCTAGCACTGATTAATGCACAAGTGGGTACTTATAGAAGAATCATCGACTTTCCTTAACCAATGAAGACAGCTGCCTCATGTGAAAGAATCCAAAGTTGCCATCAAGATTTAGACCCACAGCAGAAAGGGTTAAGTTATTCAAAGTCTACAACATTAACCACCCAGTCACAGAGGTCCCTTCTAGTGTAACATTAACATTATTTAGGCAGGGCTGCAGATAACTGTGTACTTCTATATAGATGTTGTTTAAAGTAAAGTTTACGGATGGCGGGACACCGGAGAGCGATCACAAAAGCTCACCATGTCACTTTGTGACAGGTGAGCTAAAAACCCAATAGATCACAAAAAACAATGGGTTATTACTCAATATACACAAAATGTTATCTGTAGCCCTGTTTAGGTCAACTGCCAACATTCACCCTTACCCTGCTGTATTTATACAACTGACTTAACTGACAAAGCACCTCATATAGTTCATCATAATCTTAAGAGGTTTTAATATCAAAAAGATTAGATCAAAATAAAACTGAATTTACAACAGTGAGAAATTACTTTTTAATATTTATAATTTTTTTCAGGGTTTTCATTATTGCTTGTTTGTCTGGGTTTTACGTCACACTGACACATTAAAGGTCATTTGGCGACGTTCCAGCTTTACTGGTGGAGGAAGACCTCAGGTGCCCTTCCGTGTATTATTTCAGGCACGAACGGGCACCTGAGTAGAACCACCGACGTTCCGTAAGGTTTTCATTACTAACAGATTGATGATCCATTTTATTGTTAATGGTAAAATGCTTTTAAAATCAGTCGTATTTTCTGTCTGTAGATTAAAATATGCCCCTTGGCCAAATGGAATGTTTTAATTGGCACATCTGTTGCCTTAAGATGAAAATGAAAACCTTGTTGATTTTTTCTAAAACATACCATCCCTGTATTTTAATATACGCGAACAAACATCCATATTAATGACACCATTCAGCTAAGAAAAATTGCTTATTAAATGTTTCACTCACCAGCTCCTATCACCATGGGCATCATAGAGATAGGATGGCCATCAGTTGACAAACTATCACAACTCACACTTGTCGGTATCATGTACTCAGCCTCTTTCTGATTCTTTTTCAAACTCAGTTTCTCAGCATCTGTTATTTGAGACTCTATCGGAACTCCGAGTTTAATCAACTGTTCTTTAAATACTGCATTTTGTGTCCTTAGAATTTCCACTTCCTCTTCTAACTCTTGACTAGGTGTTTGTTCTTTTAATTTTTTAATCTCATATTTGTATTTTTCAATGTCCATTTTTCTACTTTCCGCTACCTGAATCAGTTCTGATATTTTTGCCTCCTGATTTTTCTTATCCTTTTCAAAGTTTGCTAAGAGTTCAGCATTATATGCCATCACATCCGGAGTTGCGGACGTTCGTTTTTTCACGGCTTTTTCTTTACTGACATTCTGTGTGCTATGAGCACGTTTCATATTGTTTGTTTTGCTAGAGTTACCTCCCTGATTTTTAGATGTATGGCCCGTCCCCATTTTATCAATCTGTTGCTGACTAGAAGCTTTCCTCATTGGAGTACTTGTCATACTTGGCTTTAACGGCTTGGGTTTTAAAAATCCATCCTTATCTTTAACTTGTACATTTTCTTTATTACTGGCACTTTTCTTTTTTGTTTCTGGTAATCCCAAACTTGACTTTGGTCTCGTCTGTAATGCGGCTAGTTTTTGTTTTTGATGTGAAGTTAAGTTTTCATGACTTTTGCTCAGGTAGTTTTTATTTAAAGGTGAGGCAGAGCCTGGTTTTCCACATGGAGAGTTCAATGGTTTTCCTGCTAGAGCTTGTTTCTTAGTAGGCGTGGTAAAAACAGAGTTGTCTGACTTGGATTCCTTCATGTTGCCAGGTGACGCTGCTACTTTGCTGCCAGAGGGAGGCTTAGTACGTGCTGGGGTACCATCTTTCTTGGAGGAAGAACTCATGCTGTCGGCATCTGACCGTAACCGTAGAAACTGAAAATAGATGATAAAGAAATACTATTAACATAATTATAATAATTATCAAATTTCAAAGTTATCAAGTTATTAATTCTACAATACTATGTGTAGTTAAAATAAAAACAAGTAGCTATAACTTTAGTTCTAGCAAGAAACCAAATGTCTCCTGGGTGTGAGGTTACAAAGAAATTGTCTCAGCTTTTATTTAGATCACACATAGTTGATTGGTCAGAGACATGCACAGAACATGCACTGCTCTCTGAAAAATCTGATGATTTGTCACAGAGCTCAGAAAAAAGTTTTATAACTTTGAGACCAGGTGCTAAATATCAGTAATTTTTCTTACAAACAAAATAATAACAAAAACACAATTTTGTAATCCATATCATTACACTGAATAAGAATTATTTTGCTGCCAAAATTTTCAGTCAAATATCCTGACCACCATTGTTGATTCCTTCAAACCAAACCCATATCAGGTCATAAATATGTCACAATGATATGCTAAACTTAAACTTTTAAAACAATCTCCTTCAAAACACTTATAATAAAATTATATCCATTGCACAAAACTATGCTATTTTTTTTAAAAGAAAAATGTACAATATTTGTGAATGAAACAGGAATTTAGAATTTAAACTGATGTAACAATGTCAAACAGAAATACAAAAGATGTTTAACGTTAACATTACTATTCTTTTGAACATATCTTATTTTCATTATACAATACACTGCAACTCTTATCAATTTTCAAATCATGTAAATGACATACTTGTTTGTTGAAACATTGAAAGAAAAGATTTTATCATTGATTATATACAAAATGGTGAAATATGGAAAACTGCCATGATAAGTTTTAGCGCGTTTTAATCTATCTATAGTCTGATTTTATTGACCTGTCAATTATGCATACATTACAGGACTCATTTAAATATTCGATCCCACTTCGGTTTGGTCCGTGTTATTTACGAGAATTAATGTGGAGTATATTTGTCATGGATTGAAAGTCACGCCAGCTTAATGTGAAGGTTTTCGTTAATTCACAATAGTACAGTCGGTTAAGAGAATGCCTGATAATTCAGAGGTCTGTGGTTCGATCCTTGCTGTTGCCATTGTTTTAGTACTTTTTCTTTATTTTTGCCGTATATTTTAATGGAACAGTTTGTAGTGTGTTTTACAGTATTGAAAAGACATTTATTGATTTAAATCCGTTTTAATTTTAAACATGAATTCTTAAAACATGTTATTTAAAAAGAATATAGATATAACAAAATTAAGTAAAACATAATAAAACAAAACGAACAACATAAAATAATCATATATAGCTCCAATATTGTTGAAAGTATTAATAAGAAAATAAAAACATAGACCTACGCGGTCTCGAACTTAAAACACGTGTGGCACTTAGAGTATAAACTCGTGCTTTACCCTATTGCGCTAATAACGCTGAGTACACTTTGTCGAGAGATACAAATTAAATTAAATTCCATCGTACAGCGTACATCTCACGGAACTTACCGAAAATCTACCGAAGATTAATATACTGTGTGCATCGACCGTGTAATCAGTATGTAATTGACAGGTTAATAAAACCAAACAATAACACTTCATTATATAATCATGTCATTCCCTTTACCAGGTGTGATAAATAACATGATTTTAAACAGTTTATATCACATTGAATTTTACTTTTAACCTTTCACCTGCTGGAATTACTTGAATAGACTTGTCAAACATTCATTTTGAAACAGCACATTAACAATTTAAAGGTTGAGGTGGCCTAGTATGCTTGCCCATAATGATATTTGTTTTAGTGGTCAAGGTAAACAAACCTGAATGCACATACACACACTCGCACAGACACAGGTGGGTCAATGTATAAGAAGTCTCCCCATCAATCCAGGGACAGTGGGCTCAAACCCTAATAGAGTCAAAACCATTTTTCCTCATTTAACACCAAAAGACACCAGTACAGGGCTTACTCTAAAAACAGTGTTCATCAGGGCTTACTCTAAAAACAGTGTTCAAAAAGGCTAAATTTAGCTATTTTCACAATCACAAATTTAAATAATGTTGAAACTTATTTCCTAGATATCACCAAAAATATTTTTTAGTCAGACAGTAAATAGACCCTTGTTTAAAAGTGGATATTAAAAGGGTTAATCAAAGTCACTAACAAATTCAAAATGAGGAGTGCACATTGTTATTATAGACAAATTTAGCAATCTGGATACAGGTGTTTGTTTTTTACTAACCATTCCTTATAGACTTATCTTTGAGAAGGAAATCTCCATTTCTGACCTAGTACAATTCAAATCTCTGTAAGGTTCATCAACCATATTTTTTATTATAAGATAAAAATAATGTAGCTTAAAGGAGCAAACCGCAAATTTCATGCTTATGCGTAAAATTATAGCACACAAAAAATAGATCTATACAAAAATCACCTATAAACTGTTAGTTACAAAATTATGCAAATAAATGGTCATACAAATATTTACACATATCTTACACTCTCCACTGTATATGCTATTATTCTTTCCTTACATTTGATTTTTTTTAAAAATAAATTTTGTGAACTGATGAGGAAGTCCCTGTACCTTCAAACTATTTTCATTAAGTTTTTTGGCAGATATTTATTTCAAAATTCACTATATAAAATATCAATATTATTGATATTGAATATTCTTTAAATCAACTGTGTATTTTTAGTATGAAACCACAAAGTCACAGGTCAAACATCTTGCAGACCTCACTTACAGTAATAGGGCTCATATTTCTTTACAAGGCCTTGATCGTTTACACAAGTATGTTTTTCAATTGCTCTATATCTGTAGTTTTTTTAATTCCCAGGCTATCAAATAAAACTAAATGAATTGAGAAGAATAACCACTGCAGGGTTTATCTATTGATTTAATCATTGATCGAAAAGTCTTGATCACCCTAATATATATAGGTATAAATTACCTAATACGAGTCCCCAGGTGTCTTTATAAAATAATTAATCACTGCCCACCTCTTGTAAGAGTACTACCTGTCAGGATTCTTTACTATATTACATCTAGATCGGCTTAATGTTTTACTAATCAATAAACAAAATCAACCAAAGGGGGCCTTAAGGGTGAAAAAGGTCTAGACATGTACTTGAAGTACACTTTGGTCAGAACCTTTAGGTTAGATTATGAACCTTTGGTTTATTTTGAAATCCTTTGGTTCAAATATTGTGAACATTTGGTTTAGTTTGTGAGAAGATTGATATCTCATTCATTTTGTCATAATTCAGTAATAAGAAGGTCTTGGTTGAGCAAAAAACAAACAAACAAAAACTGAAAACCATTAATTAAACTTCAATACTGTACCTTTATCAAAGTTCACAAATTTAGTCAACAATAAGATAATAAAATTCACATATTATGGATTTTTTAGGTAACAGTTAAATGTCAATATTAGGATGTTATGTAATATTCAAGTGGATAATATGGTTCTTATTTTATCTATAAGTGATTTCATGTTTAAAATTTATTCAAATTGTTTGAAAATTACTATTTCTGACATTTACTGGCATTATCAAACATATTAAGGAGATGCTATTATCTAAAGTCATAATAAAATTTTTAGGGAACAAAAACCTTCTTTACTATCATATATGGAATGAATTTTTCTTCTTCTAAAGTTGTAGTTTTTAATAATTTGTTAACCCTCATCTTGTTGAATTTGTGTATCATGCTTTGATTTCAGACCTGTCCATTTGAAGTGCATGGTACTTTAATATTAAAGGGTATAGAACTTTAAATTTTGTTTGTTTGTTGTTTCATTTCACGCCTTTTCCCAGCAGTATTTCAGTCATATAGGCGGGTAGTTTCCTATCCATCGTTCCTGGAGAGTTACACCAGTACTAGACTACCTTCCTCTGCAGAACTTTAAATAATATCTTATGAAATATTTCTTTATAAAATTTAAAAACGGTAAAATTATTTTCTTTCCATAATCTTATGGTACTGTATATTCTGGAAAGAGTTTTTCAAAAGAATGTCTCTGTTATTAAGCACATATGAATATTGTACATAATATAAACAGAATTAAATGTTCCAGCTAGAACAATAATTATCCTGATATTAATTCTATGTAGGATTTATACCACTTAGCATGCAATGACTTTGTGAATGTTCCATTGGCTCTTATTGAAAACTTATTTCTTTCATGCTGGTGTACTTTGGAAACAACAAAATTTTGTAAACAATAGACAGCAAATATATAGCTTCATACACTTAAAGATATAAAAATTTAGCTTCCACAATTATAGAACAAGGGCTTTACTGGTGGGCAAAGGCTAAACACTTAAGTTATAGCATGAGTTGTTAAGATTTTTTTTGTCAACCACAGACATAAGTGTTGGAATGCACACAACATCATCCCTTCTGGTTATACATGTAGTAAGAACAGCTTCAAAATGTTAACCTCTAATATGAATCAAAATTAATTTGAACAAAAGAAGAAAAAGGCATGCTTTTTATTAATGCGTAGCACATAAATGCACCCATTTCTGTAACCAAACCAACCCTTAATGTAGACACTTAACTGTTAATTATATTTCACAGCTTTATGTAAACATATTTTATATGATACACAAATTTATAGGAATTTTAAGTAATATTTTTTAATTGGTAGATTGTTAAAGGCTTTCTTGTATCACAATGAAATGTTTTTTGTTGTTGTTTTTTTTCAATAAATATTGGTGCAATATTTTACAATGCAGTGTCGGCTCATACGCAGCATGATTTACATTTATTTCTTCAATATCTGATCAAAATATAGGATCATGTCCCCATCGTATCAAGCACTGCAACCTATTTTTTATATTTCCAGACACATTTATTTTCTATAGTGTGTATCACAATATATATCACAATACAGATTAAACTTTATCGTTGCGCCCCTTGTGGTAAATCAAACAACTTATTTAGTTAAATAAAACTTTCTTAAATTCAATTGCTATGTATATGCTGAAATATTTACTTTATCAGACTTTAACTCACAAAGTAGGTTAACTTAATTGAAGATATTTATTCTAAATTGAATACTGCATGTTGTAAAAACCTATCATAAAAAATATTATCTGAAAAATCAATCCCCTTCAAAGATAAAAATAAATATTTATAACCAAGTTCCTACCTGTCAAAATAAATTCCATTATGTACTGTAAACATATATAAAATATATAAACTGTCCACTATCCTTTGAAAAAAATAAAAAAATGTCAATGTAACAAATTATGTTTAATTTCTCTTCTTTCTGATAAACTTGGCCTGTTTTTATTTCTGGAGGATATTTGGTGTCCAGTCACCTGTCAATGTTTTTAAACACACTATAAAATCACAAAATTTAAGGACGCTTCTATATATGGTCACTTAAAGCAAATCGCCCCTCATTAAACTGCCACTCTCCCCTTACACTAACAGTTTACAACGATTCATCCATAAATTTGATAAAATCATTGATCACATATTCCGACACTAATGATCTCCGTTTATTTTAATGTGGTCACTCAACGTCCATCCTTTAACAGACCGCCTGTTGGGCACACAGTATCTCACTCTCAATTAAACTCTTGATAAAATATTTTTTCCTCAATACAAAATACAGTCTGGGACATATACCTGTCCTTTAAAAATCTCGTTAAGAACACCTATAAAGTAATATTATATACTTATTATTCTTTAATGCATAACCATTGTGTGTTTAAGGTAAACTTACAAATCGGTAAACTAACATAAAATGTTCTAATTACTATATTTTAGATAATCGCATTCAAGTATACTATTCAGACCGTGAAGTCAAGCCACTGATTATTGCCCCTTATATATTATAATATTGAATTTTGTGACAGCCACAACAATAGATCCTTATCATATTTTAACAGTTGGGACTTGAGGTCTTGCCTTATTTGCTCAGGGGAATAATTTATTCTTTTTAAGTTGTTGAATAGTAAAAAGATTCATCACTTTACAAGGTATAAAATAGTCTGTTTTATTGATATCATTTTTCTCAACTATGTATATATTGTGATACTTCAAAAGAATTTTCAATGGGATTTCTTACTGTTTATATTGTTATTAAAGCAGCTGCCCTTCAGATATCGGTACAGGCTAATTTCTATGAATCTGGAGGTATGCAGCTTTAACTAATTTTAAATTCAAGGGTGACATTGTCACAATATACGTCCATCACAAAAGCTTTAGGTGGAGATTTGGGTGTAAAGATGTGTGACAAGCAAGTTGGTCCCTAAACAGATTTTTGTATTTTTATCTGAAAGTTTACCTTGACCTTGGTTACAATAACCTGAATTTTATGCCCCACACTTGGCCTCACAATGATGAAAATTTGTGACGAGCTATATTAAAATCCCTCAATGTATGTTGCTCTGAACAAGCATTTTTCAAAGAGTTGTAAGTGTGATCTAGACCTTTGACCTAGCACCTGGTTCATGGACAGGGCACTTCCTTTCATGGAGGTGAACAATGCTATAATGTACATTCAAATTCCTCCATGCATGTAGGAGACATGCTCTGGACAACATCTGGATGGCCTTGACCTTGCAAATATTAACTCTAATATACTAAATTACATGTGTCACTCCTTAGGTAATGATAGTCAATCTATCAATAAATGATGACTAAATGGTCCCCATACACTTCATATTTTTATCTGAACTTTGACCTCTATGTGTGACCTTGACCTTGGCTGCAGGGACCTGAAGTATGCAACACTCAGCCTAACAATCATGAATGTAGACTAGGACAAGCATTCTTTAATGAGCCCTACATGTGACCTTTGACCTAGAGACCTTTAAAGTTCATGTGCGCAACACGGTTTCTCATACTGGGGAACATTTCTATGAAGTTTCATTAAAATCCCACCATGTGTGTAGGAGATATTCTTCTTACAAAATTAATAATTGAACACTGCCTGTCCACCAGGGGTGTTCCCATAATGTCCTGTTTATATTAAACGGGTGTATAAAAAGTTAATCATCAGTAAAATTACAATAACCATCATTAGTATTTAAAGGAAGGTAAAGTAATCACAGTTTTAACAAAAAAAATCTCTTTATATAATACGTTAACCTTAATATGAATTCATCCTATAGATGAGAAAACTTCTAATCCCTTTCTACATATACATCTCAGACTCTGTTTTCAAACTGTGACACCAGGCCTGAATAACATGAAATGTTTTCTCGACCCTCTCTCTACCTTACAACTTATATAAATTATAACTCCCACTTGTAACATGTGTTTATGGTACTCATCCTTGACAAGTAGTAATCTTTAAATAACATGCTACAAAAACAGCAGTAGTTCTTGAAAACAAGATTATCCACTCCTGATTGTTTTACCAGTTTCATTGGTAGTTGAATGCTTCACATTTTTTACAATTTCATTATCATATACTTTCATTATTACATACATATAATTATTGTTTTTATCTTGTCTTTATCATTCTCTTTTTAATATATAAGCACATGTTGAGCTGAACATAAATACAGGACAATTCCACTATGACAAGCTGGGGGAAGGATCCAAAATTTGTCTTAAAATGTTGGGCATGAACTAAATACACATTTTCAGAAAGACACCTGCAGCATTAGATTTTATGCTGTGTTTAGTGGAGTTTATTTTTGTGTGCCAGCTAAATTGCAGATAAAAATCTTAAGAGGAATGAGCTAAACTTACTGATTATAAATTATGGGTATAAGATAAAACTGAGCCGCGTCATGACAAAACCAACATAATGGGTTTGCGACCAGCATGGATCCAGACCATCCTGCGCAGCCTGCTGTTTGCTTACAAACCCTATTACAAGTAGAGAAACTGATAGCGAACAGCATGGAACCTGATCAGACTGCGCGGATGCGCAGGCTTGTCTGGATCCATGCTGGTCACAAATGCACTATGTTGGTTTTGTCATGACGCGGCTCATAACTAATAGTGACATGCTAGGTGTATGAGATAAAATGCTGCATAACATGCTGTGCTACCAGTGTTACACACTTATCACATGCTGCACGTATGAGCAAAGTTCAACAGCTATGTTCTGGCATGTGACATGACAAAAATCACCTTTGGCATAACACATTTTGACACCTCGTCTTATAAACCGATAAAATAAATCAGTTTTAATACATCATTTATGAAGGACATATCATTATATATATCTAGCCAGAGTGACTGATTGTAAAATTTTAATATTCGTGAAAATGCAACCGTAAGCAAAAATTACATATTTTCTCAAGCCTTGAATTATATTTTCGAAACTATATTTTAAACCATGCAGGCAGTTCATCTTTAATGTGAGTATATGTCCTTGTACATTATACATATATTGAAATAACAGGTTTTCTCACATAACACATTATAATAACTTACCTTTCTAAGTTTGAATGGCATCTTGCACAATTTTTATCAAATTTCAATTATATCCGAAAGAAAACACAAAAATGTAAAAACGAAAATTGAACCAATCCTTGTAGCATCACTGATGAGCTATAGTGTCGTATAGAAAACATCAATATTATTGCCTGTATATCAGACATTGTTGCATGTCTGTTGAATTACTTTTGATTCTCATCCAAATCAACAAAAGTACACAAACAAATAATTAAATATGTCTGTATATATTGTGTTTATAGCAGAATAGATATTGATAACAACAATCTAAATGTCATAAACTGCGATTTAGCAGCCAGATATTATGTTCAAATCTTACTTATTCCATATGGTTTCTTTTCTAATGCCAGTATTTTTTCTATGTACTAAGTTTATTTCTTGAAAATAACACACGTATTAAAGTATCCATGTTGAAGTTTCACAATTTCTATTGCTTAATTCACAACGTGTTAATATCGTTATTTTAATCAATTGATACAATCAACATTTTTCACTTCACAAAAGAAAAAAAAACACCCTCAAATACACACATACACAAAAAGTTTCAAATCTCTATCCTTATTCTTAAATAATATTTTGACATAAACTTAAGCCACGTACCTTAAAGTTCAAACAAAACTACGAAACTATTCTGGTTTATGTAATCAATCTCAAATCAAAATATTTTTATAATGGTTAAAAAAAACAACACTGTTACATCGTTATGTGTCAAACTATTCTATACAATCACAGTCCGGACAGCTCGTGTCTATACTTCACTGAAAACATATTAATCACAGTAAGATTTTTGTCAAATCTTGTACATTTTTTACCATTTGTTATCTACAACCCAACATAAATCACTTTTAACAAACACAACTGTGACTTTTCTTCTCTCTCTTATTTCCCACATATTTTTATTCATCAATCTTACTCAATAGATTTATTCATACATTTATTTAACTTGCTAAACACCTTAAACGAGTTTTCAAGGATAGAGACTAAAACATTGCCTCGAGAATTTATCATTTTACAATGGCTCTTCAGAATGATAAAGATTATTATGTTGTCAAATATATTTGAACAATCCTTTTTTTGTCAAATTTGATGTCTTTATCATTATGTAAATTAAAGCATATTTCTCATCAAATTGTCCAGTACATCTACATCTTTAACATGTCAAAATTAGAGCAATTTTCACTCACATGTTTTTTGGTTTTTTTTTTTTGAAAGGACTAATATAAGTTATATAATGTTTAAATAATGTTTTTAGAGCATGTTAGATGCTTGTTTACTGGGAAAAAGTAGAGCTTAATATAAAATTATTTGTCACTAAAGAAGCAAAATATAAACAAAATACTATTTTGACTTCCATACAAAATACTAAATCCCCATACCTATCCCAACTGCCAAAAAAGGTAATTGACCAACTTTTAAAAAAAATAATAAAAGCACACCATTTGTGACCAAAATTAAAGGATACAGGCATTTTAGATGCATAATGGGCCTTTAAAAATTAAGCAATATTCAATCCAAGCAATTAAAATTAATTATAGTTAAAACTGTGAAGTTTAGGACTGAAATAAATAATTTCTAGTTAATCTTTTCTATATTGCACCTTTGATAAAGAAGCTTTAAGAGAAAAATAAACAAGACAAAATAATGCTCAGCTGATCGCACCAATTGACATTTAACTGAATATCTTCAAACTTAAAATGCTACAAGGAAATTGCTGTTGTTTTGCAAATGAAATTACTGGTGTTTTGTGAATATTCTGAAAGGCTGGACAAAAATAAATGTTAACTTTTGAAAAAAAAACTGTCAAAATTTACAATAGTCTAAATGACAGTATATTTGTATCAATCGTGAGTATTAAATGATTATTTTGATGATATAATAATTAGCCCTTTCTTTTAAAAGTTTTCTCCCATCTATGTTTTCATGAAGTGCAAATACTTAGCAAAAGTTAAAGGAGAAGTAAAGTTTCCATAATGTATGGACTGAGAAATAAAGCAAGCTCTTAAAAACTTTTATTACAATCATTCTTTATGGCCTCAGTTTACAGAATCTACTACACAATTCCCCTCATTACACTATTAGTAAAACTTCTACATAACTACAATTCCTCAGCAGACTTCCTATACAACTCTTTTATACAAAAGTCTTAAATCAAACACCTTGACTAACCTTATAAAACCCTCCTTTTCACACATTAGTACAAGGATTTCATAAGACACTCCTAAACAAGGCTCTTTAATAACCCTCCTTTACATGTACAAGCAGCTACAGCTTCATGCACAAGCCTCCTATACAACCCTCTTATACAACCTTCATTTATATCCCTCTTATACCACCTTCCTAGTATATAAGACTTTTTAACAAGCCTCTTATAAAACCCTTCTTTACAAGCCTCCTATATAACCTTCATTTGTATCCCTCTTATACAACCCTCCTTGTATATAAGGTTCTTAAACAAGCCTCTTATACAAACATTCTGTACAAGCCTCTCATAGAACTCTTCTATACCAGGGAATTCCCCAGGAATTTTTTTAAGAGCTACATTTTTTTAATAAGACGGGGGTGGGTGCGGGAGGGGGTCTTGACCCCCATACCGCGTGTCGAAAATTTTTGCCATTTAAGGTGTCAAGATACTGCTGTGGGCTGTTTTAAAACAAATAATGAAAGCTTTTCACTTGATAAACATTTTCTTAATTTTTATTATTTACTTTTTCCATTTCCAACAATTCAAATAAATTAACAGTTATATATAAACACAAGTTCACAACATGTGATCAACATTGATATGTATGTGTGTGTCCCATTTAAATGAGTATATTTCAGTTGTTTTTTCTTCATTAACATCATTAAAAGTGGGCCTGTCTTCTAGGTTTGTTGTCATTCCATGCCTTGACTGCCTTCTCAAAGTTGAAAGATTCTAATGGGGGTCCTTAAAGGGAGACGGCAAGAAGATAGTTTAGAACTTTAAGAGAGACAATTCCTGTTTTCAGTCTTAACTCTCTTCAGGCAGCTGAATCTCGCTCAAAATCTGAAATTAATACATAAAAGTAATCATTTATGTTAACCTCATGTCTTTGTTTGATTTGAAAATTTAAAACTTCCAGCCTGTTTAAACTTAACTAAGAAAAAAAATTATATTTGAAATGTTGAAAAACTTCTAGCAAAGTGTTACACATCTGCAACTGTCATTGGAATTTCATTAATGTTCAAGAATGAATGAATTTAATAATGCTTACCTGCAGTAGAGGTTGGGAGGAGGATACCTACAGCAGCAATTCTGTAAAGAGCTGGATGACTGGTAGAAAGGTTGCCAGTAATCCAGGTCATGGTCTGGTCGGCTGACTGATCAGTCCCCTCTAGACTGGCGCGTACCTGGTGCCAGTGGCTGCGGCACTGCTCCATATCTACACCAAAGTGCCTGGCCAGCTCCTGTATGTCCTGACAAACCAATGCTAAGGGGTAGGACAGTAGATTGCACTTCACAAAGCTGTCCATGAACAGGCTCGATTAAAGAGGGCCTGCAAAGTTAATATTTTTTTCATTTTGGGGATTCACTGAACAGAAACAGATTACAAGACATTTTTAATTAAAAAAGAAAATGACCAATTGGCTGTCACTAAGTGGGATTGTTGATGTAAAGTTTTTGTTGTTGTTTTCACTCATTTGCAAGTTGATAATGAACAGTCGTAAATGTTTTCAATGTTAAGGTAGCCATCAACCAAATTTATTTCTGAATATCTATGCAGTTTAATCAAAGATTAAAAAAAGAAAAAAAAAGCGAAATGATCCTGAGACAGTTTCAACGACATTGCTCACAAAAAAAAACTCTTAAAATTGATAGTGAACTTGGCTTCCCTTATTCATGTTAGACATATTATTTTTTGAAATCTTAATACTATTACTACAGTACTGCTTAGACATAACGATCATAGGAAAGTGATAGATGAAATTGAACATTACACTTACATCAAGACAATTAACCCATTCATCCCAAAATATCAAACTGTTATATCGCATGTCAATTAATGCCAATTATATTATCAAAGCAATAAAAGTTATTACACCTACCTGAAACATGTAAATATCACACATGCCGCGGTTAAATTGCACCCATCTCAATACACGGTAATTGACAACACCTGAAAGTGCACCAACAGTCGTCTGCAGACATCGATGACAGGTGTCTGTGACGTCACACAGTCTAAAGGCAATCAGTGTATCGGGTTGTGTATACGCCTCGGGTAATTATCTACACAGGACATGTATATTGGCTTGTTTATTTGGCTAATTGGGGTTAACTTATAGACACAACAAAAAGGGATATCGGTCATTTTTTAAAGCGCTATGATAATTTTAAGCGCATCGGGATTTCTTGTTCTGAAATTTTAGCGCATCGGTGCCGATGCGCTAAAAGCGCCTGGGGAATTCCCTGTATACAAGCATCTTATACAAGCCTTCTATACATGTACAAACCTCTTATACAACCCTTCTGTACAAGCCTCTTGTAAAACCCTCATGTACAAGCCCATTGTAGAACCCACATGTACCAGCCTCTTATAGAACCCTCCTGTACAACCCCACTAATTGGACTGCAATGCTAGCTTGTGTCACATCACACATCAGTACCCCTTTAACTACTTCAACATGATATTTTAAGTAGAAATTTCCTATCAAATATCACAACACGACAATAGCTGGTTTACTTCTCACTATCATCATAATAGTACTTAACAATATTTCTATAACTTCTCAACCCTGAAACAGGAGCACTTCAATGTATACTTCAATTTCGAGGACACAAACCTAAGTTTACGTTCAACTGGGAATAAATTTATTGTGGTCAAATCGGTTAAGTGTTCATGACCTTTTCCTTTATATCAAAAATAGTTCATATTAATTCAACCACAGCCTGTCTATTTATTAACTGTCCTTTATTATTTACACACAAATATAGAATGGGAAGAAAACCTATGCTTTACAACAGAATTAAGTCGAAGCATCAAGATTAGTCTCCCCTGAGTTTAAACATTTACAGTGAAGGAAGTGTGAAATCTCATTTTCACTCTTTGGACTTTACAGCAATACTGTTGTCATACAAGGAAACATGACTGTGATTGCAGTGGGCTTGAGACCACGCTCCCTAGGTTAAACAATAAGCAAACCGCAACTATTATGTGACTTCTCACCTAGTCTCCCTTTCAAACAATTAGTTAAATATTTATCTTTTTCCTAACATTTTTAAATATCATTCTTAATTAACCAGTTTTCATAACTGAGAAAGCAAAGCATATTTGTTACAATTTTTATTGTACTGTCCACTGGATTAGAGTATTTAGATCATGCGCATGTCACTCAAAGTACTGAATTATTTTGCCGCTTTAAAAGAAAATATGAACAGCTGACTCACAAGTATGATGTTACAAATGGTACAATTTTCTAGACATATTCAAATTACCCGTGTCCAAACTAACTTACCGGTAGATAATAAAGAAATTATCTGAGCTCAAACTCAGGACACATGTTTTTGATTGGATAGAAACTGGCACAAAATGTGCACCAACCAATGAAAAACCTTAAAACTAAGACCAATCTTAGAAAAAAAAAATTATAACCTCACAACAAGTTTCTTCACTCAGTGAATATTTAATGATACTAGAATAACTAAACTTCCCTTACCTTATTATAGGATATATTCTATGTTGGTTTCATACTGTATTTAACAGATATCTCCGTCACAATGTTCACACTCACATCTTGAAAATCTAGCTGAAATGAAAGACAAAACACTATATAAAATGTCAACTTATAAATAATATATATAAATTAAATGAAGATTTTCAATAACAAGAGTCCAAAGTATATTAATTTACCTTCTTCCTTAACAGTGACAGTCATTTATTTATTTTAATATATAAAAGATGACTGTTTGTTTGTCTGGTTTTTAAGCCGATTCAAACATTTCTAAATGAGCAGTGAGAGACAA